ATCTTCAAGGTCACCATATCATCTTCAATGACTTATCAGCCGATGAAATATGGCCGAACACAACTCCACAGTTAGGTTTTCATTCCATATGCGTAAGGAACTGATACAATGTATTACTTCGGTGCTAAGTAGGTATAAAAGTGCCAACCACGGCTCAAATAGTCGTGTTTCCAAAATTCAAATGGTCATCCAAAGGGTCTGAAACGGGGTATGGTATTAAGTTAATATCTCTGAGCAAAGTCAGGTGTGCGTTCCGCACGGGCCAGAAATACAATAATTTCCTGTGTAGCAATTGTAATTACATCGTTGCGGTCGCCATGTCTTTCTGACGACTTGATTTTTTTCTCTGAAATGCTATCTTCAGTAATGTCGAGATTGCATCAAACACTGAGCAGAACTTTCTTCCAAGATCAGCAACCGGTTGATTTTCTGACACGTGCTGATTAATGGACGTACTTAAAGAATTTGTCAGATTTTAAGAAGCCTAATGGCGGGTAATTCCTTTTATTTAACAGTTTTCGAGCAGATATAGTTTGCTAAAACGCTGTTAAAAAGGCTATGGTGTCTATCACGATTTGAACTTGGCGTACGATGAAGAGTTCTCTCTGTTGGCAATTATGGGCTGTTATGATACAGGACTAGATTGTTTGTTTAGTTCTTTTGTTTCCATTGCTCATATGCTGTTGTTTTTCTTCTCCAAAGACTAAAAACCTGACTGAAGCCGGTAATTTTCGTTTTATTTCAACAAAACATGGTCACTAGGCAGGAGGTTACGATAAGCCAAGTGTTGCTTCCATAATGAATACACTCTTTCAGCGAAAATTGTTCGAGAAACGCGATACTTGCCGGCGACATCAGAATCAGAAAGTAGAGATTAGAGTAGATGACCTTCTTATCTTCAGTTAATCCCTGATACGAATAAAAATGAATGAAAAACACAGAGCATCCACAAAAATTCTTAAACTTGAGTGGTTTCGCTTGCAGTTTAGGATTATGAGGATTTATCGGATAAACAAATCCCTAAATCTAATTCCGTTAATTGCATTTTTAGAATCGCAAGATACGACAGTAACGCATAAGCTTTTTGATTTATGACAGAAGCTATATGAAGTTATTTGTCGGTTTTCGCCAGATCGGGCATTTATCCTTGATAAGAAAACCGATGACAAATTTTTATGGCTTTAATCAAAGGAATTCCCAGCGATTAAAACGGAAAATTACTTTAAAATTGAACTAATATCGCTGATGACAGCTATACCTCTGGTACGTAATTCGGTCTATAACTGTTGCTCCGTTTTCCAATAAGCACAGCCATTCATTTGTGTGTTCGTTCATCTTTTCCTTCAACCATTGCTATTTTGATCCGTTTTCCTACTTTCTACCTTGTTTTCATTCAGTCATTCATACCTGAGCCATAGATTCTCACATGAATTCTAAAATTGTCGCTCAGATTCGATAAAGGCTTTCAAATGCAGGTATATTCGTCTCAGAGAGGGTAGGTCAGTAAGAATCTTGAAGCTCTATACGCATGGTTTATTCTTGAGTGGGAAAATTGAAGTCTTACTCAGGAAGCTTATTCGAGGAGAGAGGACTAGTTATAAACTTGAAGCTCTACACAGGTGGGGGGGGCTCATAAGAGAGAGAGGGAAGGGGGGTTGGTCAGAAACTATCAGAGTTGTGGATTTAGAAGAAAGGGAAGCATATTTCTTACTTTTCCATTGAAAAAAAAAAAAAAGATGTTTCTATCGCGCTCAGAAAACTAAGCAAGACGTACCTGACCACATGGCTTAGCACGTTAACTGAATTAACAACTTATATTCAATTTCAGAGTTAAATTACGGATAAACAACACAACTTCCGAGTAAGTTAAGGAGCTTTCACTGATGTAATGGAGATTTGTCAGACAATTTACCGCGCGACATTGATGAGTATTTTTTTCTTATGTTTTGGTGGTCGTGTGAGCCTCATTGTCTCTCTCTCTCTCTCTCTCTCTCTTTCTTGTCGTTACAAACGTGCCTTTCTTTTATCGAGAGATGAAATTCGAATAGAGATTCAGCTTTTCTTGATGGAAAACAAATCATCTTTACTTGAAAACATTATTGGTTACCAATGTTTACCACAACAGCTACATATGCTTGATGTTCTGAAACCTGGGTCTTTGTGGTTTTCCGGTTTACAGTCTGTGAGATTAGGATCAAAGACGTAATTTTTTAACGTCATAAATGATAAAAAGGTGAAGTTGTAGCATTTACATAGCTTATAATTAAGGTCCGTTCTCTTTTGTAAACGAGCACGACCGCCTATTTACAGGAAATAAAGTCGTGTTTGATTTATGTTTGATTCACGGGCTAAAAGAAGGAGCGGCCGTAAAGCTCTTCTAAATCGGAACACTTAATTTATTTTAAAATTGCGTATCCTCTTGAAAGTAAGTTAAGAAGGCGAGTTTCCAAAAATGTCCAACTTTTACGAAGTCGTCTGAAGTGGAAACGACATATAGTCACTCGTGCACGGTACCAAAATAACAACTAACAACAGGGTCAGTTTGAGGGTGTGGCTTTAAGTTATTCCTAAAGCCAAAAAGAACCACATTACTAATTGATATCAGTAATCTCCCATAAGAATATCAACTGTTTGAAATTTCTTGTGAAAGGTAACACAGGTCATGTATATCTATTTCCCTTGTTTTCAAGTACACCTAGTATGTTCAAACTGTCTGTCTGGGCAACCAATGTGAACGTGAGTGCTACCGCAAAAAAAAAAAAAAACAGTGTTTGACCGATGATAGAACGGCAGGATTCTTTCTCCACTTTGCACACCACTCTTTTGATTGTAGCATTCCAGAGACGTCGACATGATACACTTACAATGATAATGAAGAAATGTAAACGTGTCATTCGTTCAGATCTTGTTAAGTGGTGATCTTTATTGATTACAGTGACCTTTCTCACAGAGGTTATCAACAGTAATTTCCGCATATCAATTTGTATGGTTACTTCACCAATCAACACCGAAAGAAAAAAAAGGGTCATCATGGTTTTTTTCCTTCGTCTGTTCAAACGTATATCAACCCAATTGCTCTGACGAAAGGCTAACGCTCAAAACGTCAGCCTTTATACTCTATACGGTGGCCAATTTACGTTTTCAACTCAGTTGATATCACTATATTACCCTGTTATACTCTCCCAGCGAAGCAGTACCACAGTTGCCTTTGTTCCTTAACAAGGAGAGAACAGGTTACCCAGTCGTTTTTACTTATATACCTCATAGATTGATTAATGATTCATTAGCTTTTATTCATTATGTGGGTATGTCTGTGTCCACTTAGTGACGAACATCGATGGAAATTTCCGATCTGACATTAGCAACCTTTAAAATTCTTTACCTTCATTCCGTTGTTTCTAACAACACTTCAGGAGACAGTTAGACATAACCATTCGGCTATCTTAATGCTCTATATCTTTTTGCATCAAAAAAGGTCTTACTTGAGAATTTTTTGCACCATATCGTTGCCTGATCTATTTTGTTGCCATCCGCAATGTTATGTTCAAAGTCTATGGTTACATAGCCCCCTTACCACAAAAATGCTCCATTTTACCGGCCTAGTGGCAATTTCAGCCGGGGGTTGCTATCCTGAGATCACTAGTTGTTTAAGCCCTGTTGAAATTGTTGTCGCTTTAAAACTAAATAAATGTGTCGATCAAGTCGATGAGAAAATTGCGGAAAAGTCGCTTTTACTCTTCCCTTCAGAGCTGTTTAATACTTTTATTGCATTACAGTTGAAATTTGACCTTTCTGCTTCACATCCTCTGTCAGTTGGTTTTGTGGAAACGTAAGGGTTGAGTTATTTTGAGAATGTGTCCATTTTGATCCCATTTATTTCCTCCGGGAAACAGGGAAAATATATGTTCAACTTTCTGAACGTCTAATTTTCATAATTCAGAGTTGATATGTAAGTGTAAACATTTTAGCAGCATAGTTGTGACTTGTTTTCTTCTCATTTAAAAAGAGAACTCGATGTTTGAGGTCACACAAACGGTGTGACCTTCATATTTGTGTTAGAGGAAATATATGGCATATGCCGATAATTCTTATTCTGTCGCACTAAATTCCGAGGAATATTCTCGATTATAAACAAAATAAACTTACCTGGAATGTTGTACATAGTCGTTTCTTTGGCTGAAACCGCGAATTTTCAATTATGCGCCAAGATGAGTGTCCGTTGACGAACCCTTTAAAGTGTTCAAAGTCATATACTGTGTTTGAGTCAAACAGACTGAACTGTTAAAGATCGTTTGTCTGCTTAATGCACGATTCCTTTGTTCTGTGGTTATTGTTTACGATCCATTGTTATACCCTCTTGAATCACGAATTTGCTCATTTAGTTTTATGATGACCCAAGTCAAAGAAGATGCATCAAACCTTTCTCTTCGCGTAGGCCGAGATGAATTGCTGTACTATATTGATGCTTTGTTACGTTAAACGATGAGTTCATTACTTAGCAGCTTACTCTTAAACATTCAATACGTTCGTCTAAACAACTTAATTAACAATACATTCGAGCAGTTAAATGAGTAGTCATGTATAAAATCACTGATTTTTGTCGTTTTATCATCGAAGTTAGGACGGTTCGACCTCTTCAAATCTTCAGGTCTGTTGCACTTTATCAGAATTGACGTCAGTATGAGTCGTTGTCACATTTTCCTCAAGAGGTGAATCTAATTAAGCTGAAGGTTGTAATACTTATTCCTAATTTTCAAAATGTCTTTTAACGGGAATCACTAAATGGAGAGGTAAAATCTGTGGATTGGATTATAGTTGATGTAACGGTTTTGACCGGTTAAGTCCCTCAGCTTAAAGACACCACTTGAAAACAACGCCCTACACTAATAGTTAGAAATACGATAGATATGACCCTCTGGCTGTACAACGCGGCCAGAAATTAACTCTGTTCCCGCTGAGATGTAACTGTCCTGCGGAGACTTTCAAATCCAATTTTTGCTTTGTTGATAGTTGTAAAAAGTGTTTCATCTTGAGGAAAGGAAACCCGAATATTCCGTGACTCCCACAGCGATAGTTCAAACATTCAACGCGAAAATTGATGACAAACATCCCAAAAATGCTGATTGTTCAATCATTTTCTAGGGTTCACTGCGGTCATTGGGAATCACTCTTATCGCTTCTGTTGAGTCTGCAACTTCAGAGCGAAGACGGCTTTTAACGCGCCAACGTGAAAATGTTGGCCGAGTTGGGCCATAACATCTTGCTGAGCTTAACAGCTCTACATGCCACAATTCTGGTCATATTGTTGAGAATCGGCTCCTCCATTCCCTATGTCAAAGAACGCATCCAGAAATTCGAAGAGCGCAATCTTCTGGTACCTTACCAAAATTTTTGGGATGAATACGGCGGAAAGAAAATGCTCGGATGCGTCTTAAAGATAATGTTAGGAGATGTGAACAAGACAGCCCGCTTGGGTAATCTAGCACCAAATTGCCGGCTTATTTCAACTGATGGTAAAGAGTGCAGGCTACTGGATTTCGCTAAAGGCACGCGCCCACTGGTTCTGAATTTTGGCAGCTGTAGCTGACCCCCATTTTTCATTAACTTTCTGAACAACTTCGCCAAAGTTGTTCATGATTATGACGACGAAGTGGATTTCCTTACTGTTTACATCCTCGAGGCTCATCCAACCGATGGCTGGCGCTGGAATGTAAGTTTGTATTTGTTTTTTGATCGCGTGTTTATGCAGTAGTTTACTTAAGGAGTAAAAGTTGATGCGTTCCTCTTTTGTAGCGCACCTGTTTTTCAGGTTCTTACGACTCATCTTGAATATCCAGCCATTTCTAATATTCAACCTCATTGATTATTGACAAGCCGCTACTTCAGCAGAAAAAGAATAGCTCTCTAGAAAGTTTCATAATTCAGGAATATTTTTGTTTTCCTGTGTGCATAAACAGTCACTGATTTGATTGAAAACATTTTCGAAAGTTCGGTTCGCCAACTTTACGTTATGGTCGGATTCCCTTCCTCGAGGGAAAGAATTTCAGGATGACAGGACTTGAATAGCTTTTATGTAATCATCATTTATCGAAAAAATAAAACGTAATGCTCATATGCCCGAGGCAATCAAACCAAAACACGTGATTAAGTCAGTTTGTAGAATAGTAATGAGATACTTTAATTTCTGTTGCATGCATAATTTTACGATGAAGCGATCAACCGATAAAGCCGAGGAAGACTCGGTCGAGGTCAAACGAATCACAGAATTGTAAAACCAGCTCACTCAAAGCCTTAAGGAGAAAGTAGCGTTGATTTGTCATTCTAACTTTTGTAATTGTTTACTGAATCATGTTGTGATGCCATTCAAATAAAACCTAGTGTAGGCTTGATTTCCGGTGATATTTTTTTCTCTATTCCCACAGAATAATGTCGAAATCCCTCAACACCAGAGTTTAGAAGATCGTCTTGCTGCGGCGGAAATGTTGAAAAAATCAAGTCGATGCTCTGTTCCAATCATGGTCGATGCGTTTGAGAACGAAGCTTCGAAAGCTTATGGCGCGTGGCCTGAGAGACTCTTCATTATACAAGATGGAAAAATAGTATACGAAGGGGGAACGGGTCCGTACAATTACAAAATAACAGAGGTGCAAAGCTGGCTGGAGAAGTACAAAGCGAGACTGTAGAGTGCTGCTAATTCGGTTATTAACTGTTAAAAAACGAACAAACAAAAGAAACACTTTTAAACATTGTCGCACTTTTAAACGTTCGTGTTCTCCCGAGACCGGGTTTTTTAGTTCAGTCACATGACTTATGTAATCTGTGTCCTATGTTTCTCGTCTGACCCTGTCAACGTTTCACGAATGACAGCCTCAGGGGTAAGCCTGCTCAAATTGTGGGTCCCTGTGGCTCGAAGATGAAAATGCTGACTTCACGGATAAGAAATGGAGGGAAAGGGGACGTGGCAACTCCCAAAGTATGGTGCTACATACGTCATGTGATCTAAACTATTTAACCATACTCTAAAGTAACTGTTACGTAGTTTTACTGATAAGACGTACATTGTAAATCTGTGTAATTGGCTCCTACTGAGAACGTATGTTGTAGTTTGCAGTAGCGTTACTATTACCAAACAACATCAACCTTCAAATCACATCAAAAAAAACGAAAAATGATTCCAATTGAATTCCGCTGTGTAAGTTAGTTCTTAGTGAAAAGCAAGCAAAAATGACAACGAATTTAGACGGAATCCATTGATTGTTTCCTGTAATCGAAATTTTTTTTCCCTTTTTGTAGGCTACCCCAACAATAGTTATCGGACGATAAACCTTTCAGAATAAAAAGTGTCCAACTTAGGATAAAAAATAAAATAAAATAAAAACAGAAATAACCTTAATGGGTTGAAATGAAATTAAAAAATATTTGTGTTAATCTTCTTCTTTGTTTCACATTTCGGGCGCTTTTTCTTACGTAGGCCCAACGGCTTTCACCTTTTAATGCTATGACTGACCCGAACGAAATTTCTCCTCACGATATCAGATACCAAGCAGACAAGTGATGAGAATAAAGAAAAACATCAATTAGGGGATTATTAGTTGATCCGATAACAAATTCTTCGAATTGACACAAAGGGAATTGTATCTCTGACAGTAAGGAGAATTACTAATGAGATCTTGGGAGAGAAAGGGTTAAATAGCTTGTGTTAATTGCGTTAACCAGCTCTTGACCGTGGTCTTTAAACTGTTGCGAACATGCTAGATATTTCCGTTTGTTGCGTACATACTTTAAACGATTTTGTCGCTATGACGAAACTGTTTCATTACCAAGGGGCTTATATTCGTGACATGTACGATTTTCTTTGCAGCCTTTCATAGAAAAATGCTTTTTGCTTTTGCTGTCTACGATCGAATGATAGCAATAAAGAAGAATAATAGAGAACCAAACAATACAAGCGCAAGCTATAGCCTTAACATGCAGACTTGGGAGTGATTGGATTATGTTGCCTACACCAACAAGATTGCAACATTGTGGTTTGTTACACTAGGCTTACAACGTTGATATCTTGTTTCTTGTTCACGCCACGCCGTGCCATTCCCATTGTTCGACCTAACCGAAACCGGCTTAATTGGAACAAGTCGAGATCACCGTCGAGCGTCATGAAAGCTGGCGTCAGTTCGAATCGTAAAAACGGAAAAAAAAAATAAAAGGTACTGAGTGATTTAAGAAAAAAGTCTCTGTCGGGGTAAACCAAAAGCACTTTGGAAGTTTTCGCCGACATACATTTATTTCCTCGATATTAAAGACTTGGTTATTAAATCTGGGTTCGATTCATTTGAGCTCCAGCTTTACTGGCTTGTAAAACTACTGAGAGAGAAAACTGAAAACAGTTTAACAACCCAAAAATGATTTAGCTTCATCAACTGAGTTGATGATGTAAATTGGCCACCGTAAAAAGTCTCTAAAGCTGACGTTTGGAGCGTTAGCCGTTCGTCAGAGCGAACACGAAGGGGTAGCACTCGAAAACCCCCACTGACGCAGCACCACAGTTCCTATAAAAACTATAATAATTTCGAGTTGGAGGTACTACAATTGTTATCCAGAGACAGAGAGAGTATAACGATAAGACGTGTTCTGAAATGTTGACCTCTTTCAATATTTGGTTGTTGTGAAGTATTTTGATGTGTTTATGTTTTTTTTAAGGTTACCATTGTGATAATCGAAGCCCGCACCTAGAGTTTCCTGCTTGTCGTCTGTTTTGTCTCGTTGTCTGACTATTTTCTTACCTAAATTGGTGGTGTTTTTCACTTAATTGTGATTTCTTTTCAAACCGTTTAAATTTAACTGATTATTGTGTGGTCCTTATGTAAGTCGCATGCCAAGTGTTCGCAGGACCGAAAATGTAGTTTGTACCTTTGAGGGGCGGTTTCTACAGCTTATCTATCAAACATTGATCATGACTTCCCTCCGGGTGGTCAGTCTTATCTGGGTTTGTGTACTGACCTTGGTTCGGACCGACACCAAAGTTCCTGTTTTGATTTTGGCTTTCAAAGAATGGCTTTTTGTTTGGAAAATATATAGTATTTTGTTGTTTAATTCAGTCCACAACTTACATGAAAGTATTTGAGTCAGTTCTCTAATTTAGAGGTTTAATCCTCCAAAGTCAGTTGGCCCTTAACCCAAACATGCTCGCCAATAGAGTACTTAAGGGCATGTAACGGAGTCTTGGTGCCTCTCGGTAGCGCGGGTCTTCTCAGAAAATAGTTTCCCTCGTCACTGCGTCGTAACATATTTGGTGGAGACCTGAGCTGGATTCCCCCGTTCGGCGGCTTTGAGCCAGAATCTTCAAACCGATAGTACACCTCCTAAGCCGTGTAGACCCTTCAACAACCAACCTATGACTTGCAAACATTAATATCAAGGTTATGACTGAATGAAGATAACACTAGAAAGTCTATAACACCCTGACCGAACGTTTATGTGATTGTTTTCCTAAATAAAGTAAAATTAGACACGTAGCGTGGGATACCTCAAAATTCGCGCGATATCGCGCGTTGCCGCGAAATTCACCGTGACGGACGAGGACTGGAAAAAAATGAAAGAGAACAACATGGCGGCTGATGCGAAAAATGACGCTGGAAGCAAGATTGGCTGTAGTTTGTGTCCAGAACCTGTACGTCATTGGTACTTTTAGCCTCATATGGGTTTATAGACTTGTGATCCCTTACTAAGTGGTTCGAAAACGCTGGAAATGGTGAATGTTTATGCCCCCACGTGTCACTTGGAATACATGTTACTGGTGGTTAAAGAAAAGCGATCTTCAACTTGCAAGAGTTCAGGTAAACTATTCTCACATTCTTTCCCTTTCTGTTTTCAGTTCTGGACAACTTTCTGTTTGACCCCATACTCCATCATGCATACAGTTCTTGGATGAAAGAAACAATGACCAAAACAATCGGTTGCCTTTGGGACTGCGGTTTTATTTTGGAGTAGTATGGGGTTATACGGATATCTCTCCCAGTTCTATGTTCTAGACAGGTAACTTAAGACCTTGTCAACTCATCTTGATGTTCTATACCTGTCAACCTTAATAGAGTCTAATGCGTGAGATTTTTGTCTCCTCATGACCGGAATTTCCGAAAATGATCGAGCGACTTCCGATGATTTCTCAAACTCAACATCAAGTGTCGGAACATTTTCGGGAAAATTGAATTGAATTGAATGTGGATTAAAATAGAATGTGTAGCAGCTGGAGGAGAGAATTGACAGTGATATCTTGGGAGCTGATGGGTTAAAATACACTTACCTCCATGAAATAATTGCTTGAATATAGTTTTAATCTTTATAAAGCAATATTCTGCTTTTGGTAGTTTAATGAGATAACAGGTGCAAAAAGTATTTTTTTTAACCAGTGAGAGAACTGTGCTCTACACTTGTTCCATTTTTTTCAAATTTCTAATTTTGGAGACTAAAATTGCCTCTTTCCACTGTAATGTACAAGAGAGAGTGTCGCATGCCATAATCAATCATAGAAAATTTTTTCAATCAGAATATGTGTTCTTAGTTTTCATGAGATCCCCAAATACTAGACAGTCAGCTGTCACAAATCAGTATGGTTATTTTACTTCCTTCAGTATTACCAACTTGATTAAAGTATATCAGAGGACAGTACAAAGATGCAATCAACATGTACCTCTGAGTGAAAATTGATAGATTAACAAGTGGTCAAATTATCGTATGTAGTGATGTCCTTTCACAATGAACTATGATTTCCCATGAAAGACCACATTAATAATGATAAATGGGTGTAACACGACAAGGTTAATTTGATTGCAAATGTTAGTGAGACTGGAAATTCTGTCAGATTTCTCCAATGTCCTTCACTACAGAAATAGATCAGTTATAGTCTATGTGCTTATTATTAATCTAAACACAAAGTTGGTCTACCTGTCAGTAATTCAGTCAACAAATGACACCATGTTCCCACAAAAAGTGTGGCTCCAATTTTTCTGTGTAGAAACAACACAACCCACAGTTCTTCTATTTATTCAGATTAAGGGCTAGCACTTGAAACATCAGCTTTAGAAAATCTACAGCACTATCAAAAACTTTAGAAACTTACCCTCTTGACTATATAATTGTATTACAGCTGTAGGCAGACAGACTTTATGATGGAATTACTGATCAGCTGACTGACTGTAAGTTTGGATTACTGATTAACTCTTTGTATGATTTATGATTGATTGACTGTACAACTGAATGACTGTTGGAATTATTTAGTTAATGACTCAATAACTATTGACTGACTGACTGACTGACTGAGTTACACATGGATTGTATGACTCACAGACTGATTGACTGACTGTATGTATGGTTGTATAACTAAATGACTGACTGACCCACTGATGGCTGACTGATTGCCTAAGGGCCTTTCCACACTGATGAAAAAGTTGTTTATTTAGAAAAATTTTCTGTCATTCCCAACATTTACAAGTGCGGATGGTTTGTCATGACTTGGTAAAACTGGACAAAATCAACTAAATAAACAAAATAGTGATAAACTTCTCAATCATTTGTTACAACCAGAGTGCAATTAAACTGAAATCAGTTTACTAGAAAGGCAAAAATTGTCTTATGTTCCAAAACTCAGGGACTCTAAAATGTTTAAAAGACTTTGGATAAATCCTGGAAATTAAAGGTGGAATCCTTTGGCAAGCTACGATGGCTGGTCTTATGAACAGATCAGGTGCTGACAGAATTTGACAGCTTTGAAATTTTTAATGCAGATGGACAGACAAAACAAAAATTTTTCATGAAAAAATTTGTCTTTTTATTTTGTCAGGACAATTTTAGTTTTGTCTACCAGTGCAGAAAGGCCCTAACTGACTTACTGACTGTATGATAGCAAGACTAAATGACTGACTGACTGACTTACTGTGTGACTAACTGATGACTGATTGACGCACAGACTGACTGTATGAATGAAGACTAAATGTCTGATTGTCAAACTCATTGGCTGACAGACTGACTCACTGAATATTTAATGGTGTGACTGTCTGATTGAATGACCAATGTCAGTCTACCTGACAATCAATATGAAGGGAGTATAGCTCCCTTTTAGTTCATTCTACTCTTGGATATGAATTGCAAATTGTGGTGTGACTGAAATTTTTACAGCATAAGGCAACCCAGTGCAAAGGTTAAGTTTCCCCACCAAAACAAGATTCTACAGCATTTTTAACATCTGTGTTTTGCTGCCAACAATAAATTGTTATCATTTGTAGATATAGATGTACATGTATGCCACCCCAAAGTAAGCAATTGTTGTGAGTCACTAATTCAACCGTGACCAACCGGCCTAAATGGAAAGTTGACTAGATGATTGACTTGGTGTCCACCAAAATGTTTGACAAGCTCTGGACTGACTAACTGGACTTACTGACTAAATGACTGACTTATGTACTGACTTGACTGGCTTGTTGCCTACAGACTTACTGATCTACTGACCTACTGACTGGCCAACCGGCCAACCGGCCAACCGGCCAACCGGCCAACCGGCCAACCGGCCAACCGGCCAACCGGCCAACCGGCCAACCGGCCAACCGGCCAACCGGCCAACCGGCCAACCGGCCAACCGGCCAACCGGCCAACCGGCCAACCGGCCAACCGGCCAACCGGCCAACCGGCCAACCGGCCAACCGGCCAACCGGCCACCCGGCCAACCGGCCAAGCGGCCAACCGGCCAACCGGCCTACCGGCCAACCGGCCAACCGGCCAACCGGCCAACCGGCCAACCGGCCAACCGGCCAACCGGCCAACCGGCCAACCGGCCAACCGGCCAACCGGCCAACCGGCCAACTTAACTATCTGGCTTATTGACTACTTGGCTGGCTGATCGACTGTCTGACTTACTTCCTCAATTACTGAACAACTGACTGATGGACTGATCCAAGGCTTTAAAAGGAGGGGGTCACGGGCACCTGTGGACCCCTCCCCCCTTGCTATGCCCTTGCCCACGAGAGTGAGCAAAAGATTACGAATTGGTGATCTATCCAAAGAGCCCAAACAACTGGGGAAAATCATCAGTTATAGTACAAATTTGGAGTAGAGTCATGGGAATCAGTTCCACGTTTTTAATTTACTTTATTCGTTCAGTTTCTTAAAGCCTCATGACTTGAGATACTTCTTCACCCTGGTATAGTAAAATGTGTGGAAATTTGTGAGAGGCAGAACTCATTAGAAATTCTTTTGTGCTGATGTCTTTCAGGTAAACAGGGGATTGTTTGCAGAGACCTCGGTTGTACCTGAACTGTTCGGGATATGAACATGAACTGGAAGATGTAAGCTTATTTTGTTAACGTTAGCAACAGGTTAGATTGTTCTAGTTATGAGTAATGCTTGAAAATGTTGTCGATGATATCTCGAAGCCTTCATGATAACTGCGATACTTAGCCTCTTCTGCCTTGGTCAGAATAATGATCATCATTGGCCTCGTATAATTACAGGGGAGGAGTAGGTGTTAATACCGATGTTGTCGAAAGAATTCTTAGATGTTTCCTAATTTGTTTTCATACGATGAATAAAAAGAAGTCGCGTTGTGGTGAAACGTTGATTCTGTAGAAGTAGAATTTGTTACATACATCTCGCGCTGACCAACGGCAATTCAATAGGACTATGAAATTTTTTTTTCAGGAAAGTTGAGTAGTTCTTTTCCGAGTACTGAGCATAATGTTCGCTCGTATTATATGTTATACCATCGAACAGAGGAATTTATTTTTTGGCTTCTACTTTAAGGACGTGCTTTATCTGAGGAACGTATCAAATGTGCAAAAGACGAAAACTACATGAACAAAAGAAACCGAGTCCTTTGGGAAAAATTAAAAACAATATGCAGCTTTAGATATGGCAAGTGTCGACGAACAATAAAATATATTTCTCGCGTTCCTTTTCTTTTTCAGATATCGCAACGATAAGTTCAAAAGAAGGTTAAGGTGAGTATAATATGTAGTTTAATTCGGGTAAATCCGTCTGAGTGAGCGCCTTTGCATCCACAAATATTTCTTCATTGTGGTTGAGCAGCAAAATTTTATTCATACATTGCTCTTTCACTTTTCTTCCAGATAACTCAGAGTTTTAAAACAATTTTAAAAAAAGAGGCTTAAATGGGAAGAAAACAAGGAATGCACAAGCGGTGGACGAAAGGTAGAAATTGTACAGCGAAAAGACTTCCATTGTATTAATAATGGTAATAGGACTGAGCGGAGTCCAATTTAGTCTGGAATCATACAAGTGATTGTCAAAATTGGACGACCGTGAAACGGGAGTCCGATTTGTTAATCACGAGTATGATTACAGACAGAATTGGACGACACGAAGTCCTGTTACCAATTAATCAAAACTATGACAATTTGAGAAAGAAACTAGACGTCGGTTATACGTTTTCATAAAAAAAGCAACAGTTAAGTCGGCGAGATGTGCGACAATAGCGCGCGCATATGACGATAACCAATCGCGTTCGAGAAGTTTGTTATAGTTTTGATTTATGGTGTTTATTACCCTCGACAGGAAGGCCATGGCGAAACTTTAAAACTTGTGTCTCAAGGAATGAACAAACGGGGGATAAAGGGAACTGATTACACAGAGAAAAAGCTTTTCACACTTTACACCCTGAGATCAGTTTTTATATTCTCCTTACTGTTCTCTGTACATTTACTAAGGTGCTGACAAGGATAATTTGTCTAACAATCAAGAGTTTCTTTAGTTGGTGATCATTTCCTTTATTTCCATGACATTGATGTGTGATTCAGGGGTGATATTGTAAGGAGAAATTAGATGCAAGTCACTCCTAGGGGTTAAAGGGTTAATTTGATATAGAATAATTCGGCTCGATAGAGAATCCTGGAAGTTCATGTTTCTCGATTAATCAAATCTATTTGTTCTTCAGGTTGCGAGAAGGAGCAAAGAGGAATGAAAAGGCCCAATACAGAATCGGAGTGGAAAGGAAGGAGAAATGTCAAGAATATCTCACTCTCTCTTGCAAGACTTGTACATGTACTTTTATAGCTTTACCGTTGTTTTTATTAAGCTCGTACACTTGTACAGTGTAGTGCAACTGGAGAGAAAGCGCAAATTGGGAGCCAGATAACGGTACAGACGGACATCCTTGTTGTATTTGAAGAATAATTTTTCTGAGTCTTTTGGCGGGAAATGTGGGTATGGCCCACTTGATGTTCTCTCTACCTTACTTTAAGATGTCATGAAAAATGACCATCTCCAGCAAGAGCCATTGAAAAATGTCAACCTTGGAATGAACGAAAAACTGGGGGTCGATCCGCCACCGTCCCCCACCACACCCACCTCTTATAGACAGTTGTTTTGTAATTTGAGACAAGTTCATCCTTATGGTGAAACTACATCTTTATTACGAACACATGCGTATTGTAAGACACATGCTTATTACGATATGTCGTACCACAATGTTAAACTTGTCTCATATTACAAAATAACTGTCTATAAGAGGTGGGTGTGGTGGGGGACGGTGGCGGATCGACCCCCGATTTTTCGTTAATTCCAAGGTTGACATTTTTCAATGGCTCTTGCTTGAGATGGTCATTTGGATGGAAATTTTTTTTCTTCCAATACAACAAGGATGTCCGTCCGTACTTTACATTATCGAAGTGATCCACAAGGAAGAAGTTGGTGGAGGTTTTTATATTCCAAATATAGACTTCTTTTCAATTTTAAATGTTGGTTGTTTTTTCAGGGCTGAGATACCTGCGAGATAGAGATAAATAAATGAATTACTCACTTTCTATGAAATTATTATATATGGCTACAATTTTTTTTCAACATTACAACAACAGTTATACTCACCAAAATATTAAGTATCCTGGTCTCCTTAGCCCTTTTGCTTGTAATCTCCGCTGTATTGGAAAGAAATAAAAAAAAAGAAATGTTAAAAAAAAAACTCCCAATTCCTACATAATCATCAACTTACTACTAGGAAATAATCCAGCAAGGTTTCGTTCGAATTTGTGCATCTTCTCCGTCGCATGATGAAGTAGCTGGCTTCTCGAAAATATCAGGGAATTTGCAGAACAACATAAAACGAGATGTAAATTTTCACTCCTACATCTAAACAGTAAACAGAAGGCAACACACGATTTTCACACTAACTTTTCACTCACTACGCTGGTTTGAACATTTAACGCAATGGTTTAGCTCACGATAAGAAATTAACCCTTCATGCAACCTGGGCTTTTCCAGTTTTCTTTTATTATTTTCTTCGTTCCCCGAGAAAAAAAAATACGTTCGAAATATATCAAACTGGATAAACCTTTTCGTCAAAGAAGAACGATTTAAAAGGAATTCTTATGTTAAAGGCTTCTCTTGAAACGTAAATACTCAAATGTAGCTCTACATTTCTAGTACACATGAAATTAGCCGATACGATAACAGTAGTTCTATGCCTTCTATGTTCTTATATGCCTCGTCGTAAATTTTCTCCCATGAAAATAAGTGGAATTTTGGTAGGCCTTTGTAAAAGGGGCCCTACACCCTCGAAAGGAAATGAATATTTTTCAGGTGGACTGCGGACACGTACACCTTACCTGATGGTTCTATAATAAGCACAGATATTTTGATGGCAATAGGATGAGCTAAAAAGTTCTTTGCATAAAAAAGTCAAGCCTACAAACCGGAAGGAAAAAAATCAAAGTTTGGATCGTTCGGTGCGGCCGTTTAGTTGCTCCGCTTTCCCTTGGAGGGTTAACTTGCATACTATTGGACTAATAACAAGACAAATTCAGAGAAACATGAAGATATTAAAAGCAAAGTGATACCTTCCTCTAAAATGTCGTTCCTCTTGAGAGTAAGCCAACCCTTGGGGTCCAACTCTCTCTTGATTGAAATTCATGATGAGATGGAGCTATCCAAAATTTTCTGGTTGGGCTACTGTACTTCAAACGGCATCAACGAAGTTTTCGTCGTTATGGCTTCTTCAATCCATCAGGGAAACGATGTGCTAGACTTTCATATGGACAGATACCTTGTTTGAAGTGTGTATGCTTCTTCAATCTGGAAATCAAAAAGGAATACATTGCTTCATATAACATCATCTTCTTGAATAGGCATGCATCCAAACAAAGAGGAGTAAACTTGCTATTTCAGAAAGTGTCAGAAGATTAATCAGTACTCCATCACGTGACCATTCAATGTTCATTAAGGAGGCAAAGGTATGAGTTTATTGTTGGGATATTCCCTTATCAGGACCTTCAGGAGAGCCTTTCTGCCCACACTGGTAAGTAGGGATTTAAAAGGGTGACCTACTTAGAAGGCTTTATAAGGTAGATGTGTAAACATAGAATCACTTAGTTGGGATTTCAACAATTAAATTTGCCCATGAGTGACTAAGATGAGGTCTATAATTAGCCACAGAATAGACCACAATAGGGTTGGGGGTTCTTGAGGCCAGCAGGACATACCCAATACACTGAAATTTAATCTTCAAGGATGCTTTCAAATTGCCTGATTTTGTGTTCTATGCAAAGAAAATCCTATTGTTAACACACATTTTATTTTTACTTTTGGCAAAGTGAATGGGGATTTGCTATGTCAATCAAAGAGAATTCCTCACTGAGACAATGTGACCTACTTAGTCTCCATGGGCTGGGGACACTGTTCTCCTATTTCTTATGCAAAGTTAAAGATCTGCTCAACACAGAAAGACAGTCAAATTTCTTAGCATCCCAGATGAAGACTGAGGAAGAGACTTAATGAGTGAAGCTGACTCCATTCTAGGTTAAAATTAGTCACCCATCTCTTGTACAGAGTTCAAGATCAGTTCAACGCATTAAGACAGTCAAGTTTCCAAAACAGTTTTCACACACTTCTCTTTGTTTTTTGGTGGACCAAGTCTTAGCATCACAGGTCAAGACTGAGGAAGAGACTTTATGGGTGAAGCCAACACCATAGTGGGTCAGTTATCAGTCACCCATCTCTTGTACACAATTCAAGATCTGTTCTGTGCAGCAAGACAGCCCAGATTCCAAAACAGTTTTCACACACCTCTCTTTGTTTTTTGGTGGACCAAGTCTGATAGCATCCCAGATCAAGACTGAGGAAGAGACTGTATGCATGAAGCTGACTCCTTTGTGGCTCAGCTGCTAGTCACCCATCTCTTGTACACAGTTCAAGACCTGTTCAGCACAACAAGACAGTCCAGTTTCCAAAACAACTTTCACACACTTCTCTTTTTTTTTTTCTGTGGACTAAGTCATAGCATCCCTGATCATGACTGTGGAAGAGACTTTATGGATGAAGCCAACACCATCACAGGTCACTGTTCAGGTAGAATTTGGCACTGCAAGAAGATCTTTAATGAGATGAGTTGTAAAGGAAGAAGGCAAAAAGGAATATGCCTTTTGAGAGATGGAACTGCAAGTTACATATTGTTGTAGGATGTGTTGGTCATACCATGCAAAGGATACAGCTGAATGAAGACTCAGAATCATTTCAGATTACAGCTACAAGTTCAAACAGTCAACCCAAAGACAGGCTGTAGGGCACCTCATTCACCTATTAGGAAGAAAAAGATGAGACATAGTTAATTAATGTGGACAATTCATGAATCTGATCAAGTTGATTGTTCATACCTACAGAAATGCTTATACATTTAGAGAACATGACAAAGGTGGAAAATAAATTAACATGATACCAAAGAATGGTATTTAATTCAGATCTAAAACTAAGTTGTAACCACTGTGAATGCCATCTAGTGATAGATATTCACCATAAACACCAGTGTGTAATCCACACTAACATATAAGCCACATCCCGCATTTGGCAACTTGCAAGTTTTTGGCAAAGAAATCATAGGAAATCCCAAGTGGAGTCTTAATATTAGAAAGCTGTTTTATATTGGTTGCTTCATCAAATTTCACTGTTTATAATGAGCAACAGATATTTTTCAGTGGTGATTATTAATATCCAAATTCTCTTTTTAAAACATTGGAGGGCAAATTTTATAGAACCGAATTTGTCTCTGTAACACAGTGGAAAGAAATGATGAACCTTATACGAAAGAAAGATGAGGAACCATAATAAGTTGCCCTTTAAATACCTGCAATCAATAAATTGCAGCAAATCAAAAGAAAAAGGTTCTTTCATGCCATCTAAATCACAGTCACATCGCCTTTGTCAGAGAAGATTGTTTGGCAGAAATGTAACATTAATCAAATGCAATAAAATGAGTAAAAACATTTCATGCCAAACTGAAATTTGCATTTAAATGATAGGTTACAAATCCAAAGAATTTTTTTGTGAACATGAAGACATGTCTATACCCTTCAAATATTGCAGGTAACTACACAGGCAAAAGGAACAACGATTAGTGATAGTATTTGAAACAACAAAATCTGATTATCAGGTAATGGCCTCTTATGGCCAAAAACCAAGTGACTACTCTTCTAGAGCAAATGACTCTCACCCTTAAACAATGACCAAAACAACAAAAGAATAAAGAAATTCTTAAATTGTTGGAAATACAGTAATTGAAAACTTGTGTTACAGTAATAACTAAAGGGACCATCAATGCAACTGTACGCAGTACAATTAAAATACTGTATTTGGACGGTTAGATTCTGCACATTAAAAATGGATGTAAATATATCTTATTAGGTGTATAGTGGTGCTGATTATTAAATGGCACGGTAGTCCTGTGGGAAATCCATGTGTTCTGATTGGTTCTTATTTGAACCAAATGCACACAATCCCATAGAAAACCATAGTAAAAGCTGATATGTTTAGGGCTGGACAGATTGACATGAGCCAGACCAGAAAAATCAGAACAGCCCTGCACTCAAACATCTTGGTTTTTAAAATCTTAAGAAAAAAAGTTGTGTTTTTCAATGAGCTGTGGGTTTTTTTTTGTTCCTAAATAAAAATAATACAGAAAAGTCTTTACTGAAGAATACTTTTTGTAGTTGTGTAGTTGTCCTGCAAGTGCTTGTCTCTTGCCTCCTATTTAGGTTGACACAAAATTTTTGAAATTTTCAAAACTTATGGACTTACCAAGCATTTAATCATACAACCATCGTGTGGTCATATGATAAAATGCTTATTGACTCAGTTTGGTCAAGCCAGATGGTAAAATATTTGGCTCTTAGTCATGACACACAAACTATTCTGTGCCCACCTCAAACATCACAACCTCAAACCAAGTATTTCCTGTCTAACCCTCTCACTCAGTCAACAAGTATATAACATCATACATGTACATCTCCTTTAGCCAAATGTCAGCTGTCAAGCTGCAATTTTTTTCTCAAATAATGCCTTGATGAAACTCAAACCTATCAAGAAATGTGTTCAGCCACATTCACCATTATGTAAAGTATTTACAAGCATAATTGAAAATAACTCGAATGTTAAAAAAGCGTCACTATCTAGATTGAAAAGCTTCGGTAAAATTTCTGCACAGTCCCATACTATTGTAAAACAAATCTGTTTTCCCGATGGCAATGTATTGTTTTGTCAGTTGTTTTCTCTATCCAAGAACTGAATGCATAATGTAGTATGGGGCTGTGCGGAAATTTTACCATAAAATTATCCAATATGCCCGTCAAGCAGTGTTAAACGTTAATTCCTCACCTCAACAGCTTGTAGTAGCTATTTGCCATGAAATTCTAACGTGGTCTCCATTTTAGAGTTTTTCAGCCACTTTTGCGCCACATTTCCCACGTAAGCACCATCAAACAGCAGATAAGATAAAATGAAAGATACAAGATGTCTAAAATGCCATTTTTGCCCCTCCAGTGGCATCAGAATAGGCAGTTCTTCCCACCTTCCACTTACACTGCAACTCAAAAAGGCCGCCATATTGTGTTTACTTCTTACTAGATCCCAGTGTTTTTCGTTTGTGACGCAATTGCGTTATGCCCCACGCGCAAATACGCGGCAAAGCGCGCGTAGACCTTTCCACTGTTGAGTGCCTTCCCGAGCACCTGTAATTTTCGATTTTTGAGGAACTTTGTCCGGAGCAAATAAAACAAAGTCTTCTTGAGTTTGAGCACCTAGGTATCCTGAGCAATTTAGTTTTTTTAGCCTTTCGTTCCTCATTTTAGCTCTTAGGGTAGAAACAGTTGAAGAGGTCCTGTAGAAAGCACAGGAGAGCACCCCTTCTGTAAATTTAAACTTAATCGAGCGTGAAAAACATCTGAGTCATCCCGCTGTCATGAATCAACGGTCTAGATGCATCATGCATGTCAAGCCAGACTAAGACTGAGTTATCAAACCGATTATTGATAGTGAAATCAGTAACGAATGTTATTTAAATCCTGAATTAATCATCCAATTTGGCGCTATTTCTCAGAGCAGGAAGATGTTTCAGTTTTCGATGGGTTTACCTACAGTTTTACCTGCACAATAAACCATACATTTGTGAATAGTCAGAGCGCACTTTGTGTCTAATACCCCATTCACACCAAAGATTAAACATATTTTCACGCTGTTTATTTAACATGGTTTAAAATTGGTTTACTGCTTAATTCCTCGGTATTGAAGTGCACATTTTGTACTACGCATAAAAGTCACGTAATCTGGTATATAAGCGCGCGCGCATTCCAAGAACACGGTATTGTTTTTCAATCAATCGGACCAGGTAAAGAGGTACGATGGGCTTTAGCTCTTGAACGAGCCCAGTGACCTAAATTTTTTCATTTCATAATTTTGACGTTGAAAAATCACCCCCTTTAAACTGGCGAAATTAAAAAATCATCGAAGGTAAAAAAAGATATAGCTAAAAGCGTTCACGAAGCCCGTTACTCAAGGATGCAAATTAACTCCTTGAAAGCAACGACTCGAGAGCGTTTAAAGTCGATGTCATTTAAAATTCTGTTTGTTCCATATTCTCGATACTTTTTGCCTATCAAGTTTTTTTCAAGCGTTACTTTGAAAACCCTTGCTTCCAGCTACCGCAAAATTTACCGTGAACCGATGAAATTACGCGCGTGATTGGTGCCAGTTAGGCCTGTCCCGACTTTGATCATAAAATTCTGGAAAGTTGCTCACTGGAATGCCAAAAAGTTGCTTAAAACTTGCGAAAAACCCAAAAACTTGTTACTAAATTTCTTGATATTATTATATAAACGCTCATTAGTTATTTCGCTTTTATCATCTTTTAGTGAGGCCGCAATGTCCAAGATGTCCAAGCTCAACCCGCCAGGATGACAAGTGCGGTAATTGTTTTATTCTAAACATTATCAACATATAAGCTTTGTCTTTAATGAATGAAGGCCTTGTGACCCTTTCACTTCATTTATTAGTAACGTAACTTCTGATGTCTATTTCTGGTGATAGGGAGAGAATTGGAGAAACTATCAGCTAGAGGGTGTTCTCTCGATATGATAATAAAGTCCCTGAAAGGGAGAATTCTAAAGGAGTTTGGGAGTTCAACCTTTATAAACAATAACTTATTAATTAGCCTTGTTTCTCTCTCCCTCTTTCAGGTTTCCTTGATGAGACTAAACTAAATTAAATTTATATTATTTTTAAGGGTGGGGTTGGAATACCAGTTAGTAATACTCCGTAATGAGCACAAGTCAATGAAGTGACGCATGAAATGAAAATATAAAAGTAGTAACAAAACCAGCAAAATTTTAAAATAAAATTGCATTTCACTAATTGGAATACATTGTAAGACACTTGCATTTAGTCGTACGTTACAACACATAGTTGCCTGAAGTAGACCTGAAGATCAAACTGTAAATATACACTTCTCCATTTGAAAACTTACTTATACTGTTTGAGTATTGCTACTGATAAATTTTAAATCAGTGCATTCTTAGAGAAATTCTGAACTTTATTGTAAGGCATTGCTGGATCTACATCTTTTATGTATACTAAGCGGATTTTATTACAGTCTTTTGTTTCTATTTGAAGTCAATTCAGTTTGGTGTCTATTTTACTATGATTGACAGGAATCTGTTGAATAAATTGGTAGATTAATTTTAATGGATACACTTTGCATGATGAGTCCTTTTTGAAAATTATAATCAGAATTGACATCCATTTTCATTTACAGTTTCTGTATATGGCTAATTGCAGTGCTCGAAGGATAAACTTGTTTTAAAACCAATATTGCTCGTGTTGCAGTATACTTAAAACGAGGCCGCCAAGACAAGGGAAACAAACCATAACATTATTTGAAGGGCCAACCTCATTTCAAAGATCTCTCTCTCCTTCTCGCCTTCTGGAGCGAAAGAGAAAGAGAGAAAGAGAGAGAGTGGGCGGGTAGAAGAGGAACTCTGGGAAAGAGGTTGTTGAGCTATAGCCCACGTTCAATATCGTTCGCGCGCGGTCTGGGAGGCCGAGCCAAGTATACCTGAACCTCAAGTAGTTATCTGAATGTCACGCGTTGATAGCTTTTAAAAGTTTTTCACTCAGTGCGGAGTCATCTATTCCATCCAAATGCCACTAATCAATAGTCAACATGAAATGAAAGGAAATGATGGTTGCACCGTTTTTGTTTCCGTTTTGGAATCTTGAACTCTTGATATGTACGCCATGTTGGATTTTCTCTTATCTAGTTTCCAGTGTTTTTCATACGTAAATCAAATGCGTCACGCAACAAGCAAAATTTGCGCGGCAACACTCGAGCAATTTATGAGCATCACTACTAGTACTATCTACGGACGAAATCCTAAGGCGTTATTACGCGTATTGATTAAAGGAGGATGCCCGTTTTGTTAACAATCAAGAGAGAATTATGTAACCGATGGTTATGCATCAATTATGCATCAATCAATTCAAAGCTTCAAATCCCCCTCCCCCACTGGACACCCTCCGAGAATTTGAACTATAGAAGATCGGTTCGCTGAACCATTCACCTCTCGGGGCCAAAATCATGTTCACATGCTTAACGTAAGGACCAGATTTGATGGTCAATTTTATTATTTTATTGTAAAAGGCAAAATCAGCGACCGTGGCTTTCTATTCATCGACTCAGCTTTAACACTTAGACATTGTGGACCTTTTCTTCTGAGCCATTTGCTCGCAAAGGTGAAGTCTTCGCCTTAAAACACCTCCATGTTGAAAGATTCCGGCTCAAATTCCCCACCCCCTGGGCACAGACGACAGTCAAATGCTCAGGGAGAGGGGAAAGGGGGTGTTGAAGCTTCGTATTGATCAGCGTAATATTCGATTTCCCTTTTTTATTAGGGGGGGTTTCCATACCCTGGACGACCGCTACCATGACCATGCTCGAGAGCTTCATTTAATATCTGCTCAGATTCGTAGTCACTGATTTCCTCGCTTCGACTTCGTGAAACTTGTTGGACTTGCAGGAAGCAGATTTCTGGTCACCAATAAACAATCAAGAAAGCATGAAGATATTCCTCAATGTGCTCTCACCTTACCTGAAAAACAGCAAAAGTTAATGTGTACATAGCATGACATGTTCTTTGAAAATCCAGTCCTAAAAAAGCCCCAGTCACATGTGGCCGCACTAAACCTTTTAAGGGCAAACAGACAAAACAGGTAGCGGTTTTATTAAGAGATACTCGAGTTCATGTTCCTCCTCTTACATGAGCAGTACAAAAGCAGAAAAAAATTAAAAATAAACAGATTTTAAACTGTGAACTAGGAAAATACTGTGATTCAGATGAAATGGGAATTATTTTCAGAAAAAAAAAGAAACATAAAACAATCTATAATAAAAACTGTTACCGCAAGAAAGAAAAAAAGCAATCTAGAGGTCAGCAACAAAGGGAAAAATTCAACTCAGAACGTATTGGGTGACATTACAAATTGGCCGGCCTGGATTTAGATGCACGCAGAGTGGCCAAGAGGTCAGAACTTCAGGGCCTGAAGATACCAAGTTTGAGGCCTAGGTTACTCTTACACAAATCCAACTTTGTTATGAATAAATGGGGTAAGTTTCTAAAGAAACTGTGGTGCAGCGTCGGTGCGAGAGTATAACGGGGTAATTTTGTATCATCAACTGAGTTGATAACGTAAATTTGCCACCATGAAGAGTTTAAAAGCTGACATTTCGAGCGTTAGCCCTTCGTCAGAGCGAAAGAAAGTTCAATTTTGCTATGCTTCGGATCATTAGCTGTAAAACCTACAGAAGGAAAAACAGCGTAGATACTTAACTTCTTTCGAAATTACTTACTCCTTAAAAGGTGAGAGTTACATCGTCACCAAGTAACACAAATGGAGCCCAATGCTTCTCATCGCTGTACAGCTCTGACTCTCGCATCTTCCTCATGGTCTGGTGAAGAGATTCACTTGCACTGAGTTTCTCGCGGATCAAGGACTTGTAGAATATGTTCATAAATGTCTTAGTAGCTCCATCATCGACAGCCCACAATGACATCAGAACTGAACGTGCACCGGATCCAAGAAAAGCGCGAGCGATCCCAACAACTCCTTCGGCTATGGAAGTCTTCCCACTAGCACTATGACAACAGCTGAGTACCACCAGCTTGGCTCTGATCCCAACCTGAGCAATGTCGTTCATTGTTAGCAAGACGTCTTCTTTCATAGGAACTCCAACCACAGACCTGTTGGGAGCAAGAGCTATTTCCCCGGCGGGTTTATCACCATGGGCAGCAATGTGCACTAAGCTCACTTCTTGGATTCTCCTCAGGACTTCCTCCTTTGTGGCCTCCTCTCCTATCAAACAGCGCACTCCCACCAACCTTGATACCATCTGCGCTTCTTCTCTGGCTTTAGGCAATGGAGACAGAGTTTTTACACTTCCATTTATCTCTACAAGGCTAACCGCTGGATCTCCGACGATCAAAGCTCCACTTTGAGAGTGGTAACTGGCTGCCGAGTCGTGAATGAGCTTCAGTGTCGTTAGTGACGGGATGAGGCGGACCCTCACAGTTTCAGAAAGGTACTTTCCATTTTCATCCTTTAACGAGGCAAATGGTGTCAAGAAAAAGCTAGGTTCTGGGGATATGATGATCTCCGGGCTGTCTATGAGATCAAAAATAGGAGCAATCAAGGCAGCGTACAACTTGACCATATCGGAAAGGCTAGTGTAAGATTTGCTTCCGATTTGTTTCATTTGCATTTTCACGGAACCTTTGTTTGGTTCTAACTTTTGTTCTCGTGAAGCCAATACATCATTTTCATACAGCGAGGCCAATGAACGATCCTCACATTGCAGGTCATCCAAAGTTGACGAAGAAGTATCCATTCCAGGCTCTTCAGTGGCACTACTTTCTTTTGATAGCTCCGTTTCCAAGTCTTCATTGACCTGTTTGAATTTTACACTTCCTCCTGTGTCGACAAACCACAAGGAGAAACTTTTCATTTTCAACGTTGCTATGAAGAGAAAGTTCTTCTTTTGTTCTTTCAAGAAGCTCTGAAGGGCATTTGGAGTTAACTCATTTTGAGTAGGATTCCTGCTGATTCCGTAATTCTTCGAAATAAGATCAACCAGGGCACGACTTCGTCCGACCTCTAGAGTGAAAAGGGCTTGGTCGAAATTCCTCTCGCAAAGAAGAAGCCACGAAAGAGATTTGTAGCAAGAAAGGTTCTGATCATCCAATAAAATCTTGTTTGTTTCATCTCTAAGGGAAGAACGAGTACTTTGGTGGATTTTCATTCCTTCACGGAAGGTTTCTGTCGCCTTCGAGAGGTTTCCCTGAGAGGAATATGCTTGGCCTAAGATGTGTAGAACATCGATTTGCGACTGATCTTTGATTCCAATTTCCTTCTTCATTTCAAGCGCTTTGTTCTGATACCAGATTGCTTTCTCGTTCTGACTTTGAGCGAAATATACACAACCGAGGACAATATAACAAGACACTTCTGTTTCTTTTTCACCTCTCTCCTCAGCAATTTTCAGTGCTTTTTCAGTATACTCAATGGCTTGTTCATATTTTCCAAGAGAAAAATTCATGGACGCCAAAGAGCTTAATTCTATTGTCTCTGCGTGTATGTGTTGGGTTTCTCTACTGATTTTTAGAGCTTTCTCTAGGTAATCGCTTGCTTCCTGGTTTTGCTCACATACACTACTGATATTAAAAAGTGTCGTAGCTAGGAACAATTTGTTTCCAGTCTTTTCGTGAGAAGTTATAGCCTCTTCTAAACATGTCTTGGTTTTTTCATATTCACCAAGATAAAGAGGCAGTTGATAGGCATTGCTTAAGCAAATTCCCAGGTGTTCGATATCCCCTATTTCTTTGCACATGTTAATAGCTTTTTCATGATAACGACCTGCTTTCTCGTAATCACCGAGGCATATATAGTGATTTGCAAGGTCACTGAGAACTTCAGCTGTTTTGACACCGGTCTCCCGGTTGATTTGTAGGGCTCTTTCGTGGTATTCGATGGCTTTTTGAAGCTGACCTAGGAGCTTATGAACCTTTCCAATGAAGTAGAGACTCTTTCCCTCTAGCACCTTGTCTTTGACTTCTAAACTAATTACATAGCTTTTTTCATAATATTCCAATGCCTTTTCATAGTCACCACGGGCCTCATAGACTCCACCAATGTTGGTATAGGACGTTCCTTCTACTCTTCTACATCCAAGTCTTCTACGAATTTCGAGTGCTTTTTCATGGAAGTTAAGTGCTTCATCAAGTTTAGACAGATAGTTATGATGCAAAACTCCCAGGTTGTTGAGGCTTACTGCTTTATCTATCTCATTTCCTGCTCTAATGCTAATCTCAAGAGCTTTCTCATAATAGCTTTTAGCTTCCTCACATCTTCCACGATAATGCTTGACCTCACCGATGTTGTTGTACACTCTTGCTTGGAGCTCTTGTCTTATGTCATTTGAGGATATTTCGTGAACACCACTGAGAACCTTTTCATAATGTTCCATGGCTCTTTCATACTGACAAGCAATGTGGAGCGATCTGCCCAAGCGGCAGTGACACCATGCCTCGTATGGTTTGGAACCAATATGACTGAAAAGGGTCAGCGCTTTTTCAAAGCATTTTATTGATTCCTTAACTTGACCGAGGTCATAACATATCTTTCCCCATTCGTAAAAGAAGAGTCCTCCCTTTGCAACTTTTTCTCGTATCACTCGTTCAATTAGAATCATCACTGGGGAAGTCTTCGTCTTTGATACAGAATTCCAAAGCGCAAGGCATTCCAAATAAAAGTCAATGGATTCAGTCCAGTGATTTGTGTTGCTTAGGAATACCGCCACAGCATACCCAATGAAGAAAGCTAATTGCGGCGGTATTTTGTCCATCTTTTTGCTTTACCCTAACAAATAAATAAAGAGAAAAACAAAAGCAAAAAATCATTTAGCCGTGTATCCTGTTCTTCTTAAGAATAGACGTAAGAATATGGCTTGCATCAAATGTGTAAATCCCGCTTAATTGTTACAGGGAGGAGCAGGCAAAAAATGCAAGCGGAATGTCGAATTCCCCGAGTTGATTGTGATGCATCTACTAATCCGGTATTTTAAGGCCACGGGAGTATGTACTTTTGAATCCCAAGGAAATTCTTGGCGGGTCATCGGTCGTTGGCTCATGGTATTATACTTCAGGAACCCATCTGTTTAAACCGATAACGCCGTCCCAACAGTGGGTGCTTATTTGCAATGGGGCAAACTAAGTATGTCCCTCTTTCCCAAACTAATCAGCAAATAGTAATCACCGACGCTCGTCAAACATGATCCTGGCAATGACCCACGTGATCAACGAACTTTTGGTAAGTAATTTTAAACTTAATGATTCTTCTCAATCATCAGAGTCAGGCAAAGATCTGCGGCTAATATTCTTGTGGGAAACTTTGATTTTTCCTCTTTCTCACGCTAGCGACCAAACGAGGAGCTTCTCTGTTCATTTTATTTTTGTCCTCCGGTCAAAAGACCTCATCTTCTCATAAATTTGGAAAGCACTTTGATGGAAGGGAATTCAAAACCGAGTTTGTTTCTATCCTGGATCTTTCAAGCAACCTGTCTTTCAAGCAACCTGCCTTTCAAGCAACCTGCCTTTCAAGCAACCTGCCTTTCAAGCAACCTGCCCCAGATGATTACCCTACTTTTCTGTCCCCATATTTTTTTGAGCTCTTAAGGGCCGGGTCGCACTAAAGTTTTTTTTTTCTCTTTTAGGTGAAAAATCTGTCAACAAAGTAGCGTAAAATGAGTGCGACCCCCAATTTGAAAAACTTGCCAAATTTTTGCGGATCACCAAATTCTCGCCAAACTGTTGTCCTGCCTGGGAGGCGAGTTTGACTAATGGTCCTGGGTCGTAGGTACAAGTAGTGGGTCGTGGGTGTGGGTGTAGGTGTAAGTGTAGGTGTGGGTGTAGGTGTGGGTGTAGGCGTGGGTGTGGGTGTGGGTGTGGGTGTGGGTGTGGGTGTGGGTGTGGGTGTGGGTGTGGGTGTGGGTGTGGGTGTGGGTGTGGGTGTGGGTGTGGGTGTGGGTGTAGGTGTAGGTGTGGGTATAAGTCGTGTCGGTAATAGTTAACAATTAATGGTTGATAGTTATGTTTAATAATGATAATATAAATAGTACTACTACTAATAATTAATTATTGTTAAGTATAGATTTTTTGGTAAAAATTAGTTTAATAAATTATGTATTACTTATATGTAGGTGAATCAATGAAATAGTAGTCTTACTGAGCTGATGAGATGATATTGGAATAAACAATAATATTTTACAGTTGACAGGAGCCAGGAGCCAGGAGCCAGGAGCCAGGAGCCAGGAGCCAGGAGCCAGGAGCCAGGAGCCAGGAGCCAGGAGCCAGGAGCCAGGAGCCAGGAGCCTATTACTGGTTCCTGACAGTTGGAGAAGGGTTGTTTAATTTGTATACATTACATCATGTTAATTAAGTCAACTTAGATCATAATTGAGGTGGTAAAGGGGGGGGGGGGGTCCTAGATCACTTTTCACGGCCATTCACGTTTCACGCAATATGAAATGGTCATTTCATGATACGAAGATAAAAGGTGTTTAATTACCTGTTGGAATAAAAAGACCTAGGGCCCAGAATGATGATTAGCTAATCACAGTCATGTTTCTACACGTGATCTTGTTTTGAGACGCTTACTGGATAGTTTTTTTGAAGGAAGAGGAACAATAACAGTTCAAGTCACGTTTCGCAAAAACAAAAACCAGTCGTCTCGCAATTTCCAGAAAAAAAGGCGATTCACTGTTCACGGCTATGTAACCAAGTCACGTTTCACGAAAAAAAAAAACCGTTCCCCTCTACAATAGCAATAATTAATTATTAGTAGAAGTACTATTAATAATATTATTGATAAATATGAACTATAACCATTAATTGTTAACTATTACGGACACGACTTGTACCCACACCCACGACCCACGACTTGTACCAGGAGCCCATTACTTGGAGCGTTCAACCCCCACACTGGCCTAGATCGACCTGATGTCACGGCATTTTCACGACCGGTTTATTTTTAGACTATCTTTTCGCGGGAAATAGGCTACTCGTATTGTTATACTTTAGTAACCCATCTATTTAACCCTTTAACTCCCAGGAATGACCAAGACAGAATTTCTCCTAACAATATCAATACAATATCAAGCAGACAAGTGATGAGAATAGAGAAAAATATCAATTAGGGGATTATTAGTTGATCCAAAACCAAATTCTTCTAGCTAACATCATAAGAATTAAATGGCAGACAGTAAGGAGAATTATAAATTAGATCTTGGGAGTAAAAAGGGTTTGGGGCAAAATAAAAGCCGTCCGTATTTCCCAAAGTAATCAGCAAATAGTACTCAGCGACGTTTGTCAAACATGAACCTGACAATGACCCACGTGGTCAACGAACTTTTGGTAAGTGATTTTAAGCTTAATGATCCCTCTCAATCATCGGAGTCAGGCAAAGATCTGCGGCTAATATTCTCATGGGAAACTTAGATTTTTTCTTTTTCTCACACTCGCGACCAAACGAGTAGCTTCTCTGTTTCTTTAGACAGTTTTGTTTATTAATTTTATTTTTGTCCTCAGGTCAAGAGACCTATCTTCTCATGAATTTGGAAAGCACCCTGATGGAAGGGAATTCAAAACCTGCCCTCCAAACGTCCCCCAGACGGTTGCCTTTCTTTTCTGTCCCCATATTTTTTAGGCCCCTAAGGCCCTGGTCGTGCTAAGGCTTTTTCAATTTTTTTGTTTAGGTGAAAAATCTGTCAACAAGTAGCGTAAAATGAGTGCGACCCCCAACTTGAAAACCTTGCCAAATTATTGCAGATCACCAAATTACCAAACTTCAAGGACTCGATGTCCTGCCTGGGAGGCCACCAAATTTTGGAAAAACAAACAATCATGTTTTTTTAACCGCTTAGCTGTTATGTTGTGCAAGACGTGTCGGTATAAAATTTCAGTGGGAAAAATATTTAGTACGCTAGTCTAGTTTGGCGCGCGATGGCAGGACTTTCCTTGTCCATTTGACCCTTTCTCTTTCGGAGGAAACGAGGCATTTGGGCACCGCTTCTATTCAAATGCTTGTGACTTGTAGCAATTTGGAAAACGGATAACTTCAACGTAAAATTTTAGCTAGCCCTCTTTCCACCGCAATTATCGAAGCCAGAACAAATAGCGCAAACGTCAACCAAAACGCAAAAGATCAGCGCAAAACATGTCCGTTCCTGCGTTGTACTGATTCAACGAGATGGGTTTGTGATTGACTTATGAATCAATCAGCGAATGTTTGGTCAGAGAACACTAGCTTGATGCGACCGCCGCCAAAATTTGGAAAATGCGGAAAGTTTGCCAAGTTTTGACGCGTGAAAAATTAGAAATATATTTGAATTCGCTCTTATACGACCCGGCCCCATTTAACAGGCTCGATTTCCACCGTTTTCACGTGTCCGGTCTTCGATCTTCCAGAGGAGGAACCTTTGGGGCTGAACGCAGGCTCATTTCCCCAACAGTGGCTGGTAATCGAACCTAATTTTAAAGGTCATCCATTTTTTATGAGATCTGACAGAAAAGTCTTATTTCTATTAAAATTTTGACGTCTGATTTATTAACGGAAACACGCACAGACCCAAAACTGAGGCAGATTGTTGACTGTTCAATATTCTCCAAAACCTTGATATCTTGAATTTAGGCTTTTAGTGACTTAGATCTTCGTTTTTACCACGGTGTGGCAGTGAAATTTAAGAGCCTCCATCAGACTCGAGTCATTCGGAGAAGTCGATGAAAAGTTCTTCACGAGGTCAGTATAATGAAGCATGAAAACTGCCAACTGCACACAGGTCGGGTACCAAAACAGGTTAATCCTTTAGCCCCTAAGAGTGATAAGCATCTAATTTCTCCTTACTATGTCAGCTCTTAATCAAACGTGAAAGTCATGAGGAAAGAGAAGATGATTACCAACTTGAGCAGCTCTTGAACAAATTAAACAAATTCTCATTGTTGGCCGCTTTGGGAGTGTATAGAGAACAGTATGGAGAATATTTATACTGATATTAGGGTGTAAAGGGTTAACACCGCCCAGACAGAGAAAAAAGACACTTTCTTTTAATGGATCTTCAATAAGAGGAATGTTCCTCGCTCATTTCTGGAAACGAGTTTTTTAAGCGAACTGATATGAATACACTCACTTATAAACATCGCATCTTGTCTTCAAAGACATTTACAAATGTTTCCACTTCGATCGCAAGTTAGTAGTACAAGTAAAGACCCGTTGATATATGATACCGAGACAAATATGTGGTTCTGGACCACATGCAAACACAAATCAGTTTAGTAATCCAGTCTTTTTCTTCGTACTTCAGCAATAAACCAATCGAAGTTAACTTTTTCAGTTTTTTTTAAGTGCAACCCAACTCTTTCTCTCATTCAAACGTAATTTACCAACAACCTCCACAATATATTCACTTGTGAAAGTCAACTCACCTTATCAAAGATGTCACTCTTGCCAATTTAACCTCTCAAACTATAACACTCATAATCAGTCAAGCAGCTTTCATAAAATAAAGACGTTTTCAGCCATTTCGACGCTTTGTTACGATATGGAAGCCTTTGGTTGATGGTGATAGAGGAATTGGTAGTGTTGCGAATTAAAACCTTATCGTTATGGTAGATGAAACCAAGTCATGTGAACGGAAACTGTCTGACATCATTTCGTCTTTGTTTAGCGTGACCTCTGGAAATCCTGATTATGGTAATCAGCATTAACTTTGAATTACTTGTAAAGATCACGCCAACCACGGAAGCTTTGATAGTGATCTCTCCGATATAATGATAGAAAGCACGAGGGAAGATTGCAGGAAATGTAGCATCTAAAACAGAATTGTGGAGACCGCTAAGGTCTGCTAAGCTTTTAGTTGCAGAAGTCACCTTTAATTTATACGATTGTGTTTTCGTTGTGTGACTAAAACAAATGATGTGACCGAACTGTCGTTTTCCAACCTCTTGAATAACATGAAAAGTAAATCCTCTTTCGGAAGAGGCAAAAATTTCCGGGTGTAAAGAAGGAAGAACAAGAACAAAACCATCGTTTATCCAAGTGGCATGTATATTTTAACCATTCGCAATTTTAGTTGAAGAAATTTGTAGAAGGAGAGTTTATCTGCAATGAGTAGGATCTATATAGGATCAAAATTTAATCTAATAGAGGATAGAGAGGAATTTGAAAGCCTGGGCATGGATTAGATACAAGCACGACATTATGTTACCAGAGCCTCCTCATGTATGATAAATAACGCGTATGATTTCAGCCCAAATTGCACTCCACTCAGTTCAATTACCATTATTAATGATCCCTCTCAATCATCGGAGTCAGGCAAAGATCTGCGGCTAATATTCTCATGGGAAACTTAGATTTTTCCTTTTTCTCACACTCGCGACCAAACGAGTAGCTTCTCTGTTTCTTTGGACAGTTTTGTTTATTAATTTTATTTTTGTCCTCAGGTCAAGAGACCTCATCTTCTCTTGAATTTGGAAAGCACCCTGATGGAAGCGAATTCAAAACCGAGTGTTGTTTCCATCGTGGATCAGTGTCAACTGCCCTCCAAACATCCCCCAGACGGTTGCCTTTCTTTTCCGTCCCCATATTTTTTTAGGCCCCTAAGGCCCTGGTCGTGCTAGAGCTTTTTTTTATTTTTTTCTTTAGGTGAAAAATCTGTCAACAAGTAGTGTAAAATGAGTACGACCCCCAATTTGAAAACCTTGCCAAATTATTGCGGATCACCAAATTTTCGCCAAACTTCAAGGACCCGATGTCCTGCCTGGGAGGCTACCAAATTTTGGAAAAACAAACAATCATGTTTTTTTAACCGCTTAGCTGTCATGTTGTGAAAGACGTGTCGGTATAAAATTTCAATGGGAAAAATATTTAGTACGCTAGTCTAGTTTGGCGCGCGATGCCAGGACTTTCCTTATCCATTTGACCCTTTCTCTTTCGGAGGAAACGAGGCATTTGGGCACCGCTTCTATTCAAATGCTTGTGACTTGTAGCAATTTGGAAAACGGATAACTTCAACGTAAAATTTTAGCTAGCCCTCTTTCCATCGCAATTATCGAAGCCAGAACAAATAGCGCAAACGTCAACCAAAACGCAAAAGATCAGCGCAAAACATGTCCGTTCCTGCGTTGTACTGATTCAACGAGATGGGTTTGTGATTGATTTATGAATCAATCAGCGAAGGTTTGGTCAGAGAACACTAGTTTGATGCGACCGCCGCCAAAATTTGGAAAATGCTGAAAGTTTGCCAAGTTTTGACGCGTGAAAAATTAGAAATATATTTGAATTCGCTCTTATACGACCCGGCCCCATTTAACAGGCTCGATTTCCACCGTTTTCACGTGTCCGGTCTTCGATCTTCCAGAGGAGGAACCTTTGGGGCTGAACGCAGGCTCATTTCCCCAACAGTGGCTGGTAATCGAACCTAATTTTAAAGGTCATCCATTTTTTATGAGATCTGACAGAAAAGTCTTATTTCTATTAAAATTTTGACGTCTGATTTATTAACGGAAACACGCACAGACCCAAAACTGAGGCAGATTGTTGACTGTTCAATATTCTCCAAAACCTTGATATCTTGAATTTAGGCTTTTAGGTTTTTACCACAGTGTGGCAGTGAAATTTAAGAGCCTCCATCAGACTCGAGTCATTCGGAGAAGTCGATGAAAAGTTCTTCACGAGGTCAGTATAATGAAGAATGAAAACTGCCAACTGCACACCGGTCGGGTACCAAAACAGGTTAATCCTTTAGCCCCTAAGAGTGATAAGCATCTAATTTCTCCTTACTATGTCGGCCCTGAATCAAACGTGAAAGTCATGAGGAAAGAGAAGATGATTACCAACTTGAGCAGCTCTTGATTGTTAAACAAATTCTCATTGTTGGCCGCTTTGGGAGTGTATAGAGAACAGTATGGAGAATATTTATACTGATATTAGGGTGTAAAGGGTTAACACCGCCCAGACAGAGAAAAAAGACACTTTCTTTTAATGGATCTTCAATGAGAGGGAATGTTCCTCGCTCGAACTGATATGAATACACTCACTTATAAACATCGCTTCTTGTCTTCAAAGGCATTTACAAATGCTTCCACTTCGATCGCAAGTTAGTAGTACAAGTAAAGACCCGTTGATATATGATACCAAGACAAATACATGGTTCTGGACCACATGCAAACACAAATCAGTTCAGTAATTCATTTTTTTTCTTTGTACTTCAGCAATAAACCAATCGAAGCTTTTTCAGTTTTTTTTAAAGTGCAACCCAATTCTTTCTCTCATTTAAACGTAATTTACCAACAACCTCCACAATACGTTCACTTGTGAAAGTCAACTCACCTTATCAAAGATGCCACTCTTGCCAATTAAACCTCTCAGACTATAACACTCAGAATCAGTCAAGCAGCTTTACATAAAATAAAGACGTTTTCAGCCATTTCGACGCTTTGTTACGATATGGAAGTCTTTGGTTGATGGTGATAGAGGAATTGGTAGTGTTGCGAATTAAAACCTTATCGTTATGGAAGATGAAACCAAGTCATGTGAACGGAAACTGTCTGACATCATTTCGTCTTTGTTTAGCGTGACCTCTGGAAATCCTGATTATGGTAATCAGCAATAACTTTAAATTACTTGTAAAGGTCACGCCAACCAAGGAAGTTTTGATAGTGATCTCTCCGATATAATGATCAAAAGCACGAGGGAAAATTGCAGGAAATGTGGCATCTAAAACAGAATTGTGGAGACCGCTAAGGTCTGCTAAGCTTTTAGTTGCAGAAGTCACCTTTAATTTATACGATTGTGTTTTCGTTGTGTGACTAAAACAAATGATGTGACCGAACTGTCGTTTTCCAACCTCTTGAATAACATGAAAGTAAATCCTCTTTCGGAAGAGGCTAACATTTCCGGGTGTAAAGACGAAGAGCAAGAACAAAACCATTGTTTATCCAAGTGGCATGTATCTTTTAACCATTCGCAATTTTAGTTGAAGAAATTTGTAGAAGGAGAGTTTATCTGCAATGAGTAGGATCTATATAGGATCAAAATTTAATCTAATAGACGATAGAGAGGAATTTGAAAGCCTGGACATGGACCAGATACAAGCACGACATTATGTTACCAGAACCTCCTCATGTATGATAAACAGGATAAATTCAGTCCAAGTTAGGCTTCGTTTTCAGCGGTAAAAAACTCACCACAAGACATACCAGACCTGAAAGGGCTTACATCTTTCCAGAAGACGTCGCAGACGGGAGTTAAAATAACAGGAACAAGCTTGGCTTAGAGTGGGCGTAATTTTATAGTTAGCTTGACATCGAGAATGTGATGAAAAGAACTTCCTAAAAACTTATCGAAACAGTAAGGGCTCCTTACATCAACCATATTTGGCAATACCTCCTACGTATCATTGACGTTGACAGCCAATAGTACAGCCTAATGTTTTCATACTGCTCCCATTTCTAGTTATTTTTTATACATGTCACCAGGTACCTTTTCTATACTTAAAATGCACCCTGGTCTTACATCTATAATAAAAGTGCTTCTTACGTCACAAGATTTGACGATCGATGACGTTTCCGCGGTATTTTCGGATGTTTACTTAACTCCACATTTGTGAACCCCAGCGTAGCATTACCAGAATTTTCTTGGCCTTCTATCTTAAACGCCTCCTCCAATTCAATTTTTTGGTGAAATTGCAGCTACTTAGAGAGAGTAATTATTTCCCGTCTTAGATCAATTATCTACCTCTACATGAATTCGACATTCTCCATATAAGAGAGATAACATCTTGTAACTTGACTCAGTCCAAACAAAACCAGGTGATACTCATAAACGACGTACTGCGGAGAACCACGGTAAAAATCAAGGTAAATTTTTTCATTTAAAATTTGTTGTATCTCATCTTACATTCCTACTTTACCGCAGGCACGGTAAAAAAAAAATTACGCTTAAAATTTATTCTAGGATTTTACTTTATTTTGATTAGGTATACCTTGTATGTTTCCGCCATGTTTCATTACTTTGTCCAAAATAAGAGAAAAGATTCAGAACGTTGGAAAAACAAAGTCAGCTTTTCACCAACAGATTTCGCGTCAGATAGATAACCTATCTTCACCTTGATTATTTTCCCAAAGCGACGACTAGCTGCCGCATAAGAAAGAGAAGTATGTTTTGTTTATGTGAATTATATCAAATTATGCGTGCAGGCATTGTTTTTTCGACCATTATCCTTGGGCGTTTTGGTTTTTCTTCATTGTAGTTCTCTTTCGAGTTTATACGGAATCAAATCTAGAAGAACTATCACGAAAATGACACGTTCCACATAGTCATTCAAACACTTTTATAAAAAGGGATGAATTTTGAAACTTATGTTGCAAGAGCTTTATTTATGCTCATTTACATCAAGAAAGAAAATGTTTCTTTTCTGAAACATTGTTTAGCCATGCATGGATATTAATGAGACTTACTCGTTAAATGCGTTATTGAGAATAGTCAGTACCGACATTTTAAGTAGTCACAAATACTTTGTGTAATGAAGACCATTTTTCGGTGACACATCATGCACTTTAGATGTTTTAAAACTCACTGTAATGTGTTTTTAAGAGTCTCCTCAATTATGGACGCAATGAAAAAGCCAGATAAACTTGTTCAACATCCGTTAAATTTGGCTTTCGTATTTGCTCATTTATTTCACTAAACAAGATACCTATGTTTTCACAATAACCATTATTTGATTCAGAAGTATCAACAAAAATGTCGATCAGTAAAAAAAACCTAAATCGCAAGGCTATCATTTAGTAAAGATCTGGAAGGTAACAAGATATTTGGATATCAATGTTAAACTGAAATTAGGAATATTCTATTGAACTTGGATCATTGATGGCGCATGGCATGAAGAAAACGATCGAGTTTTTTTTTTTAATTCTTCTATTTTTCCTTTATTTTCATTATAAGTTTGATTGCTTAAAATTTAACGACATTATTTTTTTAGTGCTCAAGCTTTCATTTTTATCCCTTTTCCCTTAAATAGAGTGAACGAGAGAGACGCAAGTGATGTCTTCAGTGAAAAATAGCCCTTTTGTCACTTACGTAACGTGAATAACCAAATTGCGTTTGCAAAAACTTAATATCCTGTCATAAAACAAGATAAAATAAGCCGACCCGCACTACAGCTGCTGATATGACTTAAACTGAAATGATCTTTTCTCAATTTGAATTTCACATGAATTTTTTTCGCTAGCCTGTTAAGGTAATCTGCAATTTGAACGCTTGTTACCAGGTACTCGGTAATACTCCAAAAGTCACAAAGGAGGTTCTCCTGTTTAAATGTATCTCAAGGTGGTATTTACCAAGATATGTAAAAATATTTTTCACCATTTACAGCGAGAAATCTAAAAAAATACGCAATGAGGGCAAAACCTCGATAGCTGTGACGGAATATAAAATATGTACCGCGGTGTCGGTCATTATTAGGTTTAATGTTTGTCATTCCCTCTACATTTTCAGCGCAAGTAAGAATCGAAAAAATATTTTGAGCGGTTGGCGGAAACGAATGGTGAAGGAATAGCAACTAGATACCTGCATGTATGAGGTAGGATCTAAGTTTCGTATTGGATTTCTTAATTTTTTCTTTTTTTTTACTCCAACAACGAGAAAATGAAGAAACGTTAGCACATTTTTTCTATTGTATTTTCAAGTAAGTGAAAAAGTAGAAGCTAATTTGCGTTTCGCGCGTAGAAATTTAATAATTGCCATTTTGGCTGCACGTTTAGGACGAAAGAAAATGTTTCATTGTTTTACGGTGTACACTCTTTTTAACCCTAAGCAAGTTTTCGGATTTTAACCCCAAGATTTAAGTTACACTTTTTTCGAAATTCTTTAAGTTCCGCAATGAGTGGTCGAAAGTATACAACATCCAAGCTGATGCTAGTTTGCGACTCGTGGCGTAAAGCAATTTCGTCCAATATCTCCTCTGCGAATCAAGAACCTTTCATCTCAATTCTTGTTTACAAAATTCGCCCAGGGATGCATCATTGGTAACAAAGAAGCTTTTTGACGGTTGAATAAGCCAATTCTAAAGAGATGTTATTTTACAGTTATTCGTAGGCTTCAAGTAGCGCTTTTGATTATTTTCAGACAAAATTTTGCACTTTTAATTTTATTTTTTAAGCTCACTTTGGTGTCAAAACAATCCCATAACGGTGGTTATAACAGTGTCACTTTGCGCGTAAGAGTGTACACGTAGTTTATTGTTTTTATTTGATTAAATAAAACTTAAAAATAGCTTTTCTAGTTCGTTTGCATCTATCCTCGGCTCCCAAAAACTTATTAAATTTACGGGAAAACAGCTAATTTTCCATCAAATGCTGTGGTTGATGATAGCCTCCATTCTGTCATAAGACGCATCATTGATTTTCGCGAAATCACCCCCACTGAAAAGGGATCGCCAGGGTACAACATTGATGGAAGAGTACACTGACCTTTCTCTTTGTAGATGCGGGTTAATAAGCAACAAATATCTGAAATATTACGTAATGTTACCTCTTGTTCTTTTGTTCATGGGCATATCATGGACCATACACGCTTGGGCACCTCACTGAAAAGCGTCTCGGGTAATTCACTTGGCTGTCGCAACAAAGTTCTCCTCATACCTTTGGGGCGATTTTAGACAGTTTAACACGCGAAATGGCAATTTTGCGTATCCACAACGCTTTTCAATTCAAAATTGGAGTCTTAAAATGAAATATTGAAATGAAATATTCCGTAATTATTTCATTCGAGGCGTTTATAACTTCCCAAACAATAACTTCCTCACATGTGCCATCTCATAGGTAGCAAAAGGTAAGTCACATGGCCGAGTTCGCTTAAGAAAGAAATTCTTAAAATATTTGACCGTGAAAGAAAATGGATATTCACAAAGTGTTCCCTTACTGGTGGTGGTCGTGGAAAAAAAACATATTTAGAAAAATGTTCAGAAAAAGTTCCAAGCAAAGGGCAAGCCCTAACCTCTTAGGACGGGAAATTCTAATATCAATTTTTCAATCTTCACATCCTTATGCAGGGCAGTTGTACGCGTGTCGCGAGCGTTTACGCACATACGGATCTTCGTGCCTTCGGGAACCTCTTAGATCAGTGAAAGTGTGTCCACCCATCTGTTGACGGAAAGCATATATTGTGGTCAAAACAGTTTGTCTGATAGAGTTCTGCTCTTTGCCTTTTAAAAATTTGTACAACCTAAAATAGAAAGTGAAAAACTTCGAAAACAAAACCTCTTTTAACGATTGCGTTTTGCCTGGCCACCAGCTGTCAAGATTCAACTCCAGGTATTAGTTTCCTCACACATTTCGTCTGACTCACGCGGCGAATTCCACTGTGAGAACTTTGGAGGTAATGCCCGTACACCATCAAAGATATAGGGGTGCATTGTATATGTGTTTTGATCTTCTAACATTAATCTAAATCATTCTCACAAAGAGAGAGCCCCTTTATTTTCTTTTAAAGGTAGAGACTTATTCATAGCTAGCGTTCTCCCATTTCTTGATCCATGATACTGCTTTCTGGCAAACTGTAATGGCATTTCAGAGTCATCTGAGAGTAATGAAGTAAAGTCACCAGACTTCCTTGGGTTTTTCGTTGGGGAGTAATCCACGACAATTGCGCACTTCACCTTCGCTTATGTCTATGCTTTTGGAAAACTTCCAAGGAAAAAAACCCTCCTTCCAATATGAAAGCTTCACGTACAGGAGTTTTCATGTTCTAGTGGACTTACAAGAAAACGAATGCTGAAAAAGGGAAAAATAATCGAGATTACAAGAAACGTTTAAAAGATTCTTGCCCTCGTGTTTCAACTGATGTGATGCAAATTGTTGTAAGTGGCCTTTCCGAAGTCCGACGAAATCCTGTCGTGATTGTGAAGCTATCCCGGATGAGACTCCGCTCTGTCATTTGTGCGATACTTATTAGTTCCGAGGATTTATCTTTTAAGGGAAAAAAAAAACCTACGTTTAGTAATCAATTCGACAAATTGAAGGGCTTATAACATTGGATTAAAAGTTTTCCTCAAATGAGAAAAAAAAGGAGAGAAACCAAAATAACTACGACGGAAATAAATTCAAAGCCATGAACATGGAGAACCCTAAATGAGAGGACATGTCAAAGTTTGACAAAAAAAAAACAGGAAGTTTAGTTATTTCACGATTATTGTCGTAAACTTCCTTAAGCCTGCGGGGTGTAGTTAGGAGCCCAAACATTTGGAAATATCCACAAATCTTTAAAACCAAACCGCAACGGGATACTCTAAAAAGCATTGGTTTTTAATTTGGACGCTGTACTACACAAACGGCACGAAGTTACAGTGATTACACGTTTCTAGCCTTGTTATGCACCCCCCCCCCTCCCCCCTCTTTTTTTCCAATCGAATATGTAGCCTAGCTTGCAATAATGTTTGCGACTTATTCCTTGGCCGGAAATAAACGACGCTTACAGCTTCGCTTTGATAAGCGTGAACATGTAATAGAGTGAGGGAAACAATCTCAATAATGAACAATTCTAATAAAGGACGTTTTTTTTTTATATACTTCGTAACCATCAACACAGCACCCGACTAAACAAGCTTAGTATTTCATGCTTTTTAATCAAGTCAAATAGATTTTGAGAAAATGGCTTTCCCATCATTTTTATCTCCACAATGAGATGAGAAACTGGCAGCAAAGTTTCTTATGTAAATAAATATTATCATTCACATTGCCATTTAATAACTGAAAGGGGTTTGTCTAGGCCTGTTTTGATGAAAAAATAAAGGAAGATCATCCAAAATTTCATAAAGCTTGACTTTGTCAAATATATTTGAGCAAGAAAGAGAACCACAGAGGAAAAGGCAGTATGCATGTTCTAAAAACACATATTTATTTCAGCGTAAACTGGTACCTTACTACTGATTTTGTTCCATATTTTGAAGGAAAAAAACGAGCCGACGTTATCGTTACTGACGCACTCTAAAAATATCTTAAGAAAATAATAATAAAAAAACGCCTCAAAGCTCGAATATATAACTACGATGGTGAAGTTAGGTATGGAGGAAACCTCGACGATAAAATATCCTCTTTCAAATTTTAAAATGAAATAAAACCACAAATCGTTGAGAAACATGGAAAACGTTACATCTCTGATAAACAAAACTTCTTACTACCCCTCGCTGCAATAGGTAGCTATTTTAACATTACAGGTGGCTCTTCCTTCTAGTCGTAAAACTGAAAAAAATTTATAAATTCAGACATCCACCCAACAGGAAATAAATAAAAACTTTGATTAATTGTTTTGACCGGAATGAGCTATCACTGTAAAAGAGATTGATAAAGCTGACCAGGCCATTCTTAATGAAATCATTCCCTTAAGTTTGTGCTCGAAGGATCGGGAATTAGTAACTGCAACCGTGAGACAACTCAGAGACATAACGTCTTCATAATCATTTTTTAAGCAGGATAACCACAAAATCCAATGATATATTGAGTTTTGACTAGAAGATATTCGACCTCGCATCATTTTTTCTGCAGGTGAGTCTTCCTAAGCACAACAGAAGTTATCTAAGGTAGAAAAGAGCGATCGGGATTTATTCCTTTTAATCGAAAATTGCGCCTGAACTCTTTGCTATCTTACTAATAGTGTCACCTTTCCCCGCTGCAATTTAAATTCAGCTATTCAACTGAATGCTATGATTCAAGTCCTGATTAAAACCATCATGATTGTTCACTCAAAAAGAGGCTTTAGGTTTGAGATGCCAAACGATCGAATTTGCTTTTTTATCTTCAGGATATTATCGCTGTTACCTTAAACATTTTTTCCTTTATGGCTGATATATTTTCTTGTGGGAGCGCGTAGGAAGCTCTCCTTTTAAGCATTTAAATGTGATATGTAATTGATAAGGCTTTCAGTACTCACTCAGAAACAAAATTGCAAATGTAAACTAATTCTGAGGTCGGAACACGGATGTTCAGTATCCATTAGTTGACCGGACTGGTTAAGGGAGCAAAAAATTAGTTTTTCTTTCGTCTACGCGTGAAAAAAACTCATGTATAGTAACCGAGTTTTAAACAGCTTGTAAGCAGCTGGGACTAAACGCGACCAAAAAATTGATATTTTAGCCCAGAATTTGTCTTCCAAGAGCCTTCTGCCGCCTCAAAAACTCGTTTTTAATTAAAAAGCGACAGACAGGATGCCAGGTCATGAAAGAACTTCGTTTATCTTCCTGTAGAGTAGTGATGAAAATATGGTCACTTGAGGCTCCATAACTTTTTTATTCGCTACTCTTCTCTTCCTTTAAGGCTCCAATTGACAGTCGAATGTAACTGGCTCTTTTACAAGCTGTTTTCAATCTAGATTTCCTTTCAAGTTTTGCCCATTAGATCTTTAGAGTTCCAGGTTTAGGATAAGCAGATATCGTGATGTAAATTTTTTTTTAAATGATCTTTGAACGTAGAGGAAAAAATCAAGTCAGACAGGATATTTGCAATGGCAATTTTTCAACTGTAGAGCAGAGCCTTTTCAAAATTTACCATTAGGAAGGAAACAGAAGGGAAGCAAATCTAAATATGATAAAATCCCTGTCACTTGATGCTCGGAATACAAAAAGCATATTTGACTAATACAACGTTACTTTGTCAGAACAAGATAATTTTGTGCCAAAATAGTCCACCTACCATGCAATTTTAATTTGTTCTGCCTATATACGGATAATTTTGAAACAGAGGGGAGTGCCATGCTTTTCCTAGAGCCTCTGATGATAATGAAGTAATCTCCTGAAGCCTTAATTCATGCATTATTCATCTTACTATTGAGCACGGAAACATCGCTCGCACCTAGCATAATATACGAAATGCGAAACTTAAATGAATCAAGATATCTTTTCGATTCAATTTCGATACCAGATGATGTTCTTCCATTCAAATAGGTAAAAACCTCCATCAAGTTGTTGTATTTTTTTTGACAAGTTGTTAATTGCTTCGCACACAAACTTTGCACCGTCAAAATAACCCTTACATTTTGTATTATGAGCACGGCGTTAATCGCCTGTATTGCTCCTGGATCCAGATTTCTATCGCTGGCGACTGTAAAGGATGCGCAAAACAATTAACATTTACAATACTAGAAAATGGCGAAAATGTGGTGGCGACACCAAAAAATATTTAAAAGCAGGCTTAAAATAACTTTTCCTAAATACAGTTTTCTTAAACAAAATCCTAGTTTCCGCCTTTAAAGGAAAAACTCTTATTATTTCGGTTAAAAGCCAAATTTGTTCATAGCTTGGCAAGGGGAAATCATATTTGTCACGCTTATAAATCAGGACATATTTCCCCTTGCAAATTAACAATATGTTTACATTAAAGCATTGTCCAATGCCTACGAAAATAGACAGCAGACATTTGAACACCTTGCTTTGCAAACAGGCAATACAGTTCATTTCTTTCTTCTTGGAGAGTAGCAAGCGAACTCGACAAGGTAACTGACAATCGATGGCAAAAATCGATAGGCAGTGATCCCTAAAATGAAACACACTTAAATTACGAATCGAAATGTTTCGTCGATAACCAGACTACCCCAGAACAATAATAGCACTGATTTAAACGGTTTGAGTCCTGATTTTTTTGGTAAAAACTGTAAGATTAAAGGACCTGACAAACACATTTGTTTTGCTGAAAAGAAAAAAAAAATGAATGACTGCCCTGACAAACACATTTATTTTGCTGAAAAGAAAAAAAAATGAATGACTGTGACTTGTATTTTTTTAACCTATCAAGTGTAGTTATATTACAGACGATCGTTTTCGTCGTGCATCCATATGACACCAAAAGTGATGTGATAAACACAGAAAGAAAGAAATCTGGTTATTTTCTCTTGATACAGGATGAACACATTTCTACTTTTACTGGCATTTTTTGCGTTCTGTCGATGTTACTGTCGTGGAGAGATCACGCAAATGAGGAATCTTTCCAGCTGGACTCCGTGTTCTTCACAGTGTTGGTGCGCGCACGATGACAAGAATCGTGTCTATGGAAGATGTGTCGTGAACAAACTGGAGGAGCCGGTAGAATTCAACTCTTCCAGGCAACTCCACTTTTTGTAAGTAATGAGTGAGACACTTAAAACAAAAAATTTAGAGGATCATAACTCGGTTATGCCGTTATTGAAACTTTAAAGCGAAGAACGTATCGTAGAGCACTCTTGCATTGCTACGCAAATGATTGTTAAGAAAAAAAAATTTATAAAATGTAAGCGATGGCTGAAACACTTCCTGACCAGAAATACAGACTAAGCGACTTGCTTTTCTTTTTAAGTGTTAGTAGCCTGCACTGGAGAACGCTTCGTAAAAGAAGATCAGTTATCTCAAAACTTTGTTGCATGCTCCAGGCAAGGGAGAATGAATAGGTGTAGTTAATTTGTTTCATGTCTTTTTAAATGCAATGTTTAGACTACATTCAACGCTTTGAGGCTTCCTCTTATTAAAGTTTAATCCCTACGAACTATCCCCGTTAATTTTTCCCTTTTGAAAGAAGAAAATATCAATTGAAAACCGTAAACATCGATAATAATGACCTCGGTTTTGTCGCACTAAATACTAAAGCACTTCTATGGTCCATATTATTAAGAGAGATTTGCACATTTTCAAGGAATGTTCTATGAAATCCATAAACAATTGAGAATTGACAGCAAGACTAAGAGGCTTGAATTAAGAGCACAACCACCTTTAAGAACTCTGAAATATCATGAAAGCTTCACGGATTACTGCACGCGGTTTTAAAACACGGAGCGCCGGAGCAGGGAACAGCGCAGTGATTAGGGTGCTTATATTCCTCACCACTAATCTCAGTTTATGGTTAATTCGCGTTCTTGCTCCAGGGGTGTTTTCCCCCGGATTCTCTGGTTTTCCTCCCCCTACAAATAAAAAAACATTCCGAATTCCCATTTGATCTGTAAACAGTGGATGAAGAAGCACCTTGAAGATGTACTTCGAGGTAATTCCTCCAAAATCTAATTTACCAACGAAAGTTTCTTATTTCCGCCGAAGTGACTTGCCCCCGCGTTATGTCGCAGTAATATGTCCGCTTATCTATGTTCAATTATTTATTAAATTCGCCTTTTTAAGATCATTGATAATGGGTGTCCGCAAGGACACTGTCATTAACTCGAAAGTGAGATTTGTTTGATATAACAGCAATTTTTCGATCCGCAGGTCCTTTGCTGATAATGGAATCAGAGTAATACCAAGGGACATCTTTACAAACCTTCACAACCTCGAGTTTCTGTAAGTGCCCGCGCTATGATTAATGTTTTGTGCGAGGTTCATTGCAGTGTAAAAGCATTTTTTTTTTGTTTTTATTGGCTGGGCCTCATCAACGTCTTAAGACCTTAGGTGGGGACAATTAATTCATGGTATATGAGTCACGACAGACGCATTCCGACGGGATTCGGGTACTTTGTAATAATCCCCTATGACACTGCATAGGATTCTCACAACATAGTAACACAACGTTTACTTATTTAGTATATTTGCTGATCTGATTTATAACTGTCAGATGCAACAAAGCGATATTTTTTTACGTAGTTTACGTATTTTCCACAAAGAGTCGAATATCTCATTTGGAATTAACCAAAGAGAAATGTTTTTCCTTTCAGATCTTTGTCAAACAACAGCATTGAAATCATCAACGAACATGCATTCAAAGGCTTGACTAACCTGCGTATCTTGTAAGTTTTTTAATGAATACTTTCCTAACTAATTTTTGGTTAAAATACTGGAACACTTGTACAGAGCAACGGACAGGCATGTGATGAGACTGAATTCCCCTTACAGCCTCTATCCCTAAAGAAACCTTCCCATGGACGTAGGTATTAAATCCACAGGGAATAATGCTCCGTGAACTGTGCACGCTGCTTGCTTGTCTTTGATGGTGAACGGATAGATGTCCAAAAGAAAGCAAAGATCGCAACAAAAAATTGGTTATTTTCAGGTCTTCCTTAGATCTCCGAAAACGAGACAGTCGTAAAATAACATGCATATGAGGAATTCTTTTGGGAATGATACTAATATGAAGGATCCAGTCTTTTCGCTTCATCCTCTCTCACGTAAATCCTACCTCGTTTTCAGGTAATTTCTATGACGTACCAGCCTGATTGTTCGTTATTCGTTACAAAGAGAAAGTACTCTTTTTATTAAACAAAAGTTCATTTTATTCAAAAGAAGTAATTTTTCATAATCTAGAGATCTCCAAAACAACAATCTGAAGGAATGGAACGGGGATCCCACAGGAGACATGCCATTTCTTGAAGTTCTCAAAATTAACGGCAACGAGGGCTGGATACCCAATCAGCATATCCTTCACATGCCCGAACTCAAAGAGATTCTTGGGGTTACGTGGAGCTCGCACTGCTCTGCCTGCGACCTCCTTAAGATTCCCGAAAATGAAACAATGTCAGGAGATGAGGAAATGGGAGATTACGAGGAATTCAGTGGAAATGGCTTGAGTGGGGAAGGAGAGATAAGCGAGATGAAGTGTCACGTAACTCTCGAGGAGTTTTACTACTACCCTAAGGCAGTAAATTATGGAGTTTCTGCGCAATTTGTGAGACAAGGCTTCTCGCCACAATGTTTCTGTGACTTCAGCTCGGATTGCTACCACCGCGATGTCGTTGTACCGTATTTAACAAAGTTGTACGACTTTCCTCGAAAACTGTTCCTTTCACAGTATGCCTTAGGAGGATTGATTGTTGTTCTCAACATGTCTGTTCTCATTGTGATTATGACGTCAAGACTGTTAAGGAATAACATTTCATTCGTCTTGGTTGGCAGTATGGCGTTAAGCGATATTCTGATTGGTGTTCACAGCGTGATGATCGCCAAATACAACATATTCAGTGACTCAAACGTTAAGCCGCGAGTTGTTATGGAAACGGACACCTCCACCTGCACATACATGGGCATGGTATTCACTATAGGCCAGGTTACAGCTGTATTCACCTCTCTCATGCTAACTGTAGAAAGATATCTTGTCATAGTGTACTTCCAGAGATGCAGAGGCAAGGTTAAAACCAGAACTTTGCTCATCATTTTAATTCTTGTGTGGACAGGAGCGATCACCTTTGCGAGCTTGCCTTTGTTTGGCGTAAGAAAGCTAGAATATCACAGATGGTTCCAGTGCACGATGCCCTTCCATACAGGAAAACATCTGTTACAAACATCTAACATAACTTTAAGCATCTCGGCCATATTTGTACTTCTTTACCTTATCAGTCTAGGACTTTACATTTTGATATTCTGCTATGCAAGGAGATCCAGCATGCAGTTCGGCATTAAACGTGAAGCGAGACTAGCGAGGAAAATAGCAGTGCTGGTGTCATCAAATTTTATCCTATTCACTTTACCAACTGTTCTACTGCTAGTCTACGTATATTCCTTCTCTGAAATTCTTGACGCTGCCGAGTCATTCCCGAGCATGCGTTCTTTATTCATTATTGGTGGTTGGCTTCCAGTCACCTGTTTTAACCTGAATTCGCTGGCGAACCCGTTTCTCTATCCATTCAGACACCGTCGATTCAAGAAAGAAATACGTTCGATACCCCGCAGGTTACGCAACAGTGTCAGTCATTCGTTTTACCCAGTGTTCGCCACGGCACAGCACTTCAGCTTGCGCACATCTGCACGTAGCCACCAGTTGCGTCAGCAGTTCCATTCCTTCGCGCCTCGAAGGGAGGGTGAGAACTCACTACACGTTGATGCAGATGTTAGACATGGTCGTGGACGAACTGCAACAGTGTAAGACTTTTGTTCCACTCAATGTGAGTTTATTTCGAAGCCATAGAACATCGCCGCAAATTAAATTATCATGCAGCCCGACATCAGCAATGCAGCTTTAGGATTTGTACCCATAAGGGACATACCATATATTGTTGCGACCTTTTTGCATTTATGGAATTATAAAAAGACTTTAAAAAAAATCAGTTGGCAGATACGCCCTAGCACGCGTGCAATTACGGACTTTCGTGAAAGCCGTCAAAACATACATCTTTACGAGAAAAAAAAGGAAAAACACAGCTATAGAGATACTATCATCGAACAATCTCTAAGACTATGACCACGATAAAAGCTCAAGTCGAAGTGGGAGCGCAAAATCTAGCGTACATGAACTCAATCGTAAGGACAGATCTCCAGTCATTGTGTGCGAGATCAAAAGCACTTCTTAGTTCCATTAATTTGCCACGCAGGACATTCCGCATATGACATTCTTCGTCGTTCGAGGATCGTTTCCAAGCTTCATGTGTTCCTCGTGCAACATAACAATCTTGTTCTTCCAGTTAAGGCTAAGATCATTATGTCGCTAGTAGCCGGATCAAAGCATTGAAGAACCTCTAAAAAGATAGGCGCAACGGTCACACGGTAAAATCGACAGGGAAAATGTCTCAGTAAGGTCCAGTTCAAACGTCGAACTTCACTTGAGAAGTCCACTGAGAGAATTAAGTTCAAGTTGAGTTCGATTTTTAAATCAGTTGAGTTCGTCCAACTGAATTTGGATCGACCAACACGTTCTATCCGTCTGCATCGGACGGATAGAACATGTGAAGATCGATCTTTTCGTGGTAATGATTAAATTTCAAATTGTTTTATTTGAAATCTCTCTGACCGAAATATTCGTTTTTGCTGCTCTAAATTTGGCTCGACGAATTGTTCTACGAAAGACCCAACGGTCGAACATTACCCGTTGGGGTCGACCAAAATTGCAGTTTAGTTCGCCTCATGTGAAGTTCAACGTTTGAAAAGAGCCTTAATTATAGTGAATCCATTTGGAAACAGATCGGAGCGTCATTTGTTGTGCGACAAGGCAGATCGAAGCTAAAAAGCTCTAAAAATTCTTTTGAAAATGCTTTTATTTGTCATTTTTGGGATTTTTTAATTTAAATTTTACTTTGCTTGTAATGAACTAGTTCCTTCTTGTTTTTGTTTCTCTGTACATACTTGCATTACTAGATATAAGGCCTTGATATAAAAGTTTTCACTTTGTAACAACTGAAAGGAATGCCCTATTGAAATAAAGGTAACTTTTCTATCAGTATGGCTTCACAACAGAAAAACGCGAATCATTCCCAAGATTCACAGAAAAAGAATCTCTACTTTAAATCGAGCTGAGCACGTGATAAATGCACCCGTCAATAGCCGGGCGACAGAAATGAGTGCACAAGTGTTATGCTTGTATCGTAATCTTCAGAGGTACACTAATATAGTTCTTAGTCGTTCACTTTTCTCTTTCGGTTTCAACACAGTCAAAAAAATAAATCTGATTGCAACATAATCTAACTCCATAAATATTTCTCATGCAGAGAGTCAGCAAAATTTTGGCTTGTTTCCCGTATGTCTCCGGACACGTTCACGAGAATGCGTATCCTCGTCAGATTTGAGGAGATAAGTTTATCCCATAGTAATACCGTAAATTGTGGTCAAATTTCACCTAAAGACTTAACGTCGACCAAGTTGACGTAGTTGTCTTTGATCCCCAACCCATCCAGCCATGGAAGCTCCGACGGAAAATCTGCAGAAATTCCTGTAGTAAAACAATGAGGTCTGTTAACCCTTCAATTCTGCTTCCTCGCTTAATTAAGATTTACGTAAACTCGCCATAGAACTTCACAGATCGTAATTCCAAACCTCCCTGTAAGACATTAAGTTTCTGATAGTCGCCTATGCATCATCTCCAACATAAACCTCTCAAGTGAAGTGTAAGACAAAATGATATGGTATAGTACTGCTATACAAGTACTGGAGCTTTATTTCAACTCGAAACCCGTTTCAGGGCCAAACGTAACTGTATTTGAAGCCTGTATTAGTTTCCATGTTTTTAAGAAATGTTGTTCTTGAAGGGCTTCAACAAAAGAAATGCATATTGTAGTCATTTCAACTGGGCAACAGTTCAGAAGAACAATCATGTGTCACATTTTAGGTTTAACCCTTTAATACCCATGAGTGACCAGGAGAGAATTTCTCCTTAGAATTTCGATATGTCACGCAGATAAGCAATAGTAGTAAAGAAAAATGTCAATTAGGGGATTGACAGTTGATACAACACCAAATTCTCCAAACTAACATCATAAGAATTGTATAGCAGACAGTAAGGTGAATTACTAATGAACTTTTGGGAGTGAAAGGGTTAAAGAGTCCTTTATGAACTCCCTTTCCCTAGAAAGCCACCTTTTCCTCAAGCCACTCGTCTGAAAGCCCAATATATCAAAAAGCCGCCTTAACACCACACCACCTAATTAGACCGTGAAAATTCCTTAAAGCTGAGGGACTGGTAATTATTTATCGCTGGGGAGGGGTCTGAGGAGTTTGGTTTGTCGCGATAAAATTTACTTAATCCCCCCCAAGTCTTTGTAATATTCCTGTGTTCCCCTTCCCCCTCCCTTTTTGACAGTTAGCCCTCCATTTCGCCTGAAAACCATGTGATCCCACAGCAGAACCACTTGTTACCAGATTCGTATGCTTGTGACTTTTAGACGATTTTAGTAGCACTCGTTTATAATAAAGGCTTTTATTGGAACACTGCTGTTTTGAAGAAACCCGCGTGCTTTAAGATTGCTCGTGACGCTAAAAGGAGTCTTATGGCCCTTAATTTACATTATTGTGTAAATCGTAGAAATACTATTAGTGTACCAAGATTCACACTTGGCAATGTTTAAGTTTACCTTAAACTTTCTTAAAATTAACTGGTCTTTACGGGATATTTTTATTCTGTGTAAACAAGTCAGTGAGCTAAAAGAAAATATTTTCATTTCAATGTCTTTTCTCACAGATGATTTTGTGTTCAGTATTCCTGTGTCAACTGCGTGGTGTTCACCACGGTATAAATGTAACGCCTTCATCAATTTTCACAACAGCCCATTCATGGCTTAACCGCTTTGTACCCTTGTTGGCAAAATTGTTTATTGCTTTTGTGGAATATTACATCTGCAGAAGGCCGTCAGCTAGGCCATTAAAAACTACATACAGACCTAGTTGCTCCAGAATTCACATTACCAAGGATACGCGAAAATATTTTAACCTGCATACTAAAAAACCCTTGATAAATTTATTTTTATTTTCATTTAATCACTTTTTTTTTCATTTTTTTCTTTTTTCCATTATTTCTTCGTTAACTGAAGCACCTAAGCGAAAGCAATTTCTAGGCATGATGCATCGGCCTTTCCTCGAGGCTGTGCAATTGAACCATATCCTCTGGTTCTGGAAAACAAAGTGTTTATGAAAATTAGGTTAAGAGAGTTTTAGCGAAAAGGAAAAAAACGATGAGCATCCCCCATACCTCCATCCCACTACCCTCCCCTCCCCTCCTCTCCCTTCTCCGCCAATCCTACCCAGAAAGTATCTAATTTTCGCTAGGAACCCGCTACTGATCAGAACACCGTGTGGCTTATTTCTAGGCTGAGCCTGGACTAGGGCAATGCCGGAGTTAACATACGGCAGTACCACTGAGAAATTCGCCACAGCACGACCACAGATAAGTCAATGGACTAAACACAACGCGCTCAAAGATCGATGGTATTCAAATATCTTTCATATAGCAGACTAACGGCTTACGTCCTGGCGAATTGTTGTTACCTATGTTCAACAACGCACAATATTTTCATTATGTTTGCGATTTACTTGCTGCCGATTTAAAAAGCATTGTTTTAAGTTAAGTCAAGGCTCTCTGGGTGAAATAAAAATAAAAAATTGAGACGGAAGTCTTTCAAGCGCCTTGAGAAATACCTAAATTAGAATGAGTCTTCAATCCTGGATTTAATTTATTATAAATTGTCTTCAAAAAGTGGCTGTTTTATTGCGAAATGATGGAGCTCATATTCAAAACGGTAAGAAGTTAAGATCAGTGAAACCTTTGCTTTTAGCGAGCGAGCCATTGGTTTAGTTCTTATTTCCTTTTCATCACCTTTTGACGTCACGTGTGAACTATATCGTCGCAGTCATACTTATTTTTAAATGAAAATTGTCTTTTGGAGCAGTTGTCATCACCATTCATATCAAATGAGAGACAGACACTTGCATTCTGCTAGGTTAAAAACTTGAATGATTTTAGTAATAAAACACTAACTTTGAAGAATGACTATATTGTGAATCCTTGAGGTTTCAGACGAAGAAGTAGAATTACATAATGACGTGAAATAAAATAAATGGAATTAAATTGTCCTGCACGTCCTCTAGGCGACACCACAAGACATTAATAAAAAATCATCCACTGGAGAAGGAAAAAATATGGCAAAACAGCCCAAAAATATTTTGAAATCGTGTGCGAAAACTTGGCAAACCAAGACAGGATCAATTAGATCTAGAGATAGTTTGACTATTTCCCATATTTCCTTTCTAGAATTCACAACCTTGTTTGCCAGTTTACATGTGGGTTGCCATTGAAATTGTTTGACTGAAGCAAGTACATACCTAGTTTGTTAAAAACTCCAGTCTTTTTCGCCCGTAAGAAATGTTTAGACGCCTTTACGCAAAGAATAATTGAGACGAGGAGTACAAGAGAACTCAGACCAGATGCTACCCATGAGGCATTCTGCATAATAACAACAACAAAAATTAGTCAATAACATCTCAGATAACAATGTTCAATTTTTCGGCTCTAATGGTTTTCGGTTAAAATGGCTAGAGAAATAAATCTTCCCGCGGGCGGAAAAAAGCGCGTCATGCAGCGCTCATAATGAGGCCTGCTCGCAGGCTACTACGCAAGGTGTCTTGAACTTGTAAGGAACGTAGGAGAATCTCCATAGCAGGCTCAAGACTGCTTCATGTGTTTAAACACAGGTTTGACTCATCTAGGCAATATTTTTTTCTCTTTTCTTACCATTACACTTTTCACTTACCATTCCGGCCGCATATTCAGAACATACAGATCCAGTAAACCCGTGGTATATGTTTGACAGAACTTTACACTTTCCAACGTCAAATCGGACCTACGGAATTTAAAGCCACTCTCATATAAAAGCTATTGTTTTTTTGTAAGGTCAGAACTGCACCTTAAGCCCCCCACTTCCCTCTCAATGCTGAATACTCTTCGTGCAGTCCAGTTTCCTTGTTAAAAGCCCAACAAGTGGGGAGGAGTGAGGATATTTAATCAGTTGCGATGAGGCGTTCGAGGTAACTTAATATCTCTTTCTAGATACTGCCACAAATTAAACAAAGAAAAAGGAGGACCTAACACATAAAGCTTAAAAATACAATCAACACAAGACTGAGTTGATATGCTCACAGTAGTCGATTCACGGAGAGATTGAGCCGCGTTCTTTACAATCTTAAAAGGTTTCAAAATCTACACAAAATCTAATTCATACTCTGGTGAAGTCGAACGCGGTCAAGGGAGTTGCATGATAAAACGTTAAAGAATTTTCATAAGTGTAAAATACTTTCCAAAGCACTAAATACACAGATAAATTTCAAATGTACCTGACGGATGACATAGTCCAACAAATAATCCACATTACCAAACACATTGTCCCAGTGCATTGTTACCCCCTAGTAAAGCAAATATTCAAAAAGAAGCAAGTGGTCATCTTTGAGACTGGAACCAAAAGGAGCTGCCGTATAAGAGCGATGTATAATAAATTTTCAAGCAGAACACATAACAAGCAGTTAGGAACTTTAAGAGTACTGTGCTACAAAAAAATAAAACAAAACGTAAACAATAATAAAGGGCGTCTTCACTTGCCAAGAGGGCCGTGCGGCGTCTAATTTTCCAAAGTACCATTAACTTTAAGGGGCCCACAGCCATACTTTAAAATCTAAATCGAAGGGATAGCCGCGTGGGTCTTTCTAACAAACTACAACCAAATCTGTTGCGTTTACTAATATTTTCCATGTTTAATTTAAACACTATCACCTTTTCAATCTTGGATACAAATACAACAACTAAACAACTTTTTTATCGGCATTGGTAGTTATCGAAACCAACAAGAAATTGAAAGGCTCTTAATACCAAATGTCTCTTACATTCTTACAAAGCACTAGATATTCGCAACAAGAAATAGTACCACCAACCTTTGCAGCAATTGACAGAGCATCATCCTGTAAAAAGGTCGCCACTTCCTCTATGCTTTTAACAACTCTTTCGCCAGAACTCTGAAGTAAAGATACACAATTATTACTTTGTTGTACAACAATATTGACACGTACTAAAATCTTAGACAAAATTCAAGAGAAAAGGTTGCTTCTACGCCACAAACAGACGACCAGCACAAATTGTGACACGAACAAAACAGGTATAAATCCACACGTATAAACTGAATTTCTATCACGTTTAGTAAAACCTAATTCACCATGAATTCCTCGCTGCTCAGAGGTTACGAAATCGAATAGCCTAGAAGTAGGCTCTCATTGGCCCTGCGGAACGAGCGCTGAAGCAGGCGGGTTTTGAGTCAGTGAACAATGAGTGAGTGCGAGAGGTCTACGAGTGTTCTCGTGCCAGACCCCTCACAGACCTCTCGCACATTCGCTTCGCTCGGCGGCTCGAGAGGAAGCTCGTATTTTAGTCAAGAGTGCTAACTTTTACATGTTCGCATTTACGTCCTATCAGAGAATGTGATTTTTTGTTGCCTTACGATAAACATGGAGCAGAAAACCGGTACGGTCATTTTGTTACTATTGATCACTAAGCATACCAGTATGGCTTGGCCCGATTGCTGAAGATCACTTGCAAGTTTACCCAGATCTTTCTGAAAAACACAAAAAAAATCGAATAAGGTCTTGCATCCACATGCCTTTCATTGAATCGATGACAATCAAATTATCAGTGAAAAGTTACACACTTACTGCCTGTTTCTCCGCTGGTTTCACATATGTTTTGTCTAGATTGTCCAGTTTGTTTGCTTCATTCGCCAACTTATTACTAACCGAAGCCTTTTGCAAAATAAAAATTTAAATTTAAGAACCAATAAAATTAAACTCCAATTGATTGAATGATTTAAAGGACACAGTATATTTCATCGGCCAAATCTGAAAAGGTCGTTCGTTGGAAAAATTCAATCACTTTTCCTTCATCTCTGAAAAACACAGACAAACAAACAAAAAAACAAACACCACGAAAAACCACTGCAAGCTCCTGTTGGTAGACACCCAAAGACATAACTACAAATTTGTCTTGAATTGCCATTGTCTAGGTGCCTGTAATGCCGCAATGCTAACTTCTTACATTGGGGAAAAGTCATAAAAATGTCTAGTGATAGTCAGAATTGTAAGATACCAGTACAAAAGCAAAAAAAAAACTTATCAAAACCATGGTTGTATTGATCTTTTGAATAATTGGTTGTATAATGCCGCAAGTTATTAATCGAAGCTGTAATGACAAGCAAGTGGTCCCGGGCAACTGTATCGACATACCTGACTCTTTGTTGTGTTGGCAGCCTTGCTGACATTGGATGCAAATGATGGCAAGGAGACAGTGACGATAGGTTTATTCACCTGGGAGTATAAAAATGTACACAGAAATGACGTTACTAAGGAACTTTTAATTCTACCACCATATGGTTGTTACGTGTATCATTAATCCTGTGATTTAGGCTATTGCTTTTTTGCTTTAGTTCTATATGTTTTGAGGACACCAAGATGTATGTATTGCTATTCTGGCGATTAATTCCTTTGCCTGGTCTTCATTATTCAGATGCCTGACGGTCTATTTGTCTGTCGTACATCCATCTGACCTTCTATCCACCTGTCTGTCTGATTGTTTCTACCATGTCTGTCTGCTTGTCTTTCAGTCTCCGTACCTGTTTGTTTGTCAGACTACCCATCTCTTGTCTGTTCTTTGAAACTCTTTACGGTGGCCAATTCACATTACCAATTCAGTTGACAAAACCAAAATTATCCTATCATTCCTCTGTTTGTCTGTTACAAGGGGAACCCTGAATTAAATCTTGGGAGGCTATTCATATAGTTTTTGGAGGAAGTGGGGTTGAAATTGTAGCATTTGGGATTTTGGGAGATAGAAGATTAGTTTGAGATTTCAATAACTATTTTTCAGGAGGCACAATCAACACGATAATATGGATATTTCCTCCATAAAATCAAGTTCAGTCGTGACACCATGGTGAATGACATGCCCAAGTTTATCATTAAGCATCCTATTAATTTAACAATAAAAACCTTCTGTCCATACTTAACCTGTTCATGATACTGGGTGAAGTTAATGTCTGACACCCCTGCATTCAACGAGTCATTTACATTTTTCTTGGTCTTCTCAGGAATTACTTCAGTATCTTTAACAGTTTCATTTAGTGTAGCAAACACTGCATCCAGTTCAGGGATTCGCTAATGGCACATAAAAGAGAAAATCATGCAAAATGCAAGATTGAATTCTAAAAAACCAAACACCAATACTCAGCACACCATTTATCAACAGTCACATATCTTTGAACAGAGACTTGAAGTTCATGAAATTCAATTTCACTTCTTCAGAGACTCTGGTTAAAACAAAGACTTAAATGAAATAGTGAACCTCCCACTTTTTAAGGACGAAGTAACTAACAGGGGCAATAGGATGAATCTAGTTCTTATGAAATTCATAAGATTACATTTTGTAGAGGATTAATGTGCAATTTGAGGAGAAACGCCATATCAATGCAGACAATTAAGGCACTCGTTATCATTATCTGATTATCATAAATATTGATACCATTATCTCTATTAGCTGAAGCCCTAACAAAGGTTCACAGCTTACATTAACATAATGAGAGAAAAAAACTGTCCCTTCCAAAATCCACTGATATTCTTAACCTGTAGAAATCCACACTAGCCTTATTCAGACAACTAATTAATTAAGTCAAAACCAAGACACAAACCCTGCACTCAAGCATTATAAATACTAATCTGGTGTGTTTAAGTTCCTTGAACATGTGACCACACAAACAAACTTAATTTTCTTTGTTGTTGCTTGAAACTTACATCTTTGTAGTTAAGAACAACAGAGAGATTGAACACATGGTCCATCTTGAGAACATCCCAAGGAGCTTGATTTTTGGAACATTCACTGTAAGTTCACACAAGACAGAGTAACACATTATTAGTCTTCATTATCCTGTGAAACATGAGCCTCAAGTGAAATGTGAAAAGCCAATGCAAAGGGGGGGGGGTAGGGGGCAGGGGGAGGGAGTGTACAGGAAGAAATGGAAGACTGTCTGTGGACTTCTTTGAAGTGACATAAATGCAATTCCCTGCTTCTCCAGAAGTGGAAAATTTCAATGGGTTAACTATTAATAAAATAATTGTCACCAACATGCACAATCAAAAATATTTGATGGAAGACAAAGTCAAAGATGAAGATGATGATCCACTCAAAGACAAAAGATGCTTTCAGTCTTTCATAATTTACATGTTCATATACATGTACTAGAAAACTTACCTAAGCACTCCAGACACAGTCAATGGAATATTTCCATTATTTAGGATCATTTCACTCAGCAAGTACTCTCCTCCCATAAATTTTGGGTCATCTATAGTCTATGAAAATTATTATGCATAAATGGCTAGATAAAATTGAATGCATCAATCAATTTTTTTTTAGAGTGAACCTCTGGGCATTTCAACTTTTTAAGATTGGTAAGTGCAGATTCCTGCCCCCATGCCAAAATTGCATTTAAACACCCAACAAATGATTCAGAATTTAGCAAAGCCACATAACAGTTTTTGGTGCTGCTGTGGGGTTCATTGCATGTAAGTATCATTCTTCATTGTGAAAAATTTTCTTATAAAAGTGGACTCTTTACGAATACCTTTTAATTCCTTCATATGTGAAATAAAACACTTATGTTCCACTGTTTCCAGGCAAGGTTCAAATTCCCCACCCCCAGTGCACAGACAACAGTCAAATGCCCATGGGTTGCTAAGGGAAGGGGGGGATGTTAAAGCTTTGAATTGATTGGCACATAAATTTGTACCCAAGTCCAAATCATTTGGGAACATTGCTTTGCTTAAGCTGCCAAATCATCAATTAGTTTAATAAATAAAAAAGGCAGCTACTTCAAAAGGTACAAAAAGCCAACAAAGGTTGGTATGACAATAATTATTTTGACAGGAAGTAAGTTAATCTTCCAACTTCCAATCAAAGTAAATGTCCAATTCCTTGTTTAGGTAACATGTTTGAGAGCACAGAGCAAGTAGTAAAACATCTAACAAAGGAAATGACAACAAGATAGTTAAAGAAAAGCTACCAGAAATTTCAATTACTCACAAGAAAGTGAGAAGAGAATTACCATCATGAGAAATCCTTTTATGCTATTTGATATAATAAGGCTAAAGTATACACATGGGTAGAATGAATCTGCACAAAAGTAATACCTTTTCAAGAAGCTTATAATCAGGTATGCCATCACAAACAACCGCTATATTAGCTCCCAACATGAAGGTGATACCAGTCAACAAATTAAAGAGAAATGCAGAAAAAAAGAACAAACCAGCAGCTCTAGAATGGGAAAAATGGTCAGATAAATATTATAATTTACCTATAATCTTAACAATGCTCAACCTGAATTTTGTATCTCCTTTAGTTAGTTTAGATCTCTAGGTAGTTAATAATACAACTCTAGTTCATAATCAGAAATAAAGAAATGACTGTTAAATTGAATGAATGTGCAAACAGAAAACCAATGAATAGGGTTGTGATATATTTAGCACATCAACATTTATCTTTTGGCAGCATATTAATAAAAATCATAAGTTCAGAGCCTCCTTAAATCAGAAAAAACCAATGAAATTTAATGTTCTGTAAATACAGAAATATGCTGAAAACAGTTCAATAACAACAAAGTTTGGGGTGTTTTGTAGAGGATAGAGTAAACTGTCCTACCATTCTCTAACAAAGCTTGCAATCAAAGCTTACATATAAATGTTTATTTTCATAACACAATTATAATTGAAGCAACAACCCAAAACTAATGGTTGCATGTATCCTTAGACAAAAGGTGTTAAAGATATGAGGGATGCCTTGGAGTTTTTGAAAATACAAGTAATTTCATAGATTAGGAAAAGATTCCAAGTGACCCCAACTATAATAGACAACTAAGAACTCTTCTATCAGCCAGGACCTCAGAAAAAGTTTCCAAGTGCCATTTGGCTGAGACAAAACCATTAATACCAAGCAGAATAGAAAATTGAAACTCAGGGTAGAAGCATGAGATTAAATGGAAGTAATTAAGAAGCAATCAAATGATTTTTTTCTTGCAATTTGTATTAAAACGAGTTTTGAGTTACTCATTGTTCAAAGATCACAAGTTCCACTCGTGGACAGTCTTTGATAAAGTAATTTGAGCTTCTTCACAATTATTCCTACAGTACAGTAGTTGAAATTTAACCATTTGATCACATACAAGTACATAAGTTATACTTTAATAATGAAATGGGTTGTCAAAGTATCCTCAACTTACCCTAACATAAGCCTTCCTGCCCCGTGTGAAAGATTACTTCTACTACTGGGTGTATCATAACTTAGAGAACCACACAAGCCCATTACCACAACAATTATCAACAGCAAACCATCCAACAGAGATAGGATTCCTATCAAAACGAAGGCTATATGCCTGACAGAAGAAAAGATAATCAACAAGATAAAATTAATTATTTTCCGTTTTTATCTCTTTCTTTCTCTCTCCTTTTTGCCCCACATTTCATTCACATCATGTCTGAGTCATGAAGCCCAATCCAAAGAAATTGAAAGGTCTTATAATTACTATAATTATAGGTAAGTTGTCTACAGTCTACACTGTATCTCCCGTTAGCTTCTCTTCAAACCCACTAACACATTCTTATACAACACTGAATTGTTCTGTTTTTCCCTCTGTGAAGCTAGCTCAATCCTTAAATTTAACACTGGAAAGTAACAGAACAGTTTTGCACCCAAAACATTCAGTTTTGGACAGATACAACATTGCATAAAGGTGGAGAGAGAGAGAGAGAACCAAAGGAGAAATGTAAAGTGTCAAGATTTCCAACAAAATTACATACACCCTATATCAGCGAATACATGTATACAGTTATACAGAATACAGGATACATGTATACATACTGTACCTATAGTTGTCATATTTGGATAGCAATCCATCTGGACCGAGATACTTCTCATCTACATCATCTCTGATTGGAAACAGAGTATCTGCAATGTACTATCATAACAACAACAAACAAATTAAAACACCTCACTTCACATGCACCTTGTAATGTTATTTCTTTTTGTGGGAACATTAATCATTTAGGGGACACTAAGGTTACTGCAATCAACTACAATCCCACAAACCCTAGTAACAGGCTAGTACTGAGGTTACCTTTGACCCCACAGCATGCAGCTAAGAACCAGCAGCTAATATTCCCATAAACAAAAACAGTTTTAACCAACTCTGGCCAGATGGAAGTAAGATTCATGAACATATCTGAAATTTTCAAATGATTTATAAGACCTGTCTTGAGCAAGAAAGAAAAATAACTTGACCCTGAGACACTTTTCTAGTTCAAAGACTTAAGACATGAACAAGGTCCTGTAAAAAGAATACTGTACATTGCAATCCAAACTCAGAGTCAAAATAACAATGGAATAACTACCCCTTCCTTATTAGAATTTCATGGTGCTCAAAGGGAATAGGCCAAGTCCAAAAAAAAAAAAAAAAAAGGTGAAGGGCAGAACAACTATAACCAGATAACTTCAAAGAAGGTGTAGAAATAAAACTATAATGTTCTAGTTCCCTGGCTAAAAATTACCTTATTAATGTAATCTCTTAAAGGCTGAACAACATCCACTGGCATATCTTTTATTTTGGAAGTAAAATTCTGAAATTCTGTAGACAACAATTTGTTGCATCTTTGAGTGATATGTGATCTCTAAATTCAGTGTTCAAAGTCCAACTTTCACTATATTTTGACCCTTCAACTACTTAAAGTGATAAGCAATTCAACATGATAATTCTCCCCTCTGGCTCCCACATATATATTACAGGGAGAGTTACATGGGTGATCACTTTGGAGAGTTTAAGGGTCGAGGATTCAAGGATTCAGTAAATGCTTTTTTCTTTTTTTTTTGTTTCAGAATTTAGTTTCTGTAAGTTCTTTATCCTAATGCTAAGTTTGCTTGTTTGTTTTTTGTTTTTGAAACAGATTAAGAGCTTTCTTTCTATATCTACTGGCAAAAATACATGTACAAGACAGCTCAGTGGTCAAGCAAGCATATATTATATAAAGTTGTTTTTAAGTGTAGCATTACATCACATACAGGAATTTTCACACAAGTCTTATTTCTTACCACTGGTTAAATTTGTAGTCAAGTTTTGAACTCTCTCAGCCATGTCCTGTAGAGACTGGTTACCCTATTTTGATAATGGAAGAGAACATGGTTCACTTATGACCTCCTAACCACAACCACAAAGTTCTAGTGACCAATAGCTATAAGTAAACTGGTCTGAGAATTTAAGAGATAAAAAGGTTGCAGTCACATTCAGTTTCTGAGTGATTGTTTTATCACTTTAAACTAATGACCTTAGATTAATGTAAATTAAGGTAAATTAATGAATTGCAAAAACTTTATAAATGGTTTTATGTCAGTCAGGATACTTCACTCCTTTTTCCCCAAGAATGTAAAAAACAAATTCAGTGATATAATTGGTCTGTATTACTGTACAGATTTTCAAATCCCCTACTGTATTCTCAGGCACCCTTTTGCAAGTTTTTGCTCTTTTGTTCACAAGATTGAATCAGTTTGTACCCAAATTTAAGTTTAAAAATAGTACAAAACACTTTAATACAAAAAAAGAATGAAATTTTTAGTTCAGTTTCAGGTTTAAACAATTAATATGGTAAATATGACTGAGTGGAGTCCAATTTGGTCTGTAATCACTCAAGTGATTCATGAACTTGGAAAACCATAAAGCAGGAGTCAGATTTGTTCATCACAAGTATAATTACAGACAGAATTGGACAACACGAAGTCCTATTAACAATTAATCAAAACTATGACAAAATTTGAAGAGAAATTCAATAATTTGGTTATATGTTTTCATAAAAACACAACAGTTAACTAAGTAAAATATTTGTGACCCTCCACGGGAAAACGGACACTAACGCTTTTCCGTTTAAGCTGTAAAACCGTTTACTATCCGTTTATATCCGTTTAAACGGTTCATGAAAGCGTTTAAGCGGTTTGCTCATCCGTTTAAAAAAATTTGCATCCGTTTAACGCTTTAGCTAAAACGTTTAAGCGGTTTGCTCATCCGTTTAAAAAAATTTGCATCCGTTTAACGCTTTTGCCAAAACGTTTAAGCAGTTTGCTCATCCATTTAAAAAAATTTGCACCCGTTTAAAAAAATTTGCATCCGTTCAACACTCTAGCAGAAACATTTAAACGGTTTGCTTACCCGTTTAAAAAAAAAAAGCTATCCGTTTGAAGTTCCACGGAAAGCTTTGGACTGTTTGCCTATCATTCTGTTATAGGCAGTTCGAAGTATCAATGTTACGTTCGCTCGATACTCACCGGTTCTTGAAATACAGAAAGACCGTATCTTATTTTGGTTTTATCTTTTGCGTGATCATAGTAAGCGAGTTTCCGTCGCATCCTTTGACAAACAAGTTAATTTGAAATATCCGTTTGTAAAAACCAAGAGCATCGAGCCAATTGCAATGAAGCCATTCATTTGCCTGCCATCGACTTTGTTCGATCAGACAACAACGCATACACATGATGCATACTGACCACTTACCCAGGCACAACATGTAAACTGTCCAAATACATTGTCAAATTACTAGCATGACACATACACTGTCCTATTAGTGAAATTTTGTTATAGTTTTGATTACAGTGTATATCAGTTATTATACTTAGACAGCTTCCCTCTAACACATTTTTAAGGCCCTAATCACAGGCCTTGATCACAGTGTTTCCATTGCAAATAGCTCTCAAACCACACATAAAATATAAATCATAACCTTGCCTAGGTACAAGTAAAATATTTAGCACCTGAAAACTTAAGAAATCACCTTGAATATAAATGAAAATTGTTAAATTATTATCAAGACTTAACATATGAATTTGTAACAATAGTTGTTAGAGTTTAAAATTGTACCTTTGCAACATCATCTCCAAGACCACTCTTTGCCACATCCTCTATTTTGTTTTGGCTATCAGTAACATTGGGGACCTAGAAATAATAAGACTGCACTCAGTTGTATATGATACACTTCTTTACTACCATCTTAAAAAATTGAACAAACAAGGAACTTTTTGAAGGTGGCATGTTGTAGGATGGCAAGGAAAAGCTTCGGGGCACTAAATAAAGCTAATTTGTCACTAAACACTTTAAATTTACCCACAAAATGACTCACTTAATTCTCCCTGAGATACACAGGATAAAGTCTAAATTAACAGTAATTAGCTGAACAAAAAAAAATTTGCCTGACTGTATTAAAAGTACATACAAGATTTAAAAAAATCCAGATATTCATTTAGTAATAATAGTTCATTAAAATCATCTGATTTTATAGAGAATGCTTTCAAGGTCACATAGCATCCATGTGCCAGATTTACTCTTGTGTTGCACTATCATTTATATGTACAATGAACAGTAAATGTGTATTTCATTGACATCAAATTACTATTGTGACAGTCATATCTTGAACAATTATTTTTTGTTACAATAAATAAGTGAAAGTCACAATCAACAAAATCACACACCTTGTTAAAGTCTGCTTCAGTTTCCACATCCTTACCAAATGGGATTTCATCACAAAGACTGCTTCCTCCACTACTTTTACATTCAGTATGAATGGCCTCCAATGCTTTTTGAATGGAAATTAGTTCATTTTGAATGTGGCTGCTTTTTGAGATTAGGGATGACTTTGCATCTGCTATCTCCCCAAAAAGCTGTGCGGTCTGTTTCACAGCTGATAATAAAAGAAAGTAAATTGTTTTTAGCTGCATTAGGAATTCAGGAAACCAAAAACCTGGGAATACGTAATTCTTCACTACCCCTCCACACCCCAACCCCTTCCCAGCCTAGCTTAAATTTGATGACAGATGACTCTGTCTAGACCAAAAAAAAAAAAAAAGAAAAAACAATTGACAGCACTCCAAGCTACACTTTTTCCCAAGCTGCAACTTGCAGAAAAAAATCATAAAATAGTTACCAGAAACAAAATTCTGGTTGCCAAAAAAAGAGATTAAGCAATATAATGTGTAGTATCATATGAAAATTCCTTTTCAGGAATATGGGCACCATAATGTACATTTACCTTGATCAACATCTTTAACAGCAGAGTAGAGTTCTTGAAATACAGGTGACTGTATTATAGGAACAACTATATCTCTTCCCATTGCTAAACAAATTGATAAATTAACACTATGAATCCACTTTTCAACACTGTTCCAGGTTACATTTAAGTGTACTACAAAACAATAAAGCAAATATAAGGTGTTTCTACAATTGTATGAACTAAATGAACACTTGAATTACATTATATAATTAATATGTAACCTTTTTCTTAACTTTTTGTTGGAGAAATACTTTTTGTTATATACAATCTAGGAGACAGGAATAATTACAACAAACTTTACAAAAACTCTTAAGAATACTGTTAGGAAGTCTTTGCCTCCACCAGGCATCTTTGCTTTGACACCCACAAAGTACACAGTATCTCTTGATAATATTGTCTGGTGTAGTAACTTAACCCTTTACATCCTAACTTCAGTATGCATATTCTCCATACATTTTTTATACATTTCCTAGGGTGCTGACTAGGAGAATTTGTTAAACAATCAAAAGCTTCTCAAGTTGGTGGTCAGTTCCTTTATTCTCCTGACCTAAATGTTTGATTCAGGGGTGATATGGTGAGGAGAAATTAGATGCCAGTCACTCAAGGGCTATGGCTGTACTACATAAATGTAAATTTGTGTTCCACTTCTAACTCTATTAAAATGGGCAATTGTGCTTACTCATCATTGTTAGAGTTCTAAAAGTAAAACATACTGTAGTGATCCTGGCCTAACCTCTGACTGGGACAACTCAATCAGAAAGTATCATATCCCAGGAAAAATTCTAACTGGGCTAAAAGTTTCCAAAGTAGAAGTAGTAGAGGTTTCTGGCATTTCTGACTAGTCACAAAGGAATTCTGGATTTCAGAACTGCCAGATTAGTTTTTAGTCAGAATCACTAATTAATATACTACATCCTAAAAATCCTCCAGAGGTCAAAAAACTTATTTTACACTATATCCATTACCCAAATGTATGACCTATGCCCACAAAACTCACCAATAACTGCATCAAACAAAATGTCAATTGTGGGAACAGCTTCTTGAAGTAATATGTGATTTATTTCCTGAAATTTTTAAATAGTGTATTTACACAGGTCACTTTTCAGCACAATTAAGTATTGTACCAGTATCAAACAAGCCCATCATGAATACACAGATTCATGAAATGTATAGTTTATCCCTTACCTGAAGTAAATTGCCTGTGTAAATTTTGATATCACTAAATGAGTCATTCCACACTGTTCTTGCATGTGGGATACTGTCATTCATATGAATACTTGAAGCTAGAATAAAGCCACCTGAAATACTGCAAGACATAAAATAGAGCAACAAAAAAATTTATTATGTGGGCTGATCAATAAAGCTGATCAATGGAAGATAAACTGTTGTGTCAGCAAATGACATAAAAGTGACCCAACATGGACCTCAATTTATTTGTAAACAATTAAAGCAAAAATGAAGAAAACATTTAAAAACTCAAACTTACATCAGTAAAGATGCACAAAGAAGAATTCCAGCAGAGTATGCTATTCGTTCTTTTGCAGGATGCTGTTTGAGTTCATCATCATATATAATGCCACCACATTTTCCTCTGCAACGACAACAGCAAAAGACTAGGCCAATAATAGGGATAACCAATGCAGCAATCAAAGAGAGGGAAGCCAGCACTATCAAAGGAACTTCATAGTCAATCACCTGAGAAAGTAATAAAACAAAAACACTGCTGACCACATCATACAACAAACAATCACAATGATAAAATTCTTCTATGGGCTTTGTCAGTAACACTTGTCAGTATTCTCCAGCAGCACCAGTCACCAGAGTTTTCACTGGTTACAGTACTTGTTTCTGAAACACTGGCTGCTTTGATGTAAAAAATGGTGAAAGAAGTTCCTTGAACTGCCATTTATTTCAACCTTTGCTTTGTTTCCTATATACTCAGAGAGACTGATTAAAACTGGAAAAAAAATCACTAAGTAAAAGCAAGGGGAATAGATTTTAAAGGAATAGATGCTTGTACCCTAGGGGAAGTCACTTTTTTACCACTGGCTAATCTTTCATCACAGCTTCCTTCTGAAAGACCTACTTTTTCTACCTGTAAATAAGATAAGTTATCCTTGCTATTTCAAGAATAGTTTTTGTCTTAACTAAAGGTAAATTTATATGTAATCAGCACATTTTGGTCTTCATGTGCAGCTCACTCAAGACTTGTAAAAAGAGGCTACAGCCATTTGCATAGTGGCTGAACAGCAAAGGGAAAGAAAGTCCTTGTATGAGGGAAAACCTATGAAGTTAAAAGTAATTATACTTCTTTGAGATATTATCGGGAAGCTATACATTTAGAAACAACTTAAGCAATGGTTTTTAAAACTTACTTTTTCAAGGTGGGTAAGATCTTTTGTTTTACAAAATTTTTCTATGACATAAAATTTGCATGAAGCTTTTTATAAAGTATAACCTCTTTCAATTTTAAGTGAAAGTTAATTGGTTTCACAAACCTCAGAGATTTCTGGGGACTTTCCTCCTTTACCAAATGCATTACTAAAGGTATTTCCAATAATTTCTGCAAAAAACCAAAGAGGAGGTATATATTTACTTAAAAAATAGATTCAATGTTGCTGTATGTCTGTTTGGTAAGATCACAAATGTGGTGTGAATGAAAAAGTGGCACAAGAGAGGCAGCCACATGAGTCACTGATGTTCCTTCCAAATTTTTGCGTCATATGTGAGCTATTACTGAACTTAATGGGATCTAGTTGTTTTGTATTATAAAGAGGCAAAATATTTATGGTGGTGTCATCCTTAACATGTATATCTCCTCCAATAGTTCATGAGTAATCAACAGTAAAATTCAACTTATTAAAATATAAATGTAGGTAAATTGCTGTGATTTCAGAGACAAAAACAAAAAACCAATCAGCATTTACTTTCTGTTATTAACTGTGAATGAAAATGAAGGGAAATAGCCTGCCGAACAGGCGTGATGTTGGCAAGTGAGTGCTCAGTATTTTCTTGGTGAAAATTATTGCTACCATCTTTGATTTTAAAAGCAGTAGAAGGTCGGAAAGAGAAAAGATTTTGATTTTCAACTCATCACCTCCACGTGTCAGTATTGGTCAGAAGACAAATACTTCTTAATTTGAAATAGACTCTACAAAGTGGACACTAGGATGGATGATATACAACGTTCAGGCTCATCTAAATCCGAGACGGCGTCTAGTTGTCGATCGAGAAGCACGTGCTACGTTTTAGAAACAAACTTAATGAAGAAGTTTGCCGCGGATTTATCTTTGCAAATCTTTTTAATTCACTATATCTCTTGGTAAGGTTATGATGAAACGTTCTAGTCACCAATTTGGCGACTAACTTTGAAAAATTTAGTCGCATTGGCGCCTGTATTAGGCGCAATTTCACGCCCTGAATAAGCGGTCGAAACGTTGTTTAGTAAAATATTTTTCTTCGTTCGGATTGAATTACCATAATCCTGGAACAAAGGAACAACTACCCAATAAAAAACTAGTTTAAAAATATTGAAACTGAAATCACTTAAAAATATAACATTTGAGTAAAAATTAGGACGTAACCTTTAAACTAGTTCGTTCACTGTGTAGCCTAAGTTATCATCACAGCGAAAGTCAACGCGTTCAATGTAAAATGTTGCCAGCTTTAAAATCCTAATCTTAAGAATATATTTACCTAACCGCATAACGAGAAGAAAACTGTTAGACTTTGTGCAATATTTAAGCGCATGTCTTATTCCGAAGGATAGCAATTGCCTTGCAGCACTACATTCGAGAGGCAGCACACTTATGAAGTGATACTTGTATTTGCACAAGCGCGGCTATGATTCTGTGGACAGCATCCCATTCAAAATATGGTCCAGTTTAACGTGCCTTGTGTAAACAGCGGCTTAATTTTCGGGTAGAAAAGGTCAAAATAGTCACACACACGATAGCAGTACAGTTGTAAACGATCCTTACCGTAAGGCGCTTGATTTCTGAGCGTCAAGGCGATGTCATTTGCAATACTTGTAAGACCGTTCAAACTCCAAGAATCCTCTTCGCTTTCTAAACTGTAAGGCTTTCCTTGAGGAAGTGGGGGGAACTCCATGTCACAGCCAACATAATTTGCACAGAACAGACAAAATATCAACCATGTCCTCATTGCGGGAAACCGCTAGAGACTGCCGCCTTGATTGGAAAGCAAGGGTGATCGCTTTTTAAGTCTCTAAGTTGAGGATTGGCCGGTCGTCATGGTGGATGAACATAGAACCGCAAGTTCGCTAACTGGGCCAGGGCAGATAATTTATTACTGCGGTGTAAACATATTTTTGAAGCAATTCAACCAATGACATTTTGGAAAATACTTTTGTTTATTTGCACAGAAACTGAGGAACATCTGTCAACTGAAGCTGAAGTGTCAAGCTGGACGAGATCCCAGGATGCTGCGAGATCCCAGGATTTAGCAGCTGAGAGTACGACCGAGTTTTCCTAAAAGATTGGGTCCTAGGAAACAAAATGGCGTCAAAACACTAAATAAGTTGCCAATGGAAGTAACTGATATTTTTTAATTCGACTTTGAACAATGTCAGTAAGGGAAGTAGATAGTGCACGCACTTTTGATCTTAGTTTGTACACATCATTGACGGCAAGTCGAGCGAAGGATTTCGAGCTTGGCGAAGGAGATATCAGTGCAAAAAGTGAAGACCTTAATCCACCGTTGCCATCGGATTTTGTCAGTTTCTCCTTGCCTCCGTTGCAGGAGGCTGCTGAAAGAGGTGATTCAGATACTGTATCCCGACTGCTTTTAGATAAAAATATTAATGTGAACGAGAAAGCTGGAGGCCATCGAGCTCAGAGGACCGCTTTGCATCGCTCCGCCGGGTATGGGCATTTGACGGTTGTTAGACAGCTTCTTAAGGTAAGTTGGAATGATAAATGGAGCGGTACTGGATTGACAGACCTCACGAGTAGTTTCAGCCGGGATGTTGAACATCCTTTAAAAGTAATACGTTGTCCTAAGATATTCGAATTTGAGAAAGACGTTTTTCGTCTTGTCACGAGTATGGGACACGATTCCGCGCCCCGATGATCCGAAGGTCTGAGGTTCGAATCCTCGTGGGGACTTTTTCAATACATTCTCCCGGGCCCTTTGCAATCCTCCTTTGTGTTTTCTGTGAACTGAAATCTTTTAAAAATGTAGGTAAAGTTCAATACTTCTTCAGGGGATATAGATGTTGCTGAAAAACCACATGACAAATAGTTTTATCCGAAGTAATCAAATGTTTTAGGCAGGTGCAGATCCTATCAAAGGTAGCAATGTGCAAAGGACCCCACTCCATGAGGCGTGCATTGGTGGTCACACTCTTGTGGTGAAAGAACTTCTGAAGCATATGACAGATATCAATGTTGTTGATTCCAATGGACAAACAAGTGCTCATCTGGCAGCATATCACGGTGAAAGTGAATGTCTGGAAATCTTAATCACGAATGGTAGTAACATGGTGTTAGAGGATAAACAGGGACGTACTCCAGCTCACTTGGCAGCAATGAAAAATCATAGAGCAGCATTGAGGTACTCAATAATATTTATGTATAACTGGGCTCCAAATGAAATTCTCTCTCCAAAAAGACATGTTACTGGAGTAAAGAGTTAAAGCCTGCATGATGTTATCATGCATGCAACACAGATCAGAGAATTCTCCAGCTGTTGCACAGATTTCTCTACTAAATTTGGTGGCGTGAACCATTTTATAATTTAGATGTAGAAAATATTCTCTCATTGCTGATCCTAGCAGTATGCAGGATGCGGAAGGTGGAATCTGAAGTTCTGAGGTTTGATTCCCATGGGGACTCAGAATTTTTTCTTTGTCCCACGCTTGGGATAAGACAAAAAAATATCTTTCTCTATTTCTTTACTGAGCTCAAAACTTAACATTTCTCTTACTCTATTTACAAAATATTCTCTTGTTACTTATTATTGTACTGTTTCCTTGTTATGACACTTTTCAGTGAAAACTGTGATGTTGTAAATGTAATGTTTGTCATTTCACTTCAGGTGTCTAATAGAAAATGATGTTGAGGTAACCTGTGTTGATGATCAAGGACGGACACCAGCTCACTATGCAGCAAGTGCTGGAGGCTTGGAAGCTTTGAAAACTCTTGCACACAGTGACATTGATGTAAATTCTAGAGACACAGCAGGATGTGTTCCAGCACATTATGCTGCAGCACATAATAACTGCCCCTGTTTGGTATTTCTGTTGGGTTCAGGGCTGGCAAAAATAGATGTTAGAGACAGATCTGGAAAATCTTTGCTTCATGTGGTGAGTATGGTGGAACTGTTGTAGAGCTCTGAGTGTTCCAACTTGCTTGTTTGAGTATAGTTTTTTTTTTGTTCTTGTAGTTGTTAAATTTTGATTTAATAGACACTTGTGACAATTTCATGATCAATTTTAGGCTGCACAAAATGGTGCTACAGAATGTGTTCACTGGCTCCTGGAACACAGAATTAATCCCAACATCAGAGATGGTAAAGTTTTTTCTTTCACTAGAAGTTTATTACTGCCCCACACCTAAACACATCTTTGCTGTTATGTGATTGTAATGAAACAGGTTCTGTCATACTAAAGAGAGATGATGTTAGTGAGCAATCTAAAAATGATCCCTCTTAAAGTTCCCATCACTGCTTTCATCAGTATTACAGAAAAGACCTGAAACTCTACAAACTGCCATGTTTACATACATGTACATGTTGTATATAGATGCATTAAGAGGAAAGACTTCTACATGAATTAATTCATCTTGACATGAGACAATTCAATGCAATATTTTATGGATCGAGAATGTAATACCCACCATGTTGGCCTTCAGGTTCTGGTGCAACACCAGCCCATTTAGCTGCATTAGGAGCTCACTTACAGAGCGTGAGCTGCCTCATTAAACATGGTGCAGACATGAATGCACAGGATGGCAGTGGTGATGTACCACTTGATTATGCTAAGAGGACTGGAAATCCTAATTCATTTCTTAGAGCAGGTAGATATTGAGTTGTAAAATAACAATGAATGGGAAATTAAATGAAGGCAAGGGAGACATGAAAAGCAGAGAAAAGAGAGGAAAGGGAAGGGACTTCCTCTTTCACATTTCCATCTCAACAGAACACTCTTCAGTATATATCTGTAACTGTTCCAAAGGCTGAAAGTGCCCTTAGTAATAACCTTTTACCTTTCTTCTATTGTTTTCTTTACCTTGTCATGCAATATACATTAAAAGTTAAAGCAAACTTAAGATAAAATCAACTTACAACATAACTTAACATGTTGCAAACAAAACCTTACAAACTTCTCTATGCCAGTTTCAGGCTTATTTTTGGCTTTTTTATTTTTTACTAGTTACTAATATCTATTCACTTATTTACAGTGAATGGAGAAACTCCTTGTAAGTTTTGCACTTCCAAGCAGAAGAAAATTGAGTATGATTTGGCACACCAGCCAACATCAGTGGAAAGAAATATCATTAAACAAGAGTCGGAAATATTTGTCTCACCAGAGGGATCTGAGGAAAGGTACAGAATGATATAGTTATAGAATATTGTGGGGGCTAAATATCAAGAGTAGAGGGGTTGTGCTGCACATATAGATCAACAATCACTGTGTTCAAGTATTTTCCTCTTATTTCATAGGGTTACAACTCCAAATTAATCTTACATTTGTTAAGCTGTTTTTTATCACTGGGTTGTAGTTAAATTCAAAGAAAACTGACTCCTGTTCTGTTTTGGAAAAATGTAGGGGTGGCATAGCAAGAATTAAATTAGTGCAAGGTTTGGCTGAAAAGCAACTGGCCTTGGTAGGAGCTTCTGTGGGGTCTACATTTAAGAAATGTTTGAATATAGACTTAGAATTGTACATTTTTGGATGGAATATTCTTCTTCATTGTCCTCCAATTGTTTTGGAAAATGCAGGAAGAGTCACTTTAAATAATTTCAGTGTTCATTATAAAGAAATATTTATTATGAATATTCTGGTGAACTCTGTTCAAACACACTGAATTGAACTACAAGACACAACTAATAAACCCCCCAACCTGAAGCATCCACACCCAGAGAAACATCAGTATGCATATTCTCCATACAGTTATCCATACATTTGTTAAAGTGCTAACAAGAAGAATTTGTTTAAAAGTCAAGAGCTTCTCTTGTTGGTGATCATTTCCTTTATTCTCATGACCTTAATGACTGATTCAGGGGTGATATTGTAAGGAGAAGTTAGATGTTAGTCACTCATAGGGGTCAAAAGGTTGATCATATTTTTATATTCTTGTGACTTCAGGGTCCATCAAGTGTGTTCATCTCATTCTTCAAAACGACCTTTGTCCAAATCAAGGGGAATTCAACAAACTCTTCCAAAACGAGACCTGGCAACCAAATACTTTGGAGAACATTTGTTCTCTCTTCCAGCCAGCATTACTGGCTCAGATTCAGCTTTGAGTACAAGCAAAACTCAGGCAGCTCGCAGGAAAAGATAACCTTGATGGTGAAAAAAAATCTCTGATTATGTAAATAACCTACATGTACCTTTCCTTGCGTCTTTTTATTTTCAAAGAAATAATAAAAATATTTAAACACCATGCATATTTGATTTTTCAAAATTAATTAATTCTATTTATTTCTACTTTTTTTGTTACCGTTTTAGTTATCTTTTTAAGTTATTTGTATTACTTTGCATTTATTTTACTTTATTTTCTTGGCAACTTCTTCAAATTGTCCTATTTTAATAGCAAAAAAACGGTATCTGGTACGTTTCATTTGATTACAAAAATGATATCTCCGTTAACTTCTCCCATAAAATAAGTCGATGGAACCTTTAACTATTTTCATTAAATGCATTCACCCACGGGAATGTTATGACAAAAAAAGAAAAAAAATCAATTTTTTGGAAGTGTTCACCGATTCCTGATATTGTCAGAAGTAAGCTAACCATTAACAGCCAATGGGTTAAACGCTACACTTCGTCTCGTCCGAATATTATCGTAAATCCTCTCGTCAATAACACAGACAACAATTTACGAAACTTTACTCAGGTTTGGGGAGGTCGAGCATCGTCAGTGTATCGACCGGAGAGAACGGTCTGGAAACACGATCACCAAACACGCCGCCTCGTTTTTGCTTGCCTCACGCGAAGTAAATCAAGAATTCAAAATGGCAGTCACATTTCGCGGAGGGGTATTAGACGTTCACATGAAAAAACCACGCCTGTAAAGCCGGCGACACACTTTGAGATTTATACGCCGATCGCGGCGATCGGCAAATATCGTCAAGTGTGCCCAATGCAGCGATTGCGATTTTCGTTAATAGCCGTTGTAAATCACCAATATCTGGCTTGTTTGATATCAGCGATTTTCGCTGGTGATTAAATTCGCCACGATCGGCGTGTAAATCGCCAAGTGTATCACCGGCTTTAGACACACGCTTTTAGGAGAATGGGATGGGTTTCCTTTTTGTCAACCGTACGCCGAAACGAAATTGAAAGTTGTCCTCAAGTGATGTGAAAAACAAGAAGTTTATCAACTTAGAAAAAAATAATACGAGTGCATGTCAGATTCTTTGATTTGAACAACTTTTATTTTCCTACTCCACTGTTGAAATAACTATTTGTGCTAATTTATTGCAGGCTAAAAATCACTCCTTACAGCTAGCCTAACAACAGATTCTGAAAGGAGAAAAAAAAACCAGTTTAGTTCTATGGACAAAACAAACTAGCAAACGTTCAGACTTGATTTAGTAAGAGTTGCTCAACACCTAATCTGGGCCAGTGAATGAATTGGGATCAGCATGTGTCAAACATAGCAACTTTCTTGAAAGAAATCTATGGCGAAAGGTTGTTTCATTGAAGACAGAAACAAGTTTGAAAAAAGGCTGTACACAAGTTAGTACAACGGAATAGATTTCATTGAGTTATTTCCAAACAGTTAAAGCTAATTTTCTAATATTTTATATTTCTTAACGCCACATATCTCTTTCAAGCAATTTGCAAAGTTTGACCCTGTGGTGATCCCAGAAAACTTTGTGCAGACTCATGGATCCGATTAATGGCAACTCATTCATTCAAAGTATGATGCATATGGTGAAACTGAGTTTTTGTTTTAGGAAAACAATGAGTAATGCATAACTTTCACCAAGATGCTTCACTGCGTCTCCCTTACTCGCTCTTTTGTACGGTCTTTCGCCCATTCATCGTTCGGCCCTTCCTATTTTCTTTGGTTACTTCGCTTTTCCTCCTTCTCCTCATCACTTGTTCATTGGTTTCAAGAATCTTTCACGGTTTGTTTGTTTTTTTTTTTTCACTTTAACTGCAAATCATTGGTTTGCCCCTTATCTTATTCATCCGTAAATAAAAGCAAAACAAAAACGATCCGTCCTTACCCTAACAGTTAACAAAAGAAGTGGGATCCACTATCGCCCCATCCTTGTAGAGCTGCACATGAACATGGTTTGTCATCCCAGGGTCCACAGATGCCCTGTCAGTCATGGTGCCAATGGAATCCCCTGAAGCCACGATTCTTCCATTGCTGATTGTCTTCCTCACATAAAACAATTTTACTTTATAACCTAAAAAAACAAAGTAGCAAAGAGAGAGAGTATTTTTATTCTGGTGTGAAAATCTTTTGAATATAGAAAAGTGTGACTTATTCTTCACAAGCGTTGGACAAAGGAAAATGAGGGAGCTCCCGTGAGGAAGCGAACCATCAATAGGTTCGGTTGATCGGCTGCTCTACCAAATGAACCACAGAGAATATCCAGGCCATAAAAATTGTTGGTCACAACTAAGTGACCCGTCCAATTAATCTTGAACGCAAATCACTTCCAAATTCGGCAGTGTCTGTGCCTGAATCATAACGTTTTGTAGGGGATCCCAAAATAGATAAAAACTCAACTCTCTTGAAATGAGGGGGAATAGCTGAAGGTTATTTAAATTTTCTTCGTGATTTTACGTTTTATTTCTTTCGGCTCATTACCTGTCCAGGCTCCAGTTCCCCTAAGTTCAAGGCCAGTGTTGTATGGCTTGCCGCGATGTTTCGATGCACTATACACAGTAAGTCCACGGACAACACTCGCGGGAAATGGAGCGTACACACGATATCCCACAGCACACACGATATCAACGCCTTTATGGGTGCGACTCCTACATATGAAACATAACGAGACAATAGTTTGCATCTTTTTGTGAGTACAATCTGTCAGCTCCAAAATGCTGACATTATGGTTCACAAAAAAAGCCTTTAGTGCATCTATCATAAGATCTCTCCTGTTGCCTTTTCACTGATAGCGACAGAAATTACAACTTTCTTGGACAAGATAACGAACGTGTTCATAAAGGTCTATCTATTAAATAATTATGTGGCATAATATTAACACAGCAAAAGCTCAGAGATCGCCCAGGGATTCTTAAAGTGATTATTTCAATTACTGTATGAGTCGCTCTTTCGTTTAAAATTTTACTAAATATTTTAGATGACATTTCAATGCGGAATTGTTCAAAATATGATTGACGCTAATCCAGTTGTATCTCTCACTGGAACAGATAATTTCTGTATGCTGCTGACCCAGTATTTTAGTTGATCGGCCCCCTCAAATGTAGAAATACCCAAACCGTGTATAATATAAATTATTTTAGGATTTGACGCATCTTACGATACGTTCGCCTTACCCCCTCGGTGCTCCAAAAGCACCACTGCCATGCCGATCTGTTCCTCTTATTTGATTGGAAGGATTACTGGAGCAAATCTGCGCAAAACATTTGCTACCACCTGGAAGTCACCAAAACATGTGATCAATTTGACGCATATTAACCATAGTCAACAAAGTGATGACTAATTAGAGATGTTTTGAAGTGTCAAAGCGCAACGTGATATGCGATAGAGGGGTACGTATTTGGATACATATCTGACGAGTCTTCGAGTGTCTCTTTTGAAAAATGAGAAGAGTCTACGCCTCTCGCTTGAGTTGCTGTAGTTCTTGGTTTAGTTTATTCCAACAAGTCTACTCAACCTCTGTGCCTCAGTTTTTTTGTTCTTACCACATTTTGACGTCATCTGTTACAAAACTTCATCTATTACAGAACAGACACACGGCAACATTGAATGGCGTGTTGCATTTGTGATGGAATGTCAGTAGACTGAAACCGGATTGAAAAACCGGATAGACTGAAACCGGATATAAAAACTGGATAGACCGAAACCGGATAGAAAATAATAGACTGAAACCGGATAGAAAAACCTTGAAGTGCGTCATGACTTTACCTCTCATTGTATGCAGAAACTGATAGATTTTCTAGAGTCTGTTATAGAAGTATACTTGTGATTGAAGTTTTTAAACTGATCATGAAACCTTCAAACCTTGAAGACGATTTTTTTTCTAAATCCAGTTTCACATTACGGAGAAATAAACAACAAGAAGTAGTTTTACCTGGTGTTGGTGGCTTTGGCTTAGGCTTGCTTCCACCGCCGCAGCCAAAAACTAAAACAACAAAGAAGATAAAGAAAATGTTTAAAATATTTGTAATAAACTTACGACAAAGAAAAGTAGTTCACTGAGTTAGGATTCAAGCTTCTTGCAAATTCCTTTTCTTTGCTCAAATTGCAAATTAGAAATTGATGGTCACTGACGACCACGTTAAACATTATGGAAAAGTCAGGAAGATATCTAGTTTATCACGATATCCGTTTCCAATGCAAATGAATATCATTCGGTTTTCGTTCCTTCTTCCACATGATTCGAACTAAAGAGAATCAGATAAATTGAGTATTCCAAAGATGTTATCCACTGTTTTGGATCAGGTCAATCGAAATATGTGTTTCATCGCGTTTTAGTTTTGAACTTGAAGGAGCAAAATTTTGACAATGAATTTTCTTAGCAACTTGCCGTCTGCAATTTTGGTAATTTAGTTACTTAAAATACTGCAAGGAAGCTAAAAGAGTAAGGAGTTTACTAACCTTCTTGAGACTGAAATATTCCTATGAAAACGATGGTAACGAAGATGGGATATTTCATGTTGAGAATTGCCTTTTCTACCTGTTCTTCCGTAAGTCTCAGGGGCATTGATCATAAAGACCGCGTTACAAACGTCTATATATAGGGCGTTTTCTATATTACCTCATCTAGGAAAAATGTTATTTATATCCGTTTACCTCGACCAGTGGTTAAGGCATTGTTTACATGTACTGCAACGGTGCTGAAATACCGAATATAAAAAGAAACGTTTTTTTAACAGCGTAATGATTGATTGGTCTTTGTTAAAACAGAATGGCGGCGCTGTCTTACAAAACGCACGTTTTAACTTAATTAATACATTTATCCCGCAAAACTAAGACACATTTACCACATATTTATTTTCTTCCTAAGGTAGGCTAGCAACACAAGTGCAATAAGCCAAGACAAAGCCATTTTGTCCTGAGTGCCATACTCCATAAAGTTTTTTCATTCGAGAAAGAAGAGGTCCTCCAAATTAAACGATCCCTGGAATGTGTGAATTTTCTAACTGTTTCACAAAGAATTTTTTTCCTTTCCCATCTTGAAGTTAAGCTTGTAATTTGGCAAAACTCCCGTACGGAAGTTAGCAATTTATCAGGACAAACTAGTCCGTGATTTCAAAGTTTTACTTCAGCACTACTTACGAGCTCAAGCATTCGACATCATATTTCAGAACAATCTCACAGACAAACCATAGGAAACCTATATAATTACTGCAGATCGTAGTTATGAATTTAAGAATTTCAGTCTGTCGGTCCAACCTTACTGATCGTGCGGGATTTCAGTATCGAAGTCAAGGTTACGATATAAATAATTTAGTGAGCTAAAATAGTCAATTGTTTGCTTAACTCCAATCACGCAAGGCTACTCATGCGGTTTATAACATCATTATAAATGTATCTCCATATATCCGTATAGGTCATTCCACAAAGGCGGAAATACAGCTAGTATTGATTTTTCTTCGATGCCTCGTTTCAAGCTAAAAGTTCTCTTAATCGAGGAAAAAGGATTAATTAACCTAAAAGTAAAATGATGATAGAATCGTCGCCATTTTTGATGAAGAATTTAGTTATCAGAAAAGGTTGTGTGTCTATTGTGATGTGAAATACGGGTTCGGCTTGTGGTGGATAATGACGTGCAATCGATAAAGTGCGAGAACCCACTGTATTGTGGCTGTCTGACTGACTTGCTTTAAGTTCTTTACGAGGACGTAGCGACCATATTCTCCCATACGCACAGCATGCCAAGAAAGATCTTTAACCCTATACCCCCTAACATCAGTATGCATATTCTCCATACTGCTCTCCATACATTTCTAAAGAGGCTGACAGGGAGAATTTATTTAACAGTCAAGAGCTGCTTTGGTTTTGTGATCATCTCCTCTTTTCTCATAACTTTCATGTTTGATTCAGAGTTGATATAGCGAGGAAAAATTTAAGTCACTCTAAGGGGCTAAAGGGTTAAAGGTATGTCTTTCATAATCAAAACTGCATGTATGACAGAGTGTTTCTCGACACTTCACTACAATTTTACAAACTGCCATACGAAGTAAGAAACGTTTAAAAAAAAAATAGCGCTATTCAGTTCACTATCACAATGATCCTTAGATAAGAGTGAGTGCTTGTAAGCTATCAAAACTTCCCTAATTTGATATTTGAAACTGTTCCCTAGAGATACGGGAAAGGGAATCTCTGAGCCTCCGAGAATAAAAATTTCTCAGAATCTTCGAGCGACCCACGTCTCAACTCTTGATTAAGTTCCTCTTTTGTACGTGCTCCACGCAAACTGCTCATTACACCCCCGTTGTTCATCCGATTAGTTTCTTGAGTAGGCACGTAAGAACCTTTTTTCTCGTTTTTTCACCTCCCTTCAATACGTCGGGTAGGTATATAATTTGTTTTTAAACAGTGGTGTGTGGCGATTTTAATGCAATGTTAAAATTATCCGTTGTTTCAGCGTTTTCAGGTTGTTCCGTGTTGTTAAGTCAAGAATGATGTGAACGGAAACGACTAAGAAGTAATTTAGACAGAGTAATATAGTATTATCAACTGAGCCCTTCGTCAGAGCGATTATCGCCCTGGCGAAAGACGTTATCAACTCAGTTGATAATACTAAATTGCCCTGTAGCACCGATTGGTATGTAATCATTAGGATTCTATTCAATTTCTATCTTCTGAATTTTTTTTACTCCTGCCTAAGTAGTGTTCATTACTGCGAAGATCACTTCCGTGTTCATTTCTTTGTCCGCAGTTCACATATATGATTTTCATATATTTACAGTCATTTATAAGATTTCGCTTGTTTTCAGTCTGATATCAGCCAAATTTGTAGAAACTATAAACTCTTTGTTTTCATAGGTTTTCTTTAATAACTCTACTAAAGATCGTATCGCGGATCAGTAGAATAAATAACACCAACAATCGAAGTGGTTTATAGGCCGTTCCTTCTGGGGTAGCTAATTACACCTAATTGCACAGGATATGTTGTGTCAAGCAGTTGTAAGCGGTAGAACGAGGAACTCCAAAAAACGAAAAATTCATCAATAATTTTTGAACGGCTTTTATTATCCGAAAGAGAGAGTATTGATTTTAGGTAGATACTGCTCATGTTTAGTTTATTATTTCGTGATTTGAATGTATCAATTATTTTAAATTAAAAATACTCAGAGACCAAACAGCAGACGAAGAGACTTTTGTCCTTTGATCATGCTTTTACATTACATTATCCTTCGCTCCTGGTGCATAGACTGCAAGGCATAACATACAAAAAACAAAAGGAATAAGAAAATCAGTAATCTTATAGTTAGAGAGGTTTGTACAGGTTATTCAAACTTCTCTCATTCTCAAAGTTTACGCACAGAAAAAACTCATTCGGAACTCTGTTACGGGTCTCCTCTTATCGGACTTTTTTTTAAGTTATCATCATTGCAATCTTGGCAGCGTGTAGTGACTGCAATGAAGCGTTGTAATCTCAGAGAATATAGATATCACTGATTTGTTGTAGACTTTGTCCGTGTGTTACTGTAATTTCATCCTAAGTATCTCGAATCTAAGCTATACAATCCCCAGGTGTGGACATGTGCCACTGTGTCGGCGTAAATTAGCTTGCATATCTCTACCTTAGGCCGGGCACGTAGTCGAGAGCAACGCGCGGTCATGAGTGTGGCCTATACTCGTTGCTTTACTGAGAGGAAGAAAGGGGAAGAGTCTTACCTTAACAGAAAAACTTAGTTGGGTTCATTGTCACTCCATTCTTGTCAACCTGCACTTGAATACTATTAGTCATACCGTAGCCATACTCGGGCGCCATGTTGGTCATGTAACCAATGAAAGTTCCGGCAGAAACGTAACGTCCATTGCGAGCTCTCTTCTTTACGAAAAACAACCTCACACCATAACCTGGAAGAAACGTTAGAAATGTGTCATCCCATCCCCTCATATCCCCTTTGTTCCTTCTTGGAAACTTGATGACCTATTTAACAAATAGAGAAGCCTTGACTGTGCTCTGTTCTGTTATAAAGCACGCAGGAAGCGGCTAGAGCACGAAAGAAGTGTAGGGAGAAACACGAGACGTTTCTCCCCACTTCTTGAGAAATAACTTCTTGATAATAAAGAATCCATTAAATTCCCCGAGCATTACTTTCAATTTTCAAAACAAACTTTATTTCCAAAGCGAAGAACAGTGTCGTCAGCATGCTCTATACTCTCATAAAGCACGCTACAATAAGCCAATCAGAATCCCTGTTAGAATGGTTGAAATAATCTGATTGGCTGTACAAGACTAAAGCTGTCAAAAGTGTCAAATCATCAAAGTTTAAAAACCATCAAAGTTCACCTTATGCGATCGTTTACAAATTAAAATAGTTTGGTAAGTCGAATTTAACACTTTTGCCTGAAGTTTTTAAGTCTCTAATACAGAATCTTGAAGTGAAATGTTCAGTAAACTTCAGCCGAATTATGGCTCATAAAAACACGCGAGTTTTTTTCACATGACAAGGTATGAAAAAAACTGTTCAAGGCGAGCGTTTTTTGAATGAACGACAGCCGAATTCACCGAAACATGAAGATCGCTCGGGATACGGCAAAACTCGGCTGCAGTGACTTTCCACTCAACGCATCGGAAAGGATATCAGAGCAAGCTCTTATTTTTTCACTCGAAGGGCGGCCGATATAGTTTCTGAGACTTGCTTTACTGTGATGACCGGAGATCGCCATGATGAGCGAGCCGCGATGGACTTTAGCATGATCATATTCGCTCAGACACCGTCATGATTAAAATGAATTTTAACAGTTATGCCAGTTTGGTTATATTTTTCATCATTTCTGTTTTGTTCTGTTTTGTTTTTGAACACTGAACTTTAAATACTATATGAGTATTAGTTGTGTTTGATTTTTATTTCCGTACGTAAGCTTGCAATCTAACTGAGCGTGAATTAATCTTTAAAACTCGGAATGTCTATTTTGTTTTTCCTTTGAGGATTTTCGTATCTGCTCACGTTTTAATAACGTAAATTACGGCGCCTGGTATGTTTACAAACCTTTATTTGGTTCTTCTGTTGCTACTTGCCGGCTCGCTTGTTCCGAAACTTCACTTTCAAACATAGCACAATTTGGCAGATGGCGTGACAGCTTTAGCTCAGCTCTATGCTCTATACTCTCATAGAGCACGCTCTTTCAACCAATGACAGCGCGCGTTATATCCGAACTTTATTATAAAATGAATTAGGAGGTGAACTGAGGTATGATCCAGGCCACTGTGAAAGTTTTTGTGATATTGAAAATTTCTGGTGGTGGCTCTGAACTTACAATACTGGTTTGTTTAAGACTTTGCTCCACATAGAAGGGATCTGTGGGCAGATGCCAATTTGAGATTAAAAAGCTAAAAGGTGTTAGTTTAAAAGGCAATCCACGAAACTACAATATTTGTAATACTGGTAGATTTTCCAGTTTTGTATTAAAAAGTCAGCGAAAAAAATGAGATGAATTTCAAAACATCTGACTTTGATCAATTGTTAGGTTTAATGTCCATGTTTTACCTTTCCATGCTCCAGTTCCTCGCAGGCGAATCGCAACGTTATATGGTCTCCTGTTTTTCAAGAACGGCCTGTACGAATAGAGAACTCTAGCAGGAAAAGGTGCATATACCCTCGAACCAGCAGAGCACTTGATATCAATTCCTTTGTTGGCCCAGCGAGTCCCATCCTTCTCGCAACACCTGCGTCGGAGAATAGTGAGCATAGCACAGACCATTGTTTGCATGAAGGAACCCAAAAAGACACTAGTAGTATTGGTTCTGCCCCCACCCTCCCCTCTCTTCTTAACCCTGATTTCTATCGTTAACATCTCCAGTACATTATGGGGCTAAAGCAGTAGCAGATCTCTTGTTTTCAGACAATCGCCGTGGCCAGGTTGGCCCAGACGCGTTGATACCATTTTGTTCCGCAGAAGCGACGAGATTTCAAGATTGTTGGCAGTCAAATTTTAAAAGGAACATCTTTTTAAAGCTGGGATCTTAAAATATGTCTTCCTTCGAGGAAAAGAAACAACGAAGATGCGAAAAATAAAAACAAACAACTTTTTTTTTGGAAGTAGGCACATGCTCACACCTACACATAAAGCTCAACCTTTTCCTTAACCTGCAATCTCAAAAATGCCTGTCATAATTTCAATGGTTTGACGCTTATCGCGATTTCAAAAGCAACAGGGGGTGTTTAGATATCTCGAAAGAAGCAGCCCCTTACAAAGAAGGGATAGTTATCAAGAAAGGCTGCTCAGGAAAACCTAAAAGTAACGAGCAGGTAAAGAAAGTCTGCAACACTTTCTCCCCCGAATAATCAAGTTTCAAGCCCGGTTCCTGTTGCCTTGAAGGTCTGCGACTGTAGAGTAATGTTTCACAAAAGACAAAGAAAAATACATAGAGAAAGAAAGAGGAGGTTTCTTGGATGATTTCCAAGAATAGAGCGAAACATACCTTGGGGCCCCAAAGGCTCCACTGCCAAATCTATCCCATACTCGCATCATATTGGAGGGGTTGCTGGAGCAGATCTTAGAGAAGCACTTTTTTCTAATCGCTCCACCTAGAAATTATAAGAGTCCTTAGCTTTTTAAATCTGTCGTTTTCCCGTAATTAAAATGGCAGTGTAAACTTCTGTGAGTTATCACAGTACATACGTTGTTGAAATTCATATAAAAACAGCGGATACAGGGCTGTTTCGTTTCGACTTGAAGCTGTCAAGATTTCCCTATTAAGTAAAGAGGACGTCTCGGAAACGGTCCGAATCGTTTGCTTTAGATCGAAACCATAGTTATGAGATCTTAGCAGAGTTTCTCTCAGCGTACTTAATGCACCAAAATGGGGAACAACTGAGCTTAAATTTTGAAAATACGATGCGCGTGATCGAGATTTTATAGCCTCATACTTCAAGTCGTCTTCATGAGCAGAACGGCAAGGATGTAGTTTTAGGATTAGTTCACCATTTTTCCATCCCAGAAGTGCCAAAAAGGTTTTTCTTTGTAATGAATTAAAGAAAGCGTGTAGTCCATCAAATGCCGTAAAACCGTGATTGAAAAGCCAAACCAGAAACGCAATAGTATTCATATAAAATGATATACAGCACACACTGACACAGTCGAAAGAAAATTTACATTGCTGTTATATTGCATTGTCTTAAAATTCGAAACTAAACTCAGTGTCATTTTTACATGGTAGCTTCGAAACGGCACAATTTCATTTCGCTAACTTTTATTATCAAACATAAATGTGTAGATGTTCCTCGGTTATAATTTTTTAAAGGAAATACATGTCCAATAAAATTTTTACTCTTTTAAACTGGTTTGCCAACTGTGAAAACAGCTCAAAATACCATTCCGCTTTCTCTGAGTGGTAACCGGACGAGCTGAAAAGATGTTTTCGCAATTCAAGTATTCGTGTATTTCTGAAATAGCAAATCGATTTGTCTAAAATATCGTTCTCGCTGAACTCTGTCGTAATGGCAGCATCATTTGTATAAACTTTATATTATGAGTTTTCATATATCGAACACTGTTAAAAATGGTTGCCGGTTTAACTCGCTGAAACTGCGCAGATCGTAAATATGCATTTTGATCAGAAAAAATTATATTGTACTTCGAATAGTCCTTGTCTTACCTTCCATTGATTGAGCAATTATTCCGAAGGCAATGGCAATAACAAGCGGAAATTCCATGGTGAATTATCAACAGCGGCCACCGAAGCAAAGAGGACAATTCACTTGAATGCTTGTGGCGTTCTGTGTTAAATAATGTTGTCATCACGTGGATAAACGAATACTTTAACACTTTTAGTGGATGTTATTTTACTATAGTTTCGAAACTGTTTAATTTAATATGAACTTCCTGAAAAACCGAAAGTGTCGTTCGTGAAATCTTTAAGAGAGCAGTCGTCAGTTTGTGTGAACGATGGAAAGGAACTTGTCGACTAACATCAAATATTTTTGTCACTTCCCGTCTTTCTCGATGAAGGTTGGCTGATATCGTTTTTTTGTAAGCCGATGCGATACTGAGTACAAAACCAACTTTTCTTTCCTTGAATATCGATATGCATACTTGAGTTTGCAAGCAAGTCACTTGACCTTCCTACCAAACACAAGGTTGTCTCGCAAGGTCATTAGTAATTGCAGTTCAGTGCTCTGACATCTCGTGAAAATCACAGACAAACAAGTTAAAAATTGCAATTTATTATCCACATTTGTCCACAAAATCATGGTAACCAGAAGAACGCAGGATCCCGGCGGAGGAGAAAAGCTTTAAGTGGATTCTCATATGGTTGTCGTATCAGATATCGGTATCGGCCCACTCCTTACTTTTCGACCACGGACGAAAATGCGACTTTATCACGGAAAATCTTGGATTTAAGCCATTAACTTTTTAAACTCGGATCGAAACCTAGCAGGCAGGTAAGAAAGGATAAAGCTATGGATTTAATAAAGAAACATTTCAATTAAATGTTCGTAACACTTTTCATGCAATTTGTCTGCTGGATCGGTCTTTGAATGTAAGAGTAGCCCTGCAAACTGACGGGCACATAGTTTATGTTCTGTTGATCGCCAAGGACAACTTAAAAAATAAATTTAGAAAACTAGACAAGGATCAAGACGCCCCAGAATCACTTCTTCACGGAAAATCAGAAGTAAAACCATTAAAAACCGGTTAAGGAAAGTGATTCTGAAATTCAAGGAGCCTTTTGCAGTTGGCAAATGCTAAAGAAGCTTCTCTAATCTCCTCATTCCTTAATTAATGATCGATCTGCTCATCGATATACAGAATCGTTATTTTTAAGAAGAGTAATTTACTTTACTAGCCTCTCCGATTGGCGTACAAAGACAAGGAAACTGGAAAATATTATTTCCATTGTGAAAAGGTATCTTTGGCATCTGGAAGGGATCCCAAGCAAATTTTAGCTTGGCATTGTCTCTTCCATATGTTCGGAGGTCATGAAAGGCTACTGCTATAATTCCGACGACTGACAGCATCATTTGATATAAGCACCAACTTCAGATGTTCAAAACTTTTAAGGCTGCTGGTTAAGGTCAGATCTGTATGTGGCAGGTCAGTATGCTTATTTTTTTAACACAGTTCATTTTAAAAACTTTCTGAACACTGCGATTACATTAGTTTCCAGCTTCAAACTTATCTTTCATCTGAAGGCGTAAAAATTCAGCATGATAGTTTGAGGTTAACAACGAACCGATAACTTTCAGAGTGATTAATGATCTGTGACATCAAACCAAATTTTTAAAAGATCTCTGTAAACGAGCACAGGTCGTGACCTCTAAACAAACCTGGGTAGCCTATTCGCATCTTAAACCTCATGGATTTGATACGAGGAATCCCCGCCACCAACCAAAACCTAAACATAAGGATTACAGTGGTGTGAAAATTTTTACACAACGTCCAATATATGGGGCTTTAACGCTTAATAAAAACAAACAAACAAACAAAAAAAGTCAGATGTTTAAATGGAATATTCACTCATTAATGTTTTGCGGATTCTTTAGGTGGGTTTCCGCAAAAGGCCACCCGGATAGAGGGGCAGACGGTGCTAGAATATCTCTGCGAAGACTTTTGACTTTAGTAGATGTCGTAGGTCAGGTAACCAATCGTGGGTGATTCAATTCAACCCGCCAACGCAGGTCGCGTAAGGAAGTTCCTTTGCTTATTTTCGAAGCCAAGCTATGATAGATTCTCATCGGCTACGGAATTATTATCCTGTAAAAATGCAAGGATCTGCAAGTAACTTAAGAGAACTATTTGACACAAGACTTTTCTTCTAATCCAATAATTAGAGTGAATAAAGAAGGGTTGGACTTCCTAAGTGACATTGTAAGAGTCAAGAAAAGGATCGAAAGCTCTTTGTTTTTATTGAAAATTAATGCACAATATAGGCAATCGATTTATTTCATATTTCAATTCCGATATTGGTAACAGCTTCTACTGTAAACACGAATTTCTTTCTGTTTTCGCGTTGATTCATCACAACTTGACGTAATCGAAAGAGATATCATGACAAACATTAATATTGTTTAGTGGAAAACATCATGGAATTTTCAAAACGCAGAACCATACCTATTAAACTTCAAGAACTGAGAAAGGATAATTAGAAGGAAATAAATTTTAAAATTTTTCAATCTTGACTGACAATCATTCCGTCGTTTTTATTAAACGCAAACAGACTCGGAACTGGACAATCTATCCTTGACAACCAGACATTTCTAAGTTTTTTGTACATATTTTAGAGATAATTCTAGCCTAAAAGCTAAGGTTCTTACACTCATACACTTTAAATAAAATATGTTTGTGTCACTTTTTGAAAATGACTTCATGTTTTACGATAAATATGGGAATGTTGGGTCCAATATCAAAACTAACACACGTCTTTACACTGTTTGTCAATGAAATATTTAAGACAAGTTCAACCTTTTGTTACAGTGTACCATTCCTAAAAGAATACTTCTTATGAAAACAAAAAAAAAACAAAAAAAAAAAAAAAAAAAAAAGAAAAATATCTTACAAAGTACACGAACATACGCTTGTTGTCTATTTGGCTCCTCGGAAAAAAGAGCCGTGTCATTTAATTGCAATCTTAGAGTGTAGTCAGGCGATTGATGAGTAAGTACGTATTTATAAACAATGCCGATTACAGGACAGATTTTGCATGGCTTGCAGATTCTGTGTCATTCCTGTTTCCACTCCTTTTTACAAGGTGATCGAGACAATTTTTTTCGATAACGTGATTTTCTTTCTTGTTAGTCCCAGAGCGCTCTCTTCTAAAATCTTCGTGAAAGAAACAATGAAACAATATAGGTATATCTTTATTAATATTGTTGGAGATGGAGTTGTTACTTCCGTTGCTTTTATGGTGATATGCGACCTTTAATTTGCCGCAAGAGACTGTTAAGTAAAAATTTGTGATGCTTACTAGTCAATGGGTATACCTACCGCACGGTAATCTTGAAGTAAGAACCAACACCTTTCAACTTATCGCGCAGATGTTTTAAAACCGGTGAGAGAATACGAAAAAATGCTATTCAGAGAGTCGCCTGACTCTCCATTTGGATCGAGGAATATCTCTCTCACTTTGTTCAGCAAATTCTTTGCAATCCACTTATGAATGAAAATTAAAAAGACTGAGTAAAAAACCAGTTAAACTATCCTTCTTCATTAAGGAATATCTCTTATTTCAGACTGCCTACTCTGCCCAGTCCACGTCTGACCGCTCTGAATAATCTTCTGTAAGAGTCCATAAAGTTTCTGTTGTTGAATGAGTAAAGAACAGGGTTTAAAGCAGAATTTAGGTAGCCCGTCATGAGGGTGACGTAAAAGGCTTCTTGCGGTATGTTAAGGAGACATTCGTGACACAGGTTACCAATGATGCTGAGGATGCTGTAAGGCAACCAGCACAGTAAGAAAACGCTTACAATCACCGCAATCCGCTTAGCTGCTCTGATGTTCCTTTGAAGCAGGAGGTTTGCTTGGGTGTTATGCGCCACTGGGGAATCAATAGGTCGAACAGCTCTAGTGTGGCGACGGATCTGGCCATAGATCATGATATAAACCACGCACATAGCCAATGAAGGAACAATGAAGTGCAGCACAGACACTAAGACACTGTATAGGTGAGAACCGTTGAAGAAACATATACTACCGTTGACGCTTTTCGTCCTAAAACGCCATAATGTCCAACCCGTCATAGGCAAAATGGAGAAACCGAGGGAATACACCCACAGAGCTGTCATGCAGCCGACGATGCGACTTCTAGTCGTTTCCTTTCCGCTGCGGAACTGTTTCAGAGGCTGGCTTAAGGTGAGGTACCGATCGATACTCAAGCCCAACAGAGTGAGATTCGAGGCAGGAACAGTCAGCAGGTAGGTGGTGGTCCAAAGTTTACAGGCTGCTTCTCCATGAAACCACAACCCGTTGTTGAGAATGACATAGACGTCGAATGGAACCACTAACATGGCTGCAAGAAGATCAGACACGGCCAGAGATACGATAAAAAGACTTGTGGTAGCTTTTCGCAAGCTTGGGCTGAAAAGTGTCGCGGTGCAAACCAGAGTGTTACCAATGATCGCCGCCACCATGATAACAATAAAAGCAGTCACAATGAATACGGTGAATTCCTTAGAAAAGTTCAAATATCCCTGAGGTCCCACTGGGGATTTCGATGTGGTATTATGAGCTTCATCCGAAGCGTTGGTCGTAAAGCTGCTCATTTTTTTTTTCCCAAATCGTGCGAGCGCAGCTGTAGAGTGTTGTGAAGGACACGATAACAGCGCGATATAATGCGAGTAAATGGGAATGCATTGTTATACTCTGCTCTTCTAATTAATGATCAGATTCCATTACGTGAGAGCACTCTTCAGAGTTCCTTTGTTCTCAAGAATGAATGCCATAAACAGTTAGACTGAAGTCACTTTCTATTTGTATCCTCAAAAGCGTGCGTACCTCTGCAGAAATTAAAACGTATTTTTTGGCCACTTTTAATCTCTCTTTTGATCACTCATTGCGTTGGTAAAAGCGCACAGCTCGCTAAAAAAGAAATAATTTCTGTACTTTGCCCTTATACAATAACAATATCTTCCTTAAGTGACTAAAACTGGCAAGTTCTTATGTTTTTCGAACAACAAGAGGGAAAGACTGGTTGCAGTCAGTTGTCTTGGTTGTTTGAGATTCCTCTACTCTTCACGAAAGTTGCCCCAAAATTTTTCAGGTTCCCAACAGGGCAGAGCTTGTTTATCTTTCGGACAGTTTAAGACACTCTTACCGAAACGTATTCCGTGACACAATCAATATTGGTTCAATTCAACCCTCATTCAAAAGTGATATAACATCTGTGGTTCAAATTCTTTTGTACTTTATACTTCAGAAGATTTTTTGTGATACATATTCTTCCGCTTTTAGTTGAAATACTTTAATAAGAGCACTGGATGACTAAACAACTTAAGGAGAGGATGCGGAAATCCTTTCATTTAACCCAATAAAAAAGGTTCCTGAACGGTTAAATCTAAAACGAGGCTAAACAGAAATTTGTAAGACGTGCATTATCAACAGAAGGCCGACATCAGCTTTTATTACGACCGTTGCCATTAACTGGCGCCAGGAGTGCAACTGATATTACATTTTTTTCTTTTTCACTAAACAGTTTTAAGATTGCTAAGCTATATTGCCATTGTTTGATGAATTTTCTTCGGATCTTGGACGGTGGGTAATGTCAAGTCTAGGAAATATAGTGGATGTAACTTCAATATATAACATATTTTCCTCACGATACAGTCATAGTTGGGAATTAAGCTGTTACTAGTTTGTTGTCAAAGCTACAGCAGTTCAAAGGTCACTACTCTAGAATTATTTACGCATCATCTCTCTAATTTTGACTGACATCTTTCATCTTTCATACGACCTAAGCAGAAATATTTACCAGTGAGATTATCTCGACAGCTATAACATGCTATTAAAGCAATTTTTAGATGGCTGAAGGAAAAACACTCAAGCTTATCCAAAAAGACTTCTGACTCCAAATATCAAACAAAGTTAAACAGAAACCGCTTTCGTTTTATCTATGCAAAGTTTCATATTGCATAATTTATATGAAACGAAACGATGGGATAATTTGAAGAATCGTTGGGAAAGCTTTTGTGCGCGACATTTTACAAAACTTTCAAAATATTTTAATGTGTTTTGATTTTTGCTTTTAGAATGAAATTGCTTTGCAATCTCTCTCCCAATGGTCATCAAAGCTTGTTCAATTTCTAACATTTGATTTATGAGCGCTTTCACCATTAATTTTTGTTTCTATGACAATATTGTCTTCTGTGGATTTGGTGTCATTTCAAAGCGACAACAATTATTCAACTCTCAGCGTTTGTTTATAAACTTTCTCCTTGATTCACTAAAAATAGGACAGTGCTGAGTGGTTTTTAACATAATAAATTACACAGTAGATAGTACTGAACCTAAAAGGAAAAATTAGCGTAAAACACACCTTTCAAATTTTTCCTCCTAAAAAAAAAAAAATCAACTTTCCAAGTATTCCGTTGATCTCTTTCTCCTTGACTGTGTCGTTCGAAGCAAGATTCGCTCTAATACTGGTTTGATTGTCATGGCAACCTATGGGTTTTGTATACGCAGTCATCTTGGGGTTGATGTCATAAAAATATTGTTGTCCATCGTGGTTTTGTAGATAAAATGAAACGTTTAATCATTTTCCTCACGATGTTGATTCAGGCCTGGATTTATGTTTATCGGGTCACGAACAACCCAGACCTGAATATCTTTACGTGACGTTCAAACTGAAATACCGTGGAAGTCGCTAACGCGATTGAGTAATGAGTGTTTGCCATTTTTTTTAGGGTTATATTTTCAGTTTTTAAAGATACATCCATTCTGTAAGTTGCCCGAGATAATAGTTTGAAATGATTGTATATAGTATTGTTTCCATAAATTATATGAAGCGCTCGTGAATTCCACAGAGTTGACGCTCTTTGAATGTTACTTAATTACAATAAGGGTACAATTTTTCGAATAATACCTCTTTCATTTATGATATATTGGGATCTAAACTAAAACCTTAGCAGGCAGCTTTAGAACTAAACAGTTACCGAGAAAATGGTTAAATCCAAACTCAGCACAGGCAGCCCAGTTTACAAAGTGGTGGTTCGGGTTAGCGTGCTCTGTCCTGTACTGTTGTTACCCAGTAACTTTCTGCACTTTTGGTTTCCAGTTGTAAGAGTTGAAGGTATCCGCGGAGTAACCTTGCAACGGAACGCGGGAGCAAGCCTGGATAAGGCGTTCCTAAACTGCTTATTCCTTAACGCATAAAGATAAGGATTCAAAGCTGAGCTTGAGTATCCTAGCATAAGAAAGACAATGTACAGTTCTCTGGGGATGGCTAGTATACATGACTGACATGCCATGAGCATGATTGTCGCGACGATGCTGAGAACAGTATGCGGCATCCAACAGAAGAAAAATGCGCAGGCAAGGATAAGGATATTCTTTGTTGTCGTTATCCGCCGTTTCAGGCTCTTGGCCGACTTTCTTCCAATGTCAGGTGAATTCTGCAAAGGATCTAGCACCTCCTGTTTGCTAAGACCACTCGCAATTTTGTAGATTCGCCAGTACAGCCCGCACATAAACACGGTTGGCAAGATGAAATTCACGGAGGAGCTCAACAAAGAATATTCTGTAGTTATGTTGAAGTCACAAAAACCGACCGCAGTTAGGCTTTGAGGAACCCGTTTCCAGCCTAAAACTGGTGCAAGCGCAAAAAGCCCTGAATAAATCCACAGCCATAGGATCACCAGAGCTGCGCGCTTACGGCTCATGAACGGAGTCTGGCGAAAACGGTTCAGCGGGTCCTTGAGGCTCTTGTAGCGGTCCACGCTCACAGCCAAAAGGTTCCAAATAGACGAGGGCACAGTGAGGAGGTACGCTGTGGTCCATATCTGGCAGAGGAGCTCTCCGTGGTACCAAGTATTATTGGTTAAAAGCTGTTCCAGATCGAAGGGCATTGCGAAGCACGCGGTAAGCAAATCACTTACAGCTAGCGAAAATATGAAATGATTCGTCGGTGAGATGCGAACGATTGCACTCAAGATAAATGCGAGACAAGCCAACAGATTTCCAGTGAATGCCACGGTGATTATAACAACATAAAGTGTCACACTGAAATACTTAAAGCCAGGACTCCACAATAACACTACTGGCGTAGCAGAGTGATTTGTTACCGAGAAATTCATCTTGACTTGACGGATAGGACAACGAAGATTTACGAATTTTTACGAAATACCTCGAGTTTGTTGTGGTGAGAGAGATCGACCATTACAAATGAAACTATTAGCTCAGTCCTGTGTCGATCAGTTTTCGGTCAGTACAAAGAAATAATCCAAATACTTGACCAAACTGATAATGGTCCACCTAAGCTCGGCTTTCACTTCGCAAGATATTCGTTGTTCGCCTAAAAAAAGGGCAAAAATTCGTTCTTTTAACAAAGCACTGTCGGCAATGTAACCAAGAGACGTTGCAAAGTCTCTGGAGTTCTTAATGCTGATGTTTTTCGGGATTTCAGATCCTGCCTTGCAGATTTCACAAACTGAGATTCATATGTGTAGAAATCGTGAAATATTCCATTTATACCACTCGAGTGCTCTGGCTGTGAAGAGATTTAATGCTGAGGGAGAGTTGCGCGGCAATCCTTAGCACTTCTGCAATGAACTTCACGCTTGTGAATCTGACAAGAAAATGCCAAAGGTTCTTGACTGTAACCTCCTGATACGCGCAGCTCACAAATGAATGACCTGTTTAGAAAACAAAATTGGCCATAACATCAATTTATTATCGTTTATTAGTGAGTTGTTCCGGTGATTGTTCCGCACTGAAGGACAGTAAGTGACGAATTGATGTTCAGGAGGAAATCATCTGTCAGACTACAACAAGAAATAACCCTTCAACTTGACGTTTATAGGTGAAAATCATCGATCACGGCTCCAGTTTAATGAAGCGACACCAATCGCAGCACACCAACGAAGGGATACCTCAAGGCTAGAGCTAGGCAACCCTCACGTTATGGCTTTGATTGTTTGCCTGATATCCACAGATATGCTTTAATCGCATCTTAATTCCGATATGATATTAACCGCGAGTCATTACACCTCAGAGTTTGTAACCAAGTGTAGCTTGATGTTTTTTTGTGCTCAATAAAAAACGTCTGCAAAATTCCAGCCCCTATTCGCCGCCATTTAGGCGAACAATTTTTTTTCTTTAACAAGCTTGAATCAAAAGACTTCCCATGGTTTTGAGTTCAAAACGCCCGAAAATTGTTTCCCGAGGCGATATTAATTTCAGTCCCTTTTCGAACAATACTCGTTTGATTTTAATTTTGACTCTTGCCGACAGCATCATATGCAAAAAACACAATTGAAATGGTGAAATTATTCAATTAATCAAGCTGTGCGGTATTGAAAAACTGTACGTTTTTACGCGCGGGATATAAAAATTACACTATCTTCAAAACACTGCTGAATCATAAAATTGTCAGACGAAAAATTCTAAATTTCAGACAAGAGTTACCGGAACAATCACCGGAACAACCCAGGGAGTAACTGCAGGATACCCTGACATTTTGGTCCACCTCATTTGGATGTGACGTGAGGCTTTCAAGAACGAGGCACAACACAGTAGACACCATTCTTATTGAATAACATGTCAGTGAGTAGCAGGGTATTCTACAGTCTAGCCTTTCTGATTGAATATTTTCCTTTTTATGACTTGAATTTTCATCTAGGCAATGATCCGTCTACCGGAGATCATTTGAAAACCAGTTAGTCGCAAAAATTGTTAGCTAAATCTCGTTTCTAGAGTTTGTGACTTCGAACATTAGTTCTTTAGCTCTGTTTGCTAATGTGTTGATGTTTTTAATGAAATTCAATTTTAAGTGCAAATAAATCACGAAAACTTTCAGCATTTTATGCCTCAGGCCCGAGCAAATTACAGTAATTGCTTTCCTATTTTATCTAGCAATACTTCTTGGCTTGCATCATGTATTTCTGACAGCGTTTTGGATCCAAAGTATTTTCTTCATTGAAACAGCCTTAACTGACAACACAAGCTAGATAATGCACCCAACCAGCGAAGTTAACGAATGACTCAGAGTAAAATATCTTGGTTCAGTCAGAGAATGTCTCAAAAATAAGGATTTTTAGCCACAGAGACAAGAAAGCCTGTCCAGCCCCTATTCATACAACCAAAATACAGAGATAAAAGTTATTGTAATAGTAGCGATAAAAATACACGTCCGTCCATTGAAAACAATAAATTAAAATGGAATATTTAACTCTTAAGTCGATAAAACTAAGTTTGTCCTCTTAGTACTGAGTACTTACACAGTGTAGACCGCGAAGATCTTCGAAGATTTTCGCACACTGGACAATATATGATGCCACTGTTTTATATGGATATGGTGGGAGAGTTTATATGTACACATATAAGAAGTTTATCATTGGTTCAAATTAAAATCGTTAGCTGTTTTTTAGACAAGAAAAGTGCGAAAAGCTATTAAGGTAAAAAAAACTGCATTACCATCGAAGTTTTGAGACTTAAAAATCATTATTCATGAGGTTGGTGACCAACTGGTTTAGAATTAGGAAGAACAAACCCTGATTTATACTATGCAAGGAGTGGCATCGCAGATACAAAGTGGCTTTATCGTTGACACGTTTATCATAAATCTCTTTATGAGTACGAAAAACATTCCATGCTAAATTTCCTTCTAAAAATTTTAAATACAACGTAGCCTACAACTCAGTCACAGATTTATGTGTTTCAGAAGGCTTTATCTTTGTGTATAGCAAAATTAAAATTTTTCATTGTCTCAGTATGTGTTCTTTTTCCTGAGAAGTTTATAAAGTCTTTTCCAAAAGCGTTTTTCCTGTTATGAAATCTTACATTCTAATTTATCTATTGAAGTGCACTATCAATTAAATACGCCTTTTTATTCAGGAAGCAGCGCAAAACAGATGGTTTTCAGCATTGTCTCTGTTTGATTATATTGATTCGAACACTAACGGTTTCAAAACATGAATCCCATCGTAATTTTAGGAGGCGTTTTAGCAGACGTTTTTATTGAGCAAAAAAAGTCATTAAGACGGGTTTTCTCTGACTTTGTGCGAGAAAAAGTATAGGTCTTTTCATAGATCAGATTCATAGTAACTACTAATAAATCTATTTTTATATAAAGTGATCTAAACGTCTCGTACATGAAGAGTAAAGAGGATTTCTGTTTAAATCTGTATAAGTTTCGTTCAAATTTCTATCCTAGCTTCAAATTTCAGTTTTCTTGATTCCCTACACAGTAATGTATGATTGATGATTTTAAATAAATTTTTAAAACGATTTGAACAGCAAGGCTGAAATTAAACCACAGCCTACGCACTCCTATCAAACACAAATCGATATCGCGTTTAAGTGGCGAGTGACGCAAAGTTATCAAAATCCTTCGATCTATTGGTCCTGATTTCTAGACTCGTTCAATTTTGAGCCTATATAGAAAGGGAAAAGCTTGAATTCAGCATTATAATTTGGCAACATGGGTTGTTTTTATATTTATCTTACTAATGGGAGCTCCAGGGGGCGGTATGATTACAGATAAAAAGTAACTCTGCCTAGAATAACAAATATGTGTTTTTTTCTTATTTTTTTGTGTAAATAACAGTAAAAGAACCGCCCATACCACAGCAACCATGAGAAATCTTTTAAAACGTTTTGTCGGGCTTAAATGACAAAAAATTGAAAGATGTCTTCCAAATGTATATCTGGAAACTGAGAGGGCGTAGGAAATATCGGCAATTATTGGAGAATTTAATTCCTCTATCAGCAAATTATGCACGTAAAGTGACTGTTGTTCATGATACATTTTTGTAACTGTGCCATATCTACTTTTCATTGCAAAGTCGAATATCAGCGACGTTTGGAACTGTGTCTAAGTCGATTAAATAATAATTCCACCCTCATGTTATATACTTGGCTCTTCCAAAAGAGAATGTCGTTACACATTTCCAGTTGAGACTGTCTTTCTCCCACAAGGTGGATGAAAAATAGTACTAAATGGAGAGTTTTAAAAACTTTCCGTTTGAAAAGTTTTAGTATGGTTCTCTAACACTAAAGCTCGTCTCTTGAGGAGTCAACGTTGAGCAGCTCATTTTGATATCTGGTTTAAAAAAAACTATCAAGTTATGTCAATAATACATGAAACACGGAATCTTGTGTCGAATGCGTTTATCTGATTAAGTAATTTTCTGGCGCAGAACCAGTGAAAGAACCTCGAGGATTTGTAATACAATCCCTTGTTTGGGCGGCTGTTTAGGTGCGCTGATCATTCGAGGCCAGGATTCTGATGTCCGCGAGCTGAACTTTGACTTTATACACTGTTTTCGTCCATGTGAATAAGTTCTTCCATATTGTTTTCATTGTCTGTATTTGGCGTCGGAGACCCCGAATGGTTCGAGTCGATGTTGCTCAAGGCCGTGACGTTCGAGAATCGATTTGAAGGTGGAGTCTTTTGTCTCTTGAGCCCGAGGCATTTTATGTAGGTTTCTTTAAACCGCTTGTTGTGGAATGTATACAGAGGTGGGTTTAGAGCGGAGTTCAAATATCCCAGGAGCAAGAATACTGTGAACAGTTCCATGGGAATTCTGTGTGCCAACTCTTTCCCGTGGAAAATGAAGGTCAAACTGAGAAGTGTGTGAGGCATCCAACAAAGGAAAAATGCGGCAACTATGATCAAGATGTTTTTAGCAGCTTTAATGTTCTGTTTGAATCTCTTGTCACATCGCTTGGTGCGCCTGGTGATTTTACAAACATCTTCTGTTGAAGTAGCTTCGTTGGATAATCTTCCCCATGAGCGACCGTTGAGTTGGGAAAATGTGTCGCTGTTTATGTTTCGAGCTATCATAAATATTTTGAAATACAAAAAGCACATGACCAGGAGTGGGAAGATGAAGTTTACGAATGAGCTCAGTATGGAGTAGGTTATTGTTATGTTGAAGTAACACGAGTTATTTCTGACGCTTACAGAGTGGTACTTCCATCCCATGACAGGTATTAGAGCGAAGACTGCTGAGTAAATCCACAGGAGCACAACAACTTGAGCCGCTCGCTTACGCGTCATAAAGGGGCTTTGCCTGTAGCGGCTCAAAGGGTCCTTAAGGCTCTTGTACCGGTCAACGCTTACCGCCAAAAGGTTCCAAATAGACGAGGGCACGGTGGTAAGGTACGCAGTTGTCCATGCTTGACAGAGCCCCTCGCTATAGGTCCATTTGAAGTTAGTGAGTCGCTGGTCGACATCAAAAGGCATTGAGAGACACGCAGTCAACAAATCACTCACGGCCAAGGCAAAAATGAAAACCATTGTGGGTGATGAACGCAGCTGGTTATTGACCAGAATAGCCACGCACACCAATATGTTTCCAATGATGGCGGCAATGACGATAAGTATAAGCACAGTTGCTGTAACAAGGTAAAAATTGTGCGACAAAATCGCCGGCGAGCTGCCTGTATTGGCAGCTACCATTATGGCCGTGCTGTTGTTCAAATTCATGATTTGGTTTCTAACCAGTGACACTTTAATGCCAAAGAGCTGGATATATTACTTTTCTCTTTGTGGTCAATATCCTGTCGGCTTTTAGATGAAAATGGATTTTCGTGACTTTAAAATGATGCTAATGTTTTTTTATCGGTTACCATCAACTTACGTTCACTTGTAGTTCGGAGATCGTTTCAGCTCGTCAGAGGCAAGAGTTCCCCTTTTTTTTCTTTTGGAGAATATTTCGCTTTTGAAGCGATTAGTTGAGCCTTCACCACATGAACATACAATTTGGTTTCTTCTCGTAGAGACCGAAGACAGATAAACATCAAATTACAACGAAACTTAAATACTTTTGGAATAAAAAGAATATGCCGGCTTCTGCCGGAAACTTTTCTAAACAAATAAAATCAACATTTACATGATTTTGAATGTGATATTCTGTTTCAGAATTTGCAACTTTTTTTTAGATATCTTTAAGACGTGCACTGAGTTTCCTGATCCCTTAAGGGCAAGAAAATTTTCTAGTGCGATGAAAATTCGGACCGCGTGAATCGAAAGTTGACCGCAAACTATATTGTGGCGGTTCTATTTGATTAAATCCTTTCTTTTATTCCTTCCCTATCCGGATACAATAATCTTCGACCATGTTTATCAATTGTTGGCATTGAAAACTCTCATCTCAGAGTGTTATTACAAATGTAAGCCACTTTGACGGCGGTTTGAGGCTCCAGGACTGTCACTGGAGGTAATTAGAATCTATAACAAGATTTTGATACTTTGTTTGCAAAGCCTTGTCATGAAAAGATAACCCCCAAGTGTGGTAGAGCATCAACAATTATCGGCGAAAGAACTCAAGTGATTGCACGTTCCCGCCAACGCAACACTGGGCTAGTCACATTAGTTCCAATACTTAATAAACATCTAAAACTGCTTTTATTGTAAACAAGCTCCCCCGAGTAAATAATTTTGTGGGAAATCTCACCTGTTTTTCTTTATCCTTTGGGAGTTCCTCAATCTGTTTGAAAAGGTGTTATCCTGCGAACTGCAAAATGAAATATGCAATTTACATCCTCGAATTAAAGGAAATTATAAATACTTGGTTCATAAATGTAGTAAATTAGTGTGATAATCAATCGAAATAAATCTCAGTGAACACGAAACCTCTAGATTTCATCTTGACGTCTTTCTACGAATTTTTCAGTTTCTTTTTCTTTTTCGCTCTTCACAATTTGCATATTAGGTCGAAAAGACGGCAGAAGTGGAGTTAATTATTTGCAAGAGAACTTTGTAGAAGGGCTTCTTTGAAATCTTTTCTATCAATCTATATTGACTGTTGATGGCATACTTGACATTTCAATTGAAATTCCTTTTTTAATTGTTTCTCAATGTAGCTATCAATCACGAGGTAAATCTTTTCGGTTTTTAGAGCGAGCGATTGTTTTTTATATAGCATGATGTAACTGCTTCGTGACATTTAAAGCAATACGTATTTTATCGTAACACATGGCTAATATCCTAAAACAACACTTTCAGTGTTAAAGATTGGAGCTTTTTCATTGTCATATTCACTATATTCACCATTGAATAAATTTGAATCGAATGACACTCAAATCTCTTTAATTGTCAGGTTAGCGCGAACTTCAATTCAGGATCACGTACAACAGTCTCACCTGGTTATCTAGAATATAAATTTCAAATAATTGTTTCCTGAGGCAGAAAGCACTTAGTCTCAATCTAAAATGTGTTTTTTCAGAACATCAAAGGGCATGTTACAATTATTTGAGGATACAAACGGGAATAGGCTCGAATGACCAAGGATAGTATTTACAAGTGAGGAGCTCGTTTTGCTAAGGAAGCAGCTAAAACGAAACAACTTTTTGCCCTCAATTTGGGATTTTGAAGCCATCAACGCTAGCGTGTGTGGCTTCACGCTCGCTTTCTCCCCTTAAGCACATCAGACCTCTTCGTTATTACTATCTAAAGGTAGAGACAGTATGTAGAGACAACTGGTTAACGCCGCTAACAAAAGAGAAGGAAAACATACTGTCGTACAAAAAGGAGAAATTTTTAAAAACTGGATACATAAATCTTTGTTTTCCCCATTAAAAATGTGTCATAAAGTCTTCTCTTGATGTATCCAACTTTGGCTTCGGTATGATTAGGAAACACCCCATTGCTTTGTGCTACTAAAACCGCAGGCTTTATTGCAAGGCGTTGTTCGGGAAATGAGCCCGCGTGAGCTTAAAGAAAGAGGATGTTGTGTACAGGAGGGAAGCTAAGAAGTCGTTACTTTGCAGCGATTCAACAGGAAGGTTTGATTATAGCGATTGAGACTCTAAAGAAACCGTGGTGCTGCGTCGCTGGGGGCTGTAGCAAGATAATTTGGTTTTATCAACCGAGTTGATGATTTAAATTGGTTCAAACAGAATTATACCGCTTTCCAGCTTCTCCTCCTTAAATAGAAAAACAATGCATCTTTGTTCTTTTTATTTCAGAATTTCCCGTTCATGCATCGTGTGCCTGCTTCAACTCTTTCACTCTCAGACTCTGACAGTTAAAAATTCTTTAACGTGTAACGTCTCCCTACAGTTATACCAATATACTATTCAGACAATAGTATTTAAGGAGAAATAAATTTATCAGATGGAAGATCTTTTATTGATGTAACACTTCATTCTCTACACTTTTTTACAGTGACATCTGTAATTTATAGAGAGAAGACTTGCGAATTAGAATCAACAGCACAAGCATATTTAGGTTATTTTACTAGTAGCGAATCTCAGCCCACCCTGAAGCGCCGGAAAATGGGCTCCTCTCTAACAACATGGTCCAGATACGCTGTTGATCTGGGGGAGGGGGGAGTCTGAACGGGCTTCTTGAGCTGCAGTTCTTTCACTGACTAACTGGAGAGAGCGTCCTGGGGAAACGAACAAGTTTAGTCTTCAAATATGCTTTGTTGCGAAGTGAGGTACAAGTCACTTAGTCAGCCTAAAAGTGATGCGAGCGTCGTAAGTGTTATTTTAACTCGCGCTATGTGTGCCTTGCTGCTCACAACAGTTACTTCCGGTTGCAGTGAAAAAGGCCTGGAACCGACGGGTGTGCGCAGAAGAATAAGCGATTAAAAGTTGGATTGTTTTGAATACTTAAAACCCATGCGATCGATAAGATGTTGAAATACTGCCGTATGATTTGTTTCGAAAACTAAACACCACAATACCATAAGATGAAATAACAGTGGAATAATAAATCTCTTTTTCAATGGTTTAATATATGATCGGTAGCGATATATTTCTACTGCTCATAAACGATTGGTGGCAATACGGGTGATTGACATTGTTATGATTGCTGTATTTTAAAAGTGACATAAGCAATAAAGGTTTAAAATTACCGATTGATGCTTAAAAATACGATTGATCTTTTTTTCTCTATCGATCTGCCTATGCCTCAGAACACCGGTGATTTATATTTAGAGCTTTATGTTTAGTGCAACAACACAAACGATTGGGGTTCAGCACTAATGATTGGCCGTTTTATACCATTAACTAAATTTATTTACGATAAAGATATTTTGCTTGCACTAACGACTGATTTTGATCTTAGGATTCATACTTTTGGCGCGCACAAATATCTCCCGCACAGTAGAGTGTCCAACATTTTCGTCATCGGTCGGACAATTTAGCGTGGAGACTGGCACTAGATAACTCTCAAAATGGCGGACAGCTGAGCAATCCCAATGTTTCTCTTCTCTATCTCCTTTCTTCAAAGAAAGGCACCGTCAGTCTCAATCTTACACTACGTAAGGTGCTTAAAGGTATGCACTTTACTTCTCTCTATTTCTTTGGTTTATAGGTGTTTTATTGAGATATACTTTGAAATAGCACCTTCTAACGGATAACTGCGTTATTTATCATCAATTGCCTTTACTTGTTTGCGGGAAAGCTCCTACAACCAAAGCTAACTAATTAGACAATATAAGAGTATTTATGTATATTTGTAAATTTATGACGTTTTGAGAAGAAGTTGTATGTTGATCAGTTATAACAGTAGTGACAGGTGAAAGCTTATGTCAGGCAGTTCTAATATAAGCTCAACTGAATTTGTCTACAAGGAAGCAACAAACTATTCAAAGCCAGTTTTTTTTAACCTGCTCTGAAAATGCACATGTGTAAATCAAATGATAAACACAATACCTTTCAGTGGATATTTAAGAAAACAGCTAAAATAAAAGCAAAAATTTAAACTAAACTAAGTGTTTCATAATCTATATTGGTTAAGTTTGAAAGGAAAATCTTTGTGTATAGCTGTAATAGAAGCATTCTGGATTAGATGTGATTTTCATATACTCACAATCATTAATTTTATTTTGGTTTATTGTGTTATCAATTTTGCACTGTCTTCAGAACCTAAGGGAAGTAAGGCTGTCATCGTATGCCAAGAAGAAGGAAACAGACATAAAAGATGTGACACTCTATTACTACAATCGCCAGAAATTTTTCCGTCTGGTTGGCTTTGCTTGTGCCAGCCAGTTTATCTTTTGGTCATGGATGGCATATTTCAATTTAAGCCAAGTAAAATTGGCCGACCTTGTAAATCTTAAAAGGAACAGAAGCCAGGATGAGATTCTTGATGTTACTTCAAAGTCAAAAGGTTCATGGAAAATTGTCAGATTTATGGAGGTCAGTTATAACTATCCACAGAGTTACTCTCTTGTTGAAATGGTTTGGATGCTTGTTGAAATAATCATTAGTGTGGAGGGAGGGAATTTTGAGAGAGAAGTGTCTCACATGCTTGCCTAAGAATAAAACACAATGAAATGATGAGGAATGAAACCCAGCTCTCTCCTTTCAATCTAGAGTCCAGGTAGCTAATCACTGCATCTTCCTTTCATGTTAGGACATATAACAAACATATTAACCACTTGCACCCTCATATCAGTATGCATATTCTTCATACTGCTTCTTTAACATTTCCTATGGCACTGACAAGGAGAATTTATTCCACTATCAGGAGAAATTAGTGTTAATTACATTATAAGGATTGAAGTCATGCTTTGTCTGTTGACAATCTCTAGGACAATCCTGCATTATTGGCTGGTATTGCTGTGGTTATGGGACTGTTTTTCACCACATCTGGGTTTCTTTATAGTTTCAGGTATTAATTTAATGTGTGCATTTGACATGTTTGAAAGGTCATTAAATATTTTAAACCATTCTTGATATTACAAATATTGTGAACTTTTTCAGTTTGAAAAATCATGATTTCTGCTATAAAGTGATCAAAATCAGAGAATCATGACTTATTCTATATTTTGTTTTGTTTTGATTTTCATATACAAATGTATGGCACAATCACAGGAGTATAAATCGGCTGGTCCTTCAAGGAAACAATTTAAGGGTGGTAACACACACCCCTTTGGGAGGTACACGGTCATTTACAGTGCCAATTTCTGATGTGTCCTGTGGAAGTTCCAGAACAGGTAACCTATCATATTAAGAGATTAGCCTCATAAATTTGATTCTCAGGTCATTCATGAATAAGATTGCAGATATACCATATGACTTGTGAAGAAGTGTTCCCCCTCTCTTTGCTTGGAATCCCCTTTTTTCAGTGTGCTTATGGCTTAGAGTGTTCATACAGTAAGGGCTGATTTTTTTTTTCTTTAATATGTTTGACTCCTCTGGTGATTAAATGAGAAAGCAGAACTGCTCATAGTCCACTTGGGAAGTAATCAATCTGATCATTGAGCAGTTTTCAGCTGAATGTTGAAAGTAATTCCATAATTGCCCTTGCTAGGTTTTCTTTACTTTTCTGGCAAAGTGCAAGGTGGCGCAAAGTCCGAGTCAGGTGTAAGGGGAGGAGCACAAAAAAATAAGTATTCTTTTTGTGCTTTGCACTCGCCTTGCACTTGCCTAGCGCTTGTCTCCTTTTGCCTTTAAAAGGCAAAAAGGTTTTGCCTGTTCTGCAGGCTAACTTGGATCTCCCTTTTAGACTCTTGTGGTCAACAAATTTCTCATGCTTGGTTCTTTTCTTTTTAGGGACAAAGGCTCATGTGTCACTGAAGATAAAAGGGCATCGTTTCTTTTTCCTTATGGACAAAGATGGAGACTTCCTTCAACCTACTCTTTTTGACAGGACTGTTGGATTGAAGAGATTCTAATTGCTGGGTCTTGTTGCCTATAAATGTGGACAAATGGTGAATTCCAAATGTACACTGCACTTTGTTGGTCACTATTGAGGAATCATGTGCTTGTGCTTGTCTGGTTCTGTGAGATTTCTTGTTAAAGAACTGAACTGTCATGAAAATTACAGGAGATTGCAGCAGAACAGTAGATCTAAGAAAACTGGTGAAATGTTCAATATCAATTAAATTTGTTTTCCATACTGGGGCAAGGCTAATATGATATGAATTTATTTTCCCACGAGTCACAAATCAAGAGGGAATCCTTGAAAAGGTATAAAGTGGTTATATTTAACCTTTGCCATTAAAATAAGAAAGATTTTCAGTTACTCATCTTGTCAAAGGCTGCTGTATGCACTAGGAGATTACTGGCTTCTTCTTAGGAGTGCAAATTTTTTTTAAACATGTGCCACTGTTGTGCACAGTCTGACCCTTAATGTGTTCATGATTCCGGCAAGCTTTTTGCGTATAAGACCAAATCTATCTATCCACAAACCCATCATTTTTTCCTGTTACCATTTTCCTTTCTTTAGAGAAATGTATTATTGGAGGAATGCTACTTTTCAAGGAATGTCTTCCTATTTTAAAAAGACAGTGGTTAGGCCACTTAGCCTGCAGTGATTACATAGTCTAACTTATGTACTTTGAATAACTATGTGTAAGTTTAAAAACAAGGGAACATAATTTCTAGACTACGGGCACTCTCCCTTCCCAAGCATAAGCCATTGCAAAAGTCCATAGAAATGGGAAAAAAAACCATTGTGATCACTCAACTCTTACTGTAATGCTGGTTATTCTTGGCTATGTCTTTGTGTTGTACCAGTAGACTGGGTGATCAAAATTTACATAACCCATGGTGTTCTGGTGGATATTTTTGCAAAAGAGACAAGTGTTTTATATGCATTTCATTTAGTTCTTTTCACTTGGCAAATGCCAAAATGGATACAGAACAGACAAAAGGAACAAATAAATATCCAAAAATAGGTTTATTTTCTTAAAAACTACAAAATTTATTGATTAATTAATCATTCTAGTAATTTACAGCCAGTAAGTTAAAAAGATGAAGATCATTCTCTACTTTCATTGCAAACAGCTATTAGCTTAAAGTAAACAATTGTGCATGTCTTCTTCTTGCAATTGTCTCATTTTACCACCTCAATGTGGCATTTCCACAATTTCAATATTTAATTTAACTCTAAATAATTGCCTGGCATTTCCACATGTTAATAAATAGCTAAATCTTATTTAAAAACATTACCACATCTTACTACATCTAACTACGTCTAATTACAACAACTACTTACTAAAAACCTGCTAATTTTTACCATTAAATAGCATTAAACCTGTATTTTCACCAACTATTTGCCTGGTTTTTAAATATTAAGTAGCATGCAACTGCAATTTTAAGATTATTTCCTTTAAAACAGTTTAATACTGATGGGTATCTTCAGGTTACCCATCAATTTATGGGGGTTGCCCCCTTCTCAGTTTTACCCAATTCTCCTAACAAATTCATATTTAAGGTGAAATTCAATGAACAGTAACAGTCTATGAAAGAACTGGTTGAATTTCAAACTTTGATTACTAGCTTAGTTAATATTTCAAAAACATTTACAGGTAATGAAATTCAAACACAGCTCTAAATTGCAAACCACCAATCAAAAATTGAGTGGTTTTAAGTTTTAAGTTTATATTGTTTTGCAAAATGGATCAGTGGGACTTAATGAGAGACTCAGAAATGGTCAAAAACTTTTTTTGGTTCTGACAAGTCAACTGTATACCAACCAATCATGTTAACCCTTTAACTCCCAAGATCTGATTGTCAATTCTCACCTCTAGCTGCTAAACATTTTCTTGTAAATAATTTATGAGAATTAAGTGTTTGATCAGGATAAAGACTTCTACCTGATACGTTTGAGTATTCTCATTACTTGTTTGCCAGATTATGTATGAATATGATAGGGAGAAGTTTCATGTTAATCACTTCTGGAAGTTAAAGGGTTAAAGTTCAGGCCATGAGAAAAAAAAATCCTCAAAACCACAAATTATGGTTGGTGTTGCAGTTTAGTTTTCTCACCACTGATTGGCTCTTTCCTTATTCATCATTTCTACAATAACAATCCTTAAATACTCTGGTGATCACCATTTTTGGGTTTTAAAGTACTGTAGTTCATACTAATGTGCCTGATTGGTTCATTTTGATGTGACCCTTCCATGCGTGATCCAATTTGCAAAGCAATCAAGACTTGACTAGGTTCAAATTCACAGTGAGTAACATCCCTAATGTTCCACTTCAATAACTTATCATGCGAAGCCAATAAAGTCTACTTTGGTGTATTTTTTTATGCATATACATGAGTAAAACTTGAGTCAAATATCTGGCAAAATTTAAATGATAAGCAAATTAAACTGCTAAGGACAACTAAAGGTCACATTGTGAAAACTTTTCTTTTCTTTACAAGAATTATCAAGACAAAATTTTAAAAAATAACAAAAAGAATTCTTATGCTTTTATATCCTTTGCATTTCTGTCAACTTTACTACAAAAAATAAGACTTCTTGACTTCCAAAACAAATGTAATTCAATTCCTATATGTCTTGTCTACATAAGACCAATATTGAACAAAAACAGCAAAACTCAAAGTTTTTAGAAGTGAACGTTAGACTAGATAATTATTTTCCAATACAAAAAATTAACAGGAAAACTGAGTTTTGTCAGCTGCAATGTGTACAGTTTAGCGAACATTTTTGTTTTTCTTCGCCGTCTTTGATCAGGGCAGTAACATGCGTGGTTTAGCTTATTTTTTCACAGGTTTGTTAGCACGAATAGGTTTGCTGAAATTTTGTCATTTCCCATGCCTTTCAACTTGCTAGATCAGACAGCACATGCTTTTCGATAAATAAAGAGAATCGTTCGGTAACGTGAAACGTTACGCGAGACGTTATTACCAGTTGTCACACTTTCTATACCTTCGTTACTTGTCATAAGTAAGCGCATAAATACTTATTTCATTTTCTTTTACTTTTACCTTAAAGGAAAGATTCTACATTAAACCTACAATAAACCAAATTCCGTCGTTACATTTTGCTTTCAGCAATCTTTTCTTCTCCTTCGTCATTATCTACTTGCACCACAAACGAATCCAAGGGAACACTATCAGGCTCTGTCGGTGAATCTTCGGTGGGTTTACTGTCGTCATTTTCTTTGGCATCTTCATTATTTTCATTCTTAAGGAGTGGTTCGCCAGGAACTGCGTCTTTGCTAATAAAAAATAAAAGAGCATGCATTTCACACATCAGCAAATCGTTTGCAATGGAAATGCAAGGCACATTTTTGTGGAAACTGCAGGTCTTAGACAGCGTAAAAGCGCGCAAGAAAATTAGAGAAGTTTGTGACGTTAATCACGATGTATGGCCTTGTTTTGATGATATTAATATTTTAAAACCAGATTGTAAAGCGCTAGCTATTTTACATTTATGTGGCTAGTACATTGGGATAATTTTGTGCTTTATCAAGATCACACAGTCCAACTGAATACCTTTGCGTACGACCATCACCTGTTTTATGGCACTGCATTGATATTGTAACAGTTACTACTCCTTGAAGTGGCTCTATTTGATTTATTTATGTTGAGATCAAGAACCGCATTTGGAAGTTATCAGATGCAATTTGTTGCTCCTTCCTACCCATTTATAATCTATCCTGATAAGTAGGGCCGACGTTTTTCACCCAACTGTAATCCGTCTCCAACTTTGCACATTCGTGCCACTGATTGGCTTTAAGTTTTGCATTTTTTCAGACTTCTTTAGTTTCAAGTTGTTTAATATTGTGATCTTTTAGTTTTGCGAACCGTTATTTCGGATGTCACGAAAAAATTAGGAGGAGCGTTGTGTGACATTCCAAAGAAAGGCTGTGTACGAGACTAGGTCTTGGATGAATGGATTTAAATTGGAAAACCGAACTCATATATACTGGCTACCAATGAATCTCGGAAACAAGAGATACAAAAGCCTTTGCTACTGGTTACACTGACTTTTGATAACACACCAACCTTTCAAAGGAAGGATATCGTCCTATTCTGCCCTTTGGCTTTGCCTCAAAAGATATACCAGGCTCTTCATCCTCGCTGCTCGAGGGAATGGGACCTACTGGATATTCAGCTGATGGAGAAGTCCGTCCGACCTGGAAGAGAGAAAAGTTTACGCTTGAAATTAGCGCACGAATGGTTAGAATTGATCCATTTGCGCTACCCTAAATTTGACTGTTGTATTTTTCGTACGGGACCTGGTACGGCACATATCGCTGAGGATACAAACGTACCTCATCCTCCTCAAAGATTGCAGACAGTTGTTTCTTGGGAGGCTGTTCATGTCGCTTATGATGCTTGTGTCGTTTGTGGTGATGCCTTGGTTTATGTTTATGATGAAAGTGAATAGGTTTCGAATTCACTAAAAGCTGGTTTTGATAAGCCGTTTCCCTTGGTTTCCTGGTACCAAAGAAATAAAAAGAAAATAAAATTGAGGTAACCATCGAATAGGATGACTAATTGTGAGAGGATGTTGGATATTACAGTGCATAACGTCGACCCAGAAGTAACCAGAAGCGTAGTGTGGATGTATGAGAAAAGTATTCCTGAAAAGGACTTGGTCTGTGACAGCGATAGTGATTAACGAAGGGATTAAAGGAAATTGTTCGTAAAAAATGATTGGTCTCTTGTGATTTTGCCGCGACGCGACATTCAAGTAACACAAAATTCATCAGAAGGGAGCTGAAGCACAAACGTTTTTGAGATGTGGACAGCGGCCGGAAGTTAAAAGTTCTTTTTCCTGGTCGGCCCAATTTGGTTTAGAATCCTCAAAAGACGACTTTACGGCTGATACATTAGCGTCAAAGCGAGCCAATGTTAGTTTTAGGCTTCTTCCAGTTGCCGTCCACGTCTCAGAAACGTATCTGCTTAAGTTCTCTTGTAGTAATTGTTTCGTTTCGATCCTCTGTTCCAGTAAGAAAGAGTAAATTGAAAAATCAGCTAAGGAAGATAGGTGCTCAGATGAAGAAATATTCCTTGTAGAAGAATAGAAGCTTTAAATTTTTATATTGTGCAGGTGTGCCCAAAATTAAGCTGATAAGTGTTGGAGTGGTTATGACGAGCGATGTTTTCAGTGCGGCAGAACTCTGTCGAGTTACTGTTGAGTATTGTTTTTGTTATGGGTCTTTCCACTCAATTATAAAATAATTGCCTTCACAAAGCTTTTCCATCAAGTTTGACCTTTCCAAAGGAAAAAAACTAGCCACGAACAATCGTATCCGCCATTCAGTTTTTTCAACTAAGCAGACGCATTCAAATCTTGACGCGCTCTGCGCAATTTTCCTTTTTTCCCTTGCCTGTGACGCTTTGCACATTCATCCGTGTTTAACAAGTGTTTCGTCCTTTAACGTGCTGGAAAACAATTGCATGTTCTTCCGTTTACTTTGTTACTGGCGTTTTACAAATGCTATGATTTTTCCCTAGGGTCTTAAGGTTTGGTCGGCAAAACCAAAAGCGTTTCAATACGATTGCCATAGTTACAAAAAGAGGTACTTACATGGGGAAAAGGTAGCGAGGAAAATCTTCGTCGTCGTCAAGTAAATTATTTCTATACATTTTCCTGTGCCTCTGTTAACGGAAAGAAATAATCACATCAGGTTGAGAAGGAAATGAAAAAGAGGGGCCTAAGAAAGTGGAAAATTGAACTGATGGAAAATTTATTAAATAAAACTTACACTTCTTCTGTTTCTTTCGATGAGATTGTTTAAGCTGTGCATAGAAGTGTCGTGAATTTCAAGCTCGCCTCCACTTGGTACTGAAATATTAAAGAGTCATGAACATTAAACCTTTGACCCCTAAAAGTGATTGGCATCTAATTTCTCCCCACAATATCACCCATGACTCACACATTAATGCTAAGAGAATAAAGGAAATGATCACCGACTAAGGAAGCTCTTGATTGCATGCTGATGTTAAGGTGCAAAGTGTTAATTGGGCGAAAAGTTTATTCCAGATTCTATTTTGAGACAAAGCTGTTTGATTCTTATGTACTGACGCGTTTCTGTCTTGTGACAGAACTTTTATGTGTCCATGAACAACTTTGATTTCAAGCATTACTGGAATATGCCAAATTCATAATAAACGTTTTTCAAACGCTAGAATGAACAACTACAATCCTGAAGAGTAAGGGGCAATTTTTGAGTGAGTATTGACAACAGTGTCGTTTAATACTGCATCAATTAGTTTTACCCTCTTGCATATTGTATTTATTATTTAATTTTTTTTTCATTAGGTCTCTTATTCTGCTTTAGACTTACGAATCATACGTTTTGGGTTTAAGGCTTAAATATACATATACACTACAGTACCTCCTGACGCTCGCCAATCTACTTGAATAGCATCAGGAACACGAACATCTTCTCCCGCCCTGTAGAAGAAACAGCAAGGTGTTAAAATTTAAAAGCGAAAGTTTTTATCTTAAGCATAATTAAAATTAAACGTCGTACAATAGAAAAGTACTAACATTAAGGGGGTTGCACAATAGATGCCTGTTTTCAAGCCACCTTCAAGAACCAGAAAATTTGAGAGTATCTGTAAAACGACCAAATAAGTCAGTCCCTAAGGTTACGTACATGTGCACAGGTGACACGAAAGGTCGACATCGCGAGACAACAGCAAATAACAAAGAATCGAGAGGATTCGCCCCAAAGGCTCCAAAAGAGACTTGAGTATAGAAAAAGGGTTTGACCCCCCAACTCCCAAGATCTGATTGTTAATTCTCCCCTCTAGCTGCTACACATTTCCTTGTAAATAGGTTACAAGAATTGGGTGTTAGATCAAGATAACAACTTCTACCTGATACGTTTGAGTATTCTCATTACCAATTTGCTGGATAGTCAATGGATATCGTAGGGGAAGTTACTTCTTAATCACTTCTGGGAGTTTAAGGTTTAATGTTGAAGGTTATCTTAAGAGACTGGAACCTCTGATAGAATTTTGAAAGATCTAAAGTTACTACCAAAGTATCGTACACTAGTTTTTTTTTTTTACCTTAGCATGGGTTTATTTTCATCTTCATTCTCATCGGAATCACTAAGAGAAAAACATACAAGATGAATTAAATCATTTACAAACGAAGACCACTGTAAAATTTATGTTTAATGATAGTTAAGGTGTAAGGGTTAGTTTCTACATGATTTCCTTCATTGTCCCAATCAACTCAGTTTGGAAAAGATCGGAATGATACAGGCCATCGTATGAAACAGGGCCTCAGTACCAACTCAGTTCTAATTGGACGATAGACGTCGCCCTATTGTTTGAGTAGTTAGTGATGATTTAGCCTGGTTTCCATACGATTAACTTTAACCCTTTGTACATTAAGGGTGACCAGCATCTAATTTCTCCTCACAATATCATGCCTAAATCACACATCAAGGTCACGAGAATACAGGAAATGATCAGCAACCAAAGAAGCTCTTGATTGTGAAACAAACTCTCTTTGTCAGCACCTTACGGAATGTATGGGTATGGGTATGCATACTGATGTTAGGGTGTTAAGGGTTAAAGCGATTCAAATTCAATCAATCACTTTGAGCATATATAAGTTAATAATTGCATTTGACTGAATAAATCCTATTTGAATATGGCTGAACACAGGTTTTAAACGAAGTTACTTTGTCATGCCACTTTGAACGTAACGAAAAAGGTATCTGATCCAGCAAAAATAATGTGATCGTTATGGCTTCAAAATTTCCGAAACAAGGTCAAACTCAGACGGAGTGGTAATTTGATGCAGAATTAATTACAATGAGTAACCTTTGACCCTTTAAACCATAGCATCAATATGCATATTCTCCAAACTCTTCTCTATACATTTCCCACAGAGCTGACAAGGAGAGTTTGTTTCATTTTGTTTATTCTCGTGACTTTATAATGAGTGATTCAGGGATGATATTGTAAGGAGAAATTAGATGCTAGTCACTCTTACGGGTCAATGGGGCAAAGTGCACTGCTAACAACGCCACTTACTTTGCACAGATGGCTGACGCTTCAAGCGCACTCTTTGCCAACAGCTCAATTGGGATACTGCAAGATTAATAAACAAGTATTTTTACTACCGCTGAAGGAGGGAGTATCAAGTATGTAACAGAAAGGAATGCTCATCACCCTCAGAAAGGTTGAATTTAAGCCTGTTAGTATAGCTCGAACTGTAATTGACTCCTACAGGATATCACAAAAAGTTAAAGCTCTTCCCACCCCCAACGGAGCTTTTTCGTCTTCACATCGGTTTGGCTGGTGTGAGGGGAAAATAAATGAAGAAAGGGAATAAGTTTCTAAAGAAACTGTGGTGATGCGTTGGCGGGAGAGTATAACAGGGTAATTTAGTGTTATCAAATGAGTTGAAACGTAAATTGGTTACCGTTAAGAGGCTGACGTTTCGTTTCGTTTCGTTTTTCGTCAGAGCGATTAACGAAGGGCTAACGCTCGAAACGTCAGGCTTTAAACTCTTTACGGTGGTCAATTTACGTTTTCAACTCAGTTGATAACAATGAATTACCCTAAAGGAAAGATAGCCAAGAATAATGAGACTGGAAAACGCTAATGTTCGCGAGATAATCCTTACTTTGAGGGATGTATGGCTGATCCGCTCCCTTCTCTCTCTAAGCGTGTCAAGGCATCTCTGAAAGATTATACATAGGAGAAAGTTTGAAGTTATTTCCCGATTCACAATTCAACCCTGTAAAAAGTTATAGATCATCAGCTATACGGCTCTTCAGTTGATACCAGTACAAAAACTCAAAGATTCTTGGAGCAGACTCAACTGAATTTCGGTTTTCTTTCGGTACGCTTCCGAGTAATCTAGTATTTCAATGTTCATCAAACACCAAAACTTTACCGATCTGTACCAACCCCACTAAACAACCTCAACTTCACCAAACTACACCAATCACATTAACTCTTTCCACGCTAACATTAATAGTCAAATTCAGCACACTATTCTCTTCGCTCTTCCCAAAGTATTGACAAAGAAGATTTGTTTGACAATCAGGAGCTTCTCAAATTGATTATCATTTCTTTCATTCTCGGGACCTTTACATTTGATTCAACGCTAAAACTGTAAGGAGTGATTGGAAGCCAAACACTCTTAAGAATGAAAAGGTCAAACAACACCAACTATATAGAACTCTACCATACTTTGCTCTTAAGCTGTCTACATTGTAGTCTATATTCGTCATGGTAATCATGGAACTAATAACCCATAGCACCTTGATATCACAGTTAATGTCGTCAACTAAAAACAAAATATATTTGATCTGCCTTACTTATAAGCCAGTCTTCTGTACGCCAGCAAAATGTCTTCATCTTGGACAAACCGATCACCGTCACGTATTAACCACCTTCTCAGATAATGTGTGTGTACATACTCAAACATTTCCTGCAAAACAAAAACCATCATGAGAATAAATGGTTCCATTGCAAATGTGATATAAAGAAACGCGTGCTTTCATTGGTCGAGGTTTAAACTGTATTTTTCCTCATTCAACTTCAGCCCCCTTTCCGAATAATTATGATACTACAAAACACATTTTTAAAATTATCTTTAGAAAACAACCCCTTTTCTTCAGGCTAAAGAAACTGGAAAGGTGCAATTAGAGATCTTCCATGGCTACTGGTCATATCAAAAATTATCAAGTTATCAATTTGTCAAGTTTAATTTACTAAGGAACGAAGGATGAGGAAATATCAGTTGTAAACTGTTAATTATGAAAACGTCAGAGAAATCACAAAACTACATCAGTAAATGAGTTGGGGCACTTTTTGATTGAGTATCATAACACCAAAGAAATCACAACGGCCATTTAAGGAAAAGGAAAATGTTTTCAAAAGCCAACGGGAGTTCAAAGTAAAAACAAAGAAACTGCCTAAAGCGCGGGAAAACGCGGGCGACCAAGTCGCAATTGGTTTAAGTTTTCCATTTGATTGGTTGCCGGAGAGAGTGGCACGAGTATTCTGGACCAATCACTGAGCGAAGTACAGCAATATCAATGAAATTTCGGATTACTTGGGACACTCGATTGAATACTGTTCTAGTACACAAATCTCAAACAGAAAACTCTTACCCAGTAATACCCATGACCATGATGGCCACTTATTTCTTCAATTCCAGCCACAAGGTGGTCTAAAAACTATAGATAGGGATGAAAATGTGTTAAATGTTTTGAGACAACTTCAACTTTATGCATGGGAACTTCGTTAGTCGTTGGGTTCTTTACACAACATCCCTGCCAGTCTTTCTCTTCAATTACGAGTATAAACAGAGACCAGTGAATCATTACAATAAACTTGTGGGGTAACTAACATTCACCCAGTATTTCAAACAGTATTGCATGAACACTCCTAATTAATTGCTGGATTCTTGTTTTAGAGAACAGAAATAAGGAATCCGGTGTAGTTACTAAGCGAGACGACAATAAAGCACGAGCCACATACAATTACACGACTGGTTTGCAACTTTTGTACGACGCGACCAGATTAGGAAAATTACCTTTTCATTGAGTTCTACACACATAGTAGGCTGTTCCTTTCCCCTCAGTTTCACATGAAGAATCCGCACAAGAGGTTTGATTGTCATACCCTAAAACAATAAGAAATAATAATGTATAATACTAATATCCGTTACTTCCATTTGACTTTTATCAGAGTGCAGCTGTGCCTTTTAAAAAGATTGAAGAGCAATGCTACGGAATTGAGCGTAGAAGAGCGAGAGTTTCGCCCTGGTGTTCGTTTGCAACTTGAGAAAATTTGCTAACCACCATATGGCTCATTTACCTGGAAGAAAACTGTGAAAAGGACGATAACAATTGTGGTCGTGACAAACATGTTCTTCTGTGGAAAATGATGTTCGTCCAGTAAAACTGCCAAGGAAAATGACACAGCACCTCTGATACCACCATAGCTCTAAAAACAAAGACAAAAGGAGCAATTTTTAGTGGGGAATCCCAAAACACAATTGGAATCCATGTCTATAAAGTCTAATAACCCGCGTTGTTCAAAGCTGGCTTAAGATAACCAGGGTTAGCGTGAAATCTGGTGTCAGATCTGAAAGCTTTAAAAGTAAGATCAGTTAAGTTCTTCATTCCTCCAATTTTATGATTGGATGCTCTAAAAAGAACAGAAAAAATTATCCCAAAAAAGGCTTTTGAACAAAGGAAAAAAAAATGAAATAAATTTATCCCTGGGTTAGCACTAACCTGCCTTTGAAAAACTGGACCCAGGTTCTCATATTTTGGTACTTACAGGTACATTTGTGTAAGGTTTACATCAAATGTTTATCAACACTAGTTTTGAATTAACGAGCACAGTTAGAGGTTTAGATTGAGTGATTCATTGTATTAATGTATTTCCAACAATGGATAGGGGTGTAGAGAGCAAATTTGTACTGCTCATGTAGTTAGCCATAGCAGATAACAATAAAATTGATGATTACCATAATAAATTGGTCTACAGCACTAAGTTTATTAAGTCGACCAAATCTATTAGCAAGGAATGTGAGGATGACCACCCCTGAAATAAATAAAAAAACAAACAGTTACACTTGACCCTCAAACACGTTGCTTGATGAAGACTCGCAAGATAGCAGTCAAAATGTTATGATCAATACATTAGATACTCTGACTCTATTTGGAGACAAACAACTTAACATTACATACATATACAAAACCATGAAGAACAACAACAGTCTAACTTTTAGAATTTTAGTAATTCTTCTACACTTGCAGTATCATGTTTTGTTCTTTAACATATCAGGATTATGTGTATTTACAAGTACTGTCTACTATACACTAGCCTGATTATAGAATAGTTCAACCCTTTACACCCTAACTTCAGTATGTATACTCTCCATAGTGTTTTCTATACATTTCCTTAGGTGCTGATAAGGAGAATTTGTTTGACAATCGAGTCAGTTTGTATAGTTGGTGATCATCTCCTCTATTCTTGTGACCTTCATGTTTGATTCAGGGGTAATAATGTAAGGAGAAATTAGATGTTAGTCACTCTTAGGGGTCAAAGGGTTAAAGTTCCATGCTTCCTCTCTAACACTTTTCAAAGTGAGACATGGTTTGATGCCACTCTGGTCTACAGATTTAGTGAATGTAACCAAAGAAGTTACAATTCGTACACCCAACATTTTGACACTCCTGTCTAGTGCCTTCATCAGGGGTGATCTAAACGCTAATATGCCATCACCCCCAAACAAAGGCTTGGCATATTAACTCCACCCACAGTCCTTTAAATCGTGATGATGGCGGTTTGCTTCCTGACGCCTATTTACACCTCGTCAGAAAAAAGGCCACTAATTAGTGATCATTTAAAGGACCTCTTGTTGCAGTGTTTAGATCACCCCTGATGAAGGCACTAGACAGGAGTGTTGAATCGTTGGGTCTATGAATTGTAACTTCTTCAGTTACATTCATTAAATCTGTAAACCAGGGTAGCATCAAACCATGTCTGATTGTCCACCTGGTTGTTGTGTGAACTTTAATATACTTTTCAAAGTCTTTGTGGCATCAAGAAAAATAAAAAGCAGTCTGTGACTGCATGTGCCTACTGCTGTATAGTAGAAGAGTACAGCAGCAAAAAAAATTTGGTGAAACATGCAGAGGGGTTAATGAACATCTCTTGTCAACGAGAAAATGGTAACAAAAGGAGGACTTGGTTAGAACAGTTTGTACACTGGGCTGTTGACAGGCTGGGGACAGGGCAGGAAATTAATAGAATAAGTACATGTATTAAGTATGTATCAAATGTATTTTGATACAAAACTTCTCCACTTTGTACGCTATCTGTACCTAGCACAATGGATCAAGTCAAGATGAGACAAAAGAGACAATACGAGTATCTCACAATATTCCACCATGTTTAAAACCATGAGAGGTTTGGGGAAAGGTTCACAGACTTACATGATACTGTAACATAGTGCATACAGCCTTCCTAGAAGGAAGGCACAGTAGGCACAAAAATTATCAGTAGAAAGATAAAGTATAGCTCACCTAGGGCCCTGAAAACAAGGATAAATACCAGGGTGACAAAAACAAACTTTGTGTTCCATTCATGACCCCAGCTAACCACTTGCACTCCAAGGAACATAAAGATTAGAGTTTCACTGCTTGAACTGCAAACAGATAAAAGAAAAATAAATTATCAATAACACAATTTTGGAAGGAAATATTTGTTGGTTTGCTTGCCTAGCTGCTTTCATGTTATAAAGATGAATGAGCATGTACAAGGCTAATCAGAACTTACAGTAATTAGAACTCAGACAGCAATAAAATAGTATGAAACAAGACAAAATCACCTGAGCATCTTCAGAAAGTACTTTATTGTTGTATGGGACTTTCTTGAGATGTTAAGTTCAACATAAGGCTTCATGACAATAGCACATGTGACGATACTGTATTGAGAATAAAGCAATCAAGTTTATTAGCTATAAATTATTTTCACTAGCATTTAATGATTCAGACTTGTAACCTCAATCATTATCATTAGAGAGCATTTTGTATTTTCTTGCATGCATAACTTAAATAATGATGAACAAATTTTTTTCACAATTGAATAACCTAACAGCTTCAACAGATAATTAAAGGTATTTTGCCTGACTTGCATGTGGTTCATATTATTTCATATTTTTAATGTGATAGTTTTCTTTTAATCCTGTGTACAGCTAAGCAGTAACTGATGAAATTATTATCCAACTGCACTGAGTAAAGTACAAATAACATGTGAATAGTATAAATGTCACACAATATTTGGACAGCAGGTTATTTTGTACTGTAAAAATAACATGTTTCACCAGTTGCCTATGCACACTATGCTTCTCTATCTGCTTTGTTTTTCCTGCCTGATAAGAAATGCCCATAAAACATTTGGATAACAAATAACTTATTAGGGATTTTGTTGTGTAGTATTGATCACTGAGTATTTTAACTAAAATATGTCTGTATTTTGACTCACCCTACAGGATCATCAAAATACAGCATAGCTCTTAAAAATACTCAGCAATACTACACACCAAAATAATAAGATATATATCTATTAGAGGTACTGTTAGCAATCTTTATGAAGAAATGATTAGGTAATTGGTTTCCTTAACCTCTTCTAGTTTTTATATTCATTTGGTTCTTAAAATCAGATGACATATCACAGATAAAGACCAAGCACTAATACGTTTATTACAGTACCTCATAATTCCAGACAAGTGGAACAGTTCTGCTGTTAGGTATGAAAGGTAACTCATGACAAACACAAAGATGGGTTCAATCACTACAAAAAGAAAACCAAGAAAAAAAATCCATTCCAGCTCACCAAATCATTGTATTAATATCAATATTATCTGAAGTTTATCATCACTTTTGTGCCCATCATGCCATATATAACTTTCATCACCCATATGATCTCAGTTGTCTTATCTCAAAATAAGCTTCAATCATGAGTATGGAACTGCCACATATCTGAAGCAAAAGGACTGACACAATAGGCCATTTTACAGTTATGTACTCAGTTGCCAAGCCTTTGAGTTGGAGTGCAGCTTAAGGTGACCTTGTTTTGATAGAGACCAGTTTCTAGTTAGCATGATAACAAAGTAATTTACATTTGAAAAGCAATAGGTTTTGTATTGTAACAAGGTCACCCTTAATCTCACTCCTGTTCAAAGGCTTGGTAACCAAGCATGCAATGCCAAGAGTAAAATCAACTACTGGATCCCTCAGCATGATTGTACAGTGTAACAACTTACCTCTAACATGATCAGTAAACTTGGTTACAAATGCTGTGGCTAAACCCCACAGCAGTCCCAGAGTTGTCCCTCCGATACTGACCACAAAGAATGAAGCAAAGCCAATAAGGATCTGAAAGAGTTGATTGGTTAATTTACTTTTAATATGAATATCTCATTTTAACAAGAACCATAATTTGAAAAAAAAAATAATGCTTGTATCAACCCTTTAAACTCCAAAAGTGACCAGCATCTAATTTCTCTTAACACTAATACTGCTGAATCATTTCATCAAGATCATGAGAATGAAGGAAACAGTTGCCAACCCAAGAAGCTTCAGTTGTAAGTTAAACAATTTCTCCCTGTCAATACCAACCAGCAGAGAGAAGAGTATGGAGAATGTGGATACTGATGTTAGGGTGTAAAGGGCTATTACTCAATCAATGATAACACTAATGTGGTGAGTTGCTCCTAATTGATTGCCTTTGGAAAAAACAGTGTTCATTTACATATTTTACATGAAAATGCACCTCTTTGTAAGAGACCACATCAAATCCTGCTAAAGCCTCAAAGAGATGGTATAGAACTACAGTCACAGCATCTGAAAAAAAAAGAGAGCCAGTTGATTAATTTTCGATATGTAACAAGGAGATGTATGTTCCAGGACCAAATTATTTTATCCAAAAGCTTGAGGTTAACCCTTAAACTCCCAAGAACTGATAGTTAGTTCTCCCTTCTAGCTTGTAAATTAGTATCATGAATTTGGTGTTAGATCTGATAAATTTGAATATTCTTGTCACCTGTTTTCTGAATAATGCATGGATATTATGGGGAGAAGTAACATGTCAATCACTTCTAGGAGTAAAAAAGTTACAAAGCATAGAATGATGAAACTCTAAAACAAGTCACATTTTAAATTCAAAAGAATTACCTTTGAAAAACAATTAAAGAAGAGACCCAGAAAAGCTCATCTTACCATTTAAAAGTGATTCACCAAACACCAAGATATAGAGCATGACATTAACATGAATTTCCTCAAACACAGCCAGCACCTAAAAAAATAATCAAAAGTCACCCTGAATAGAGCATGATCAGTTCTTAGCTAAAAATCATGACACAAGGTACCAAAATTTTATTCACAGTCAGGCAACTTACAGCAACTGGATCCACTGCAGCAATCAGGGCTGCAAATGTCAATGTATGCATCAAAGTCAAGTTCATCCCATCTCTCCATGATACCCCAAACAATGACAGACCTGGTGACGAAATTTGAAAATGTGCCTATTTTAGGAATTAATATTTTTCAAGAATTGAGATGCTATGCTTTAAAAAAAGTAGTGAATGGAAAGATAAAGAATACCCACCTACAGTGAATGTATTGAAAATTGTTCCCTGTCCACAAAAAGAGAGTAAAAAGAGAAAAAAAACACTCACTCAATCATACTTTCATCAAATAAACAAATAAATCAAGTCAATATCATTATATGCAGGTCTGATAATACCTCCGAAAAATAATGATCATATATGTATATAAGAGCTACACAAACAATAAAAATATCCATTGGCAAGAAATTTACATTGGTTTGTTTGAAGTAATGTTTGATAAAGAGATTACAAAAAATGTTTTAATATCAGAATATAAAACATACCACAACAGCGTACAACAAGATTGTTCCTATATTGTTGAAAAATGCTTTGTCCTGAAGAAAATAACCAGCCTCAAGAACAATTCTGGAAACCAAAAAGTAATACAAAGAAACCATAAAATAATATAGTCATGTAAATTAGATCAAGCAAGATACACAAATTGCTTGCTAAGAGGGATCTAGAGAGGTAATCTTCTTTGCTATAGACCAAAGTCTTCTGGCTGACCTTTTCCAGCTTTTTGTCACACAACTAAAAACACAAGGGTATGATATATATAAAAAAAATGCATAGTTACAGTCATTACCTTACTTTCAAAAGTAATGTTGTTTGTGACTTTACACTGTTACTTATTCCTTTATAAAATATTGATAACCAACCCTAAAGATTTAAAAGAGGCTTTAAAATTATTTACAACACAAACAACTTACGGTGGCAGCATAAACAGAAAGAAAGTGCGTGATGAGAAGGTAGGAACTGTATCCAGAATGCCTATACCCCTGGATTAAGGCAAAAGTACAATGATACTGAGTCAGTTGTTTATTATGAAGTTTAATAAAACATCTCTGTTTTAATGACTCAACTACCAAGTACCACACCAACAGAAGAAAAGATGAAGATGTGTCTGATACAGTTCACAAGGAGAGAATTCTATACCTTCAAGTACTCTATTTTCGAATAACTCAAAAACAACTTTGGTGACTCTCTTTTTAAACATCTAATCAAAGAACATCTTAAAGCACAACTTAAATTAAGAATTGTTTGATGACTGGAACAGAAAGACCTTAACTCTTAAAGTCCCAAGATCTGATTGTTAATTCTCTCCTCTAGCTGCTACACATCTCCTTGTAAATTAGCTATGAGAATTTGGTGTTGGATTAAGATAACAACTTCCACCTGATTTTTTTGAGTATTCTCATTACCTGTGTGCATAATATTATAGAAAGAAGTTACATGTTAATCACTTCTAGGAGTTAAAGGGTTACATTTATCACAGTTAAACCATGTTTTTTATCATCTTCTACTACCCAGTGTTTTCATGTGGATACTGGTGTAATTAGTCAGTTTAAAGGGATTAATTATATTGAAAGCTTTTGGAAATTTGAGCACAAATACCAGTACATAAATCTAAATACAGACGTACTGTGAACTGAGTGACCCTATTACATTCAAGTTATATCAACTTAATTATACATAATTCCTCATCTCTTACTTCATTATTCCTCCAATGATGATTCCAAGAACAATTACCAAACTGAAGAAAAGGAATTGATCAATAACAATGAATAAATATAATAATCATTACTTGAAAGGAAAAACTTGATCATCAGAAAATACAATAAGAGATACTTGTTCAAGGTATATAGGTGCAGATTTCTTAGTACCGATATATAAGTTGAACCAAATCATGCATAAAGTGGAAATCACTTGGATTTCAGTGATTTTTTTTTATTTCAACAAAAAAAGTCAGATGGGTTTATCAATTAATGTTTTGAAATTAATATGGAGTTGAAAACATTTATAGTTAGTGAGCTCCTCAGTTATGAGATCCCTGGATGATTTTGCCAATAACAACATATTGCTTTGTTATCATATAAAACAAATAGAATCTAAGATGCTTTAGGCCAGTACAATTATAATAGATTATGAAAGAAATCAAATGTGGCAAGAACATTGGTGACATGCTAGCACATGTCTTGATTGCCACTTTTTGGTTATCACCAGATTTTGACGTCATCTGTGATCTACAGCTGAATAAAAAAAAAAATGTAGGAAAGGTGGGCTGGGAATGAAAGTGTATAATACAGCATAAAATTTGGCATTTTGAAATATCTGCTTCATCATGTGACTATTGTTGAAACAGCCATCAAGTAGAGTCAAATTTGTGTGCAGTAGATCAAACTGCAAGCTGTCACTAATAAAGAACTGGATTATGTCAAAACAAAAAATTTCAAAACAGAAAATTGTGTCAGCAATTAAGTTGTGACAGTTATTAATACACTGAGTTTTACAAAATGAATAATGAACATCTGACCAACATGCTAGAGCTTTGGCACACAGGAAACAAGGACAATAATAGGTGATTATAAAAATCCATGTCTATGAAAAATATGTCCAATTCACACACAGCCAAAAAGGCAACCACTAAGGAATTCTTAGCTGGCTGATGTCTTTTGGCAAAATTTCACCTACATGAAGCAGCTGAAGAAGACATTATTTTTTTAAATCAATGTTTGATTTCCATACCAACCTACACATAACGTACATAACTAAGATCAACAACAGATCTAATCAAGAGAGACAAAATGGCTGGCCGGCTGTCAAATACAGGTCGATCTGCATTTTAATCAAGTACGAAGAAAAAATGCGACTACAGAATTCACGTTATCTCCAAAGGCTCCTAAAATCCACTGGATAACTTCAAGTTTTTTTTTTTTTAGGTTAACTTTGATTACCCAATTTTTTGATGTATGGCTGGTCGGCTGTCAAACACAGTTCGATCTACATTTTAATCAAGGACGAAGAAAAAAAACGCGACTACAGAATTCACGGTATCTCCAAAGGCTCCTAAAGTCCATTGGATAAATTCAAGTTTTTTTAAATTAATTTTGATGACCCAATTTTTTGATGTATTGATTTTATGATGTGCAAAAAATGACAGCCTTTAAAAATATCTGCCTCTCTAACACTGAATAAAATTAAGTCGGCAGCTGTGTTAATTAATTCTACTCACCATGACTCCGGTACAATCGAAGACAGCTTGTGAGACAAATGGAAGACTATAAGAGAACATCGGTTTTTTAAATTCTGAATTTTCCCAATATGTGACTGAAATATTTAAGAAATCGATCGTCAGATTACAAGAAAAGTCACGCCACTCCCAGCGAAGCCGCTAATTACCTCAGCATTACATTTGTCGTCAACACTTACCGAGTTTGGCAAAACTTGCTATCAAAATCCACACAATGATCGTCAGTGGCCCAGCTACATATGCAAAGTCAAACTTTGCCACTTTGAGCTCCGGTATCGGATCACTGGCATGACCTGGTGTTCCGTTTTCATGTGAATTGTTGTTATGGCTAGTACTAGCTTTGTCGCCAACCGATGAGTTAACACGGAGGATTAGCACGCACACTAATAACAAAAGTGCTGCTGGATTTATGAGAGCCATCTTAACATTCAGACCTTGCCTCCTCCAGATGTCCCTCTTCCCCCTGATGTCTTTAAGCGATGAGCATTTTAATCATCGATCTTCGATAATTAAGGAGGAGTTTCTCCTGCAATTTAGCTAGTCCTTTTCGTAAGGTCAACGGCAAAAGACTGGTAACTAGTAGCAAAAGTATTTGCTTTGTGTAAACAACACGAAATTTGAACATTGTTGTGGCGTGAAACCAAAACAAACTAGAACGGTCAGTCGATTATCGCGAAGTGCTCTACACTGCAGAAATTCAAGTATGACCACAACTGTTTTCAGAGGGAGGCATTTATTTAGCAGGTTCGAGAATCTGATCCAAGAAGGACGGTGTTCCATACTGTGTCTCAAGCATCAGAGATGTGAACAACATGTAAGGACGTTTAGAAATTATTTTAATTTAAATGCGATTATCAATGTTGAGAAAGATGTTTTTTTTTTCGTCTTGTCACGAGCGTAGTACAAAGAAAAGTTAATGAGGGATCGAACCTTCGGACCTTCGGATTCCACGCTCTGATGTTCTAACCACCGAGCCACAGAGACTCCATAGTGAGCGAGGTCTATTACGAAGTTCATATGACACGCGTCCTGCATACTGCCAGGATCAGCAATGTCGATGGCTTAGTGTTTGTAGATAGAAACAATGTTGTTGTTTTTCCAACCAGTTATTTTTACTGAATGTTTATTCGAGCCTATTATTAATTTTACAAGGCAATGATTTGCTGTAGTCTGTCACCATGTCTTGACTGATGACAATATTCTATCCGGGTACCCGGGTGAGTGATTGCCCATGCATGAATGTGTAAGATATGTCAAATTTTCCGTGAGCAGTTCAGCTCAGACAGAGGAAACCCTTGAGGTGGTTGTCAAGTGTTGAAGACGAGCAGCGATCATCGTAACCGGAAGCAAAATTTTCAGACATTTCGACTGAAGTCGTTGTCTAAACGTTTTGAGATGGCTCTCCGTTAGGCCTTTCCAAGATACTTTATGCCTATGTTTATGATTTTAACGAGGATTAAATGCGAATCTCTTGATATGAAACCCGGAAGTGGCCCACAAAGCATTTCGGGTATCATCCTCAGTTGCTTGGCATCTATTTCCCATACGGGTATACTACAGATACTGATATCTCCTCTCTTCAAAGGATACACAATTTAAGAAATAGAAAGCAAAGAAGACAGGAGTACACTTGAAAGGTTTTATTTTATATTTTTTCCTTAACTATTATTTTCTTTCCATTTTGAAGTGTAATAATGTATGTGTTGAAGATCCAGATCGTCTCCTGCGCGCTGCATACTCTACCTATACCCTCAAATTTTGAAAGGAAACATGACAATTGTTAAAAAGTTATGGCTGCTGTCTGACGTGTATATAATTTTCTTTTTATTGAAAAAAAAATATTCGACGCATTTTTATTGATCTTCTCAAGAACAGTAGTAAGGTCTCATCGATCGCGCGAGGGTGAAGGCGACCTTGCTTGTATAGAAAAAAATAGAGAGGAAGAGGCTCTTTTTGCTCAAAAACTACAATTTTCGTATCATTTTGATAAAGTGCCACTATCGTTTATTCCATTCTTGCGTTTAAGTCGCAAGGTTTTTTCCGACTCTAATAACCACGGTCAGCCACACAGCGTCGATTGTTGAGTCGTGGCAACTCTTACATTGAGGGGATCTGAACCCTAGTATCATCTCGTGGATGTCATGCAATCTTCATTGGTCTAAAGATTACCTAACTCTTTTACGAAACACAGGTTAACTTAACTAAGGGTCGTGAAGGCAGGTATTTGTTTTCATTCAATGAACCTGATATTTTGTTATAGAGAATTGATTATCTTGTAAACGAAACCAAAAATATATGTTCCTCATACAATAACATTCGTTACTTTTAAGTATCATATGCGTTTGTGGTGGAACTACATGTAAGACCTTAAGAGTGGGCTTTGAAAAGCTGTGTATTATCCTATGACCATGGCTTCAAAGTAAATCATGGGTTATAGCACTGTATTTTGAAGAAAGGTAATGGAAAGGTCAAGGACGTGTTTCTCCTGCATTATAAATGTTCCCAAGCGTAAATGATGTATGGGATGTCTTATTTTAACCTGAAATCTTTGCTTTTCTTGTAGAGGAAAATGAGCTCAAAAGACTTGTACAAACCAGCAAACAGAAATATAGGATTTGACAAGAACGTGTGGTATGTACCAGAACTGTAACTGATCTGGATGTTGATGTGTAGAAATAAATATCTTGTGCAGAAGTTTCTTTTTTGTTTGGTGGGTTATACTGTGCATATTACCCTTTGGAAGGTTACGAGTCTGTACTTGAATTCATTACAGGGTCAAGAATCGTTTCGTTATTACTTTGATTATCTGGAAAGTCATCTTATTTGAAATATACATTTACTGGTATGCTGGTAGTTTCAGTCGGAGTTTATTTGCATTTTCTTGAAATGAAGTAACTAGGAGTATTACTACTCCCCACTGGATGGGATGCTAGTCTATTGTAAGGTTACCCCCCCAGCATCACATCAGGCTTCCCTGACAATTCAGTAGTACCCATTTCATACTCTTGGGTGAAGAGAGGCACTGTGAGAGAAGGAGTGTCTTCTAGAACCCAGATCTCTTGACCCGGAGCCCAGTACACTGACCACTAGGCCAGTGTGTTAATTAATAGTTAATAGTAATCTTTAATGATTAAAGCCAGTATGTCTTCCAGTGTGTCAATATATCTTATAACAAATAATGGAGTTGCACTCTAGCCTTTTTTTTTTTTTTTAAAGAAAGGATCTTTAACAGCTTTGATAGTGTATGATTTATATGTGACTGTTTTTTTTTTTGTTCACAGGGTTGAGTTTACTGCTTTAGCAAGAGACTATAAAGCAGTGAACTTAGGACAGGTAATAAACTATAAATATAGATTTTAAAAAAATGAATAATCTTGTTATGTAACCAGCTTCAGCTGTAATGATACCACATGAGACCTTTCTTGGGTTTTTTTAACTGTCAATGTGTTCATTTTTCACTTTACTTCCTCTGATTTTAAGTAAACAAAAAGCAAGTTGATTTTGTGAGTTTAAAGATAATAGAATTTTTCTACAGTGTCCAGCCAAAAACAAGCCTCTCAATGTTATTTGATGAAGTATGTCCTGTTTTCTTAGCCTATCATGGCTAACTCTCATTTGCTCTATTGAAGGGCTAACACTTGAAACCTCAGCTTAGAAACTCTCTACAATGGCCAATTTCCATTACTATATTACCCTGTTATACTCTCCCACTGATGCAGCACCACTGACAGTTTCTTTAGAAACTAACCCCTCAACTCTCATAATTGCTCAACTGAAATTCTGCTCGTAGGTCTCAAGCCTTTATATATTTTGGTTAACTTATGTGTAGGTAGCTATACACCTGCACACTCATTAATTACTGACAATGAATGAATGATTGATGATACGTGTGCAACAATTTAATGTTAAGAATATTTTTCTGGGAGTGTTCACTATTACATTTTTTATTAGCCTAGGATACTTTTAATAGCTTCTTTAGGTTAATGAAAAAAAAAAACCTCATTTATAATCTTCTATTATTAATTATAGGGATTCCCAGACATGCCCCCTCCTCACTTTGTCAAAGAAGCGCTTGGTAGGGTGGCTGCATGTACTGACTTTGCTGTTAATCAGTATACAAGAAGTCAGGTGAGACCTGAAGGTGTTAATAACAAATGACTTTGCTTGGTGTTCTTGGAAGACATTATGCCTTTCACATTCATTAGCATTTTCTTTTTTTAGCAGAATTCACACATAGTATCCCATATAGATTTGATGATTTGTAGTTCAGATCTATAACTTCTTTCCATTTTAACAAAAATGAATAGTAATCAATTTCCACCTTAATTTTCAGGGTCACCCAAGACTAGTTAATGCCCTTGGAAAGCTTTACACCCAGTTGATGAAGAGAGCTATTGATCCTTTATCTGAGGTAGCTATTACTTATTAGTTACTCTGGTTTTGCTTATTGAACAATTATTTCTCTTAGAAACTAGCATTACCTTCTCTTGATCAATTAAATGGACTTGCATTGATCACTCAGTCCTCAGATCTGTCCTGGCTGGGCATGACGTTGTGTCCTTAAGAAAGACGCTTCACTCACATTGCTTTGTCTTCTCAGATAGGACGTAAAACCGTAGGCCCTGTCTCCTGCAGGGTTGGGGTAGGAGACGTTAATTTCCCACGCACGAGATTACTGTGTGGTGGATGTCCTCCCCTGGGGTGGGATGGGTGGAAGAGACACATGGCACATTTGCATTTAAACGAGCTATTCGCTCATATGCGATATGTGGTTAAATAAAGTTACTTACTTACTTACTTACTCATATTTTATCAGCTTATATGTATTTTACTTTAAGTTTTAAACATATTTTTTTGCAGTTTTTCAGTTGTTTTGATGGTCTTTTGTTTATGGTTTTTAACACTTAGTTGTAAGGCACTTTTCTTGACTGTTTAACATTCTACAGAATGTTCACTTTGTCTTAGTTGATAGTGCATTAAAACTGTCCACTAAAATGTTACAAATTTTGGGTTCCATTCCATAGATTTTAGTCACAGGAGGAGCCTACGAGTCACTGTATTGTTCATTTTTGGGTTTAGTGGATCCTGGTGATGAGGTATGGTAGGTAGAAATTGTCTGTTAACCCTTTACATCCCAACATCAGTATGCATATTCTCCATACTGCTGTTTATACATTTTTAAGGTGCTAACACAGAGAATTTGTCCAACAATCAAGAGCTTCTTTCCATTTCCTTTATTCTTGTGACTGTAATACATGATTCAGGAGTGATATTGTAAGAATGAATTGGATGGTAGTCACTTGATTGGGTCAAAAGGTTAATGAGGTGTCCTTAGTAGTTAAGTGATTGAAATTAATAATATAGAACAACATTTATCTTTAGAGGGGGGTTAAGGAGGAAGTGCTCATTAACAATTATCATGGCTCCCTTTCTTTATGTCAATTTAGTTCCTTTAAATGATTGTTGTTCAAATTTTATTTCAAGTCTGTAATCCTTGTTCTGCAGTTCTTTGGTCAAACTTTCCTCTTAAATTCTATTAGAGTTTATTGTGTGGCTTCACAAGACTGGATAGTTCTTTTGATTTGTCATAAGACTGATTAGAGCGCTTAAAGTTTTGGTAGTTTTTTGTTGCAATCCTCTTTTGATGTACAGGTAATCCTTATTGAGCCATATTTTGACTGCTATGTACCTCAAATATCAGTGGCTGGTGGGATACCAAAGTTTGTCCCTTTGAGGGCTGTAAGTATGTCATTGCTCTTACCAGTCTTTAAGTTGAACAATTATTCCCTCCCACTGAGGGAGCAAATCACTGAATAAAACAGCAAGGATTGAAATGCTTCAATCAGAGCTGTTGAAAAACAACTAATCACAGCGAGCATCATGCTTTATAAGATCACACATGACCAGTCAATCTCATCACCTGAAGAAGACTAGCAGTATGCAGTCAAAACGTCGCGATCTACATCACATGTGACTACATGTACATCGAGAGACAAATGGAAAACTCAGCTTTTATTGAACAAAATAATTTGGTTTTATTATCTAAGTTGATTACTGTTAGTAAGTAAATTGGCCACTGCACAAAGAGTTTCTAAGCTGATGCTTAGAGTGTGAGTCCTTTGTCAGAATGAACAATGAAGGGTTGATGCCCAAAACGTTAGCTTAGAAACTCCTTATGATGGCCAATTTACAACTCATTTTATAAAACCAAACTGTCAACTTGTAATAACCCATACTAATGCAACACAATTATAGTTTCTTTTGTGAGAAACTTATCTGACTTTATTCACTTAAACTGAATGGTTGAGTTGGGAAAAACTATGATCTGAATGGTGTGGAATAATTTACCCTTTCTTTGTTCACCAGAAAGAAAATGCTACCTCAACAAAGGACTGGATTTTAGACAAAGATGAACTGGAAGCAGCCTTTAGTGAGAAAACCAGAGCCATTGTTATTAACACTCCACATAATCCCATTGGCAAGGTAAAGTGTTATTCTGAAGAAGTGCAAGCTGATCAAAAGATGATGGAGAGTATTTGCAACAGTTTTGTGAATTTTAATCTCAAAGGTATTCAGTATGGAGGAGTTGCAGTTAATTGCTGATTTATGTAAGAAATACAATGTCATCTGTATCAGTGATGAAGTTTATGAGTGGCTTGTCTATGGTGGAGAACAGCACTTAAGGATTGGTAAGAATGTTTGTTCATCTTTTGTCTGAGTATTTTTCGGAATCACTGGCCAATGACTTTAATTACCTTTGTAACAGCTATTTAACCATTTCATGTTAGTGATCAGAGTGGAGAATCCTTGAGAATTTATTACATTGTCTGGTAGAGAGGCATTGGGAACTAGGAAAATAATCAAATAGGGGATATTACTTTTAATGTTTGATGCAGCACAAAGTTCTCAGTATTAGCTGTAACAAAGAGATGATTTGGTCAACAGTTGAGAGAGGAAAGCTCTCAGATCTCGAAAGCAAAACTTTGCACAATAGTATCATTGCACTTTTGTAAAAACTGTTAAAGTTTCACCTTTATCATCATCACTACTAGGTAATAGTCAGATCTCTAGGTAATACTAATATTTGGACACGATCCAATATATGGATGTTAAACTTTTTTCATTTGCAAGATTTACTATAACATTGTTATTTTAAATAGCTACACTTCCTGGTATGTGGGAAAGGACAATAACAGTTGGCAGTGCAGGGAAGACCTTTAGTATCACTGGCTGGAAGGTAACCTTACTTATTCAGTGAATATTCAATGGCCTTGAAACTCATGTGGGTCTTTGTTTGGAGGCTTGGCATATTAACTTCGCCCACGCTCCTTCAAATTGTGACAATGGCGGTTTGCTTCCTGATGCCTATTTATACCTCGTCAGAAAAAAGGCCGCTAATTAGTGGTCATATAAAAGGACCTCTTGTTGCAGTGTTTAGATCACCCCTGATAAAGGCACTAGACAGGAGTGTCAAAACGTTGGGTCTATGAATTGTAACTTCTTCAGTTACATCCATTAAATCTGCAAACCAGAGTAACATCAAACTATGTCTCATGTAGGTCTCTTGATTCATTGTGAAGTTCTGCAATTACATTTAAAAAGTAGCAAGACCTCCTGTCAAAACCTGCAGCTTTTGATTCAGACTGGTTCACTTTAAGCTGGGTAATCAGGCCTTATAAATTGAAGGAACAATGCATTATCGTTGCGTCTTCCACTGCCTGGCATTTCTCAGTTTGCCCTCACATGTGCAGCATTTGTTAGGACACTGCACCCTCTACCTTTGCAGTTCAGTTAAAAAGTAAGAGTCTAGTCTAGTTCAGTCTTGCTGATAAGATGAGTGGCCCATACTTCCTCACATTTGGTTGGTTTTCCTGGGTGTATTGCTTCTTCTCCTGAGTGGAATGTCCATTGGATCTCTAGTGTTCTCCTCTATTATAAGCGCAGCATAAAATAGCAATTTTCAAACCATTTCTGGTTGAATTTCTAAGAACTCCAAGCAATTTTAGGCAGTAATAAGACTTACTACTTCAGGGGTTAAATTTTACTTTCTGAATAGGAGTACATTATGTCTCTGACAATTTTTTGCCATGCCAACTATAAATACTTCAGAGAGGAGAAATTCGCTAAAGGAGTAATGTGTGTGGCCCAAGAAAATGGCATAGCATTTCATGACCACAGCTTGATCGTAGACCTATCAGGTGGGGGCTCTGCATGCCAACTGTTCAGCCTTTGCATCTTCAAAAACATGAAAGCTGCACTTTCAGTTGATTAACCTTGTATTGCAGCTGATAGTTTGAAAGTAATTCTGATCAGTTTTATTGGCTTTACTTCACAATACTAGATTCTAAGAGTATACTTTTAAATGTTGAGGAAGTATTATTTGTTGTTAATATTGTCATTTTCTTATTATTTTCAGCTTGGCTGGTCAATTGGTCCTAAGGAATTAATTAAAAACTTGCAGACAACTCAAGCACAAATTACTTATAACCTGGCAACTCCCACACAGGTAATCTAACAGGAAGTATGAAAAATAAGTTCACTTGAAGTTCTTAGTTTATTTTGGTCAGAGGTAAATAGTTAGATAGCAAACGTACAATTCTCCATAACATGTAGCTGTGTTTGTCATTCACAGGAAGCCCTTGCCCAAGCCTTTGAACATGAAATTCCTCTTATTGACACAGAAAAGTCATATTTCACAGGACTTAGAAGCATGTTGGAGAGAAAACGGGATGTGATGGCTAAACTACTGACTGAAGTTGGTTTTAAGCCAGTCATTCCTCAAGGAGGTTACTTTATGATGGCTGACACATCAGGCATTGGTACAATTACACAATTTTTTGTTGTTAATAAGCAGTTTGGGAAAATGTATAGATTCTTGCCACAAGTGTAATGCTGTGAGATTCATCAGCTGAGGAGATCACAAAAACATAGATTTGAAAGTAATGCAAGTTATGAAATAAATCAGGAATTTCCAGAGTGATGGGGTTTTAAAAACTAAATCACCTTCTTAGTGGGACATGACTTTTTGTATTTAACAACTAACCAAAATGTCAGAACTTATTATTGACATATAGTTTTCAGGTCCATGAGTCTCAAGATAAAGACAACCATATAAATTAAGTAAAAACCAAGACTGTTGTTAGAATGCCTTTAAAAAAAATTATAATTCAAATGTCCAAAGTATGAATTAATTAGCACCAGTTACAACTTTAGAAGACCTATTACTCAACTCAGATTGTATCCTGGTCTGTCACAGTTGAACATGATAGCATTTCTAATTTACAAGTTAAAATCATTGTTTTTTTTACCAGATGTGAACTTTGATGAATATGATAAAAGTGATGACCCTCCTGACTATAAATTTGTACGATGGTTGACAAAAGAGAAGGTGGGAAGAAAAACATTTAATTTTATTAATAACAGGACCAGTGTCCAAGATCTTTGGTTTTTTATTTATTTAGAAATATTTTTTTGTCTAGTGTAAAGTAGATAGTAGATAGAGGATACATTGATCTGTAGTATACATGTATCAATCCAGATATGTTCTTGATTTGTATTTAAACAATGTCATTTTTATCTTATACCCCTTTCACACCAGTAAACATGTTTAGTGAAATAGGGTTTACCTGAATGAAAATCAGAAAGGTAGAACCTAAAAACTGGATTTTTCCATCTGATTCAATTAATCTCAAAGTAGTTTTTTCCAAAAGCTACTTACACACTTGACAAAGATTGGTTTAGGGTTAAACAGCCTCTATGAACAAAAAAAAATTTAAACCTTACTGTGTTTTACAAAGCAGCTCTTTAAAACGTGTTGAAGCTTTGGTGTGAATGGGGTGTTAGTTTTTTTTCTAAATATTTAGTCATCATTGATAATCTTATTCAAGGTTAGGCCAAGGTGTACATGTCAACACACACACTACCCACAATTCCTCCATTTGCTCTGACAAGAGGCTATTTGTCAAAACATTAGCTTTGAAACTCTTTATGGTGGCCAGTTTACATCATCAACTCAGTTGATAAAACCAAAACTAGCTTGTCACACCCCCCCTCCCCCCCACCAACACAGCACCACACTTACTTTATAAACATACCCCCTTTATACATGTCCATAACCATTAATTTGCCATTTGGTAGCATGTATCAACATATATTCTTATTAAGTTCTCAATAAGTAATCAGTACTTTAAATCTACTTTTATTTGATATTTATCACAGGGAATTGCAGCTATACCTCCATCAGCTTTCTATTCCCTTGAACATAAATACATGGGAGCCAAATACATTCGATTCTGCTTTATAAAGGTTAGTACTTGCTTTCCTTTTAATGGACTCTCTGCGAGGGTGGTCCTGAAGAGGACTGTTGTTGGTGGTTTGACGGATGTTTGGAAAAACCTCAGGGAAAGTCATCATTGGAGCTGCATGACTTAAAGGTTGTCCAAATGCCAGTCACTAAGGACTGTTGTTGGTAGCAGTGACTGAATTTTTTTTTTGGGGAAAAAACTTTGCAAAATTGATCATCAGAGTCAACTTTAAAGTATTCAAAACATCAGTCACTAATTCTGCCAAAAGTTCTTCACAGATTTAATCTTACTTTTACAATCTGTTTTAGACCCTGATTTGTTGTCGGCAATGGAACTTCACTTTACACCCAAACTGCCCCAACATATAATTATAACTAACAATATTATCTTCCTATAAACTCAAAATATGGTGTAAATATTCACTTCTGATGTTGCTTCTGATGTGGTGGAAAATTGGATGCAGATAAACTACTCCTCACACCCCAAGAATAAGTCTATGGTCGAATTCAATTATACTGACTTCTCAAGCTTGCATTTTACTGACAACTACTGACTTGAAGTAATTAAACTCACTGTCTGGCATTTTGCTAGCTGTAATTATGAACCAATTTTGTTTTCAATTGTAGGAGGACAGTACTTTAGAGAGTGGAGCAAAAAAGCTTAAGGAATGGAAAGCTGAATTGGGGAAATGAAAATTAGTGTAAAGGTCAGGTCTGAAATAAAGTAGTGTGTGGTTTCCTCTCTCTACTCATAAAAAAAAGATGATTTACAATGCATTAACTGTAGAAAATCATCATATGATCATGCCTACATCTTCTTAATGGTACTATCATATAAGGGGGTAGAGTTTTTATATAAAACCTTTAAAAAGTATATTTTTAGGAATTAAACTGAGGACTGAGATTCTTTTGCCATAAGACAAATAAACAAATTAAATTCTGGAGTATGGGTGGCAGCTGTAGATTGTTAAGTTCAAAGGTGCTGCTTCTTTTTGAATATTAAGAGAATTTTAATGTAGAGTAACTGTCCATGACTATTGAGTTAAGTCATGGATACATGTAGAATTCTGAGACATCCCTGACTTGTCATATGCAGTGACCAAGGGGTGGTCAGTTGAGAAAAACTACCACTTGCTGTAACCCTTTATTCCCTAACATCAGCATCCATATTCTCCATACTCCTCCTAATATATTTTCTTTGGTACTGACAAGGAGAATTGGTTTTAATTAACAATCAAAGTCTCTTAAGTTGGTGATCATTTTCTTTATTCTCATAATCTTAGTGAATGACTAAGTGGTTTTTCTGTAGGGAGAAATAAGATGCTGGTCGCTCTTAGGGTTTAAAAGGTTAACAATAAACTTGAATTTACCTAGAATTCATTGGTCATGGAATCATGAACCACACACAAGGCAGTGTTTGAAACCTGACTAACAGGAATCCTCAATTAATTGAAAAGAAAAACAATTATTATACTTTGCTATTAATAGTAAGTATCTCTGGGTTAGAATGCATCAAATTTCAAACAACTTGGCATGAATCTTGGCCAACTTTCATGTGTTACTATTCAATGGAAGACACTTAAATTCATGCTGAATTATTTGGGAAGAACTATTTGTTCTTGGTGGTAGTGTGAAACAGAATTATCCAACACCATGATAATTAAATAAAGAGAAAATGTAGTGTACTGAAACAATAACTACAAAATGTTATTTTCTATTTGGTTCTTCAGTGTTCTGACTTAATTGTCACACACATGTACTGGTAAAAAAATGTGGGAATTGTTTTGTTTGATTTGTGACTTATGCCAAACACAGAAAATAATAAGGAAATAGTTGTCACAATTACATTGTATTTCTGTGTTTTCAAAGTCCCCTTATAGAGGGCTTTCCTAGCAAAATTAACTATCATACATCCATTGAAACAGTCAATAAAAGAACTCAAAGTGTTAAATGTGAATATGGAGTTAGCTGTGCAATGGTTCAACATTCATTTAGAACTTTTAGTAAGTTTATTTCCCTTGAAATTTTTATTTACAATTGATGATTTACAGTTGTAAGAGATTATAGTTGTAGTCCACCATCTTAAATTAATTGAGCCTTATGTTGCTTAATTGAAGATCTCATTCTGTTGGGGTACCATTGAGAGAAACATTACATCCTTTGCCTGGACATTGCTAAATTAAGTTTACTGACTTTTATGTCTCTCCCCTCTGACTGAGAGCTTGGAACAAGCTAATTAGTGTCCAAGTTCCATTCAATCTCACATTTTTAAATACTGGGGTACATCAAAGTAATTCCTGAATTCAGCATGTGTGAACTTGAGTCTTGCTCATGCAGTCTAGTGTGGCAAGGCCTGTCATTGGTTGAATTGTAGCTGTGTGGATCTTTGGTGCCAATCTGCTAAAATTAATGGCTTTAAATGTTGTTTTGGATTTAGCTTGGCACAGAAATAGGATGAAATTTGGAACTGAGTTACCATTGGTCACTAGTAAATAGATATTATCTCAGTCTAAACACAGCCAAGTTCAGGAAGGTGTTTTGAAATCTTTTGGCTGGTGATTAAAACAAAGAACTGGTAGCTAAGGGGAACTGAAAGCAGCTCAACAGTTTTCTATCACCTAGCGACGGTCTCAAGTAAGGCTCAGGCATCTTGCGGCGTTGTGAGGCATTCACATTCCTTTCCAAGTGATGTTCACAATGTTTTAAAACATTCAATAAAATCTGAACAGGCTCTTTCCGCATAGTCAGTGCAAATTTCTTGTGTCCTATTGCAATGAGTGATTCATAGAAACCATGGAAATTAAGAGAAGCACGGCCTGATTCACAACCTGGATGACGACGACTCATGTTGATGAACATTATGTCAAATGAAGCAAGAGTGAAGCCGAAATCTGTCAAATGACATCTCCTGATAAGACAAGAAAAGAGGAGTATCAGGTTAGATCAACCAAGCATTGACTCTTTGACCCTTAAAAGTGATTAGGATATTACCTCTCCCTACAATGTCACCCCTAAATCACACAATAAGGTCTCAGAATAAATTAAATGATTACCAATTGAAAAAGCTCCCAAGTATGAAAGGGTGAAAAATTGTAGGTCACACCCTGCTCATATGATACCAATAATTTGTTTCCACCTATAATGCACACTGATATCAAAAAAAATAATTATTTCATACTGTGCAGTCAAGGGAGGGAGATCTGTGAACAAAGTAGCCATACATGTAAATCTTGGTTCTTGATCGTAGTCTACCCAATGCATTGGTTGACGCATCTACTACAATGAAATAATTTTCAGCCTCAGGGTACATAATTCTGTCTCTATGTCGCACAATATGTCTCAATGTCTCACCTTGCCATCATTCTAAAGGAGGTAGGTCCCATCTTGTTGGATGTGCGCACCCCTACAAAATGTCTGAAAAGTGTCACACATCTTTCCACTACTCTGAAATGATCTAAATGGGAAGCCAGTTTGGGATAAATTTGGTAAAGACAACCTGACTTTTCTGGTAGTGTGTCCCTGGAATAGAACGGTTGATAAAAAGTTAATATAAACTGAATTTCTGAATTTTCATGATTGTGTTAAACAGCACACAGCATGTTATACTACAACTTTCATGAAAAATGTTAAAAAATGTTTCTATTTTTCTCCAGCTTAATTTTTCTATTTAACATATTCTTTAGAACCAAAAAATTAAATACAAAAATATTAATTTTAAATTTTTAGTACTTTAAAAGTGATCATGAACATAACCAGTATATTTTTAATGGTATCAGGACTAAGTGGGGTCCAATTCAGTCTGGGTTCAAAGGTTTGATTATACAAAGTTAGTCAAAACTACAACAGAATTTGAAAAACAGACTTAATGGAGACCAATGTGTAAGTATGGTCATGCAGACCTTGTTGTCCTCAGTCTGTATTTCATGAGCACGAACCAAACATTTTGCTGTCCAGCCCTCCCACTCAGTCAATAAGTAAACACTATTAAGTTGGCCAGCCATTTATCCTGATAACTTACACTTTCTTTTGTTGCCATACCAGTGACATGGTATCTTTCACAATAGGAAGTTTGATTTCCAGATCTGTTTTGCTGACATAGTAGTCAACTTTGCCAGGGACTGTCTCTTCTTCATAGTCAATTCTTAAACTTGGACTGGAGTTCACTTCAAGCAAGATTGGCTTGAGGTCTTTGTTTAATAGAATATCAAAACCTAAGATTTGAAAAGATCTGAGATCTTGCTTCAACTCGGCGCTTATGATCTGAGTTTGAAGTTTCAATATTGGTAAAAGAGCAATGACAGTCTTGCAGGCAAGTTGGTCTATTTCAGCCCACAAGAGTGGAATGTTGCATCCTTGTTTCTCCAGTTGCTTGAAGACAGCACTTATCTTGCGCTTGCTTCCCTTATCCTCTGCATCACTTTGAACATAACCTGCACTGTGTTTGTTTAATGAATAGTTTGTCAAGTGCATGTAAGTCTTGGAGATGTTCTTATGCGTCGGTGGCTGGTAGTGTTCAGTACAAAAACGTGCCATGCCTTCACGGCAAATGAAGATTTCTAAAGGTTCCAACCTCTTTAACACAACATAAATCCTAAGATCAAATTTAAACTTTTCAAGTAGATAAGGCTCTGCAACATACTCCTGCACCACACAGGGCCTTGCAAGAGCAGTGCTTAGATGTACATCATGAATGTTCTGCATTAAAAAAATTCCATCCCCCTGAGACCCTCCATCAGGCTTGACAATAAGAGTGGGTGGCTTCTTTGCTTTGGACATGTAGGCAGAAACTTCACCAAATTCTTCTGGCAGCATCCAAGTCTTTGGATAAAAGCTAAACTCATGAGGAAATAAAAAGTGCAGTCTGTTGATGTGTCTTGTGAGTTCTACTTTGTGGGCAGCCTCAGACATGCCTAAGGAAATAATTTAAAATACATAACAAATCAAATCAAATATCAAAAAAGGCCAACTGCATATAATTACACCAGGCACAATCCTGATGGAATGATTTGAAGAGACTACGAGACTGAATCTTTTGGTGCTAAAACGTCAGGAGGGGGAGCCCTGCCACTTATGAAGTGTTTCATTGCACATCCTCATTGTGAAATAGCTGTGGTGCACACTCATTAAAAACACAAACTTGCATTTTTTAAAAATAAAACTGATTATACCAAAAAATTTGCTCAGCCATCCTGTTTCTGGATATTCAGGCATCTCAAAGTGTCCACCAAGCCAGTAGAAGTCGCAACCATTCCGTCTACCTGTCGGGTACTAATTAAAAATGTCCATATGCATATAAGCGAAAATGAAAACAAAAGTAAGTGGCCTCTTACGGAATACGCGTAAAACTCCTTCGAGCTCAGGATTAGTGATAAAAAAAATTACGGTCCAAGTAACAAAATGAAAACATCCAGGAAATGAAAAAAATGTGTATCAAATGATGTCTAGTTTTTTTTTTTTTATTTCAAAGTAAAGCGTTCGATCTTACCTATTTGCGAGGAAAGAAGTGAATATCTCGAATGGTTCGCATTGGTGGGTGATCTTTTCTTCTCGCCTGTGTCGCATTTGTTACGCAACGCTTTACGATCGCATCCTTCTTTACGTTAATTTTTTACTCTGGATTTCTCTTTAACAAAACAAACGCGTAGAGGGAAAGCTGAACGAATATGATAAGATAAACAACGAAACTTCATATATGTAGTCCACATTGAATTTTATTGAAGCGTTTGCTTTTCTAACTAATCATTGCTGTTCTGTTTGTTGTAAACAGCTGTTCCGATTTTAATATGAGCGTACGTTTCGAAACATAATGTTTTAAGGATTTGGAGCCATTAACAGATCTCAACAGTTGTACGATAATTAAAAGCGTGTTATGGTTACGCCTCGTCGCTCAGAATTTAAAATTAGCCAATTTTTTTCGTATTTTAGCACTGGGGTATCAATGCCTTTCAACTATTACATCTAAATTCATTGAATTAGTACGCAAAACTAATATTTGCATGGCCTTTAACCTAGGCTATTGGAACTGGTGGTGCCTTTGTCAAAGTAACAATATAGCCAAGTAAATCTAAAGTGACCTATACTGTTGAAATAGCGAAATGTGTACATATTTGATATTTATGCAAGATTTTGATCAAAGATCCATTAATTAGAATATGTTTCAAACGCAAGATCGGACTCGAAACAGTACAGTTAACATGGAAGCTGCTCTTGAAATTTCAATTACTCTATATGCATTGCAGATTTTACTTTTCATTTGCAAAGCTGGTACAGTTGTAAGAAGAGATATTAAATCTAGTTCAGCACACACCTCTCGCCATCCAAGTTCTTTGATAGCAAGACGCACAACATCAGAACTTCCTCTCGCTTGCGAAGTATCCACAGATGGCACGCGAATAGCTTTCCTTCTTTTGCCTTTGTCTTTACTTTTCTTCACCTCCATTAGAGTAAGTTCAGATACCAGCCTGCGTAATTTTTTGCGGTCTTTCTTGCCGCTTTCAGAATGTGTGATGGTGGCCTTAGCAACGCCACCGTTGTCTCTTTCATGTTCACCTTTCTTGTCAGTAATCGGCGCGATCACGCGAGGGACACTCCGAGCCAGAAGTGGTTGTATTTGCCTAATGGACACGGTTTTATCCGTTTCAGGATCGTCAGATTTCATTTTGAGCAAGACTGAAAATTGTTCATGGAGATGAGAACACTTTCTGCAAATCAACTGAAGGCCCCGGGGTTGTTGTCAGTGTTGCTGATCGCAGGCTCAAATTTGGAATGCGGTGTTCTTGAAGAAAGTACAGGAATTAATCAGTAAAATGGCAGAACAACACAGTGTTTTATGTCTGTGTAGAGATTCATGTGGAAAGTTAAAAATTTACAAAAAATTTCACCGAATTTCCATGAATTTCTGATCTCTCTCCTTGGGTTTTTACTTCTTCTAAGATGTGAAATTAATCTAAATTAGTCTCTCGAAATTAGTTTCTCGAAAACCGCGTCATTGCCGCACCAATGTTTCTTTAAAAGAAGTCACAAGATTAATTTATCACGGGAAATTAAAGTTAAAGAGTGAACTGCAGTATGTATTTATTCATTTAATTTTTTTATCAGCAAGCAGTCGAGTGCCTCTGTTTTAAGATTACAAACCAAAGTAACAGGAACGTCAGGCATCCCTGCAAGTCCTGCAAGTGGACTTACTACAGCCGTCAGCTGCGTAGGTTAACCGCAAGGTATCGGATAACAATTGTCATAAACTAGTATCGTTTTACGATACGCTAGTCGCCAGTTTTGAATGAGTTCGAAGTGGCTGGGTCATAAGAGTGGAGCAGATCAGACGTCTCTGAACTGCACTATTTTATCTTTCTATCGCATATGCTAATGTTATTACACCGCGTCAAACAAGTGTTGTTCAAAACCTTCCGGATTTAATTGGGGTTTATGATCTGCTCTGCGTAGACTTTGAGTTAAAGACATTCAAGGCAGGCAGAAACTAACCTGGAAGTTGAGCCACGATTCGCCAGTAACAAAGCTATTTATCGTCATCATCGTGATCTGGAAGTCTCTCAACACATTTGGAGCGGACACGAGGTTTTCAGATTTTTTCAGCATAAATCTTTGATTGCGTTGTGAAATTTGAAGACGATGACGGCGAAAGCACGGTTGAGGACACTTTACGCAGATCTTATTGTACATGTGCTCTTTGTTTTTATTTCAAATTGGGGATACTCCAAAGCGCAGAATGGAATTCCCGAAGGCGCTGCCTCGCTAGTGTTTGTCTTCGACACAACGGGCAGTATGTACGATGATCTTATTCAAGTTCGCGCTGGAGCGGCGAAAATTCTCTCCACAACGTTAGAGAGGAAAGTCAAGCCTTTGTATAACTATGTCTTGATACCTTTCCATGATCCAGGTGCGTTTTTTGGAATATTACTCGGCCATTTGTTTAATTATGCTCAGATAGACACTAATTGATATGGTATCGTGACGATCTAAAGTTTGTCAATATCATACTATGATTGTACGTGTTTAATATATACTAGCACTTTTGTTTACGTCGGTTAAATTTCAACACAAGAACTAGGGCGAATTTTTGACATTCATTGCATTTACTACAAAATACTCCGTTGTTTCAATCTATTCCTTGTGAATTTCGGAACCTCAGACATACACAATCATAATGAAATTAGGTCGTGTTAGTCCATTGCTGTAACATGTGTTAGCAATTTGGTAACACGGACGTGATCAAATTAGTGCGGCTTTCTGTATCGCGTTCATGTCGAAGAGATTTTTTGTATGCAAAATTCCAAACAATTATGAGTAGCTGTTCCTTTAAACTTGGTGCAAGCGCGCGTTGGACGTTGTTGGAGGTACTAATTAGGTCGCGGAACGAGTTCAATGTTCAATGAATGCGTCGGTGAGATAAGATGACTCTCATAATATAAGCTGATCTTACCGGAAGCCTGCGGTCTAAACTTACAGCTCTTGTTACTATGGCATTATACAAAAAGCTTGCCAGTAGGTTTGATTCACTCGATTTTATGGTGGCTCTATGCCTTATGCTAAGGGTTGAATGAGGGGATTATGATTGGGGTTATGCTCAATTATCAGGGAAACCTAATATTTTAAGAAGGCCGTGGTTTTATGTTTTCCTTTGAAATTTTGCTGGAAAATTGGCATGGGGCCAGCTAGAAATGATCCCCTTGGGCATGCCTGATATTTGACTGCTGTGTTCATGACTCAATCAATGGCTTTATCCTATCCCTTCCAAGACAAGCTCCTCTTCTTGTCATTCTGGCAGAAACTGGAGATGTGCACATGTAGTCCAGACCACCTAGCCTCTAGATTAAGCCTTTAACTCCCACAAGTGATAAAGATAGAATTTCTCCATACAATATTACTACAATATCAAGCAGACAAGTTAGGAGAATTAAAAAAGTGTATAAATTAGGGAATTATTGGTTGATCCAATACCAAATTCTCCAAACTAACATCACAAGAATTGTATGGCAGACAGTAAGGAGAATTACTAATGAGATTTTGGGAGTGAAAGGGTTTACCTTGTCCTTCAATTTATGTATTTAGTTGTACTGAATCTTTAAATTAAAAGAGTTATATATTACCATGTTCCTTACCATTCAACTTGCAGCCTTTATATCAACAGATGTGGGTCCAGCCATAGTGACAACAAGTCCAGAGAAATTCCAGGAACACCTAGACAATCTTTTTGTGCAAGGGGGAGGAGACTGTCCAGAAATGTCCTTGAATGCCATCATCTTAGCGCTAGAAATCAGCTTGCCTGGCTCTTTCATATATGTCTTCACAGATGCAAATGCCAAGGATTTTGATCAAACTCAAAAGGTGACATTTGAATTATTTGTACTTTATACGTTCTGAGGTATTTTACCCTGATTTAGTCTAACCCTTCACCCTAAAGCATCAGTATTCATGTTCTCGATACATTTCCTAAGGTGCTGATTGTGAGAATTTGTTTAACAATCAAGAGCTTCTTTAGTTGGTGATCATTAATTTTATTCATGTGGTCTTAATGTTTGATTCGGGGGTTAATGTTTGATTCGGGGGGAGGGGGGGGAGGGGGGGAGATATTGTTAGGAGAAAGGAGAAATCAAACAAAACCAACACTTCCGGGGGCCAAATGTTTGAAGTATTTACAAACCAAATTATGAAATTGAATTAAATGAATGAACCCTTGATGTAGTGTTATTTTCTTGCTAATGCAGTCAAAAGTACAGAGATACTGATATGGAGAATGTCCTTCTCTACTTAAATTTTGTAAATTACATTTTGTCCCAGTCTCTTCTAATCACTGAAAATTGCCTCTGAAGGTGAACCCAAACAATCCAAAGTCGAAAAAAGAAAAATTAAAAAATATAGCCTATCCTTGAAAAGGAAATCTGCCTCTTTTTTTTCAGTGGAGATGAAATGTATCTGATTTCTCCTATGTTAGCTGTAAACCCTTTAACTCCCAGAAGTGACCAACATATAACTTCTCCCAATGATATCCACAGGTTTTCTGGCAAACAGTTAATGAGAATACTCAAACTTATCAGGAAGAAGTTTTTAATCTTGATCTTACACCAAATTCTCATAATTAATTTACAAAGAATTGTGTAGCAGCAAGAGGAGAGAATCAACAATCAGATCTTGGGAGTTTAAGGGTTAATTTTTTTTGAGGGAGATGAGATGGCCTAATTGTCAGTGTATTGGACTATGGGTCAACTGGTTTAGGTTGTGGATCTGACTAGATTATGGTGCTGTGTTCTTAGGCAACGCACTTGGCTCCCATATACTCCAAGGAATAAGGGTACTGGTGAACTGTCAGGGATCCCTGATGAAATACTGGGTTGTAACCTACAGTAGAGAGACTTCCAGATAATCCAGATGAGTTGGCTTATTATGAAATTAGCAATCTCTGTTGCCTTTATCTTTCCAGGTGCTAAAGTTAATCCAGCAGAAACAAAGCCAAGTCCTCTTTGTAATTACAGGGGATTGTGGTAATCAGACCATCTCTGGAAGCTCAACAGCATATGAGCTGATCTCCGCTGCTAGTTCTGGACAAGTGTTCTATTTAAAGAAGAAAGATGTTAACCAAGTGTTAAAGTTTGTGGAGGAATCTCTTCAGGTGAACAGGGTAAACCTTATTTCAACTGACACTGGACATGCTGCAGACAAAACATACTATGTTCCTGTGGATAATGCTTTGGTGGAGTTGAACATTGCTTTAAGTGGAAAGCAATCAGCATTGAATCTATATCATCCTGATGGTAATTTGCAGTTTTCATAATTCTTAGGCTTGTCTATATTTGAAGGGTGTATTTTACTTAAGCTCCATTAAAAAAACTATTTCAGACATTTCAAGCTTAGTTAATGGCTTCCACGCCTTGATGGAAGGTGGCTTTTAGAGATATTCAGGGACTTCCACTGAGTTCCATTACCTGCCCTGCCCCTCCCATGGTTGGCAACCCAGCCATGAGTCCCCATTTCAGGTACTCATTGACTAATAATTTAGGGACCAGAATCCACATGAGGTTCTTACCCTGGTCGGGTGTCTTGTGTTTTGTCCTTTTGAGAGGTACTTCACTCTGACAGCACCTCATGCAGCCCAGAAGGGTAAAAGGGAGTTAACCAATTGTGAAGGGATTTCTGTGAATGAGTGGTGGGAAGTGGGGATGGGTTGTCTCTGATGAACTAGCAATTATGGCAAATCAACATGACGGTAATTTTGGTTTGAATTTAACTAAAAAACATTGTTACTTGTTACTCCTTACTGCAGTTGTTGGCTATCATGTTTTGCTATCACTCCTTAATACTCTCCTTAGCATGTCAGTGGAGAAATTTTCAAAATGCAATTCATGCAATCAATTCTTTGAACAAGGTAATTTAGTATTATCAGCAGATAATACTAAAAATTGGCCACAGTAAAGAATTTAAAAGCTGACATTCTGAGTATTAGCCCTTCGTCAGAGCACTTAAGGACTAACACTCAAAATGTCAGCTTTTTAACTCTTTACAGTGACCAATTTACATTATCAACTCAGCTGATGATACTAAATTACCTTGTTATACTCTTCTACCAATGCAGTATCACAGTTTCTTTAGAAACCTGCTCCCTTTATTCAATTGTTTGAGCAGTCTATTTTTTTATTTTTTTCTCATTTTTTATCTATGTAATCAGGTCATCTTTTCACTGAAGAGTATGAACTTGAGAGGCTTTTGAGTCTGAAAGGTGCAAAGATTGTCTCTGTGAAGAATCCCAAGCCAGGTCTTTGGAAACTGGTCACAAGTAGTAATGGAAGCCACACCTTGAGAGTGACGGGTTTTAGTTCTTTGTCTTTTACCAGTGGCTTTGCGGTGCGGCCAATTAGAAGTCTGGATGAAGCTATGCCGCAACCAGTTGCTGGTTAGTAAATATAGCATCCTTCCCTGGGCAACCCCCTCTCCCTCATGGCATTTGAATTTTTAACCCTTTAACTCTCATGAGTGACAAAGGCAGAATTTCTCCTTACAATATCAATACAATATCAAGAAGACAAGTGGTGAGAATAAAGAAAAATTGTGTTCAAATGCCCCACCCAAGCACAATATTTTATTAAACAATTATTTGTGTGATCAGGGAATGTGGTAGAATTTAGCAAAGTCACATTTTAGTTTTTGGTGCTGCTCAGTGTTTGGTTTTTTGTCTGCAAGAATCATTCTATGGTGTGAAAATTTTCTTCTCAACCATTTACTTACTATAGCAGACTCCCTAACAGTAAACTTTCCCTAACTGTGCCTATTTGAAATTAAAACTGCTGGTACAAGTTCCCCACCCCACCCAGGCAATTGAACAGTGCATAACTCCCTGGTTAGCGTAATATAGCTTAAGACATGATTGCTTGGGTAAGAATTGTATAATGATTCTTTGTCTTATTTACTGATTTACTCTCCACTTTGAAGGTTTTAGGAACTTTGCCCTTGTTAAAGTACATGGTTTGAAACCTCCTGGAAGACCTGAACGAGTAGAGATACTGGACTTACAAGGTGGACTGATTGATGAAGTACCATTTAGTCCTCGCAGCACAGATGAATTCACATTTGATTGGGAAAATTTTGAACCTCCTAAAGGACTGTTTTACTTGCGTGTGGTTGGTGTTGATGATGATAGCAATGTTTTCTACAGGGCTAGTCCAACAGCCCTTAGTGCAGTGCTGCCAGGTTTGTTTAATACTCACATTTCACCACTTTGCTTATGAGAATGCTCATTTGTAAATCAAAGACAACAACTTTTAATAAAATAAATTTCTTAAATTAATATAACTACACTTGTTGTTATCAAATTTCTTTTCAGGAAAGAAAAACCCTCTAAAATTTGCATTGCTCCTAGTGTATGGCTTGGTGTAAAATCAGTTGGCACAAAATCAGTTAGTACCCCCTAACTAGTATCTAGTAGGCAGGCATTCAAATCTCATCAGAGTGAATCTTTTATGGCCTCTTTTCTGCAATTGCTAAAATTGCAGTCCATCTGCAAGAATAATTTCTTGGCTTAAACTCCCAGATCAAATCTGTAATTCTCCTTACTGTCAACCATACAATTCTTATAATTTTTGTTCAGAGAATTTTATATTGGATCAACTAATTATCCCCAAAATGATATTTTTCTTAATTCTCATCACTTATCTGGTTGATATTGTATTGATATTGTGAGGAGAAATTCTGTCTTGGTCACTCATGGGAGTAAAGGGTTAATTAAAAGGATGTGTGATTTCACACATACAGTGTTAAAAATTATTAGAATTATTTTAACCTGGCTGTATATTGAAATGAAAAGAAAAGCCAATATGCATGTTTTGTATTACTTATAGTTTGATATTGCTCAGCCTTTTTGCATTCCATTCTCCTAAAACATATTAAAAAAAGAAAAAAATTTGGTACTTGAAGGTGGTTTATCTTGAAAACATCATATTAATTAACTAAAATTTGCTATAGTTCCAAGCAAACTGTCGTTCAAGAATTTATGTGAGCCACACCCATTGGTATTGGGAATTTCAGGTGATCACCCCACAGTCTTGTGCAGAGATCCTCATACTCCTGGGCTTGAAAGTTTCAGAGATGATGATTTCCTTCTTCAATTTTGGCAATGCATGATTACCTTACTCTACATTTCAGATCCTCCTATTGTCACAGCACTAGCAAGTATTGAGGTCCTTCCAGGTTCTAGAGTGGAATTATGGTGCAGTGTGCTGACTGAAACTCCTGCAAAGGTCCAGTGGATCATGGACAGAAGAACTCTTGGGCCTGTGCTGACACGCATAGGATCAGCAAATGTCACCTACATCATTGCATCAATCACAAGCAAGGATCATGGTCCATACACTTGTTTTGCCAGTAATGTGGGAGGTACAGCCAGTGCTTCTACTACTGTTAATGTTAAAGGTAAGACATTTGTGATTACATGTTATTCAGACAACCATATGCCACATGATAATGCATCGACCAATTTGAAACTTCAGCATCTACATGAGCAATCCCCCAGGTATCTGAAATTTTAATGATCAGTTTGTTTAAATTCTGTTCCCCATGGGGCCAAAATTATGTTCAAATGCCCTACTCAAGTGCTAGATTTGATGGTCAATTTTTTTGTAATGGGCAAAATCAGTGACCTTCAGGCTCCACTTTCTACTCATTGACCAAGCTTTAAAAGCTAGACTTGGTGGATCTTTTCTACTGAGCCATTTACTCAGGAAAGTGAACTCTTTACCTTTACTTTTATTCAGTTAGAAAGACTTGACACTTCTGGGTCAAATTCCCCACCCCAGCCAGGCACTGTTCAAATTTCCCATCCACTGGCACCAACAACTGACAGCTGAAAACTGTCAAATGTCCATGAGTTGCATAGGAAGGGCAGGGGGGATGTTAAAGCTTCAAATTGATCAGTGCATTAGACCAGCTAGCAACACAAGTGACAAAGGCTGAACCTTCAAATCTCTGCTGAACCACCAGCTATGTAAAGTGTCCCCAAAACATGGGTATGGTGCTTCATTGTTGGATGTAATTGAATGGAGCTCTTTTGCCAGTTCAAATTAAAGGAACTGAGCTTCAATTAAGCCCAGTCCTACAAACTAGTTTGGTTTCCAAGATTTTTGTTCTCCCAAATTTTCAAGGATTTCATATAAAGAGGCATGATAGCCTTGATATCCATAAGATAATCAGGCTGGAAATTTTTTATATAAACGGTTGCGTGTGATCATACCTCTTTCTAACTTAGCTGAAATTTTCGGTACATGAACAGTATTCGGGTCAAAATTGCGGCTAATTCTCTGAAGGGTTAGTCTTCTCTCTGAAAAGAAGATAATTTGCCCATTTGCTGGACTGGTACAAAAAAAGCCCTATTAGAACCTCAGGCGTGATGATGTGATCCACCCCCCAAAGGGCTGGGCCATCCTTGCTAACTGACTGATGCCACAGCTAATGTTATTATGATTGACTCAACCTGTACTAACCTGGAAAATTTTATTCTCTAGTTCCACGTCCGGTTGTCGTTGATCAAAACACAAGCCTGACGCTTGTTACTGGTGATGCTGTCATTCTTAGTTGTGCACCTGACGGTGACCCTCCCTTCAAAGTTTTGTGGCGAAAGGATGGCAATGAACTGACTCCCCAAACAAACAATTCTCTCCTGCTTCACATCCAGAGGAGAAATGATAGTGGAAGGTATGAATGCGTTGCCACAAACACAACAAGAGAAGAGGTTCTGGTCGTAGATGTAGTTGTTTATGGTGAGTAGACTTTTAGTGATCTCTTTGTGGTTTCTATCTCAAGGCTGTTTCCTTTTAAAAGATATCTGCTGTGATTACTGAAGTCGACAGGGAAGAGCTTTTTGAGATAGGAAATGTCCTTGTCAAATAGGCACTGGTATGTACATGTGCTGCCTGTGTAAGTCATATTGTTTTTCAACATTTCAGAATTTGTACCTATGACAATGAGTTTCCCTAGGACAGTTTTGAAGCAGATATGATTTTATCTGAAACTCTTGTTTCTCTCTTCTTTCATTCTTAGAGCAACCATCTGTTACAATTCACCCGCCTATCAAGACCTTCCAATCAGGAAATAGTCTATCGATCAAATGTCGGGTAAATGGATTTCCAGCGCCCTCCATCATGTGGTATAGAGAAGGTTTTCCACTGCAATTAAGTGAGAGAATTATTGTTAAGGAGGGTAGCGAGTTAGTCATCAACAATGCTCAACTGTCTGATGCAGGAGACTATGAATGCACTGCGTGGAACATTGCAGGGCAGAGCCAAGCCTCTGTAAATCTGATGTACACAGGTAAGACGATTGTATAGTTGGTGGAACTTGGTTGCATGCCAAGTGAAGGTAAAATGCTGTAATCGCTCTGATCCGCATTCGAGGGGTGGTGGGGGAAGCTTTTAACCCTTTAACTCCCTAGATCTGATTGTTGTTTCTCCCTTCTAGCTGCTAAACATTTTCTTTTAAAGTAGTTGTGAGAATGTGGTGTCAGATCAGGATAACAACTTCTACCTGATACGTTTGAGTACTCTCATTACTTGTTTGCTGGATAATGTATGGATATTATAGGGAGAAGTTTCATGTTAATCACATGTGGAAGTTGAAGGGGAGCTTCCAGACTAAGACTTTCGGAGGAGAAGGGAGAGGGGGGAATGAGGCTTGGCTAATAAAAAAAAGCCTTTGAGAGCCACAGTGTGAGTAATTTTTCTTCTGCTAAACTCTCGCCCAGCTTAAATGAAAGCTGTGAGCAGAACAAATTTATTCTACTGATAAACACAGACACAGGTTCTCAAATATATTTGCAATTTATACGAAAACGCTCCTAAGCCGTAATGAATAGTAACACTAAAGCATAGACGTTTGCCCAACATTATTACAGCTTCATTAATGTTTTGCTTTTTGATTATATTTTTACATTTTCAGTAGGGAGAGGAAAGACAAACTGCAGTTGTAGACAATGCGTTTTCTTAGAGTGTTTGTTGGGGCTTAAGACACTTATGTCCAGAAAAGCACGCAGTAACGAAAATGGCAGATTTCACGAAATTTCGTCAAACTGAGTGAATGTTCATGTATTTGAGGATTTTGGCGAATTTTAGTCAAATTCGTCAAAGCGAAATTTGACGATTTTTCGATTTTTCGCCATTTTCGTTACTGCATGCATTTCTGGACATATCTCACCTAACAGAGAAGAAACTGAAGTAGGACTTACCGGAATGTCCACAATGATCTTGGTAACGTTTTATCTCGTTTTCTCCGAAGTACCACCCTCGGTGTACGTAGATCAGGAAGAAATGACTGCTAACGCTGGTGAGACTATCACAATTCAGTGTACAGCAAATGGTACACCGAGGGCAAAGATCACGTGGTATAAGGGACAAGACAAAATCACTACTAGTAGGCGAATTGCTGTCAGCAGCCAGGGACATCTGGTTATCAATGCTGTGGAGTTGAAGGATGGTGGATATTACACGTGTCTTGGTAACAATACCGCTGGGGAAGACTCGGTCACTATAAGTATACAAGTGCAGAGTGAGTTGAGAATTTTTTCCTTGGGGATTTAGTAGAGAGCTTTCCGATGCTAAAGAGGGCGATCAAGGAACACCTGGCATCGTGACCTCGAGGTTGAGATCAGAATGACCGGCCACTCATGGAGCCAATGAGAAAGATGGCCCAGAACAGAGGTCTTTGGCGGACTTTTGTTGACCGTATATGCCTTAGGAGGAGCGATGGGCTTAGATAGGTAGATAGATTTTAGACAGATAGATTTCCGATGCCAGGTGTAGTAAAATCAAAATCGATGTAACAGTAGCAATGGCCAATTAGAGAAAAGGGAAATCTCTCAAGGAGCATGTGAGATGTCAAATTACATGCATGCATCGATCAAAGCTCAAGTATACTTGCACAGTCATGAAACTAACTAATGTTGGATTATTCACTGGACGTTTGCCTGCCAATGAATCCGTGGGTCTTTCTACTTTTCCTGAGCAGTCTTGGTCACGGCGTAAACACCTTACCATGGGAGCACGAACTTGCCTCAACTTTGGATCCTCCCCTGGGTCTGTTGAAACGAGACGATCACCAAAATCATTTCTTGAGGAGAGTGACTGTTTCATTGAGTTTTTCTTTATCTTTACAGTTCCTCCACGCGTATCAGTCGACTATGATGAGGTTCCTGTGATTCTTGGAGAAACATTGGTGTTACAGTGTGCAGCAGTCGGTGTACCAATGCCGACCATCACATGGGTGAAGGATGATAAGCCCCTGAGGTCAAACGACAGAGTCAACATCACTGATGATGGAGCACTGATTATAGGGGCTGCTATCCCACAGGATGTAGGAGAGTATCATTGCGTTGGGAGAAGTCCAGCTGGAACAGATAGAGCGCTGGTTACTCTTTGGGGAGAAGGAGGTTTGTGTATGAAGGGAGTGTATTCGATTTTGTAAAGAAAATTGATAGCTGATCGTAGCGATATGCCGGAAATTTGCCATGACACGAAATTTATTTCATTACAAGATGTTATCATATTTCTCTACGGGAAAGAAGAGCCCTCTTAAATTTGCCTCGCTCCCAATGTGAGGCTTTGTAACTCAGTAGGCAGTTGCGCCCAATTAGTATCTGGGAGGCCTGGGTTTGAATCCCGTCGAAGCCTCAGCTTGTGTGCTTGTACAACTCCCTCACTGAAAATAACACCAAACTTATTGGAATATGTTCGCGGGCAACTAGCGTATTCAACGAGGATTCCACTTTTCCTCTGTGTCAATTTATCTATCATTCTACGTTCCAGTTCCTGCAAGTATAACAACTCGACCTTCAGATAAAACAGTCACCTTTGGCGGTAATGTAACATTCACTTGTCGAGCGAAAGGAGTGCCTCAACCGCGCGTCACCTGGCAGAACAGTTTAGGAATTGCCGCTGACACCGATCCTCGAGCCACAGTTCTGCCGTCAGGTGACTTGTTCGTACAGGATATAGAACTCAAGGATGCAGGGAGATACGTGTGCAATGCGGAGAACAGTCTGGGGAGAGATTCAGCTCAAGTCGCCCTCATTCTCACGGGACTCAGTAAGTTTGTTATATTTATTTTAGTATAAGGCTATTTCCTATCAGTTCTTTAGCTGTCATTGAAGTCTAGTGCACAGGCCACTATGCGTATCGCAGGCAATAAGAAGCAATCTTTAATTTTAATATGTATGACCTCGAGCCGCAACCTCTTATGCAGCAATTTTCTTGCCAAAATTAGAATCGGCGTATGATGCAACGATCTTCTCCATTGGGGAAAAACACTGTGCATGAAGCCAAAGAAAGATTTCTCTATTTTAAAGATGGTCGTTTTTCTGCGACATACAAAATTACCAACAACTCAAAGGAAGCTTCGAAACATTAGCTTTGTAGGATTAAATTTTAAATTACAGCCAATTTTTCAGGAAATACAACCCGTGACGCAGATCACCTTGTAAGCTCTTGTTGAAGTTGCAAATGATGTGTCCTACTATTGGAAGTTTATTTTTTTTCAGTTGGAATGTGTTCATTGTACTTCATTTTTATTCCCTCAGCACCACCTACAATTATCAAACCAGACACGACCACCATAATTACCGACAGAGGTAAAACAGTTAGACTTCGGTGCCCTGCAATTGGTAACCCTCGGCCCACTATCACTTGGCAGAAGAACCGTCGGCCGATTTCCATGGACGGCATCAAGTTCAAACAGATAGATGACGGGTCGCTGGTGGTCAGTTCATTAATACCTTTTGATTCGGGAACTTACCTGTGCACTGCAAAGAACCCCACTGGCCAAGATTTTCTTATCCTCACCCTTTATGTGTACAGTGAGTGTTAAGGTTCATTTTGGTTCGTATCCTGTTACGATTAATCATCTCTGTAGCGGCTTTAGTGAAATATTACCAACTTATTAAGGGGGATTTCGACTGAGTGTCCTAAAATCAGAACCAAAGTAATGAATGACCATTGAAAACAGGGACATTGCCGCAAAGAACCAGCGAGAACTGCATCCAATCGGTTGGGAGCCGAGTGATGCTGGTTTTCCAATCACAGAGCGAAATAAAGCAAAACCATTGCAATCCCACATTGATTTGATACTTAGTCGAAAAACACTCTTGTTTGTTAGTTAATTTTTCACAGTTTTCCATAATTGGCGAACTCAAACAATTGTTCGTAGTTTCAGCGCTGAAAACTTAAAAAAGGTAGGCGAAACAATTAGGGACCTTAAAGAATCATCAGGGTATGGCTCGTAACTTCCTTCTTCGTCTCATTTAGTTTCCCCAGAGATTATTAGACCGCCGCCAAACCTGACTGTAGACGTGGGAGACTCCATACTGATGGAATGTGTTGCAAGAGGTTTTCCTATTCCAAGTATTCGTTGGTTCTTGAACAATAAACCTCTTCCATACAATGGTTCTGTGATTGAAATAGCCAGCTTATCTTTACAACATACTGGGGTGTATCTATGTGTTGCCGAGAATATGGCTGGAAATGACACTGCTACTGCGACGCTTTCTGTCATGGGTGAGTACCTATAAAATTATGTGCTTAGGGACCACTCATTATTTTTTGCCTAGGAGCAGGGCGGGGGGAGGGAATCACGTGGTTTTCAGGGGGAACGGAGGGAGAATCAGTCGTTGCAAACAGATTATAAAACGAAGACTATTGAACATCGACTGCCAATTAACTGCCAATGCCGGGGAGGGTCATAAGAACATTATATATTATTGAGCCTTATGGATTCTCTCCCCCTCCCCCCCACCACGCCGTCAGAATGAAGTGTCTCTTAAAAGAACAATGCACAGTTCACTCGACTAGGGTTGGAACCACTGGGTGTGAAGTCCAGCCTGTTAATCAATAGTCATGCATGCAATCGTGTCTTCCTCAAGTCCCTAAGCGTTACATCACTTAGAGCGCCTTACGTTAAACGTGTGAGGTGAGGTAAAACCAAAACCAAAGTAATCACAAGAGCCAATCAGAAGAGAGGAAAATACCTTTAAGAGCCAATGGCAACTTAAAGGAGAAACAACCAAACTGGTTATTTAAAGCGGGAAAACGCGGGCGACCAAGTAATAATCGTTTTTAGTTTGACCTCTGATTGGTTGAAAGAGTGGCGCGAGTTTTCTGGACCAATCACAGAGAGAAGTAAAGTAAAACCAATGCGGTCTCGTATTACTTTCGGTACTCAATTGAAAATGCTCTACCATATACTCCTGTATTGTATTTATTGGCAGCTTCACCCAGTATAGAGCCCATATCTCCTGTGAAAGTTACCTCTGAACGTTGGACGGAATTGAAGTGTAATGTAAGTGGAAACCCAAAGCCCAAACTGACTTGGCTACGACAAGATGTTCCCATCGGTGCGAGCAACCCGAAGTATCTCGTTCTACCGTCGGGAAGTCTTCGTATTTTCGAAGTAAAACCATCGGACAGTGGAACATACACATGTGTGGCCTCCAATCCGCTCGGTGTGGCTCGGCAGCCAGTGGAACTCTTTGTGCAAGGTGAGAAGAAGAACTTTCTTTCCTTGAGATGGTTTGTATGGAGGTGGCCTGGAAATAAAAGTTTCTTTAGATGGACAAACGACAAAGAGGCGGGAAAAACTCCGAGGGGAACAAGGATAATCAACCCTTAACTCCCATGAGTGACCAAGATAGAATTTCTCCTCACCATTTCAATGCAATATTAATTAGACAGCTAATGAGAATAAAGAAAAATATCACTTAGGTAATTTAGCTGATCCAATACCAAATTCTTCAAACTAACATCACAAGAATTATATGGCAGACAATTAGGAGAATTACTAATGAGATCTTGGGAGTGAAAGGGTTAAAGATGAAAATGTTAGGAGGGATAGAAATGACGCACCTGAAACATGGCCTAAAATTACCATATCCGGAAGCTTTCCTTTTTCCTTGCAGTTCCACCCGAGATTATTAAGCGTCCTCAAAATATTTCCATCAACGAGGGCGACACCATAATCTTGGAATGTGAAGCGCGTGGGTTCCCTGTGCCACGGATCACTTGGTACCGGAATGGTAGTACTGTGGTGGCTAATATTTCGCTGGTGGAGATCACCGAAGCCAGAAAATCAGAACACGAAGGGATGTATCGCTGTGAGGCTGAGAATCCGGCTGGGAATGTTACGGCTAGTGCTTGGGTTGCAGTGAAAGGTCTGTACAATGCAAACTACTATAACTTTGAAGTGTTTAGCTGTAGTGCTACTGACATACGTTTCGCAGTTTAGGAAAATTCAGTTTAGTAAAATTTTGAAAAATTTTCGAAGCTACTGAAGTTTATCATCAGTATACTTATGCTTTATGCTTTTTCAACGAAACACGATATTTGATTTACTTGTTCTTAATTTGTAAAGACAGTTGTAAGCAGCTGAAATTGGAAAAAAAAGATTTGAAAAGAGTTTATGCGCGGTCATGACATATCTCATTAACTCTTTAACTCCAATGTGTGACCAAAACAGAAGTTCTCTTTACAATTTCAATACAATGTCAAGCAGACAAGTGATGAGAATGAAAAGAAATATCAATAAGGGTATTAGTTGTTGATTCAATACCAAATTCTTCAAAGTAACATTATGAGATTTGTACGGCAGACAGTAAGGAGAATTACTAATGAGATCTTAACAGCGAAAGCGTTAATCCACTGGAATCTTGTCCTCAGTGGAAATGTTTCCTTCATTTTCTTTTGCTTAGGAGCTAGATGTTGCCCTTGTAATGCACATTTTTGCTTTATTTCTATGTTTCGCAGGAGAAGACGAAAACGTTGCCCAAACAGGAGGGCCAGGTAAAGATCAAAGGCTTAAATAGCAGACTCTCATTAATAGCGCTTCGGCACGAAGGAAAGTATGATGCCTCGAGCAAAGCACGCCAGCGAGAGGTCTTCAAACGGCCTGGCGCTAATAGTGCCAGATCCCGGCAAACCTCTCCCCAACTACCACAGTTTCTTTAGAAACTCACCTCTTTACTCTCCCCAACTCGTCTCCAATCTTTCGCGGGCGGAAAAATGCGCGTCCAGCAGCGTTTGTGATGAGGGCTGCTCGGGCTTCTCGGTCATCTTATTCTGAGCCTGACGCTTTTGTTATTATTAATTCTAAAATTTTATCGAAGACTTGTCTCATAATAGTCATAAATAAACGTTCCAAGGATACAGTGATAAAAAAAGAAGGGAAAAAAAAAACTTTGTTACATGCTCCGTTTTAACAGCATCACCAAAGGTCTCCCAGAGAGAGTGTGGTTGTCCGAAAATATAGATTTGACTGTGTTTGTTAATAATTGACCTACTTATTTCTGCAGAGTTTGTGGATACACCTCAGGACACCATAATAGATGAAGGTGCAACTTTTGTATGGGACTGTACAGCCACAGGAAAACCAACCCCTGTGTTATTTTGGGTAAAGGATGGACAGCCTGTGGATCAGCTTGAGCATTTCAGTGTCCTGGCTAATAACAGTCTGGTAATTAGAGGTGTTAAGTCTGAAGATGGAGGACAGTATCGGTGTCGGGCCGATAATGGCGTCAGTACTCGCGTTGTTCAAGCAACACTCACAGTTCGAGGTGAGATTCTTTTTCCGTTTTTTTCGTTTCATACAGCTACAACCAGTTGCAAAAATGTTGAGACACTCTCTGAATAAGAAAACAGCTTTCCCACTAAAATCGATAACCGATAAAACTAAGGTTTTCCCAAAGAGATCAGCCAGGATGTTTTTTTCACTTTTTTAAATGATTTGGTCATAGTCTTGATTAAATTCTTCAATATTAAAAAATGAAAATGTTATCGTTAAAAAGTGCTTTGTATCAGTCGTATTCTTTTCGTTTTCTGTGACTCTTCCTTTGTTGTTGTTGTTGTTGTTATGATAAGATTGTTATTATTTTTTAAATTTATTCTTCTTTTTCATAGTGAATGGGAATTGGAGCAAGTGGCAAGAGTGGGGTCTTTGCAGTAGTTCGTGTGGATCTGGGTTCCAGTTTCGATTCAGGTCATGTGATAATCCTGCGCCCAGTAACGGCGGTAAATTTTGCCCAGGGAATGATGTACAGTCGCAGCTTTGTAATGTGCAATCTTGTCCGGGTAAGTGCGATGTGATCTGTCATTATCGTGCTACTTTTACTGAAGGCTTCTTTGATCAGAGGTCCTAAAGTAAGCCTCGAGTCTAAACCAAGCAAGTGGAGGTGTCCATGAGCTAAAAACGAGAACAGCTACATGTGACATTCATAAAGTGCTCTTCTGGTGTTTTAGCCGGTGTTTAAGTCGTGTAAGTACGAACACATGGGGAGACTGCCGTAATCTTTGGTGTATGGATTTCCCGTTGCTTCTTAAATCAGAAACGAAACATTCAAGACAGTAGAAAAAGGTGTTACGCTAAGATAACGAGAATTTTCACAAGAAGGCAACAGAGCTCCCGGGTTTACTGAAGAGAGTAAATTAAGTGTTTTACGCAAGAACACAGTAGATGGCGTTAGACATCAGGCAACCTTGTCTGCCACCCATCTTCATGCTTATGCTTTTCCCCATTCGCTTTTTATTCTTGGATGTTCTTTTTCAGTGGACGGAAACTGGTCCACGTGGACAGAATGGACACTGTGTTCGAAAGTTTGCAATGGCGGTGAACAGACTCGGTCCCGAGAGTGCAATAACCCAGCCCCACAGCACGGCGGTAATGACTGCTCGGGAGATAAGCGGGAAACTAGACCCTGTAACCTTTTCGCATGTCCTGGTAAGACAATACCTGGGAAAGATGTTCTTGTAATGGAGGTTTTACGTGCATAATTTACGTGGCAGACAGTTCAGGGACGCAGAAAAAGAAAGCATTTCTGAATGTGCGACACTTGTGAGTGTAGGCGAATGTGCGAAACTGTGAGTGTAGGCGATAACTGAAAGAGTTCTTTGACAAATGATAAACAACCTCTTACGAGCAGAAGGATTACACCTCGTAATCCTACGCTCTTTCAAAGTTGTAATCCTTTTTTTGGTTTTCTTGCTGTGCAGACAGGGTCCTTTTCGTTGAAATAACAATCGTAAGCGATTGAAATAAAAGAAATTAACAAGCTGCCTCTACCAAGCTGTCTTCATTTTCACCACGGCGGACAACACAGTGCTTGAGAGGCGTGCAAATTAGTGGCGCTTGAAGTGGTTTTGTTCGTTGTCACCCGCAAAAGGAGTAATTATTAAGTGCTAACCTCTTTTTTAGATGGCGTCGGAGTCGTTATCGGACAAGTTCACGGAACCGTGAATAACGTGATGTTACCAACCCTTTTCCTATTGGCTAACCTCACTGAGACACCAACCAATGAGACTCAAGTATCGTGTTCTATCAGCGGACTCCCTGGACCAATCAGAAACTGGCTCAAGACATTGTCAATTCCATTAACCGCCCCAATCTACTGGGCTACAGCGGAAGAGAAACCTAATGCGGAGAATGGTCTTACCATCACAAAAGGGCGCTTTGTGTACAAGACTTGGGTGCATTTTAGCTCAGGGGAAACCATGCTTATTGAACACGATGGAAAAGGGGTTAATGAAAAGGGTGTGTTTGTGGTGGATGTGGCCATCAAAGGAAAAACGCCTAAGATTGCATCTGATGCTGAAGTCAAATTTCCGGACTTTGCAGAAACGTTTGTTCAGACGGGTGTTGGAGAAATAAGCTCTGCATTACAGTAAGTTTCTTTTGTAACCTTCCTATTTCAACTTCAAATTCTCAATGTGACTTTTTTCGTTTAAGGTGTTAGAGTCCAAACTCCGTTTACTGCTTTGTACAGGAAGTATTAAATTGAATGCATTTGAGTGGAAAGAAATCTTTTGAACATTCTTGAACTCCCAAAACAAAATTAAGCAACAAGTTTAAGTTAACGAAAATTCAAACTTAACAACATAAAGATGAAAAAGTAAAACCAGTGTACTTGTCGACTTCAGATTCAATTTCAAGGTCTTTGAACATGATTGGTGAAACGATGAGAATATGAAACTATGGAAGGGAAAAGGAACAGAGAGTTCTATTCAAAATTATTACTCCGGAAACTTTGGAAAATTTTCACAATTTTCTTGACTGGTGGTCAGACACGCTTAGTGCTATGTGTCGAGGAAATAATTGTTCTAGGAAAAGGAAAAAGCGGTGCGCGAAAATAGTCAGTGCAGACGAGCAAAAAAGCAACGCGCGAAAAATGGCAGGCAAACGCACGCGCGGCGACTTAGGTTGTCAGGGAAGCGGCTGCCGAACGACGGAGAGTATCGAATAGGCTAACTGTTGACTCTCGTAAGAACCGTTTTAGTTTAAGACCCTTTTTAGTTTGTCTCCAAAAATTGTGTGCCTTCGCACGCATTCACTTAATTTATCCAATCGTTGTCCTTTTCGCAGGCGGGTAATGAATGTGAACGGGAAGCCTTTCCCTTTCTCGTGTAATTCCTCCATACTTTATTCTTCTGATGATAAGAAGCGAATCAGGTCGCTGTCTCAGACCGTCCAAGTTTCTGCTGTGGATTACAGCTTTCCTCAGTCTGATACGCTGAAGGTAGATATGAGGTCATCCATTCAAAGAGGTACGTACGCTGTCATTTCTCTGCTTTTATGCTAAAATCACCCTGGAGTGCAGTTAACTCGTTGTGGCTGACTTGGTCAGTGATGAAATGTTCGAGTTAGTGGGAGAATTGGAGTCATCTGGGGATGAGGAGAAGTGACTGGCACGAGTAATGATTGTGTGTTTAATGGTATTCATTTAACAGCAAGGATTACAAGTGGAACGATGGTTTGTTAACGAAACCAAGCAACAGGAAAGAAACAAGTGATTAAAGAAACTACCATACCTTCTAATATTGATGATAGTTACTTCAAGCTTGCAGGATCTTTGAGTCATGAGAGTTCGAGCTATTTTAAGTAAAATCACAATAAATGCATGTAACATGATGGAGAAAAATAGAGAAAATCAATGGTTACCTCAGTTACCGCGTGATTCCAGTTATAAGACGGTAAGAATTACTAACAGTCAAGTGTAACGTCAGTCTTTTGTACCTTGTTACAGCATCAGTATCCGATCAATGCACAGAAGGTTTGGCTGTTCATCCCACAAGTCAGTTTTGTGAAGGTAAAGCTTTTGTTAGAGCGTATTCTTATTGGGCTCTGTGCGACCAAAATCAATGTTAACATAATGGCCGTTGGGGAAAATGGTTGATATTAAGGTGACAGTTGGCACACCGCCTGAAGCGCGGGAAAACGCGAATGACCAAGTCGCGTTTGCTCTTACCTTCGAATGTTATTGGTTGAGTGGGTGATCTGCGGACCAATCGCGGAGCAAAATGAAGCAAAGCCAATCCAATCCTAGGTTACGTTTGACACTCAAGTGATAAGTTCCGATGTCTATTGTTGCTTACTTTTCTCAACATCGACTTTGGCGCTTGTAATTGTCCTTGTTGTTTTCGGTTAACTGGTCGTGTGGTCATAATTTTGTTTTTTGATGGACGAAAGATCATTGCGGTAACGGTTATAAACACAACTTAACCTTTTAACTCCTAAGATCTCATTAGTAATTCTCCTTACTGTCTGCCATGTAGTTCTTGTGATGTTAGTTTGGAGAATTTGGTATTGGATCAACTAATAATCCCCTAATTAATATTTTTCCTTATTCTCATCACTTGTCTGCTCGATATTGTATTGATATTGAAAGGAGAAATTCTTTTTTGGTCACTCATGGGAGTTAAAGGGTTAAGAAGTTGTGAAAATTCTTGCAAAACTGAAAGGAAATGTTTTTCCCCGCTTTATTGCCACAAATGTTTTTTTTATTAACAAAATTAGTCGACAATTTCTCCCATTTCACTCTTCATAAAAACGATTGTCTCTTTTTTCCTTTTAAATTAATCATTCAGTGATGTATTGAACGCTGTCCTTTTGTTCATTGTTTAGATATCGATGAATGTGCTGCTGTTCCTCGAGTTTGCTCTCATTTTTGTCAAAACTTTTTTGGATCTTTTCGTTGTTCCTGCCCTGGGGGTTATGCTCTCTCCTCGGACAATAAAACTTGTGAAGGTTAGTTATTCTTAGATAATGTGTGACTTGTCTCTTCACGGCTTACTTCGTGTGTTTCAGAAGGGTGGGGGAGGGGAGGGGGAAGGGACTGTTCACTTGCTTTGTGTATTTCTGTAAGGTGGGGAATTGGAAAGAAGTGATGGGTAATTTTCCTGGATATGATCTTTTATGGGATACGATGTTTTCTTTTGAAAGGAGTAGTTCAGCTTTGAAGAAAAAATCGTTCTATCCACACATCTCTCACCAATTTAGTCTTCCATCTGTCGCACGTTTGTGTGGGTTGGCTCAGCAGGGTTCCACGGGATATTTCTTGGTTAACAACACCAATCAACCCTGAAGGACCTACGCCTCGTTTCCAGAGAACATCCAAGAAAATTTAATGCTATAAACCCTAAACTTGATATGCATATTCTCCCTACTGTTCTCCTTACATTTCCTATGATGCTGTCATGGAGAATTTGTTCAACAATTAAGACCTTCTCTGGTTGGTGGTGATCATTTCCTTTATTCTCGTGGCCTTAATTTTTGATTCAAGAGGGATACGGTGAGGAGAAATAATGTGCCAATCACTCTCAGGAGTTAAAGGGTTAAATGATTGTTTATTCATATAATTATGCTTGTAATTACTTCACACATCCGTGCATAACCCCTTAGAGACAAAATTTCTTAATCTTTTCTTCCAGATGTGGACGAATGCAGTCTGGGTACTGCTTCGTGCCCATCAGGTGAAGAATGTGTCAACACTGCTGGCTCATACCGCTGTCGTGTTAAGTGCGCCGACGGATTTCTAATGACTGCGAATGACACCTGTGTCGGTAATGTTTGTGCTTCTCTAGTTTGACCTTGTGCGCATGTCAGCACAGCTATGACAAAACAGCTATGTTTTCACGAGGAAAATTAAAATATTTAATAACACTGGAAAAGGGAAAGGGGGAAGAAATAGTAGGATGTAAAAAGAAAATTAGGAGTACTTGCAGTGTAATTGTCTCAACAGTCTTGTCAGAGTTCGTAAGCTGTTTCTGTAACGTGACGTTCACCCACTAATGAGAAGATTAGCTCGGAAAGTTTGGTATTATCTTTGAGTAATTTGGCTCTTTGTGTTTTTCTACCTAAATGTGTTTCTTTTTTTTTTTTTCCTCTCTCAGATGTGAATGAGTGCGAGTTTGCGAATTCATCGGACTCTCTTCACCGGAATGATCCATGTTTACATCGGTGCGATAATCTGCCAGGATCCTACAGGTGTTATTGTAAGGACGGATATCACCTGAAGGGAGACCGATGTGAAGGTTTGAAAAATATTATGTTGTTGTGTTACGCAGCAAAGTCACACGTGATCTGACAATAATTAAAACGTGAACCAATGAACACACTTGATCGACCCCTGGTTTCTTATTTTAAGGAAGCATCATTTATAATGGTAATTGAGCTGAGTGGAGTGATTGTTGTATTTTAGTCGAGCTTCCTCATTGGCTGGGAAAAAGATGGAATGTAGAACAAAAAAAGAGCGATTCGTGAATAAATCGCACCTACGAGAGCCAATCAGATTGAAAGGATCACCAGTGGTTTTTAAAATGGATGTGATAAAAATCGGCAATCAGGCGTCCCCTCACTAGACTAAGAGTATGCCGTGGACACTCTGTGTTAGCTTTTAATCTCCCAAAACGAGAGAATCGTACCTCAATAGCACAGTCATCATTAAAATGATAACAATAAAGTGAACATGATCATCAGTTCATTACAGCAGCGAGGTGATTTGGGAGGACCAATTTAGCCGTCCCAACTAAATATAAATTCCCTGCTTCCTGTAGGTTTGGTAAGTCATTATTATTCAAGAAAAAACCTTTAGTACGATGGAGCAAGAGGATATAAAAGGTTGTGTTCAAATTTAAAGGTGTCATTACAAAGGGGATTAAACGTCAACCTCTGTTGCTCAGTTTTCAGGGATTGTTGGGCGACGCCTCATTCATTAAAACTGTAATGGGGATGCATATGAATCTGGGATTTTTTGTTTTTGCTTTACTCCACTCTGTGATTGGTCCAGAAAACTTGTACCATTCTCTCGATCAATCACATGCAAAGCTAAAAACCAATCACGACTTGGTCGCCAGCGTTTTCCCGCGCTTTAGGCAGTTGACTTGTTTGAACTTTTACTAAGTTCTCATTGGCTCTTAAGGGTATTTCCCTTCCATTTGACTGGCCGTTGTGATTACCTTGGTTTTGACGCAACAATACTCAATCAGAATTTGACCCGTTTAACGCTTATGCTTACAGACATTGATGAGTGCGGTACCAGGCTGTGTGACCATGGATGTGAGAACACCGAAGGTGGCTACAGATGCTTCTGTTTCCAAGGATATCGCTACGTATCTGACAACCAATGTGTGGGTGAGTTAATGCCGCTTGATGATTCTTGAGGTGAAAATGTTATAACTGAATGTCTTTACGGCACGTTTTAAAACCCTCTAACCATTAAGACTGACTAGCATCTAATTTCTCCTTACAATATCAATCCTACATCAAACTTTAGGTCACGAAATTAAAGGAAATGATTACCAATTAAAGAAATTTTTTTCCAGCGTCTTAAAAAAATTGTAAAGAGAACAGTATGAAGATTACACATACTGTTGTAAGTGTGTAAAGAGTTAAAAAGGGCAACGCTGTGGAAAATCAATGTTTCACTTGTTGTTGTTTTTTTCTTCTCGTCAAGATGTGAACGAGTGTGCCGAGAACAGCACTCTTTGTGGCAATCTTCATTGTGTGAACTTACCCGGTAGCTTTCAGTGTTTAGGAAAGTGTGACGTGGGCTTCAAAAGAACCATGGATGATAAAGAGTGTGTGGGTAAGACCTATTTTGCTTAAAAAATAACTGTTCAATCCCATCTTGGGCTGTTTACAGCATCTGCACTAGGTTTTCCCCGACCAGTTTGACACATTTGTCTCTTGTCTAGGATACTGAATTTTTCGATCATAAGTTTGCTGAAGTTGCTAATTTGATCTGGACCCAGGTGCAGGATATTGTCGATGGTTCAAAGGGTGACCAAGACATAATTTCTTCTTATAATATAAAGCAGACAATTGATGATGAGAATAAAGAAAATATCAATTGGGGGATTATTAATTGATCCAATACCAAATTTTCCGAAGTAGCCTCGTAAGAATTGACTGGGAAGCAGTAAGGAGAATTACTGATTAGATCTCGGCAGTGATAGGGATAACCAGTCTTCTGGACAAGCCCACTTACCAGGGAAAAATCGGCAGTGTTAGAACGTCTCACCAATTTTTTGTTCCAGGGTCTAACTATTTATTCTCAGTACTGTCCTTCCTATATTTCGTATAATTTTGGCTGTGAGAATTTGGAGTTAGATCACGAATGATCCATTCGTTGATACGAAACTTCCTGTTCCTCACATTTTTGATGGAAATTATATTAACCTTTTAAGGAAAAATTCTTCTTTGGTTACAAGCTGAGAGAGAAAGTGTTAACCCTTTAACCTCTGAAGGTGACTAGCATCTAATTTCTCACAAATGTATCACTGCTGAATGAGAGAGTAGGCTCGTGAGAATTAAGGAAATGATCATAGACTTTGAAAGCTCTTGCTTTTTCATTAAATTCTCCTTGTCAGTGCCATAGGAAATTTATAAAGGACAGTATGGAGAATTTACATGCTGATGTTAGGGAGGGTAAACGTTTTCATTGTCAAGTAGTTGGACTAGTTTTATTTCAGATAAAGTGTTAGTCATAAAACCGTCTTAACTTTAGAATATATGTCTTTTCATCATTACCGGTCGTAAGCCTATCTTTTCGAACAATATTTGGAAAAATAAATATAGTCTTGCAATTATCAAATACAAATTTAAACCTCTGAAAAAAATTAAGTAGGTAATAGATCAGAGAGACCTTTCTCAGTAGGTGCAGTAAATCAGTGTCAGTGGAATCCTTTTACCTTTGCAAGAAAATTTGAACCTGCGAAAGTCGCCGTATTTCCACCAGTTGCTTCGCTATGCGCAGACGTATTGTTTCGCAGTGCATTAAAATTTCAATTTACATTTATTCTTGAATTTCGTATGTTTTTAGATCTTGATGAGTGTGATGAAGGCCGACACAACTGCAAGTCAAACCAGATGTGTATGAACACATATGGCAGTTTCTACTGTGTATGCCCTAGAGGGTATTCAGCCAAGACGGTCAATTCACCTTGTGAAGGTAAGAACAGCGCAATGCAAAGTCGAGTGACTGCAACTTGTTAGCTGTTTCTCCAAATAAAATGGCAACAAAAAGCACATGCAGTTTAAACATAGGAAGACTTGAGTGTTTGTTGTCATTTGTGCGTCAAAAAGAAAACAGCATCAGGCGACTTTGTTATGTTATTTTTGATGCTTTCAACGGTTTGAACACCAATCCTTATCGCCAAAGTTGTCATCGTTAGTCGAGTTTCGTTGTGGCAGAATAGTATCCCTTATAAGTGTCAGTTTAGCTTCTAAAGGTTGATTTGTAATGAAAAGAGGGTTTTTTGACTCGATTTCATCGCTGTTTTACTATCCTTTATGGAGTGCACGTACGCTAAAAACTCTCCGGAACATAAACCTCCTCCAGTGCTTTATACCACAGTTCTGAAGCAGCTACTGTATAATAACGATTGTGTAAATTAGCTAATAAATAATTTCTCGGTAGACGTGAATGAATGTAAGCAGTTTCAAGGCATTTGTGAGCATCAGTGTGTTAACACTATTGGCAGTTTCGAGTGCCGATGTCCTGGTGGTGGTATCCTGAATCCCGATCAACGAACCTGCTCAGGTAAGGACATACAACAAACATTGTTTAACTCTGGTATCATCGTGAATTTGGAAGTGATCTTCGCAATAATGCACTCTACTTAAGCCGTAGTGAAAATAAGGCCTGAGAAAATTAAGGCCTGTACGGGATTTGAACCCATGACCTTTGCGATACCCGGTGCAGTGTTTTCTGATATCATTAGTATCTACTTTTGAGTTGGATTCAATTCACTTCTTTCTTATTCTATAAACACACGCAGTCCTCTGATATTGCTGAGCCTTGCAATACGCAGAACGTCTGTCACACATGAACCTAATAATGGCTTTGCCCATTGTAGAATTTCTTTTGCTTAGTAGTAGGGCGCTGGAGTGCGAAATACAATGGTCTAAGGATCGACTTCCCATGAGGACTCGGAATCTTTTTTTCTTTGTACCACGCTGGTAACAGGACGACAAAACTACCATCTTGTTTTATGTTTTTTTGTTTGTTTGTTTGTTTGTTTGTTTGTTTATTGATTTGTTTCAACGTAAGTAAATACCAAGATTTGATTTTTGATCTTGTATTACAACAGTGGGTACAAACGATCCCAAACTTGTTCCACAGGTGTAGACGGTTGCGCCCTTGAAAAGTTAAGGTGTGAACAACAGTGTGACTTTACTGCGCAAGGATACAAGTGTTCCTGTTCGCGTGGATACCGACTTGCAGACAACAAGCAAGATTGTGTAGGTACGAAATTAACAGATCAAAATGTTGTATTGTGTGTATCGTTTTAAGCGGACATGTACCCCTATGCAATCCCTCTGACCAGCAATGATCTTTGATGTCCATAACACTAAACGACTTAACCTATTTCTACTATCCTTTAGATATACTGATGTTAGGCCTTCAGTCTGCAGAATTCGCTTCATAGTTTTTGCGTTTTTCATGCGAGCGGAGGCAAGAACAAAGCTAGTGCGGAAAGAACGTAAAGGCAGGTCACGCCTGATACGAGGAGCGCTTCGTCTCTCGAGTGTGATTCCTGCTCCGCGCTCACCACGCGCTTACCTCCCGTTTCTCGCAAGAAATGACGACAGTGGTGTAGGCTACAGGCCCATTGCATCGGCTTCCCGCCCCCCGTCCTAAAAAAATAATAATGATAATAATGAATCTCGCGTTTTCGCTTTCCAATCTCCGATTAATCCCGAGTCTAAAGGGTAAATGCCCTAACACAAAGAGAAAATAAAAAGAGGAAGCGAGGGGAAGTTCTGAAGACTGAAGAAGCCATGGTTTTTGTCTTTGTTATCCTTTCAACAATACTAAGTTATGATTAATATCTATGTAATTATTGTTACATTTGTCTCATCTTTCTTTCTCAGATGTGGATGAGTGTTCATCCAACAGCACCAACTCGTGCCAGTATGCCTGTATAAACACGCTGGGAGGTTACAGATGTGAATGTCCAGTTGGTTATCATCTCAGTGCTGATGGGAAGAAGTGTCAAGGTAAACTGATCCGCCTTCTATGACTGAGTCATTTCGTGAACGCTCTTTATCTTTTATTTATGCCTATAAGTCGAGTTTCGCCCTAAAATTTTATTTGACGTGAAATGAGTGATGCAATGTTTTGAAGTTAACTCCTTCTTCCTGCTTTTCCTTTCCTCTGCCTTAAACTTTCAAGACGTTTTCTCGCTTCATTTTGAAGAGATGTTGTTCACTGCTGATAGTTTGTAGATGATTGAACGTAAAGGAATGTCCATGGACTCAATTAAGCTCTCGCAAAAAAGCCCCTTTTCTATTTCACCGCGGCATACCTTCCAAATGATTGAGAGTAAAGATCGCGCTATTGGAGGTGGCGTGAATTTATAGCGTAAAGATTTTTATTATATTTAAGGGAGTTAACTTTGCATATTTGTTGATTCGTTAGATGTTGATGAATGTGCGCTGACAGGTGGACCTTGCAGTCAGAATCAATGTTATAACACGAGAGGCAGTTATCAATGTCTACCTTCTTCATGTCCACAGTATTATAACAACGTCGGAAGCGGGTAAGTAACTCGACCTTTTCCGAACGGTCTCCGATCGTTTTAGCATCATTTTCCGATCAGGCGTCGACATTCATTGGATATTACCTACATTCAGTATACTCCCTATGAAGTCGGCTTTGTAATTGCCTTGATAGTCTAGAGGTTTTCCTTAATTTGTCTGAGTTTTCAGGATCAAACACTGTCATTTAGAAGAAGTCTTTTTCAACTTCAGGTTCTGCGTAAATCAGTGTTCGACCCCAGGCTACTACTGTACGGCTCAAGCAACGCGCCAGGAAGTGTTTACACTACCGCTTGGATTTCCCGCCGATACCGACATTGCCCGTCTGATCCCATTTTTCCCGCCATACATGGCTTCGCTTCGATATTACTGCCAGTTTCAGTATACATTCTCAACCCAGCCATCCCCGTTCGGTATCAGGATGCTTGGAAACCAGGCGGTCATATTCACAAAAGAGAAGCTGGGAAAAGCGGGAATCCATCAGTTGCAAGTCACTGCAGATCTGCACTACATGGATGGAACGCTAGCCTGTAGAACTGTGTTTACAGTGTATATAGACATTTCTAGGTTTAGCTTTTGAACATTTGATTTGCTACCACAGTTAACACTTATATCCAAATGTATTTTAACGTTGCAAGGATTTTGCATGAGTTGTCCTAACTTTGTCATACTTACTCATGCTTAGTCTGGCCTAGACTTCAGGTTTGGAGCTATTTTACATCTGAGTGTCAAAAGTAATCAGAGAATGCATAGCTTTTACAGAACTTTGCCTAGTGATTACCTTGGAAAACTTAGCAACCAGTTATTATTTATCACCTGGGTTGGGGGGAAGGGGGGTCACATGGTTTTCAGGGGGAACGGGGGATTCGTGGTCGTCAACGGAGTGTTAAGGGGGCACGATAGACAATACTACAGAGCGTTAGGGGGGAGTCAGGTAAATTTTATCGTGATAAAACCAAAATTCTCTGGACCCCCCTCCTTTTCCTCCTCGATAAAGAATGACTGGTCCATTACCTAGCGCCACCTTCCTAACGAATCACATCCAAGGAAAGGGAAAACAGACTTAAATTTATCTCCGGCGTTTTCCTGCAGTTAAAGAATTTTACTTTTATTTATTTTGAGTTCTCATTTGCTTCTTGTAACCTTTTTCCTCTCTTTTGACCGGCCGTTGTGATCACTTTGGTGTTGGTTTTATAATAGGGACAATCAGTAGAATGCGCTCTTACTGAAAATCATCTTCCCCGAATGCACCTTTATTTTGTATATTCTGTACTCTTTTAATTATTTATATCCGTGCCCAGCAAGCCGTTAAACTGGTTTTAAACCATACCAGTGTTTAAGCCATAATTTTAAACGTTCATTCAAGTAAGCTGTGTCTTTGTTTTTATCCTTTTGTTATGGTCGTACATCCTGAGGATTTGCAACTCATTTTATTACTCACCGCAATAAATGTCTTACTTTAAAAATTGCTGTGTCTCAAGAACGTCGCACAAAGAGTTGTAGTTCTAACCTGTGAAACAATATGAAAAGTGGATATTTGGTGATTAGAGCTTCATAAGGAATACCACGTAGTTGTTCATTGAATTATTTTTTATTAATTATTTCGCCCATTGCATCAAACGCCCTCGATGAATGCAAGAGGCCATTGAAACTTTACTAGGCGCAGATATTTGCTATATTCTCCCTTATCACAATTTTCATACCATAAAATTGATCAAATTATCCTCTCAGTGCTGATGCTCTCTTTGGGAAACACATTCAACAACTTTGCCCTTCTCGCTTGATTTGCAAAGTGCTTATGTCCCCAATCAAAACTCGAATTCCGATCCTAGATAGAACGTGCTATCCTCGTTTACCTCCTTACTCCAAAGCTTTTTCTTTTCTTTGTGTTTTTGCGCTTTATCTAATTTAGCTTTAAAAAGTGGAATAAAGTCGGAAGTGTCCTTATTTGGACAAAAAGATGGATTAGAAGGACCTTTTACCAAGAGGCTGATAGGATTCCTTTCGAAAATGTTCCTCGTTCTTTGATATAAAATATGATGCCTCATTTGATTATAAACTTTCATTTGCGTTATTATATAAATCTCAACACGTTTAAAAAAAAAAGGAAAAGAAAAAACTGTAAAATGAAAAATGTGCAGCTTGGGTGCAGTCGCATCTGTGAAATCCCAGAGATCATTGTAAGCGCAAAAAGCTCAAGTCTTCATTATAATAAGGAGTGGTTACATAGTATTCCCAACGATTATCATATCTTTTTTATCTTATTAGCATATTACGTCTAAATTGAGCGCTTTTCTAATGTCTTGTGATCTCAGGGACACGACGATCTATCTCGCTTTCACATACTGGTGTCTGTAAAATGAACATCTTACTGAAGCTGGTGATTTTCGCCGTTTGCGTCTCTTTAGCTCCTGCACAAGGTAACACAATTTTATTTGGGTAAAATCAATTTGACTGGTACTGCACTTGCCACAACACGTCGTTTGAAATTCATGTAAATTTGAATAATTAAAACGCTATCAAGTACGAAGGTTGGGAAATAGAACAAACGTGTTTTTAGTATTTATATCTTTTTTAGTATTAAAAACGCCCTAAGCTGTTATAATTTTTATAATTGCATCACCGAAAAGCAAGAGCTTTTCGGTTGGAATCGAGCGTATGGCCCTTTTTGGTTTAAATTCTATTCATTTAGTTGTAGTCAGTGGTACGTTCTTCATACAAAACATTAAATGGTTTGTTGGCTTTCGATAAAAAGCTGGAACGCATTTATTTCATATCAAGGATCAGTGATTTTACGAGATTATAAACTCTGGTTGCTTTTATTAAGCCGGGGTTGAATACTTCAATGAAATGTTGAAATCTATTGTCAAATAAACAGACGTTGTGTTTTTATCATCATTTACATAGAAATACCGCCTATGATTTTTGATCTGTTGGTTTGTTTAGTTGCTTTTAGTTACATTACTTCAGGCTCAAATACTAGTTGTTTGAATGCTTTTCGCTTTCAACCACACTCGTGACCCACAATGGATCTCATATTTCGCATTTTCACGATGATTATCAAAACGTGAGACTGATTTGAAAAAGAACATTGATATGCAGAAAAATTAAACTGTTGTGTTCTAAAGGATTTTAAAATGTATGCTTCAAAATCTGAATGATCAATTTACGAACTTTTCCCCTTTTCTTTTCTCATTTAATTTTTTTCTCTGACGACAAAATTGTAATTTTGTGTAAATAATTTGCTCACTATTAGTGAAATATCACATGCATTCATAATGACAACCATTGCATTTCTTGTGAGTGAAATAACCAAAGCTATATTTTTAGTTGAAAATAATATCTGTAAGCAAGACAAGGCCATTGCTTATTCTTGTGTACACAGAAGTTCATGTGCAGGACCTCAATGACACAACCCCAAAACCTGCACCTACATCCAAATCCTTGGTAAGAAATGAAACTACTACAACCACACTTTCCACAACCAGAATTTCTACACCCACAAGTTTTAACAGCACAGAAGAAGTGAATTCAACCTTGATTCTTACTTACCATGTCAGTGGTGGTTCAACTAATGGTATGCTTCAGAGGTCATTATATGTGGTGAGTAGAATATATTCAAAAGTGCAGGTCCTCATTAAACAATGACCTGTTTATCCTGCCTCCATTCAAGCACTGTAATGAAGAATTAAGCTTTTCCATCACTGTATGTAACACTAAGAAAGTCCTGGAATTTTAGTTTGACAATTTCCAGGACTTTCCAAGCCTTTAAAACTGGTATAAGTACCCCCCTACTCCCTGTCCCCCCCCCAGTTCCCTCCCTTTTTGCTTGTGACTTTTGAGTAGCTTTAAACATATTATGTATGGTTTTGATATTATTTTAGTATGCAGAAAATTTCAGTATTTAATGATTTTTAAGGGAATATGATGGGGTTACCTTTTTCTTTTTTTTTGTTATCAAGATATATCATATGAAGATTGATGGTTATATCATTTTTAGTAGAAATTAAAATCAGTTGGGAATTTAATGTTACTCTTGTCTATCCTTGCTCTATTCATTTTCACATTAAGCCCCTAAAATAATTTATTTGCAGGCCATAGGAATCAGTACTCTTGTTGCACTTTACTTTATCGTCCGAACCCTTAAAACAAGAGGAAGACGGAAAGCTAAGAAGTAAGCTTTAGTAAATAACTCTTTATTGTAATTCTATTTGTCTTCTTTTTTTTACTTTATCCATTATTTAATTGTTCTGTGGCATGTGATCTATTTTCTCATCATTACGTTTCATTTTATACTTTTTCCTGAAAGGATAGAATCCTTCCACTTTTTTGTAGGCTTCTTGCTTAGTCAGCTGAAGTTAAGTAGGCATACAACCTGTTGGCAAAAGGTTTGTGAGGGGTCTGCCAAGACCTGTCACACTGGGCTCCACTGGGCCTTTAAAATGTGGGGGGGCCCTACTGGAAATTCCAATTTTGATACCTTTAAAATAAAGGGAAATGCATCAGGAAAAAACTTAACCCTCTCTCTGTATTGTGCCTGTCACAGACTTGATTCTCTCAGCCTTGTGAAGAAGCCCGAAGATACATGTGTAGCAATACCAGTGAAAACCTGCTCATAGGCTATTAATTATATCCATTTACTAAATTAAGTGTGTGTGAAGTACCATGATTTAGCTGCTTTAATGTCATATCCCTCTTTTTTCCCTTTTTTTTTTTAATTTCACAAGGTATGGGGTAATCCATGGGGCAGCGTCCGTGGAATTGCAGCCACTAGACAGAGATGTTGATGAGGAAGAAGAGGATATGACTCTTTTTGATATGAAAGATGCAAAACGACCATTGAAATAAAGTATGCTGAAATTAATGTAATAATCACCTCGGCTGAAAGTAAAGATATACAATTATTTAGTAACTAAGAAGAAGGCTTAACAAGATAGGTAGTTGTTACACATTGGACCCTGGTTTAATTGTATCATCTCACTTTGAACAATCCATGACAATATGCTTAAGATTCTTGAGGCATAATTTTGTAGTTTTCTGCCAGAGGGATCCACAGTATGAATTGTGCATCTTGTGTATTTAGCTCAGTCAGAGAGAGCAGAAGGGCCTATGAACTCCTATTGGCAAAGACAAAATTTATTTTATAGGGGTGAAGGGAGGGTGTATTCTCCAGCAAGGTGAATTTTAATGATAGCATAGCATGAATTACTTATTACCACAACATATTAATTTTAAGTAGTTTTATAACAAAGCATACTTACCTTAACCCTTTAACTCCCAAGATCTGATTTTCAATTCTCCCTTCTAGCTGCTACACATTTCCTTGTAAATAAGTTACAAGAATTTGGTGCTAGATCAAGTTAGCAACTTCTACCTGATAAGTTAGAAGTATTCTTATTACCTGTTTACTGTATGATTTATGAATATTATAGGGATAAGTTATATTTTGATCACTCTTGGGGTTTTACTTGGCTTGGTGCCAACCATGACAGTATCAGTAAGAGTGTACATTCTAAGACTCAAGATAGAATTTTGGTTATCAGTATATCAAGTTGCCTTCTAAAATTCTGTGACTATTAACAGAAATCATAATTTCATGTCACAAATTAGTGTCAACCATTGGGCTCTTATTTATTCACTAGTAGGTAATTATGATAAGTCAATATTTATAAGCATTTGTTATCCACACGTAACTCTACCATCTGATCAAAGATAATTGACCTCAAGAAACTGGCAGGGTTTAAAGAATACAGGCAGAGCACGAAAGGATATTCTTGTCAGACATTTATTCTTTGGTTGATCACTTGCTGAAGGAAGTAAATAGTTCAGTGGCAGATTACATTTGACAGCACTTAATCTGTTTTTGGCGAATTAATAGTTGCGGTTGAAATAAAGAATTAAAATTTTCGGAGTCTTTTGGGGGGTTTTCTTCTACGGTTATTTATTTTTTGTGAAACGGGAACAATTTGCCGATGTAAAACCTGCAAAATGCTCGTGCCACATATGAAAGGTCAAATCTGTCTATCATTTGTCATGTTCGTGTAAACATAGAGTGTAAAGACCTGGAATTCATGATACTACTTTGCCTCGCTTAAGTCAAACTCGGAGAACTACTTTAAGTTTGAAAACATGGCTGTTGCCGGTGAAATTCTCCATAGTTAAATCTCAAGAGTACGGTGAAATGATTTTTTTCATTTTGAACAACTACCCTACCATAACTTTTGAACCCAGAAACCGCCCTACCAGCACTAATTTCCTTTCCTTTCAAACAAGTAAACAGGTAGGAAAAAAGCACTTCGACACTTGGTCGAAGTTTCCTCTTTCTTGACACGTTTACACGAGTGTTATTCAGTTCAACTTTGACTCGTAACTGAAGACGTCCAGATTACCGTCAGCTCGCCAACTCCTTTGGTCAACTCGCCGACACCACTGGTCATCTGGCCGACTCGATAGTTTAAGCTAAGAAGTGATCCTTGCAGTCAGACTACTAATTAATTTCTCGATTTCAGTATCAAAGACGACCGTCAGTGAGTTGGTCTAAGGTGTCAGTGAGTTTAGTATTGGTGTCGGCGTGATGAATTTCCGGTGAAGGGACCGGATACCGGTGTCCATTTGTTGGAGCGATGGTTGGGTACTCCAATTTAAATGGGTACCAGTGTAATGGCCTTTGCTTACATAGAGAGATCAGGTACGTTCTCAGTGAATTTTGAGAAACAAAGAAAGATTGATAAATGAATAATCAAATGAACGTTGAGTCGCCCCAAAAATCATTGAAAGGGGAATGCCACACTTTCGGACAAGGAATTTTTTCGTCAAAAAGAAAAAAGTAGACTGCAGGGTACTCATATTATTTCCTGAGTCGGGATAGAGGGAGCATATTTTTTTTTTGACGGGATGGGAGATAGGGAAGCTCAATTGAAGGCCCGCCAGTTTTACCTTACAAATTTCTGCTTAAACACATCATTGTCATTAATTCAAACAAAAATAGGGAACTCCGTGTTTCGATAGTCAAAGATCTGAAAATGCCGTACACACGTTCACTACGCTTTTGCAACTTCCCCCGTCTTGGCGCTGAAACATACCCTACCCATCTTGATCCTATTTGAAAAAAATTAATGTAGCTCTATCTTATAAGTTTCACCAACGCGGCGCCTATGTACTGTCATGAATACTGCACGATTTTAAACATCTATTGCCACAGTGTTTTCGTAAATGAACCGTGCTCATTTAGTAATCCGTTCTTTCCTGGAGAGACGTTACAGCCCAAAACCGTCGTTGATTTGAATCGAGCCCGAAAATTTACGATATATCAGGTCAAAAAAATGAAAGGAAATCGCAATGCTGATCACAGACAAAGTAAAACTTAGAAGTAGCAAGAGACGGTACCGTGATTTCCCCGGTTAGGTTTGAAGAAAAAATTTTTGTTGGGGTTCCTGTTAGAACAATGAACACAAATTTTAATACCGTTCCCCAGTTTTACTTCAACCTCATTTTACATGTAATTTCGGTTTTTGTATTTAGATCTGACTACTCCCACAGGACTATTCGCGAAGTAGATTTTATGTTCTCCTAATTCCTGAGTTAACCTGGAACTTCTAAACGTGAAGGTGTTCACGCTGGGTTCTAAACGTCCTTCACCTCAATAAGGTTCATGTCGTGACGGTCTCAACATCTGATGTCCTCTCCGTCATTTCGATCACAGTAATAAATCTCCCACTTAAAAAATTTTCCTACCAGACGTCAATCTTATACTGGCTTCCTGCAGCTTCGGTTGAGTACAGCCTGTATCAGGCTCTGCCCTGGCCTGTAACGCCTCCCTTCCATGAAACTTTCTCTGACCTGTTCGGGCGTTGGAGTGATTTCGTGGGTATGCGCCCTGGCGTAGTTCTGGTCGCGTCTTCCGTCCCCAGCGAAAATATCACTATTGTTTACTAAACTAACTTGCATTTCAATGGAAAATTCCTAACCTGACTAAACTTTATGGGCCGGTTATTTAAACAAAGTTTAACTGTTGTTTAAACAAAAGCACGTCCTAACCGATCCTCAATTTAGACAACCTTTTATAAATGGCAAGAGGGCCGGAAGCTAACAGTGGAAAGACATTTATTTAGTCAAATCAACCCTCTTATAGAGGACTGAGGCCCACTGATTGCATAAAACCATGCTTTGGGTGAGACTGTGTAAATCACCGTCCCTGTAAGTTTTTCTGGTCACTTCTTTTGCATATCTTGTTCAAACTATACTCAATTTCCAACACTCTTTGGAGGAGAACAGAAACAAAACAAATTGCATTTTTAGGGTTGTTTACATTAAACGCTTACGACGAACGAATATGATGATTTTTAAAAGCTGCCATTAAGGGATATAAATCGGATTACACATTGTACTTTACAAACTCCCTAGCAGATAGGGAAAGATATCTTTTTGCTGTGATAATTTCAGGCAGATTTTTCAAAATTCCGTAAAGGTGAGATAGCGACAAACATTGGCTCATAAAATGTTCGACCAAGATTCTTAAGGATAAGGAACCAAAGTTTTTGCCCACGGGTGTAGTCAATTTTGATGTGAGGGCAACCATTTTAGTTTAGCTCGAAACGTCAGCTTTAAAACTCTTTACCGCGGCCAATTTTCATCATCAACTCAGTTGATAAACCCAAATTATTTTTTTAAACTCCCTCACCTACGCTGCACCATAGTTTCTTTAAAAAACTTATCCCCTTTTAGGTATAATAATGTTGCGATATCCTTTATTTGAGTTGGTTTTCAACTTCAAAAATTCCCGTCCATTAAATTAACATTGCCACTATCTACCGTGGGGAATAAACAAAAGTTTCAGACATTAAAGGAACCACCGCTCAGTCAAAACCAAAAGGAGATGTCGCTAATGACACGAGCTAAATTGATTGGTCTTTTAATTAAGGAGTAGTGAACACATGAAAAACAATTAAGACCAATTAGTCATTTACGACCCTGAACTTCATGAATAATTTGTTGCAATTTTTTTTGCTGGACTGTTAAACATATTTGTGCCCTTCCTGGTGCCTGTTGATAAAAAAAATTCATAAGACCAAATTTGAAATAGAAGAAGAAAACACAAAATTGCAAATAGCGGGGAAACTGCTTAAGTAACCCCTATTTTTCCGGCTTTTGAATGATCGGCAGAACAATTTTCACAAATTGTGAAAATTTTGAGAGATTTCCCCGAAGCAATTTGAAAAAAATCAAAGGCAAAGCTTAATTATCACTAGCGAGCGCCTCCGTTTGTGGAGCCTTAATTTAAGAACAAAAAAAAATTAATTTTGATAATATTTACTACTGCAAACAATAGTCCCAACCTTGCTCATTACCTTTTGATGGCTTTTAGTGACCTTGAAAAGCGAAAACATAACTGAAATTTTCTAGGAAAACATTATGCTGGTGCACGCGTCAACATTGAACAAACACCCTACGGTTTCTATGCTTGAACATAGCCTAAGACCAACTTGAACATAGTTTAAACTTGACGCTGACAGGAACAGCATTCGACAAATTCACTCAGTTTTTTCCTTTCCTCCATAAATGCTACAAAAAATTGGGGAAACATTTTTTCTTCAGGAAATCTAGAATTGTTCTTTTTGATGTCACAAATAGTTACCCACAGCAGATGCCAAGTTCAGATTTCTCAATTCCCGATCACGCTGAAGAGTGATGTTCAGTTGCTTGGCACACTGAATATTCCATCCTGCCACTTGAATTTCTCTCATTAATTTCAGCCAAGCACCACAACAATGGGAAATAACATTTTCGGACCATTATTGCACTCTTCCTTTTGCACTGTATCGGAGTGACTGATTTCATTATTTTTCTTTTTCAGGGGGTGTTCCTGATTTTCAAAGGTGAAAACAACCCAGGGCTTTTGGGCGGCCGCTTGTGAGCTTTTTTCTCTTTGGAGTGTGGAGTTCACTGGATTTTCATGCGGAACACTCGACGATATTTTCACGCATGAACGTTTTGCTTTGCGACTTTTCAAGATAGGAAGGCACTTGAACATAATGCCTGATGTGAGCCTTGCAAGTGGACAGGCAGCCTTTCACGATCCAGCCTAAAAAAAAACATAAGTTGTTTTGAGTTTACTAGAGGAGTTACCGGTCGTTTCGTACCCAGTCGTCTTGTCCCCAACTCGGTCGTTTCGAACCCAGACTAATAAAGTTTGTTTTCCACGTGACCAATTAGAGAGAAAAATATCATACAAACATGTGCTATAACTATTAAAAAGGTCACAAGTATAAAACATAGACTTTTTCATTAAAAATTTCACTTACCCTGTACCAGGAAAAGGTGAAGTTGTTTCTGTTAAGTAGGTCACAAGTATGCGCAACAGATTTTTTGTTTGTATCTCACTCGCCTTACTTTACTTATTTGTCGTTTGCAACGATTAACATCTGTTCACGCGCTGGCGCGTTAGGTATTTCGAATAAATGTATGAATCGATCAGGGGTTTGAGTACGGAACGAATCAAACTTGGGTACGAATCGACTGCATTTGGATACGAAACGACTGGACATGAATGACCGTAAATACGAAACGACCGGATACCACCGGAAATACCTTGACATAGGCGTTTTAATCATTCTCCAAATCTTGAATTTATAGACGTTTTCCGATCTAAGTGTAGAGTCAGACTAAAAATAACTAACAATCAGCAGGAAAAGATTCCGTGTTTGTGTTTTTTTTAATAGATCAGAGGCGTCCGAGAGAAGCGTAATTAGTCTCTAATTCTTTTAAATGAGAATCCTAATTAATATTGAAATGTATGGTGAATCTAAAAACAACTTGAAACATATCGAAAGCATTAATTAATCGAAGCTTCGCGGAACCCTGGAAACGGGCGCACGACAACAGGACATTTCCAACTCCTGCCTGTATCCACTTTTGAACAATCATCCGTTGACTTTAAGTTCATATTCCTCGATCGTAACAAGAATTTAACGAAAACTCGCAGACAACAAAAATCGTTCTTCAAAGGTGCCTTTGCTATCTAGCCTTTTTTAATAATGATTTTCTTGGGAGTTTCTTTTCAAGGATTCGCGAAATCCATCCTTTTTTTTTTTGCATTTCAGACTGGATAAACAAAAGTTTCAGCTTAAATAAGGGGCCATAGAACCAGGTTTTCTGCATATGAAATGACGAGTGATGGAATTTGAAGATAAAGAATTTCTTTGGTTACACCTGATTTGAAATTTGACGCCTAAAATTTACTCAGGGTCAGTTGCACATCCTCCTTGCCTTATACCGAGTCCTTCTTTTTCTCGGGCCACACGTCAGGAACCCCTCACAGTTCCATGCGGCCCCAACAAACAGTCGCACAGAATTTTTTCCGGCCGGTGGTCCATCACTTTTATTTTCCTCTCTTTACGACAACTACCTCCCCGCAACGACAACGGATACCTGACCGCGTGTAAATTGCCAAAATAACCCTCGAAGAAAAATCCTCGGAGCGAGGACGAGAACCAACAAAAACTTCAACCCACATGTGACGTCGGGTCCAGGAATTGAACGGGAGGACAGCACATTCACCACTGCTCCATCCCCCCTTCCCTGTCAGCATTTCCTACCAGAAAAATGTTCTAACCTTCGAAATGGCAGGGGGTACATGGTACCCCTGCTTAGCTTCCTATAACGGCAACGTCTTTACTATAGTCAATAAAGAAAATTAGTGAAGTAACGCCTGAGAGTTATGTACTGAAAGTGAAACTAATTAAGTCGGGGTCACAGAACATTTTTCTGCCTGTTATCAAATTTTGATGCCAAAAAAACGGAGTTTGTGTCATTTACAGAATCATGACAGATATTGAGGAATAGCATACTTAGAAATTTTTTTACATACAAACTTTGCACTTCCGTGACCTGCTTAAATTAATGTTACAAATTGAAATATAAATCACAGGTATTATTTTCATATTTCGGGAGTATCCTTGAAGATCGGCACTTTCATGTATCCCGATTACCTCGATCGCCGATATAGTTATATTAAGAGATCCACAGACGTTTTCCCCAGATTCTTCCGCACGATTCTTCTACACTTGTGACTCGAGCAACTAGAGGACTGGTAGCGAGCCAAAACTATCTCCGACATCCCTGTCAATGAAAATTGAAGTTTGATTTATCGTGAATGAACGCTGATCATCGCGTCGGGAAAAAATAAAAACGTTCTCAATTTTCCCAATTTAATTGTGGCTAACCATCCCAGACAGTCGGGGATCTCTATGATTTCGAGTTTTCATTTGTCGGAAAAATCTGGAACGGTCAAGAAGCAGTGAAACCCCCGATCGCCTGGATTTTCCCGACATGTGCCTCGATCAGTGATGACGTAAAGTTTTTAACAGCTAAGCTCAGAAGACATATGTTCTTGGATACTCAGAAACTTGCTGTCAAGTTTGCATGATAAAGTCCTCATAAAAAACGTTTTCTACGGGTTATGTTGGGTCATGTCAACTATCTAGCGCTGGGTATGCGGATTTTACAAATTAAGCGGGTAGCAATTATAGTTAACCAATTAGGGAAATGGCTTGAAGCGTAATTAGGAAAAAGCTAGGAATAGTTGGGATGTTGATTAATAATTCAGGTCATGATTAACTCAGTTGAGATGTAATTTTCTGGTGTAGATGCCATTTAGATGTAACAAATATTGATCGCGAAATGGGAATTTTCGTAATTAACACGGTAAGTGTGGTTCGATCGATATTTAATTGAAAAATTGCGACCTTTGCTCTTTTATCTCTAAAAAAAAAAGCAAAACAAAACATTTGACCCCGTTTAAAAAAAGTTCTCGCAAATTTTTCATACTCTAATCGAAAGACCCCTAGGAATGACAAATCTGATAGGCAGTCAAGACATGGTTATAGACTCTTGGAATTTTCAGGGCTGATTGCGCAATAAGCAGATGGTTATTTTAAAGCGCACTAAGCACTGCTACGAATAACTTCATCTGGGGAGAAGACCAATATTTTTTCAACCAATTTTGATTTTCTTTTAGCAGAAGAATGGGGGTTATTGTAATTGAAAAACCCAATCTCGGCCATGCATCACGGCATGACTGAAAGTCGTAGATATTTACAGAGTTTTGAGATCTCTCAATTCTTACACATATAAAAAATGCTTTTTCTTGAACCCCAAATAATAATCTTTTCCATCTCATTGGCTGTAAACGTAGTTAAGAACGATGTTGTGTGTGTGTAGTTCATAGAATTGAATTGAATTGAATTAAACCAACCAAGGTGAATCAAACGGAACAGTCCGAAATTGGATGGAAGCGTCCGAAATCTAACGGAGCTGCGTTATATTCCGACGGAGGCGTCTGAGATCGGATAGAAGCGTCTGAAATCGGACGGAACATTTCGAAATCTCCAAATGTCAGAAACAGGGCGGAACCATTTTGCTAACTTGAAGGGAAGAAGAATGCCCCGTGAGGAACTCCGTAGGCTTTCTGCTCTCCGGCTACGCGTACTAGAGCCAGTCTTTCCTACCCGTGTCCGAATAAAACCGTAAACGTGAGTCACGTATTGGATAGCGGAGGATAACCCTGTATAGCTATGTATAGCCCTGTACAGTGGTGTATAGCCCTGTACAGGTAATTTAGTGTTAACAACTGAGTTGAAAACGTAAATTAGCCACCGTAAAGGGTAAAAAAACTGACGTTTCGAGCGTTAGCCCTTCGTCAGAACGATAGACCTATCGCTATCAATCGCTATCAATCGCTATCGCAATATCAATTGCTCTGACGAAGGGCTAACGCTCGAAACGTCAGCTTTTTTACCATTTACTGTGGCTAATTTACGTTTTCAATTCAGTTGTTAACACTAAATTACCTGCTATACTCTCCCACCGACGCAGCACCACAGTTTCTTTAGAAACTTACCCCTTTATTATAGCCCTGTACAGCCGTGTATAGCTGGGTGTAGCCCCGTTTAGCTGTGCATAGCCTTGTATAGCTGTGTTTAGCTCTGTATAGCTGTGTATAGCCCTACATAGCCATGTATAGCTGTGCATCTTTCTGTATAGTTGTGCATAGCTCTGTATGGCTGTGTATAGCCCTGTATAGCCCTGTATAGGTGTGTATAGCTCTGTTTAGTTGCGTATAGCACTGTATAGCTCTGTATAGCTATGTATAGCCTTGTACAGCTTTTTATAGCCTTGTATAGCTGTTTATAGCTCTGTCTAGCTGTGTATAGCTTTTTATAGCCCTGTATGGCTATGTATAGCCCTGTATAGGTTTTAGGTTCAGGGTATAGCTCTGTATAGGTGTGTATAGCTCTGTTTAGCTGCGTATAGCTCTGTATAGCTCTGTTTATCCGTGTATAGCTCTGTTTATCCGTGTAAAGCTCTGTATTGCTGTGTATAGCCCCATATAGCTGTGTATAGCCCTGTACAGCCCTGTACAGTGTATAGCTGGGTATAGCTCTTTATAGCTGTGTATAGCTCTTTATAGCTGTGTATAGCCTTCTATGGCCCTGTATAGCTATGTATAGCTCTGTTTAGCTGTGTATAGCTGTGTATAGTTGTTTATAGCGCTGTATAGCTGTTTATAGCTCTGTATAGCTGTGTATGGTTGTATTTTGTCTTGTTTTGCGCTGTTTGTGTGTGTAGGGTATTATATGTAAATTATAGGACATAATATGTGTTGGGGACATAATAATTCCCCATACATGATGTACTTACCCAGAATGTGTGCACAGACAGCACGTGACTAGGGGAAAAAACTCAAACAACAATGGCGACCGAAGATGATCCAGACAGTGAACGTGCTTCAAATGTCCTGGGCTTTTGGCGATGAATGAAGGCAGCGAAAGTGTTGCCTCGTGGAGCAATGCCTCAGTTTTACCTCTCTTTCTCGTGATTACAACGGAACGCGAGACAAGCTCAGTCGCTCAGTACCATGCATGCAGCCGAGGGGACGTGGACTCTTCCAAGTCAGGGAGAGTTTTCCCTGCTCGATCTAGATGCAGATAACATTAAAACTGTGGAAGAGACTACAAAGCGGATTCAGGAAAACCTTCACTCTTCTCGTGATTCAGGGTTGTTAAATACCATGATGGAATATTACTTAAAAACGCGTTCCCCTACATGTTTGCAGATTTTGAGCGGCATCCACGAAGCGCGAGCTCAGGTAAACTGATCTGCGACAATTGAATTTTTTTCTGAGAGGCTTTGTTCGTTATCCGCTGGCATATCTGTTTCTACAATGTGCTCTAGCTGTATGTTGTTTTCTCTTCAAAGGCATTATTTGAGAAAATGAACGAATGCCTGAAACATGCGCCGTCCCGTTTGGACACCCTATCGCTACTGGGTCATATTGTGCGAAGGCAGGTAAGGGTAACCATGGTAGGAATTTGAAAGTATTTCCTCAGGAAATAACGTATCCTTAGTTTTTTAGATTAAATAAATAGCTATAGAGTCATGCTGGAATCGTAAGAGATGTCGTTTCCATGCATGAAAAATAGGATTCGGTAGCTTTGCAAACTGAAACACGTGTTGCATTTAGGTCTATTATTAGTTTACGATCCGGAAGTTGGGATCACGTTTGGTTTACCAACTTGCCTGCTCTTTATCACTCTTTTAACACCTACTTCCTCGTGCACTATCGTCATTGGTTGATTTTCGCTCAAAATTTGTCATTTAATCCCGCAAATTGTTAAACTACAGAGATAGGAAGAGGTGTCACTATTATTTTTAGTATTTGTATAGAGTCCCTGTGGCTCAGCGGTGGAGCATTGGTGTGTGGAATCTGAAGGTCTGAGGTTCAATTCGTCATGGGGGCTAAGAATTGTTTCTTTGTTCCACGATAGTGACATCTTTCTCAATTTCTTTACTAAAAACTTACCATCTCTCTTATTCTATTTACAAACACGATGCTATTGACATTGCTGATCCTAGCAGTATGCAGGACGTTTGTCATATGAACTTTGTAATAGACCTCACTGACTGCAGAGTTTCTGTGGCTCAGTGGTAGAGCATCAGAGCATGGAATCTGAAGGTCTGAGGTTCGAATTGTCTTGGAGAATCAGAATTTTTTCTTTGTCCCCTGCTCGTCATAAGACAAAACACATCTTTCTCAAGATGATTCCTGTTGCCATGGATCTTTACAGTTACTTTTGAAATAGAAAACCGATGTCAAAATGTGGTAAGAATGTCAGTGACACATTTGGCTGTACCTTGTGTGACACTTTTTGCACTTATCACATTTTGACGTCATCTGTGATCTAATGCTGAACAGATGTACAGCAACATGCAGTCTATTTGCTTACTTCTCAATTGCTTGTCACAGTCAGGGACATTGAATTTTTGGGTCAGTAGGAACACGAAAAACTATTGTTATAGTGAGGAAAACTGCACTTTGCAAGATATCAGTGGACAAAGCAGCCTGTGCTATCTGACTAGAAATTCACCTCAAAACCTAAAACTTACAAATTACTCTATATAAATCCCTGACCATGATGCTATCTCTGCATAAAGTTGCAAGATTTCTATAGGACCCAAGACTTCATTAGGATACATTTCTTTGACAGCAGGGAACAATTGCAGTAAACAATTCAAAACGTTACCTTTTGGGAGTGAGCTCTTTTTTTAGAATAGCATGGGGTTATTCAGAAAATATTCCCAAAAAATATTGATGTATCTGCTTTTCAGTATAGAATTGTTTATTACTAAGAAAATGATGAATCAATTGTTATTTATGTATGTGTCACAAAATGTTGAGTTTGTTAAGTTTGCATTTCATTGCAGCCTTCCTGGTTGTACAAGATTATAGACACATCCTTGTTTGAAAGTCTCTTGAAGTGCATGAAGGTAAAGGCAATCTTTTGTCCCCAAAATACATCACATCCATTGCTTCACCAGGAATAATTATTGTTCTGCATCGCTTCTCACTTTGCAGTTTGGGAGATGCAGTGGGATAATGCTTAATTTGCTGGCCTCTTGGTAGAGAGGTCCAAGTGTGAGAACTGGTGGAGTGAATGTGTTGTGTTTTGGGCAAAACGCTTTACTCTCACAGTGCCTCTGTTGACCCAGGAATATAAATATATGAATGGGTACTGCCAAATTGTCAGGGAAGCCTGATGAAATGCTGGTAACTTTACGATGGACAAGCATCCCATCCAGGTTGAGGGGGGTGGTGATACTCCTTGTCACTCCCAGATAATAAAAATGGGATATGCTTTAGCTGCCATCACTTGGCTTTAGAAAAGTACCTTATTTTTCACTTGGAAACTTTTCTATCACCATGAGGAATATTTTTGGGATAAAATTAGAGTTTGATGTTTTAGGACAGAGGTTTTTTCTTTTTAGGATTTCCAGTACTTTGTCCCTGAAATCTAATTTTAACCATGTCATCTATTGGCCTTGCTTTGAGCATGATCCTTCAAGTGAAGATCTGGGGAACATTCCCACTTGGCTTTCAAGATGTGTTTCAATAATGAAGAGGAGAAGCAAGATTCCTTTAAGAAGCTGTCTTAGTCCCAGAGTCTTCCTATAGTCAAACTCATGTCACTTGATTGTGTTAATTCTTTAGAGTGATCATGTGATCTAATTGTCTGGGCGAGGGTAGTCCTGAGAAGGACTGTTGTGGGTATTAGTGTCTGATCTTTCCAAAATCTGAGCAGAAGTCATCCTCGAGTCAACAATCAACAAAAGTCCTTCTCAGGACTACCTTACCCAAACTATTGAACTGCAAGATCACAAGTTACCCCTGGGTTCAAACCATCTGCTGTTTTTGAAAAGGTTCTTGTAAATTGGCTGAAGAAATTCATTATTTCACTTGTAGGGAGATGAAGATGTGTTGGTTTTAACAAGTGGTGTTTTAACCATTACAACTTTGTTACCATTGGTACCAGCCTCTATTGGTCATTGTTTACAGGATTTATTTGAGATATTCTCCAGACTGTCCTATTTTAGAGTTCGTCATTCAGGTACAATGCTTTTATAATTACCTGTATACATAATGCAGTTCATGTAGTTTTGAGTAATAATTAGGTCAAAGTGATTTTAAGCAAACATACTTATGTTTCTGTCATTCGAATGAGTCACCACCACACCCAACAGATTGATTGACAGTCAGCATTACAAACGGTTCAGAGGGAAAATACTAATCACATTCCATTCACTCTCACATTCCACCCTCACAACCCTTCAGATTGATCTATCATTCTTAACAACTTCAAATAACTTCATAACAATTATTAATTAAGAGACTGGTACCATCTTTTCACAACCTAATCTATGGCATGAAAATATTCTGGTTTTTGAAATGATCGTCCATATTCTGCTATGATGGGTGTTCATATGTATATTCTATTCACATCTAAAAGCTGAGTTATGAATACATCCATTTAATGACTGCAAGGGAAAAAAGTCAGTGTTTTTCAGAGATTTTCAGTTGTCAGCTGTGCACTGTAGCATTAGCTGGCAAGAGACAAAAGAACACTTGCTGGGTATCAATATTTATTATACTTGTATCTACTGCCTCTGCCATCCTTTTGGGTACCTGCAAAGATTAAGCAAAGGTTAAAACATTATTTCAGTTCAAGATGTGCATTTAACTGTTTTGGCTTAATTTAAGTAGCTAGCACTTTGAAAAATAGTAGCCAGTGAAAACGCCATTTTCTGGTGCTTCTAGAAAATGTTGATAAAGGCCTGAATGAGTGCTGATGGACAAATTGAGGATTTTAATTTGCAGCAAAAGTCACTTAAGGTTTTACTGCATGTATCCCTTCATTTGTAATGAAAATGAGTCAAGGCATTCTTTCTTTGTTGTTTGCCCAGGTAATGCCCCAGAAGTGCACCTCCTCCACCTTCACGTCGCAGTATACATGTTTTTTCATCGTCTGTATGCCATGTATCCTAACAATTTCCTGGCATATCTGAGAGTAACCTACAGTAAGCCTTCCAAACAGAAACTTTTCCAGAAGGCAATCAAGGTGAGGATCTTAATTTGAGTCTGAGTCTTTTCTTCAAAATTTAAGTTTCATTTAGCCACGGAGTTTTGAAAAACAGTCTGTAGTCAGCCAACCTTTCCATTGCTTTACATTTTTTTCCAGCAACTTCACTCATCAACTTTTAAAACCCTTTTACTCCCAAGATCTGATAAGTAATTCTCTCCTCAAGCTGCTACAGATTTCCTTGTAAATCAGTTACAAGAATTTGGAATTAGATCATAACAACAACTTCTACCTGATAAGTTCAAGTATTCTTATGAACTATTTGCTGGATTTTGTATGGTTGTTATTATTGGGAAAGTTAAAAGTTTAGTACTTCTGTGAGTTAAAATGTTGAGATACATAAGAGACAACTTATTTCACATACATTGTAACTTATTCCACTTATGACCCCATTGAAGCATGGTCCATGGAAATCACTCTTCAACACACTCTGTTTTGGGAGAGTTTCACCCCGTTGTCTCAAGAGTTGTATTCCCTTGTCACATGTAGGTCTCCTCTAGGTATTACCAGGATCAACATCACTCCTTTCATTGAATAGATCTCACCACAGAGCCTGATTACATTTGTGGTTGGTTTCTTGAACATACACCTTATTTAGTCCCACTTCCATCTCCCTATATAATGTTGACAGTGTATTTTGACTTCAGATCTTAATACCCATCACAAATATGTACATTAAAACCTAGTAAATACTTTTTGTTTTATCTTCTTAGCCAATGATGGAGCATGTGAAACTTCACCCATGTATTATTACAGAAACTGTGCACACTGAGACGGAAAAACACAGGTTAGCTGGTGAATAAACCAGTGGTGATACTAGTTTTTAGCATACAGGTTTTTTGGTTTGACGTACTATTTTTGCAGGTACTTGTAATATCCTATATCTCAGGGTTGAAAGGTTGACCCAAGGTATGTCGCATTTTTGAGAGTGGAATTAAACCTTTAAACTCTGAAACAGGTTGAATTTCCCTTTAACCTACATGTATACTCCCAAACTCATTTTTGGGAGATGCAGTGCCTCCCCTGCTTGTCTCAATGTTGGTCTGCAAGATGGCATGGACACATCGGCAGTTAACAACATTGGAAGGGGTGAGGGGTGAAAGAAGATCACAGGTGTTGATCTGAAGAAGTGTTCCAACTAATTTTGTCTAGGAGTGTAGTGAAAAGGAACTTGTGTTGCACATCACTGTTGGCTACAAAGTGGTGTATTCTCATTCTGACTGTATTTTCCATGTGATCCAGGTGGCGACAAAAAGAGCCTCACGATATTGTGATAGAATGCATGAAGCTGTCACTGGACCCAGTTGACAGAATGCAAGAGAAGGGAAGTTTAATGTCATCATGGACTTTCAAGCATAGTCACCAAGACCTTTTTGCAGACAAATCCATCAGCTCTGTATTGACAACATCAGGTGATAGTCAAGGACCTGAACCAAGCAGATTAAAAGAACGTCGTATGTCAGACTCTGCAACACAGACTGGCAAATCTCTACAAAGTGGTGACAGTGGCACTGGGTCTGAAAGTTTGCCAATTATTGCTACCGACAGGATTGAGTTAAATGCAACTCCTGGCTGGAGTCCTTCTGATGTTTGTGGGTTAAACACCCCACCATCATCTCAGATGTCGCCTTCAACAAGCTATCCCGATCTAGTAGCATCCATACCTATCCAGTCTCACTGCAGTACCCCAGGAATAGTTTACACCCCAGGGCAATCCCCGACAACATCTCTTGGGGAAGACTTACAAGGATATTCAAGCTCACCTTCAGTGACTGCTGGCAGTAGAGGAAAGTTTGTGACTTCAGGGGGGATGAACAATGGAAAGGGGAATTCAGTTAAAGGTGGGAAGGCTGCTAGTCAAGAGGGGCCATTAACCAGAACTTTAATATCATTGTTAGCTGAGCAAAGTTATGATTCAGCCCCTGCAGCCATTGGGGAACAACAGACATCAATGCCAGGGAATTCAACAAAATGTGAGAAGGACAACTTTGATGCAGTTCTATCTGATAGACAAAATTTATTGATTTCTCCAAATGCTGATGAAGTACATGAAGAGGTGTTTAATGAGGATCCCTTGACTTTAAGTACAGAACAATTTCAATTATCAATTATTTCTCCTAAGGAGGAATTTAGAGACTCTAATGACCAAAAGGATTGTGATCCAGATGCAAGAAAACTTGATACGGTTGAGTCATGGAAGGATGCTATGTGTAATGATGTTATGGAAGATGCATTAACCCCTGTATGTGGTCGATCTTTAGATGCAGAAACATTATCAAACACACCCATTAATGAAACCAATGAATCCACAAATGTTTGTTCTTGTATAGAAGTTCAGGACACAGAGAGTAGTGATATATCATATGCTCATGCTGTCCCTAATGTTTCATCAATGAGTGAAGAAGCAAGCAAGTCTTTAGTGACTGTACCTGATTTACATGTACACCAAGAGCAAACAAAGTTGGGAGAAGTGGACGAAAATGAAACAAGCCTGAAGTGGGATGAATGCTCCTTAAATGTTTCCAAACCACATGCTCTAATTCAAGCTGGGCTGCAGGACCACCTTCCATTGCAAGCATGGGACTTGATTGCAGCTTTTCCACAGCTGTTTAGAAATGAACAGGAGCAGACTGTTAACAGTACTATGGCTGACAGAGAGGACTTGGGAACACAACCACAGATGCATTGTCTAACGCCAGTTGAGATTCTTGACAATTACCTGAAAACAGGCAAGGGCATACACAATGGTGAACTCACAAGGTAAGAATATGTCCATCTCTACTTACGTTTTGTTCTGATTGTTATCTTGCCATGAAACTCCTATCATAAATTTTCCCATCTTGTACTGGATTTTTAAAAACCTCCTCCCATTCCAGTGTTACTCCCACTTCCTCCAACACCCCTCCTGTCAAGAATGTGATAATGCCATAACCAAGGTATTGGTATCCACAGTAGTTAATCAAGTTGATAGATTTTATGAGAACTATAGGTGAGACAACTCAAAGAGAAAACAGTGTAGAAAACTTTGAGGGAAAATGTGATTGGTTTCATGGAAGCCTTGCATTTCTTTGTCTTAAGGTCACCAAAGTATCTGTAGCCAGTCACTTTCAGGCATAGCAAAACTAAAAGGATTTTTGATATAATTTTAATTTTGAGGTCAGTTGATAATTTTGTGATTATTATACAGGATTCCTCTTGTCAATCAAGCTGGTACAGTTTGGACCCATTTTGGAGGTATAACCTGATTTTACATTTCTGGTTTAGTGATCAGTGACTTCCCAGATTAACACTTCCTCTGGTTAATTGTGAATTAATTCATTCCCAACAGAAATGACCAATGATGGCTTATACCTTTTATTGCTATCATGGCTACAGTGATATTGTTTTTAAATTTGCAGGTGATCCTCCAGTAGATGAAGTAGAGATTTTGAGAGGACAAGTTAAGTTGCTTCATAATCAGCTATTGTTTGAGCGACACAAGTGTGATCTTCATGCTATCCGTAACAGGAGACTTGTAGGGAAGACACTCAAGGCTGTACAGTATCAGGAAGAACTTCAGGCCACAGTATGTTTTTGATCTTCCCTTTTTCTCAAAATATAGGGTCCAGTTGTATAAAGGGCAGATAATGCTATCCAATAGATAAATTGCTATCCAGTAGATAGGTGTTAACAAAACATACTTGGCAATCTACTGAATAGAGATTTATCCAGTGGATTATGTTATCCGCCCTTCGAACTACTGTGTCCAGACCCTCAGTGGAGCCTCTCTTTGCTACACCTCTTTTCTGGGGACACCTACGCTCATCTCTCTACATTCACCACTTTTCTAGGGACACCTACATTCAATGGAAGCAAACTTTGGTCTTGAAACTAAGTTCATGTAGCTTTTGTATTTACTACCTTTGTGGAAGGTACTCTGCTGGTGAAAAAAAAAATGTTGAATGAAAATGTGTGATCTGGATGAAACAGGGGAAGTCATTTAAATGCAGTTTTGAGAGTTATCCTTGCCCCTCCATCCTAATGTTTGATGGAAGTTGTTGACTGTCTGGCCTGGGCCCACTAACTGAAGGGAAATGGTGCACCTATATTGAACATGTAATTTACTTGTACTCGTTTTTGTGATATAACTGTAGAAAGATCAGCTGAGACTACAGGAGGATAAAATGAGGGAACTTACTGATGCACTCAATAATAAAGTGGAAGAGAACAGGTTTGGCATGAAGTTGGTTGTAGTTACATACATGCATCTAGGGGGTTAGTCTCTTAAAGAAACTGGTGCTGGGTCAAAAGGTGTATTTCAAGATAATTAGGTTTTATCAACTGAGTTGATAATATGTATTGGCCACCATAAAGAGATTCTAGAATCTCTTTGCAGTGGTTTATTCACATCAACAGCACAGCTGATGAAATCAAAGTATCTTGTTACATATATCTGGTGATTACTTTCAGTTGTAAACCCCCATAATGTCTCTAGTAGTATTTTTGTTTTAGAGATTTATGTCTGATACATTTTATTTCCTTTGCAACAAGCAGGAAATTTAAAGGAATCACTTCTGCATGGGATCAACAACAACGGATGCAGCTGAGGTGAGATGTTAGCCATTTCTGTAGGAAAAAAGTTCTGACATGAGACAAGACCTAGAATTACTTTAACCCTTCAACTCCCAAGATCTCATAAGTAATTCTCCTTACTGTCTGCCAAATGATTCTCATTATGTTAGTTTGGAGAATTTGGTGTCAGATCAATTAGTAATCCCATAATTTATATTTTTCCTTATTCTCCTCACTTGTCTGTATGGTACTGTAAAGATAATAGTAAGGAGAAACTCTGTCTTGGTTACTTGTGGAAGTTTAAGGGTTAAGTTGACAGGGACCTGAGTCAGTCATGAGCAAAGATGTTGTACGAGTTAGTGGCATGTTGTTTCCAGTTGTAGTAAGAGTAAACTGGGTTTGGTGGAGATGTAACTTGCTCAGCAGCTAGGGGCAGTGAATCTTTTTATTGCATGAATTGAACAAACAAGAAAAGCTTAATCATATGATTTTAATAAATCACCATATGATTTTAATTTTTACTTAACCCTATAGCTCCCAGAAGTGATTAACATGTGATTTCATAACAAATTTACAAAGGAAGTTGTTTTTTTGATCTAACTTCAAATTCTCATAACAAATTTACAAAGGAAATGTGTAGCAGCTAGAGGAGAGAATTAATGATCAGATCTTGGGAGTTTGATGGTTAACAAAATAGTTGGATACAAAATGGTAAACAAATGGTGGCAGTCTAGGTGAGGAAAACACAGAAAGAGCAAGAAAGGATGCTTAACTAGAAGCATCCATGTGATAACAGAAGAGTATAATATGCTATTCTGTTATTTATCCTTCTTATGCAGCAGCCAGGATTGGGAGTGGCTCTGACTATTTCTCATGTAACATAAACATGTTTTCTTTACTTTGTGCCTTTTAGTGATTTGTCAAAAGAGAATACTCAGTTGAAAAACACGCAAAGGGAACTCCTTGAGAAACTTGAAGTGCAGCAGAAAGATTTTGATACAAAGCAAACTGTAAGTGGTGATCATGTTAAATTTAAATGCTTCTTGTGCTTGCATATGAATGCAACAAAAATCAAAGGGCTCTTGGAGCCAGCTCGTTCATGTTATGGCTAAAGTTTTTATTGATTTCTTGGACTCGTTGAAGGTACAGAGGTATATAGGAAAAGGAAAGCAAAAACACCACTGTGACACTAATCAAACAGGGACTGTAAGAGATAAGACTTTGGGTCAAGACTAACTCATTAACTTGGCAAAGGAGATTTCTTTCTAAATGCCGCACAAACTCTTCATTATGCAAGCATAGTGGAAAGTTTGTTTTCTCTGACATTTTGTTTATTTCTGGATCCTCAGATACTAATTTTACTAGTTACCCCATTATTGGTGTGAATAAAGTAGACCTCAGCATGGGAAGAGATAAATTTTTTTGCCCCAGTGGCAGCACAGTGGGTAGAGCAGCACATCAGTAAAGGATGGCCTCTCTAAAGGGACTGTCTCTTCAAAGTGACCACTTTCCTGAATCTTAGAAGTCAATTAGCCCTGTCATAATGACTCTTTGCCATTAATTGTATGTTATGTATGATATACATACACTTGTTGCTATTGTTGACAAAGAGTGTTATGTAATTTCAGGAGGTTAACCAGGCAAGAGCTAGAATATTCACATTGGAAAAAGAGTTAGATCATCTGAAAACATGCTTAGCGGAAAAAGACCGGCTATCAGATCAGGTACAGCAAATGTATTTAACATGACACCTTTAACTGTTGCCATCTGTTGCTGGTTTATTTTTTTTTATCACCTTTGCATTGCTAATGATGATGTTTTGCATCATAAATTTTGAATGACATTTCTTTGAATTCATTTTAGTATCCTTGTTTGCAGTGCTTTAAACTGATTATTAACTGTGTTTAGAATTCTGCTTTGGAAAGATGAAATGAATACTTGGATGATATGTTTCTATTTTTCGAAACGTCCTTGCTTTTAATTTGAATTTATTTTTTTTGTTAATTATCTAAATTGTATTGCCATTACTATTTTTTATTAGCATCATTTGAAAAAGGAAGTAAAAACCTGTCACCTTTGTAGATATGGGGAAATGTTTGGATACTGAACTAACAAGAAATCTTTAAATTATTAAAGGAGAAATTGATTTTCTTTGCTGGTAATTTAGTGTTAAAAACTGAGTTGAAAACGTAAATTGGCCACCACAAAGAGTAACAAAGCTGATGTTTCAAGCATTAGCCCTTTGTCAGAGCGATAGAAGGGCTAATGCTTGAAACTTCAGCTTTTTTTAACTCTTTGCGGTGGCCAATTTACGTTTTCAACTCAGTTTTTAACACTAAATTACCTGCAGCACCACAGTTTCTTTAGAAACTTACCCCTGATTTTCTTTGCTGCATGTTCAGATGGATCACCTTGTCAAGGAACACCTGATCATGGGAGAATTAAATCAACAACAGAAAGATACAATTAAGAAACTTAGTCTGCTTGAGGGACAGAATCCGGAAAGCAGCATGCAGTTACATAGTTGTCACAGGGAACTAGGAGGTAAAGATGTGAAAACTGTTTTTTAGAGCTCTGATACTGATAGTGTGGTACTGTGCAAAGACAGTTATTATTGGACTTTAGACATCTGATGATAATTGGGGGTTCATTAAATCACAAGATATTTAGAGTTTTTACTCAACAGGTAGATCATTAAGGCATCCCTAAATCAAACATGAAGGTCATGAGATTAAACAAAATGGTTGCCAACTTAAATAAAGAGAGAAAGTAATGATTGTTAAACAAATTCTCCTTGTCAGCACTATAAGAAGTGAGTAGAATATGCAAACTAATTATGGGGCACAAAAGGTTGAGTTATTAATTAAAGTATTTGAAAATGTTTTTAGACTATTGGTAAGGTACCTCTACTTGAATCCTGATCCAAAGGTTTTTGCATCTTATATGTATGTTTACTTTCAGCTGCCAAACAGACAGTGAAAAGGCAGAAAGCTGAACTTGAAGCTCTGAATGCAAAACTTGCAGATATAGAATCACTTACTAATAGCAAGGTACTCAGATATGTTGTGCCTAACGTTTTTGTCAACCTACAGTGAAAATGAGTACAGGAAGTTAAAGAAAGGAATAAGTTGTCATTCTTCTCCAACATAGTCACTTAATTTTTTTATCTATTTAATAGATGTTTGGATCCCTGAGGTTTTTTTGTCCAATGTACATTATATGTAGAGGCATTCATAAAGAATGAAGGAAGTACAGCAAGATACACATGTAAATTTAGAAACTAGTCAGTTTCAGCTGTCAAGTGTCATTGCTCTTTTGGATAATAGATCAGCAATCATCTTAATGTTCTCTCTCTTTTTGTTTGTTTTTATTTCTGACACTTGGTCAATACAGTTTTGATCTCCATCTTTGCAGGATATCGAAATCAGAGAATTAAAGAAATTCTCTGAACTGTTGAAAGGAACTTACAATGGAAAAATAGAGGTGATCGTTTTGAGAATGGTTCTGTCCTTGTTGTTGTTGTTTTTTGTAATTGTTTTGTGGCCGTACATTTATTTACATTAGATTTATTATAATTAATCAGCGATATTGTAATTATGATAGCTCAGCTGAAGATTACTTGCTATGAACAAATGATGTAAGTAGCAACAAGATTCAAATTCAAAGTTGATTCCTACACAATAATTTTCAAATGGGTAGTAACTTTAATTGAGATGGAAATTTTGGAAGGTTGTCCATAATATCTGTTTGCATCTGTTTGCAGTTTCTCCTGTTGTTCTTTGTTTTACAGGATTCATAACGAGACGTACACGTACTGTAGGAGGTTAGCCTTGAGCTTTCCAAAACTCTGGTCATGTAACATGGTCCATTTGCTTATCCAACCCTTTGTCTTAATGCATCTTTGAAAAGCCACACAATACTCATATGAGTAGATCTTTGAGCTTGTTAAACAATCACACTAAAAAATTCACTTTCTTTTCTTGATTGATTGGATTGGTTTGTGGATATTATAGGAAAAAGTTTCATGAAGATTTAGATATATGAAAATTCACATATTTGCACTGCGGTGGAAAGATGAAATTAGAAGATCCTCGCAGCTAAGAACACTACTGAAACTAGTAGTTGTAAGTAGGACCTGAAAAAAAAAATTTTCTGCACCGGTATCGCAGAGGTCATGGGTTCATATCCCGTACGGGCCTGAAATTTTTTTTTCAGGTCCTACTTACAACTACTAGTTTCAGTAGTGTTCTTAGCTGCGAGGATCTTCTAATTTCAAAAAGTTTCATGTTAATCACTTCTGGGAGTTAAAGAGTTAGTTAACTTTAAGAGATCTGTCATGAGCTTGGGACCAAAAAGTGTTCACACCTTCAAATCATGTACATGTAGTCACTTTTTATTTGACCTTACATTTTGCTTACTTTTATTACTCATTGCTTAGAGTTTGGAAGAAAAATACAATGCCCAAAAGAAGGTGATTCAAGCCCTAGAATCTCATATTTTACATGTGCAGTCAGTGGAAAGTGGAAAAAAGGAGGAAATGGAGCGCAACCCCTAACTATTCAACTTATTTAAGTAATTAAAGTGTTAGACCCTAACTTACTTAAATTAATATTTATTTTTTACCAGTAGGATATTCAAAACAGGTCTCTTACTGCAGCTTGTTCTCCAAGCTGACTGGTTAGAACGTTTACTGCTGTAGTTAATTTATCTCTGGATTTCCAGCACAGAGAAACTTTCATGTGTGTGTTAACTTAATTTGCCTTACTTACTGTGTAAGAGTCTACAACTGAGACTGCTTGATTTAAGAATCATATTCACTATTCTTATAGTATTAGTACATATACTGTAACTGGCCTAAGTACCAGGCCCTCTTTCACTGCACATCCTACTAAATTGAAGAGTTTGTTTGCTTTGAAATTTTCCCCTTCTATTTGCAACCAGAGAAAAAGTAAATAACTTGCTAGCCTTGTTTTCTTGGTCGGTACTGTAAGTTACAATGCAAACCTCAAACTTGGTTAGTTAGTAAGAAGAATGTATTCTTCTCTTCCCTAATGGTAGACCACTATTTTACATTTATGTTAATGCTTTTAATTCTGATCCAATTTTGTGATCATCCTGTAAGACATTGTATGTTAACTTCATAGGTTTGTTTTATAGATCAATATTTACAACAGGGAGGAGTTTGTGAAAAAAAAAGTAGCACTCCACCTCTGCAGCTTCCACACTTCAAAAGTTTTGGCAAGGACATGAAAAATTGAGGGTCTTCTTGAGGTTTTTGTAACAGCACAATTTTGAACTCTGTATAGTCCACACTTATATTTGTGAAACATGTTGTTATACTTATTTGTCATGTTCTTTCTTGCCAGTTTGAGGATAGTTTCAGAATGTCTTGCTTGTAGTTAGTTGCTTTTGCTGGCATTCATGTTACTTAGTGTAGGAGTGAAACAGAGCTTGATAATTTTATGTGTGGCACCCAGCAAATTACCCCTGCTTAACTTTTGATGAAGTGTTCTTTTATCATCATTACTTTCTTATATGTACAGGAAGAGCTTATTTTTGAGTCGTTAAATCTCATCATTCAGAGAAGTAAGGTTTACTTTTAAGGATAACAGGTCATCAGTCATGCTCCAGGAAACATCAGTCTACTTTCCATGTACATAATGGTGTACTTTAAGATTGTCAATTTTTTGCTCTGCAATATTTGAACAATGTTCTTGCAAAGCTTTTATAATGTGCATGGGTATTGTTCCTGGAAATTAGCTTCAATGGAAAGTGTGGAAAGAGGTGGAAATAGATATTATACTGTATTTGAAACTCTTTAGGACTCTGATACTTATTGTTTCAAAGAAAAGATAAAAAAAGAGCATTGACTTGAAAAGGAGAAACTCAAAATACTGTGCTGCTGCATGGAAACCTACTAAGTTATTTAGAATATGATTTTTATATAGTTAATAATGATGCAAAATTTTGTATTATCAGGAAAAAGCTGTAATACCATACAATTTGCCCTTCTTTGCAAAGAAGTGCTAAAAAAAATCCAAAAATTTTAGCTTTATATTTTTCTGCTTGGACAGTTTATTATTATTATCATTATTATTACTATTATTATTATTCAATTGTAAACAAGAACCAAATCTTGTACTGTTACTGACTTTATTTAACTTTTTCTTGGTCATCATTTAAGATTTTACCAGATAAGTTTTGAAATTTTTTTTTTTTGAGTAGCAATGATAACCCAGAGGAACTGAGGTGAGGGATTTCTAGATGGTAAATCACAGGTCATCACTTGATTGTTGGTGATGGGAAGGGAATTCTAGGTTTGTTAGGAATATTTATTTCACCATAAACAAGATGATGTCATTTGCTTAAAATTTGCCCCAGGCCTGTATTACACTACATTTTATTGGGCATTTACCACTAGTGAGTAGTGCTTGGGGAATGTTTCTTCATAAGCCTTGCCAAGAAGCAGGGCTGTCCTGAAATTGGCTCTCCTTCTGTGGGTATGGTCAATGGCTTCAGTTAATGTAGAATGGGTGGAGGATAGGACCAAAAATGTAATTCCATATAGTTGTGATTATTTTCAGTGGATTACTTCAAATAAAATTATTTTACTTTCAGATTAGTTTTTGAATTCTTTGCTTTCTTTACTCTGCATTTTTCCTTTAATCATCTTGGACAAAGATGGTTAAAGTAGGGTTCTATGTATTTGTCTTTATTCTTTCTGCTACATTGAAAAGGACTTATGTGGTACGCTGTATCTCTATTGATTTAATACCACCCCTCAGTAGAAACTTGGCCAACATCAATTAGAGTATGCTGTTCATGCTGAAGGCTACCTTCTCCTGGGTATACCTGAAAGTGTATATCCCTTCAGTCAATCCTGGAAATTTGGTTCACTTATAACCAAAAAAGCTTGGCTTGCAGCCTTTATTAGCCACAGAACAATTTAGTTAAGGCTTGTCCAACACAAACATCATGGTACACTGTATGTGATGTTTTCAAAAGATCTGACATCCAAACCTATCTCTTATGTGGGTCAGTCACCTCCCCTATACAATTCTCAGCCTTTTCATTCACACCCTAAACCATAACCTAACTACCACCCTGTACATTACCAGATTATCACAAGATATGTTACTTAAAGAATATGATAACTTTATTTTAGTCTTTTGGCTGGTGCCTTAATCGATTAAGCTGTTCCACCCACTCTTTCACGATGGCATGCTGGAATTTATCTTTAGTGCAATCAAAGAATTCTTGAAGCCATCCAGTTCCTGTCTTCCCTTCGCTTTCTTCATACTCATGAGCTTGTAAAATCATCTCAAATCGATCCAAATCTTTCACAAATCTGGCCTCCTCAGTCTCCTGGGCTTCGTATTCCTTCCATAATAGCAGAAATTCCTTCCCTGCTTCTTCCCCAACCAAACTCGATAAATGTTCCATAGTTTCCTTCTCACGCTTGTGTTTCTCTTCCTTGCTCACTCCATCGAATGGTGTAATATCGCCAACGATGCACTCTGCCATGTCATGAACCAGCGCTAGTTTAATACAATGATCTCGATTGATGTTTGAACCTTCTTCACGACTGTTCAAGAGAAAACTCATCACAGCCATTCGGTACATGTGATCTGAAACGCTCTCTGGCGATTTCACCCCGCGGTATACCCAACCAGTACGTTTAGTAGTTTTAAGTTTACCCACTAAAGTCATAAATTTCAGAATATCAGCCATGTCTATCAAAAAATCTAAGCTTATACTTGCTTGAAATTTAGCACAATATTCCGCGGGTTTCCAAACTGTTTTCAACGAGGCGTTCCTTTCTGGCAACAAGAAATAAACAGGAGAATGGGATCAAGCTTGTGCGTCGTAACATGTCTCATATATGAAGCTACGTGATAGCCGCTGAGAACCATCCTGTTTCAATTTTTAATCTCCTCGAGGAAGTAAATGCTTCGAGGGCTTAATTGTTGGTGTGGAAATAAGGGCATTTTCTTCAGGAGTAACAGTTTGAGGCATATTTTTCAGTCGAGAATTATGATGAATACGGGTGGAGAAGTTGTAGAGCGACTTGAAAAACGTGCAGTGGAAGCTGAAGAGACCATTTCCCTGTTGAAATCTCAGTTGTACTTTTTACAGAAAGCAACAGGTTAGAGATTGTGATAACTCATTTTGAAGATTCCGATACTAGTGTAACCTTCATGTGGGTTGACTAACATTATAGAGATTATGCACAGAACTTTAATTCAGAACTGTTATGTTGTCATGTTGCCCTTTAACTTTTAACATCCAGAAGTAACCAAAGAGAAATGTAACTTCTACTCTCAATTTCTAAAATATCAAGTTAAGTGGTGACGAGAAAAGACAAAATATCAGACAGATGATGTTTTCTGGATGTAGCACCAAATCCTGTGTACTACATTCTAAGGAAACTGAGGCAGGGAAAAGGGAGAAAAAATTATCAGATGCTTGAAGTTACAGGATTAATTATTTAACTCATTTTTGAGTTATTTTTATAACAAAAAGAAAAAAACTATGTTAGCATGTAGAGTGATATGTTGCTCACACCAACTAGATCACTGCATTTGGGTTTATATCTCACACCAATCAGATTTCCACATTAGGGTATGTATCTTGCACCAATCAAATTGCCTCATTAGGGTATGTATCTCACACCAATCATATTACAGCATTTGGATATCTTACGCCAATTACAGCATTTGGGTATTGTTTTTGCGCAAATGATGTCATTGAATAAGGGGGCTGTACACAAAGAATGACATTATCCAGAAATTTTGGGTTCATTTGATAAGTATAATGGTTTGTGACCTTCGCAAGAGCCTCCTCGATTGAGGTTGAGATCTGTCGGGATGTGAAAGGTTAACATTTAACCTTTTTGTATAATTTTTAAGTGAAAACATGTTTTTTCCGCACCTACCAAACAACTTGTATTCCATCACATACCATGAAAACAACATCCAAAGTCCTATCAGAACATACCCAATCATTTATTATTCAAGACTGCTATATAACTTTGGTTAGGGTCTACTAAACAGAGTTTCAGTTTGCTTTTGTTGGAAAAATTACCTGGAGCTATATTTTTGAGGCAACTAACTGTCCCATCTCAACCTGCCCAGCCAAAAAAAATAACTCTTGCATGCTACATATGCCTATGTTTTTTGTTTACTGTGTATCTAATGAATTTATGAAACTTCATTCATTAAAAAATTTACTGTAACTGACATCAACAGGACTAATTGTTCGTATTTTTGTAATTTTATCCTCAGCTTCATTTCTATTGCATTTTTCCTTGTTGGAAGGATAGTCCTGTGTCACAATTAGTGTTAATGTATTATTACCCTACTTGCATTTTGCCAAATATTAACCCTTTACACATTAACATCAGTAAGCAAGTTATCCATGCTGTTTTCTATGCATTTCCTATGTTCTAACAATCAAGAGCTTCTTGAGTTTGGGATGAAATTAACAATTACTTGCCAAAGGTGAAGTGATTATTGTTCAGTAATTCCCAAGACAAAGTTTAGGGGAGTGTTCAATATTATGACATAACTTAGACACAACATGTAGTCTGATTGGTCAAAAATCTATTTTAAATTTGCCTGTGTACCCATAGGGGAAATTTGAAACATCACCCCATCCTGTGAAATGGCACTCCACAGGGCAAATTCCCAGATTTAATTTAGCAAAGGCCTTTGATTCGGAGGAGATGAAGAGGACACTTTAAACACCAAAAAAAAAAATGACAGAGATTTTATTTTTCTGACAGTATCAAATTTTCTATGTTAATTTTAAGTTTAACTTATTTGTTGCTTAGTACAAGTGAAAGAACTTCAGAAATTCTTGAATAGAAATCCATTCTAAAACCATTCTGTTTCAATTGTTTTGATAACTTGTATCTGGATAAAAAGTCAGTTTCCCTTGAAGTGGGTAGGTTCATTTAATTCAATCACCAAAAACTTCTTATCTTTCTGTTGAAAAGTGTTACTCCAAACTTAATAGCATCTTTTGTGCTCTGTGGAATTGAATTTTCTTTGAGTATTAGGTTCATCACTTCCTCAGAACACTAATATTTATCACACCTACTATAATCACCTGGTATGAGGTGGCTATATTAGCAATATATGATGCAATCCTCAACCAATCAGAGCATGTGCATCTCTATAATCACTGGAGCAACTATGCTAATTTCCTTTACTCTCATGACATTAGTGTTTGATTTAGGGGTGATACTGATGAAATGAGAAATGAAATGCTCATCACTCCAAGAGGTTAAGGGATTAAAAGCAGCTTTACTAGGTACTAGTACCCCAATGTAACATGGGAAAAAAATTAGAGACTCCTATATTTAACAAATATTTAATTCATGGTAAATAACCTATCACAATTAATTAATGCAAAAGCAATCAAACTACTGTAGCCTATATTTATCTGAAAGCTTTAGGTCATCATATCAAGAACACCAGATTTTCAATTGAAATTGTTTTCTTAAACTACCTCTGCATTTTAATTCCCTTTTAGAGAAGAAGACGAATTCATTGGGATGTAAGGTCAGCTGATAGAATAATTTGTGATAAATAATTAGAGTCAAATGGTGATTTCTGTACCACTGTATTTTTCATCAACAATATCACCCATAAAAAGAAAGTGATTTTGCAAGAAAGCACAGCCATCTTAGGACCAATCAATTGATTAGGATTGGAAATCAACACAAACACAGTATGCACTCCTTGAACAGTTGCTGAAATAAGTCAAACTTTGCTCAAAAACTAATACTAGGATCAAAACCTCCCCCTGTATTAAACTGGACTGAGCCAGTTTGTAATGTCATGATTTTTGTTTGTGTTTAAAAAAAAATCTGTCTTTTTAATGCAGCAGAGCTGTTTATATTATTTTGATATTAGACTATGGAGCTCTTTTTTATACTTTGTGCCCACCAGTTTGAGATTCTTTTCTAAAGCTCTGCTGCTTTTTTGTGAAGGATATTTCAGCTCTCAAACAAGAGAATGAGCACTTGAGGCAGGAAGTTGACAAACTTAAAGCAGAGCTGGAATATTGGGAAGTGAGGAATGGATGTAAGTACAGAGTTTCATATGCATGTTTTGCATTTTTTCTTTTGAAACTGTTCTATCACTGAATTGAAATTGGCCATGCTGGCTTTTTTTTTTTCAGTGAAACAAGTTATTCTCCCAGGTAAGGCGCAAGGCACATCTTTCATTGAACAAGAAAAAGTTGAAGCACTTGTCGCTGAACAAGCAGAAGTGAGACCTGAAAAAGCAAAAGAGGAGAAGCCAATGGAAAAGAAACAGAAGAAAGAGAAAGCAGAGAAAAAAGGAAAGGAGAAACCAAAAGCTGTAGAAGGTGCTGAATGACAGTAGATGTACATGTTTATAGCCTACATGCTCTATTTACTTTTGTTTTTTATTTCTGTTTCAAAAATTATTTTAGTGTTATCTTTGCAATTGGAATTTATTTGTAGAGTGCCCCTGATGAGTTTGGTTCAACCAAACACATGGTTGTAACAAAGGCCCCCTTAGTGCAAAGGAAAGTGTAGTAAGGGGTTCACATAAAGTGAAAACAAGCAGACCAGTGTACCTAGAACGCAGAGAAATGCGACTGACTGAGTAACGCAAGTTCTGGGGTCAATTCCAAAGAAACTTAAAGCAAAAGCAATCTGGATTTTTTTTCAACATTCAGTCGAAATTGCTTGACTAGTAGTGTTTTTTTCTTTTAAAGACTCTGCCAAATACATTTGTTCAATTTATTGCGGGTCGTTTCTTTTTATTCGATTAAGCAAAACATGAAACATTTCAGACAAAGTTTTACTGAGAACTTGGCTATTTGGTGTCATTTTATTGGTATTATCAGGAGAATAATTCAAAGATAACGAAGAGTCCTGAAATACTTGAGTACATTAACCATATGCTTCAAGCAAACACCTTGACGTAAAAGAGAGTTAGTTTGGATGTTTTAATTCGTGATTAACGTAGAGCAAGGGTAACATTAGTAAGCATATTCTCCATACTGTTCTCTATACATTTCCCTAGCTAGGTGCTGACAAGTAGAATTTGTTTGACAGACCAAAGCTTCCTTAGTTGGTGATCATTTCCTTTATTCTCCTGACCGTAATGTGTGTCTCAGGGGTGATATTGTGAGGAGAATTTAGATGCTGGTTACTCTTCGGGATCAAAGGGTTAACGAGGCAGTCGAACTTGTTCTTACACTTGGCAAGCTCCTGAAATGGACTTACTGACTAAATTACTTATTTTATGTTAATTTCAGTTTTAAGAAATGTTCCAGATTTTCGTAACAATTTTTCATTTTAATGAAGTTTTGGGTATTCTGCAATTTAGTTTTTAACTATGATTAATTGTTGTCTTGAGGTTATTGGTGTGAAATTCTTTTTCCCATGTTTGAATTCAGAAGCGGCCAACACTGTGGAACCTGATGTGTCTCGTATTGACTTCCGTGTGGGTAAAATAACGTCCGCCAAACGTCACCCTGATGCTGATACACTGTTTGTGGAAGAAAGTAAGTAGTCAGTGTCCTCCTGCGTGCCGGCTGACGGCTACCAAAAGTGGCTCCCCCGATTTCTGACCCGCTTTTTCTTTTTGACGAAGTTTTGCTGAAAATGTGTCGCGTTGAACAAGGGGTTTCAATACCTTTTTTCAGTTTCGGCTCCCGATCGTGTGATAGGCGGCTGTGCCCGAAAAGGTGCCGTAAGGCGAAACCCAAACACGAGAGCCTGCTAGCAGGCTAAACGGACAGCGGTAGGCCAGCTTTTAATGAAACCCTTGGTTTAACATTTGTTCTGGTGTACTTTTTTTTTTCTCAGTTGATGTTGGAGAAGAAAGTCCCCGAACAGTTTGCAGTGGCCTTGTAGGATCAGTGCCTCTAGAGGAACTTCAGGTAATGTACGCAGTAGGTATGCGCCGTGGTCAGTTGTAGATCACATATGACGTCGAAATGTGGTGTGAGGAATGTCTCATGAACAGACGATTTTTGCGATCTTTAGCAGAATGGAAACCCCGAAAATTAGATTATTTTTTATACATTTAACATAAAAAAACCAAGCAAACAAACACACAAACAAAGTTGCCTGTGCGCCATGTTGGATGAGGCATTAAAAGCCATATTTGTGTACTCCTATAGACCATGGGCAACGACCAATCACAGCGCACACAACATTCAGCTCATCGTGTAACTACTATCAGAAAAGATTGGTGCTGCTCAGTGTGCAGATCAGTCAAAGCCAACTAAACTGTTTAATGTGTAAGGCTTCTAAGAGGAATTATAACATGGCTAGTAAATTTGTCTCATCAAATTCAATTGCGCGAGCGTGCTTCATATTACTCAAGAAGCTAGAGTTGCTCTCGGCTACGCCTCGAGCAACTCTTACGCATCTTTCGTGCTCTCCAAACTTCCCGCGTACTTCATATCTCGATGAACGCACGCTGACGTATGAACCAATTGTTAAGTGGTTTTCCTGAGAGGATTTTTTTTTCAATATTTTCGGTACCTCACGAAAACAAAAATTCGAAGAAAGAGGACAAAAGGAACGATGATGGTTAATACAAGGAAAGATTGACGTGGATTACAAACAATGAACTTCATTAATATCGGCAAAAATTTTCAAGATGTTCTAAGCTTGGCATAGCCACTTAAAAACTGAAATGATATAGAAGAACACTATAAAAAAAAACTTGAGAAGACATGATGGTACTGTAAATTGCAATATAAAAAGAGGATGGCTGGGTAAGGGGAAGACTTCCAAGTACGCATTCAAAACTAACAGCTCCATTTGAAAGCTTCAAATAGCTTAAATTATGGCGTGAGTCTGATGCTCAATTTGGTTTTCACACTGTCGCTATCTTAAGATAAAATCACTTTCGTTACCTGCACTGCATAATAGCTTTCAGTCCGAGAGAGCACCTGTAGTACCTGGGAGAACATGTAGTAGCTGATACAAAGACGCATGTCCGGGGTGAAGTCTAATTTCTCCGTTTTTGCTCTTTTAGGATCGTGTTGTAATCGTGATGTGCAACCTTAAGCCAGTAAAGTAAGTGAGTTCGTATATCGAACACAATACTGCATGGAAATGATGAAATAACGATTGGTGAAACATGAAATATCCAACGGACAACACTCTTTTTTTGACAAATTTTCAAAACCAATCCAGAATGTCTGAGTTTGCCTTTGCATAATTGATTGGCTTAATAAATTAAGGGAACCAATGACTTGATCAAATGTCAGACGAAATCAAACCTACATTGGAAGGTAAATCTATTATTCTGCGATGTTGTTTGTGATTTTAGAATGCGCGGTATCACGTCGCAAGCCATGGTGATGTGTGCAAGTCCCGATGACAGATCGTCGTTTGAACTACTGAATGCGCCCGAGGGCAGCGTGCCTGGCGACAGGGTCACATTTGATGGCTTTCCAGGGGAACCAGACAAGCAGTTGAATCCAAAGAGAAAGGTATTTGTGGCCTGCAAGTCAGGTTTGATAGTTTTATAATTAACTCATTGGATCTGATTTTGTTTTTGTTTGTTTATATTTTTTGTAGGTTTGGGAGCAAGTGAAGCCTCACCTTCGTACAAACGATGCAGGGATCGCATGCTACAAGGATACTCCTTTCAGTGTATCTGGAAAAGGTGTTTGTACATCGAGCAAATTTTTTAAGGCACCCATAAGTTGAAGCCGTGGATAGAAAAACGATGCAACCTGACGAAATAAAATCTAAGATTTCTGAAATGAAATAAAGGAAGCTCTTGATTCATCAAACATCTTTGAAATAAACTGTTTTCATAAAAGAAAATTCCAACCGGTTCTACTGCTAATAAAAGTGTAGGAAAAACTTCATTCTTTTGGTCGATATCTAATCCTAGAGAACCATATGTTAGCTTTGGCAAAATTGACGTAGCGGACTTGCAAAATTACCTAGCGTGTATGTTGGTAGTTGGTTTAAGGGCATTTTCTTTTTTAAACGGGCTTAAGTATATATCCACCATAGATTTTTATTTTCCCGCGTACCGTAAGATATCTGGGTGCCTTAAAGGATACGCACTCAGTTCGATAGTGATGAAAGAAAAGTAAATGAATTCAAATGAGTTTTTTTAGCAAAATATTCTTTTTTAATCATTGAATACACTTAAATCAGTTGTTTTTTCACTTTTTCTTAAAACACAATAGAAAAAAAAATTAATTATTTCTTTCCCTCTAAGTATCAAAAATCGAATTCAAATCGATCATTTGGTTATTTGGCCTGTCACTCACCGCGATAATTGCTCAGAAGGTTTTATGAAATTTCTTATTTTGAGTTGAATAACTACTTTTCTAGTCTTCGTTGTTTCAGTTCGGAGATTGTGAGTGTTTAATTTCTATGCGCGGTCGTTTCGTTTCATTCGTCTTGTAGCGTCAATAACAAAGTTTTAAAGTAGTCATCTAGAAGAGATAAATGGTTGAGAATGTTTGCCACCCCAAAAGTGTGCGACGCAAGCTCAAATGTATGAAGTAGATCGTCCTTTCTACTGTCTTCGATAGTCTTATGCAGCTCTTTCAGCGAGTTTCTGTAGAAAAGTTGAAACAAGAGAAGCAAATCAATATGTCAGAGTTTAGCCACAGTATGTTTATATTATTTATCGTTTTTAAGGATGATAGAGGCTGAAAAACGGGAAAAGCCATCTCTAATCATACCAAGCTAAGAGAGAATCAAACGGAGGGACCCTTAACACGATCCTAGATTGAATCATAGCAAAGATTTCTGAGAATAAACACTCTACGCTATCCCGGGTTGCTGTTAGTACGATATGTGGTTGCTTTGAGACAGACCCAGGTCGGTATTTTTAACGCCGAAAAAGACAAACGATATAGGCCACAAAGATTTCAAAAACAACAAAATTACAAACTCGAATATGTAGGACGGAATGATAGTAATTGATGATCAAGGACATGATTTTAAGCAAGAAATGCGGAACAAAGGTGCTTATTTGAGTGGATTTGCCATTCCGGCCTAGCTTTTGGGCTTTTGAGTCTGTGTAACATGAATAAATTGAAGAAGTTTTGAACCCTTCTACTCGAGCCAGCCTGCATTTCGATAAGGGTTACCTAACAGAAAGGCTTGATCCGACTTGAAAATTTTTCATGTAAACGCTGATAAACATTTGAACTAAAAGGGTGACCCTTTGCGGTTATTCAAACCGGGTAATTAAATAATAATAAATTTTAGCTCTTTATAGAAAAGCGCAAGTATCTTTTGATATTTTGCAGTGTACCCGATTCTCATCGTTCGAGCAGTGTTTGATATCTGATATGTTATACACGGTGTTTCTTTTATATATGATACAGCACAACTGGCTGAAGATTTGCCTTGCCATCATGTAACGTACGTTTCCAGTTTCAAATTTAACCCCTTGAAATACCAGTAGCATTCTACAAAAGGACGGTCCACCCTGAACCGTCTCTGCGATGATTTCCAGGTGAGCGATGAGTGTGATACAAACAAGACATCATCTTTTTGTTGAAACGGTTGCTCCATACGATGTCATTTTCCCCTATTCCAATAACCAAATCTAAATACATTCCCTAACTGTCTCAGAAATGCTTACTGTTAATACTTGATCGATTTGCTCAACGATTTGTTACACTGACCTTGTTATTTCAACATCCACAATTCTTCTTCTGAGTTTGAGTCTGCAGTCCTCACAGTTCTCTACCTGACAGTCGTCGTCCTTATAAGCGTCGACCGTTTTACGAGCCAGCTCTGTAAGCGGTAGATAGTCCCTGTTCATCTTCTGTATTCCTTCGGCTAAGACTTGCGCCTCACCCTCGCAAACGCGCGAAAGAATAGTGGGGCGCGAACGATTAGCGGTGACGATGTTGTTTTTGTCCAGGAGAACCCTCCCCGATGACTTGGCCTGTCTCACGTATGATATCATTTCAACTCGTGTTAGTGTCTCCGGCGGGTTCATCCGTCTTTTAAGCTCTCCTAGGCTGATGTTAAACTTTGTTTCTTTGAATCCGGGCAGTGAAAGAAGCCCGTTTACCTGACATACCGCGGCGTCGTCATCACGGGCAGGTATATCTTCAACACCGTTTGGCTTGCGAACTGGAAACGGTTCTTGATCGGAAACAGACTGCGGAAAGACAGAACTGTTATCGAATTCGTTTCTCATTTGTTGAGGCTTTTTCTCAGGGTAGCTAAAATAATCCATGTAGTTTCCAATAGGATTTCTTTCTTCTTCATCATCGTCATCATCCTCTATCGTTTTCTCCGCTAAATTCTCACTGTCGCATCTTTGGTCGCTCTCTTGTTCAGAATCGCTCAGATTTTCCATCCGCTTTTCGAGTCTTCCTATAGACGTAACTTCATCATCATCTCCATGTGCGGTCGAGTTGTGATTGTTCTCGCGTTTCTTCATTTTAATGACTGTTTGCAGTTCTTTTTTCGAATCTGAAGTAATAGCCCTTTTCCTGCCATTTGTGACGGCTTTTACGATCCTGTTTAGACGCAGAATCTTTGCTACGTCTTGGGGACAACGACGCAATTTCTCGGGAAGAACCTCTGTGTTATCATTATCTATTTGGCTGCTGATCCCTTCGAAAGTGTCATCTCCAAGGTCAGGGGACATTCGTTCTTCGCCATCAACGATTTCAACGCCTGTCTCTTCCCTAAACTTAGTGCTGCAGTCTTGGTTTCTTGCTTTTAGTTCTTCATGGCAGAAGATGACAGGCCGAGCTGATCTTTGTTGCTCAATGCAGCCTTCCCTACCACAGAAACAATAAAAGTTTCCTGTCCTGTTAAAATCGGTTTCATCCGCGTCCTTGAATCTCTCCAAATTGTCTTCGTCAACGTTGTGAGTAAGGTTACCCCTGGGCAGAACGTACGATTTGTTTGCGCGCTCCAAATTGTCGTGGCCCAGCGTTTGTGGAGGTGGGGAACGTAGTTGCTCAACAACGGCAATGTTGGACTGCGCCTCTCCGTAAGAATACTCGTGAGTGCGAGCCCTTTTAGGAGACAAAGGATGCGAATGATTGACTTCTTTACCGTTGCCGAGAAACCAAGACTCTGACGATCTCCTCCTCCCTGCGTTCACCACCTTTCCCTCTTGTACTCTTCTGCAGCGGATCTCGTTGTACTGCATGAAAATGGTTTGCTCTAATTTACGCGGTTTAGTCTGTTGAGAATGTGGTCGCTTCCGGTCTCTGTACCACTGGTATTTCTTCCACACTGGCTCCTCGTCCTTCCTGTGGACAGCGCCCTGTTCTGAATTTATTCCAGTTGCGGAGACCCCGTTTTGATACGTTTTGGGGTCGTTTGGCGATGAGCCATTCACTTCAGGCCCTTGCTCTTCTTGGAAACTATTGGAGGTATTCTTGCTTCTGGGTTCACTTTCATTTAAGACTTTTGTAACACCGTTTCTGTAAAGGGAAGGCTCCCTATGACTAACCTCGTACAGAGAGGACTGTTGCCACTCGTGGCGCAAAAAATCCTCGTTGCTTCGTGCTCTAAAACGTGGAACAACAAAATTTTCCGGGTAACGTGAAACCATGGTAGGAACTGAACCATAATGGCTGTAAACCCTCTTAGAGGTGCAAGGAAGATCATCAGCATGTACAGTCGAACCTTGATGGTTTTTTAGCGCTTCGAAATGTAGATTTCTCATTCGTTCGTCCGGTCGGAACAACCGAGAACCCGGTAAGGGTAAGGTTGTGTTTGAGACGACAATGGCCTCAGAATGCGACCTCCTCTCAAAAAAGGGAGAATTTGGTGAACGAGCCGCGCTCCCAGGTGGGGAAACATCTTCTGAATATTCTTTTTTCATGTTGTCTGGCGAGAACTTCTCGGTGAATTGTTGGGGTGATGCATTATCCTGGGGCGATTTACTTCGCCTGTTTCCTCTCGGCGAAAGGCTCCTGGCTGAGCGAGGCGGCGTTGTAATGTTGTAGTTTTCGTCTGTTTCTTGTTTTATAATCCGGTGAGGATCAATTTGCGAGAAAGACACGTTCCCTAAGAAGAGAGAAACAAGAAAAATTAACTAAAACTCGTTCAGTTATATGTTGGGACCTCGCAGAGTCCGTGCCAGGCCTGTGAACTACAAACCTTAACTGTCCAGTTGGTCGTGTGTTCATAGTAGACCCATACTGAATTCCCTAAATAATTTCTAATAGTAAGTTTGCTTCCCGGCCACCGCAATCAGACAAAAATTTAGTTTTCATTGATGTTACTTTAGGATATGTGAAATAAGTTTTAACAAAGACGAATATTCGGTTAAGAATATATGAAAGTCATATCATATCATTCACAAAGACGAATATTCTTGAATGAAAAAAGAAGGATGAGTAATTTTTCTCTTGTTTTTGATTTTGTTGTTTTTATTACAGTTTTAACAATGGGAACACACCAATACTAAGGCACGTTTATTATTTTTCTCACGATGTAATATAGTTACATGCGTTGGCGGGTTTGTTTTTAGTCGTCAGGCAATCCTCTCCTCTATGGAGCAAATGAATGACGCACGTGCTTGAAAAGTGACTGTGATAAATTGTCGTTTGCTTTGGCTCTGAGTTCATATGTCTCAAATTAGGCTATACATAGCCCATGACACTTTTTTAAGCAAGATTGTAGTAATGATATCGTGCTTCTGAAAATTGGATTCCGTGAAGAGCCATAAGAAGACCATTAAAATCTAATTATGTCCCCGATATCATGGAGCGGTTCGTATCTCATGAGATTTTACGAAACCCATGCCATTTGATTCCTAAGCGCCTTAAAAATACACCTTTCAAAATGCACTCTCTTTAAGTGTACTCTCTGTAAAATTTAATAAAAAGGGTATTAAATTATACGAATAATATATACCAATACCAATAAATTGATTCGACGAATTGCGCAAACATGCGTGTTTATGTCCACAATTTTTGATAAAAATAACAAAATGCTGTATTGTCGTTCGAATGCGTAAAATGGTTCGTTCCCTATTTACTATATTTATAAAACGTTTATATAGTTAGTCTCGGTAATAGTGAATTGATTTCCATATGAGGCAACTCAACCACTTCAAGTCAACAACTGATCTAAATTGGAGATACTGAGGCTAATACGTCCGTTAGATCTGCAGGAAATTAAGGTTGTCAAAGGCACTTTGGTTTCCTTAGCAACCTGGCACCTTTTCTCGTGACTTAAGCCCGTGGATCGTATTTTTTATGTTTGTTTTCCTGAATTTTTTCCATATTACGTAAAACTGATATAAGTGATATTGTCCCGGGAAAAATATTTTGAAAGAATCAAACCAAGATTACATTTTGGGTTTGAGAAGCGTAAATGAGTGGGGATGTTACCTTGTAGCCAGTTCAAATCTACAAAATTTAAGGAGCAAGTTGCGGTTCAAAGTAGGTTTAATTTTCTTTTTTGTGAAGAGCAAAGCTTAAATGAGACATAAAACTTGTGCAGGTAGCTAATGTGTTGACTTTTCCTTCACGTCTGGTCGATAAGGGGAATGTAAGACTTTTGGAGAATCTTGACCACTAAAGCTAGATAAATAAAAATTAAAGCTATGTTTTGCGTGATTTAGAGTATTAAGGAATTTCGATTAGGTGCATTCCAAAGGATGGAGACATAATATTTTCACCTTTAGACTTGATAAAATCTACGTTCTTCGTAATTCAACCGTGGTTTGTCAAGGAAAAGTCAAAGGTCGTGTGAGTACATCTGTGATATTATTTGAGTAAAGTGATGTGTTAGAATCTATTATTATCAAAGACATGTGTTAGAATCTTTACGAGTCTCAAAGAGATGGGAGTTGTCTGATCCAGTGCCTCTCGAGCTTAATTCAAAGGAGACATCATGTCAGTTGTAAAAGCTAGAAACTTGCCAGTTGTGAACAAAATACTTGCAATCTAAGTCTAGTTTTATACATCGAAAGGCAATTAGTTTGTAGCCGACTTAAATGGTACCGACCTACACGTTGTTTTTTAAAAGTGGTCCCTTATCTGGGGGTCATTATGCTATAGTAACGTGAGAGCAAATATTAGTGGCAAAGCGTACATCTGTTTGATTAAGACTAGACGAAACGAGCTCAGCAAAATATGATAAATTATCACATTGATATGGCAACTGAAGCTACAGTAGAGTACAGACTGTCAATATTGACAAGAAATTTTGCTTAAAACCCCACGACCCATGGATCACAATTCACTGATCTGTGTTGTCAAAAATGTTTTTCTTGTTCGCGTTGGCTTTGGCTTCTGCTGTAAATTCCTTGGTTTCAAGTTAGATTTTTGTTCCTCTTCTTGAAAGTCAGGTCTCCTACTTACGTAGATGCAGATACATTTCACAGTGCATTACATGAAGGTTCAAGCGAGACTGAAACAGAAGTCTGCACGATAAAGGTGAACGATATATTTCAGACGTGAAGTTTTTAAATCAGATTATTTTAAAACCTTGACGATAACCTGTCGACGATGTGTATATCATATGCTATTAAATTTAAATTACTAATGTTGTGAAAAGCGCACACGATCATTCCATTATGTAGTATGTGGTTATTAGAGAAGGAATCATTGTTATTGGCAAGCCTATGTAAGAATGTGTTCTAGTTTGTGGCACCATAGTTAAGTTACACGGCATGGGAAAATTTAATCAAGTTCGAGATCCTTAAAAAGGCCAACAACTGAAAACTGCTTTGAACGAAGTGAAATAAGTTGTTTAAGGGTGTTTCTTTACCTCCCTTTAGACTTGTTAAACTTGTTAGCGAAAACAGCTATTGCCTATATATCTACAGAAAAACACTTCTGCAGAGAATTCAATGCATACTATCAATTTATCTTCTGAAATTTGTTTAGCAATGAAATGAATCTGGTCAAAATTAATCATTAAAACTGTAGCTTTAACTGAAAACAAAATGTGCGTGATCATTTTACGCTTCGTTAACATGGCCTTCTAATGCCTAGATAATGGAAGGCTTACAATTTCTATTTTAAGCTTTGTTTTCCATTGTGAAAAAGATACGCCAAACTTGATGAAGTAATGAATTCCTGAGACAAAAAGTTGCCTCAAATGCGATCAGGCAGTATGTTCACAAATCTTTTCTTCTTTTCTCGCACTATAATTCCAGTTGAAGAATATCTCTGCTTTCGAACGACTGGAAACTTCTCTTCGATTTTTTATTGAATCGGTTGGTTATAAAATGAAAGGAAAATGATCTTTTATGGCTGAGACAAGCTGTATATAAGTACTCAGTTTAGCGTATATTTAATTCATGTAAAAAGCTTCACTACTTAGACAGCTGAATGGTAACAAGTGATTTCCGTTTAAGAGGCTTCCAGTGAACGAACGTGTCGAGTTCAAGCTAGCATACAATGAATGTCTTCGTGATTAAGATTTATGGCCTTGTAGGAAATATTTGGAGCCATAAGATTAACCAAAATCACGGGCGAACTTTCCAGAGGAAAAAAATAAACAGCTCTTTGATTTATTATCTACTTAACAGTCGTGCGGAAGCCAGATATTTTGCTAGAAAAGTGCACAATTCAGCCATGTCCTTCATTTCACGACAATCTAGAATATATAACTTAAAACGGTACCTTTGGAATTTCATTACCCTTTCCAGTCTAGATCTGCTTTTCATGTAAACATGTTTACATAGAAAAGCGGTTGTTTTTTTTTTTTGTGCGTGTTTTTTTTACCGTGGAATAGCTTAGAATAGCAAAATTTTAGGAAGAGTAGTATTTGTATTGTCTTCAGATGTATTTGACGGGCTTCATCACGAACTCACCATAATTAATGGAAAAAGACTGAGATGCAAAATGAGTAAACACTCGTTTCTTATTTTCCAATTCGATAGGTCTTTTATTAAATTGCAGTGAATGAGAATGTGAACGTGACAGAGGAGAAATTGTTCAGGGAACCGAAAAACGCCTCAGGCTTTTTATTACCTCATGCGGTATTGTGAATTTTAAAGCCCTAATTTCGCTTTCATCATATTGTGCACAAGTTTGGCACATGACGAATGAAAGCAATTAAACGACTATAGCCTCCTTAAGTCAGCCATCCCTAGCAACAGTTTTTATTTGAGGAAATTTGAGTTAAGTTCTCACGAGGGTTGTGCTTAGCTGAAAAGGAAGAAACCAGCTGGCCGACTAGAGCCTAAAGCTAACTATCTGCCGCTCGAACGTATCCGCCGGTCACATTATCACGTACGTAAAAAAGCTTTTAATTGGTTCAAATTTTCTGAATCACTATTTCCCTACCTTGTGCAGTTTCATCTACAAAGCTCGTTTGTTGTCTGACAAGGTCAAAACTTTCATCATTTGAAGCATTTTTCTGTAGCTGCAGAGAATCCACCTTCCCTAAAGCCCCTGTACAATACGAGAGGTGACTTTCTCTGTCTGTCTTCACCCTCACTGCCATCTTTCCTTGAAAAACAGTTTGCGAAGTTAAACTCCTTTCGTATGCTGCAAAAAACGCATTTCATCCAGTGAGCTACCACTGACGGAAAATTGTTATTAGAAATTTTTAAGCCGCGTCCTTTGTCAGCGCGGGACGTTTTGACAAAAGGACCTATTTAAAATGCTCAATTATACCTCACTCCCCTTTATTCAAATTTTACAAGTGACAGTCGGGTATTGTGTGTAAAGCAGGCCTGATTATGCTAAATTGGCCGGCAGCTCTTAGTCTAGAAGCCGTTTGCATATTTAACCCCCAGGAGACGTTTATTATATGTGCCTTACCAAAGTGTGTGTCTTTATAGCCTCGGGAAATACAATGCTATTCATGGAGTTATATTTGGTTGTCTACACGTCCTGCTGGGCGGCTCGCAAGCTAACCAGGGCGAGTTCAAGGTGGCTTGTGCAAACAGACTTGCTAGGTCCTTCCACTCATTTCGATAATTATTTCAAGCAAAAAGTGCCTCTAAGTTAACCTATAAAGTTGAAATCGTAAGTCTGAGTGAGCAAAAGACTTCGCGTAATCTTTAACATTTTTTGTGGTAAACTACGCTATTTTTACACGGCCTTTTGTGGAGATGATGATATTTTTCAAATCTGTTAGATGTCCTATTTTCCTCGCCGAAAAAATCTGACAATTTCTAATCTTTAAGCTCTGTGAGGGCTACTTCAAACCACTTACGTTTGACTGCTTGCTTTCTCTGAAAATAAAATAGATACTGTACTTGCAGTAAAAGTTTGGTGCTGTTTTGCTGTTTGGTTATTTATAGAAAAGAGATACAAAGCATCCTCTTGTTGTAAGACACAATATTTTAAAGAAAAGTTCACTATTGCTCTCATGTTACCATGGACGAAAGTCCTACTTATATTGACTAACTTTCGTACTTAGAGGGACGATGTAACTATCCCATGATATAAGGACATTAATCAACAAACGATCCATCTTGACCAGCGCTAGAACCTTCTTCAAACTCTAAAACATCTTTTTTCATGTTAATGCATGAACGCTGGCATGTTATTGATATCTTGCTTGAGGCTATCTTAAAAACGTTGATCAAAAATCTATTCATTCAGTTATTTCTCTAAAAGCTTCGCGAGGCTGATCCAGAAAAAAGAAAAAAATTAGTGCTCGAAGTTCTCCATTTTAATTAAAAGTTTCCATTCCGACGCATTTCAGCTTAAAGATCTCTGAACATGGAATCTGTAGACCAAGGATTTATTGAAGTAAGTTATAAATTTTCTGCGCCTTCAGGCATGTCAGCCTTTTTTAGACAAGTTATTGGCATTAAAATGCTAGCACTCTTAACATCTCAATAGGGGCCCAAGACACCAAGGCGTCAAACTAAAATTGGTGTCATTGCCCAAGTAGATACTCTTTAATCGGATCAATCAAACCATGCACGCACTTGACAATTAATTTTTCTCAGTGGTTCAATGTGTTTCTTCGTTCAACTTTCAGTTTTCGACGCTGAACTCATCAAAGCCTGCCTGCGGCAATTTATTTATCGTGATGCTATTCCTAACTCCTGTTCTTTACCCTGGATCTGTTCTGCTAAGAACTAAACGAACTAAATGCCAAAATAAGAAGAGAAAGATGTGGATGGGAAAACAAACTAACTACAGAGAATGAAAAGAGCGTCAATACAAAAGAAGAAAAATAACTGATAGGCCATGCAAATGCATCAGAAACTTCCGTAATCAACCACGCAAAATAATCAGCCCTGTGGAGGTGGTGGCATTTGGCGAACAAATATTCGATGTTCGTTCACCTCCTCGTTAAAACACTATGGTATTTTTAGAGCAAGCCGCCAGCGTTTCCGAGGCACCGTGATTGAATGTTTTGGTAGTGCCCACAGCATTTTCAGCCGGGTGCATGGCGCACACCTCATGCTCTTGAACCGGAACATGACCAGTCTCTCTCTGCGACCCTTTTTTTAAACCTCTTTCCATTCACTCACTGAGCTTTGAATAATTTGTTATTTCTATATTTCAAGAAAATCGTGTTGTCTGGTTGGGTTTCATCGGAGTTGATGTAATTTATTGGGTCACCTCAACACAGAAATGTTAATGGTTATTCAGACAGGTAGCATAGATTAGTTTGTGAGAAATTCTACGTTAGGTTTTGATTGACTCTCTCTGTGACGTCCTTTCCATATTTGGCAGGAAAATATCTTACCTGAGATATCGACTGAGGATGGATGAGGATCAAGTACAAGCCCAATGAAGGGGAAGTCACGTGGTTGAACCACGTGACCTTCCAAACGTTACTACCTAGCTCAATCTTTGGATCGATGAGTATATGTCAGATATTACGAGATACATTTTCGCACAACAAACGGTTTTAAAATTACGACAATGATTTTGATTGAGCGACTGTAAGGAATGTTTATCACTTATTAGACTTCACATTCATTTGTATTGATGCATTTGAACTAAAGAAGGTTTACTTAACCTATATACTCTAAGCAAATTACAATTGCCAAAATGCGAAACTGTGAATTAACCGCTATCCTCCATTACAAATTTTATAAACCCAAGACCGGCCCGAGAAAATATGACCGATGTTTACTTTAACTGTATTGCGTTTAAAGCTGAATCCGCTGTAGCCCGTGAGCCGGGGTTTTTACTAGGTAGGCTTCAACACGCGACGGTGGCGAAGCCTTGAAAAACAAATATGGTAAGGTGTAAAAAAAACTCTTATTTACATAATTTTTTTTACAATCCGGCTTCCTTCTAAATTGAATATATTCGTTGACATAGTTCCTTCGAAAAACTTACGTAGAATACTAGATAATACGGTCTTATCAACGGAATAAATAACGTAAATTGTGCGCCGTTTCAGTCTCTAAAGCTGACTTTTCGAGCGTTAACCCATGCTTCGTCAGAGCCGTTATCAACTCAGTTGATGACGCCAAATTATCTTGTAATACCACCCACCGACGCAGCACAACCGCAGCACCACAGTTTCTTTAGAAACAGACCCCTTTTATTAACAGAGAAGAATACCTTTTGCACGGAGAGCGAAAAAAAAAGAAGAATTCGCTTCAACTCAAAATCCCGGGGAAGTACATATTAAAGGCCTTCACTCAAGTTGAAGTTAACCATAAATAATCATTTGTGTGGGTAATTTATCCATGCGAGTGCTTTACGTACATGAGTTTTAGTCTTCATCACATGTTCAAGACTGAAATTGAGACACTCAAATTTGTCTGATAATTTTGTTAATTCCGCAATTTACATGTCTAGTAAAGATGTAAAATTCATTTGTAACGTGCGTGAGACAGAAGCAATCTTAGTTTCCAAAGTGGATTGATTCTCTGTTTACCCATTGTGAGTCCTGCAAAGACCTCCTGATACCCCCTGGGTACGTCAGGATGTATTTTAGCTTTCTAATTTTCCTCTATAACAAATACACTGATCACGTGAAAGACTTAAATCACATGACGTATTAAAGAAGTTCTATTATCCAGTCCTAACGCGTAGTTTCGCTTGGAAATTAAGCTTTGTTCAAGCAAGGAAAGTGATAAGTTTGAAGCAAACTTTTAATCATTAGTTACCAGCCAAGAGATTATTACCACGTAGTTGCACAAAAAGAAAAAAGTGAAAGAAAAAAAAACTGTTAACGTCCGAATTATCAGCAATATTCACAAAAAAAGGTGCTTTCACTCAAAAAAGCCTAGAAAATCCGAGTACATACTATGCCCGCCTGTGTTACACATTTTCTATGCAGTAACATTGACCGATATCTTCACATAAAGCAGGTTTTGGTGCGAAAGTATCGTGCAAATGTCTATGTTGTTCTAAGATCTGATGTCGTAATCATGCACCGTGTTTTGAAACGGGGATGATATGTGTAACCTGAGTGGAAGTGGAGAGTTACTTCGAAAAATATTTCGTGACGATCGACAAAGACACCTTGTTATCCTGGCCTTATCGCTGTTTTGTACGTAGATGTGAATATCACGAGAACGAAAACAGTTTCTTAGACGCAATGATTTGAATTAACTGCACAACTGTATCTTCATTTAGCACTGTCTTACCTGCTTAGAAATCTTCTAGAGTACCTGAGGCTCAGCTGGTGCCGAACGAGCATGGACAACACGGCCAACGAAACTACAACACAGGGTAAATCGACATCAAACGCTCGCAAATTGATGCGCCTAATGTCCGGGGGGTTTTTTTGAGATGTGGGTTTCGCTCTGCTTTTCGTCGTAGAGAATACTTCACTGATGCCCTCAAGACAAAAAGCCCCAGGGCTAACGTTTTCTGGAGACAAATTATATTTTTGATAGCACTTCAGCCGACTTTCAGCTGCTTTCCTATGCCTGGAGGACTAAAGATAATGTTTCATAGGATCTATGCCTGAGGCGTTTTGAAAATAAGTCGGGTACAAATCACGCGAAGACAAAACTAGCAACAATGCCATCTAAAAAGAGTAGAACTGTCATATTTCCCTTTGTAAATGATTATGGACACAGGCCGCGTGAAATATAGGCTATGCATCTTCGGGCTTGCAAAATTTTCCGTTAAAGTTACAATTAACCCCAGCTCCATTTGAGTTCAATGTTATTTTACCTGGGGCGAAAGACTGAGTTCATATGAATGAAGAATTTTTAATGAGGTGTGTTTGCTTATAATGAGTGACAGAGTGACTGACGGCAAATTTTAAACATAAACGGAAATTGTGCCAAAAAAAACCATGGTTGTCGTGTTCAATTTTTGAAGGAGTTGGGAGGTCCGAGTTCGAAAATTGTTGCGAAAAAAAAATACAACGACTTAAGCTTCAGTATCCCCTTCCATCCACCTGGTTGAAACTGACGGACTCGAAACCTCCCCTCAGTTTCATCTCTTTCGATTTACATGCTGCGTGATTGAAAAAAAAATGTTGTGACTGACCTCTGCTAGTCAAATCAATATCATTTTCAAGATAGATTGTTTTCCAGATTACTTGTGCTATTTCTGATATGATAGAGGTTCGATTTCATCGATGTTTTGTTCCGAGGAAACAGCCCCCCCCCTTTTTTTACACTAAAAGCGTTAGCGGGCTATCATCCCGTAGGTAAACCACAAATTGGATCATTGTTTGTGAATTTTTCTGCTTTTTT